TAGCATCAGTGTATTTACAGACTGGGGCTTAATGTCTTTTAACTTCTTTTATCGTCTTTAGACTTTTTTCATAAGGATCTGCTTCGGAAATCTGCAATAATTCTGTTCATCTGCAAGTGACACTTCACCAAAGAAGGCTTCTAGTACAAAGGTTACAATGAAAGTGGAAAGTTACTCAAAATCTGATCTTGAACCTGGTGTTATTCCCAAAGTGAAAGACGCTAACGAGGAGCGCAGATCTTTAAGCAGGATGCTACTAACTCGGCCTATACCACTGTTAACTAAATAAAAAGGGTTTGATACTGGACTGAAGACACAGAGCTCCATGTGACGGGCCACCATTGTTGAAAACATAGTATTCTCAGGTCTGATGTGCCGCTATGTACCAAACCCAAACTGTGGTCTGGGGAGTTACGACGTCATCCGAATCATCATCACGAATGTGCTTAGGATGGACCGCGAAACATGAAGCGCGAGTAATGGGACCTTTAAAAAGTAGCTTGCTGTATGTGGGGAATGTAAACGCAGCCAATCACACGCCTCATAGTACAATCACAGGACTGAAGTATTCTGGGTACTGTAGTTCCGGGCTTACAGTTAAACTAGATAGATTTGAGATATGGTACTTTCACCTGCATCATGTGCCACTACAGAGCGGGCTCCACAGGGTTCGTTAGCACTCATTAGCACCTGTTAGCCCTTTGTTAGCCCTTAGCTCTCATTAGCCCCCTTTAGCCTTCAGTCTTCTGTCATTATCTGTGATATGATTGGAAGAGACAGCTCTCTGCTAACGAGAGCAGACGGGAGCTCCCAGAATGCCCCGGGGCAGACACCAGCAGCAGAGTGTGTCTTTCTGTTTGTGTGTGTGTGCGTCTGTGTGTGAGTGTGTGTGTGTGCTTGCATGTGTGCTTGTGTGTAGGTATGTCTGTGTGTGTCTGTGTGTGTTTGTGTGTATAGATGGTTTGGTGAGATATTATATTTCTGTGATTTCTCCTTGTAATAACCCTCGATCTCTGCTCTGACTGAGAATAGAACCCACAACCTCCTGGGTCTGGGCCACAAACCACTGTACCACATGAGCACATGTGATTATAGAGAACGAATGAACTACTGCAACTACTGCTACTACTAAAGTTACTGCTATTACTACCGCTACTATGACTTCTACAACTACCACTACTGCTACTACAACTACAGATAGTGACGCACAGGGCTCTTTCTTTCATACAGCGTGTTATGTCTGATTTGTTCACAACATTTGACTTTAAGACTCTTTCTGTTGAAACTACATGTTATTTATGAGGCTAAAGTTATGTACCCCAGCTTTAAACATGATGTGTTATTTTTGAGACTAAAGTTACCAACCCCAGCTTTAATCCTGTGTTATATCTCTGGTGCAGCAGATGGATAAACCCTCTTTGGCTTCAGGCTGCTCTCTTCTCTTTCACACACTTTGTTAATTGCTCCTAATTATTCTGAGAAAATAAACCAGAGGCAACGAGCTCGAGAGGAAAAGGAAGAGGAGAGAGGAAGCAAGGAAAGGATGGAGAAGGCGAGGGAGGAGGCGAGGGAGGAGGCGAGGGAGGAGGCGAGGGAGGAGGCTGCGAGCGCTCAGGGCAAGGACACAGGAGCGAGTGTGTGAGAGGAGGTGAATCCGATAGAAGAGCTGGACACTGGGACTGGACACAAACACAACAGGAGCAAATATGTTGTTGCAAAAAAGTGTGTGTGTGTGTGTGTGTGTGTGTGTGTGTGTGTGTGTGTGTGTGTGTATGTTGACGCTGGCGGCACATGCACTGATGAGGCTCATTACAGATAATTGTGAATAATTATTCTCAAACAGAAGCTTTTATAACGAGGCTGAAGGCACGCACACACAGACACACACACACACCAGCTATCGCCCCGATACAAACACACACAGACAAATCCCTCAGGTCCTAAAGGGGAGAATATAGTTACACACACACACACATACACATACGTGAGATAATTAGTGATCCAATATTTACCTTTTTTGAAGTGATCAAAGACGAACTGAGATTTTGAGGTTTATATGCTAAGCAGAGACCAAAGAGAGACCAATTGACCAGAGAGACCAGAAAGGGACCAGAGGGAGACCATACCAGAGAGAGACCAGAGAGAGACCAGTGAGAGACTAGAGGGAGACCAAAGAGAGACCAGAAAAAGACCTGCGAGAAACCAGAGCGACCAGAAAGAGACCAGGGAGAGACCAGAGGGAGAAGATATGATCTCATAAGAAGAGTGAATCATGTAATCAATGAGAAGATGAAAAACAATGAAAGCAGAGGATAACAAGGTCCACATACTGTACATCAGTAGTTTCTGCTTCATCCACACGGCCCTGTTCTCCTGCTTTTCTCCTTAAAAGCTTAAATATGTTTTTTCTGACGCAGTAAACCCACAAAACCACCAAACTACAACCCACTTTGACTTCAGGACTGAACTTCATGAAATATACAAGAAAATGTGACGCTGTCAAACCCTCACACAGCCCTGTAGCTCCTCCCATTCTCAGGTCCCTTTCTGGTCTTTCTCTGGTCGTTCTCTCTTTCTGGTCTCTCTCTCTCTAAGTTTGGTGAGAAATGTGTTGTTCCATTTCAAATGTGAAATTATTTTCCTTCAGTAAATATATAAAATAAATAAATAAGTCAGAGCTGTTGTGTTTCTGCTGCTGCCTCAGGCTGCTCCCCCAGACTGAGAGAGCCTGAGGGGAGACCCAGGCAAAGACCAGGTCTGAACCAGGTCTGAACCAGAGACCAGGTCTGAACCAGGTCTGATGCAGGTCTCATGAATTACACATGTTTAAAGCTGAGTATGTAATGTCTCATACAGTATGAGAGCTATTTGGCTGAATAACGGTGGTCCTCTCTTTTTACCTTTCTGTCTGAAAAAGCTGATCCAAAGATGTGACAGAGACCAGAAATACATGATGTGAAAACTAGTCCAGAACCAGAGCTGACGCAGACCAATATCAGACCAGGACCAGATCAACCTGTTTTAGATCTAGGAATCCATGTGTTTTATAACAACGTTCTATTGGTGTGATCTGAAAAATCCCAAAAGCCGAGCGAGACCCAAAGTCCACCTTTAATGTTGCCGTTTTAGACGTATGTATTACCTTTGTGTCCACTAAAGTCTTGATCTTCATTTTTCCCTAGACCCGAGATCCACACTCTGGGCAGACTCTTGGCCCACACACAGGCCCAGGGCCACACAGGCCCAGGACTAGACAGACCCTTTGCCACACAGACCCGGGGTTCACAAAGACCCGGGGCCACACAGACCTGGTGTGGGAAACAGCCGCTGAGTTAGCAGAGGTGAGATTATCTCAAACACTGGGCTCATGTAATCTGTAATCCCCTGTAATCTCTGTCCCCCCGGTCCACGCCCCATGTTTCAAGAGTTTCCCCCGTCAAGAACGTTGAACTGGAGTTTCAATGGGAGAGTTTGACGTGTTGTTTGGACCTGTGTCAAAACAAACTTCCCATTTTCAAAATAATACCATACCACAACGAATAGTACTTTACAACATTTTTATGACAACTGTATGAAGGGAAGAGCAGTGACTCTGCTTCTTCTCTGTAGCCGTAGCTTCACTCCCCTGAACACAGCTCCTTGGCTCGTTGTTCTGACATCTCGTCCATCATGAGACAAGTGTTTTAGGACAATCAGCAGTTTGGTCTAATCTCAAACAGTTGGAGGATTATCATCTCATAATCCTGTTACTTTGAGACTAAGACCCAAAACTACAAGACCCCAAAACCCGAGCAAGACCACAGCTCGGACCACAGCTGAGACCCCAGACCACAGCTGAGACCCTAGACTACAGCTGAGACCCAAGTCCAGAATTGAGACCCGTCCAGATCTGAGACCCCAGACCACATCTGAGACCTCGGAGCACATCTGAGACCAGTTCAAAACCAGGCGGATTATAATCTCATTAATCTGTGAGACTGACACTGACACTGAGACCACAAGACCACCCGTGGACAGCAGACCAAAACCAAGAGCGAGGCCAAGCTGAGATCAGGCCAAGACCAGACTAAGACCAGACCAAGATAAGAACATGAAAAGACCACAGACCAAACCAAGACAGGTCATAGACCAGGTCATAGACCAGGTCATAGACCAGGTCATAGACCAGGTCATAGACCAGGTCATAGACCAGGTCATAGACTCACTAGACCATTACCAAAACAAGACCACGACAGGGCCAAGACCAGACCTGACTAGCTCGCCAGTTAAGAGCTGCTGGTCTCTCCTGAGGAGAGCTCTCAAGTGGAAGATGCAGATAATTCTTTCATTCACTTTAGTTTCACTCAGATGCAGGGAACTCAATTTAAAGAAACATCATTCAATAAGGGAAAGAATCATTTATCGCATCATGAAGAAGTATCAGTAACTAAAGACAGCAGGTCTCAAGCAGGACTAAAGCTGAACTACAACAGGATTAAAGCAGGACTACAGTAGGTCTAAAGTAGGTCTAGAGAAGGTCTGAAGCAGGACTACAGCAGGGCTAGGTCTAGCAAATCCCTCTCTCAATATGGCCTCCCTGAGTTTTCTCACTTTTTCCCCACTGGTTTTTGAGTGGTTCCTGTGGATGGTTTAAGGACACTGACTATCCGGGACATTTCTGCACATTTATTGATCTTTCAGGGCAGTGGTCATCCCTCTCCTTATGGACCAATGGCTCCTATGGATTTGTTATTGCATTTCTTGCATGTGAATAGTTTGATTCTCTGATTCTCTGCGTTGGTGAATCCACAACTTTCCAAGTCCTCTGAGACGAATGCTGTTGGGATTTAGGCCGAAACACAAATTGAATTGAATTGAACAAGAGCAGGACTGCAGCAGGAGTTCCCAGAGACCAGGGTCTGACACAAACGCAGCTGTTTCCATTCACACACAAACACACATGCCTCTCCACGTTCCTCTCCGTGCGTGCGCGCGCGTGTAAATATATGAACCGCTTTTACCTTTGAGGGTATCTGCGCGCGTGCCCGTCAGCCCCGTGATCGCGTGCATAAAGAGCAGAAGAAAAGTCCCGGCGCGCGCCATGACGCACGCGCACGCAGCTTCTCAGGTAAAGTTCAGAACCTGATCAAACCGAAACCGGATTAGACAGACCGTAGACCGTCGGACATTGTGAGGAAGTGTCCAAACCGAGTCTCTGGGACCGGTTAGACTCAATCACAGAGTGTCTCTTTAGTCCAAGAGCTGAGAACCCGTGGTCTATGGTTTTGGTCCTTTAATCCTGGTTCTGCTCTCTCAGTTTTTGTTCTGGTCTTGCAGTTTTGGTTCTGGTCTTAAAGTCCTGATTTTGGTCTCCTTTAGACCTGGTTTTGGTCTCTCTTAGACCTGGTTTTGATCTCCCTTAGACTTGGTTTTGGTCCTCCTCAATCCTGGTTTTGCTCTCCCTTAGTCCAGTTCTGTTCCCGTTATATCCCCGGTGAAAGCGCTGAACTCAGATCTTCTCCCGTTTGTGGCAAAGTTCTGCGCAGTCCCGTGATGCGGTCCTCCCGTTGGACCCGTGCCTGTCCCGGTTTTTCCCGTTAGACCCGTGCTACTTCCAGTTCCTCCCGTTAGACCCGTGCTAGTCCCGGTTTCTCCTGGTGTTTCTCCAAACTCCGACTGTTTGACTCAGAGCCCAGAGACCAGCGCTCGGTGTGACGTCACAGGGAGGAGCGGAGAGAGAGGCGCATTCTTCACCGATTGAGGAGTTTAACTGTGAAGGAGCCAGTGTGTGTGTGTTTGTGTGTGTGTGGGGTATATATATATGTGTGTGTGTGTAAGAGAGAGAGAGAGAGATGGGTTAAAACTGGGATACACATCTTTAAAGCTTGGGTACGTAACTTTCAGGCCACGCCAATAGAACTCCGTAATAAATCATGTCTCTTGTTCCTGTCTCTTAAAGAGTTTTATCACTAGATTTCATGTAAATGGCCTCTGTCATCTTTAGAGAGAACCACCCTCACTCAGCTCTCAGCCGAAAGAGTCCTATGGTGACTCATAGAGCTCTTTCTTACCACACAGTAGATGAAGTACTTATGGATTTGGTAAAAACATTTTAAAGACTCTTTCAATTCAAACTACATGATTTGTTTTATGAGACCTGGTCCAGCTCTGGGTTTTGGTCCCTGGCCTCTGGTTTTCCTCCACTTCTCTCGATGTCATGTCTCCAGATTTTATGCCTCCGTCGCTTCGTTAACTTCACGCTCAATAAACTCGACCAGAGCTGGACTCCTGCACTGCTGAGAGCTGGAGATGTTTTTAGATCCATCCATGCTGTGTGTTGTCGAGCTGATATAGTGTAAGACTAGTAACACAATTTAGAATTTAGAACTCTTGCGGCGTGCTCTGGTCACTGCATATGGAGTCCACAGGGTGCTCTGATTGCAGACACTGCTCCCTCCACATTCATGTTTCGATATTGTTCTCCTTGATATATATATTTTTTGTTTACGTGTTATAACATGTTTCATATTATTAATAATGCGCTACATTTCTTCTTCAAGTCTGGAGGACACACACAGACACACCTTTCTTTTTTTTTAACTGGACATTTTGGTTGTATATGTCCTCCTTAACTTCAGCAGACATTTTGGCTCTGATGAGCACGTGAACATCTGATCACTGGTTGTGAATACAGCTCTTTGTGTTTCAGACATTTTGGCTCGGATGAACTGTACAGTTCAGAATAGACTTTCCTTCACGCACCACAGCTGCATCTACACAAAGGGCTTTTCACGGAGACGCGTGGTGCAACAACGCCCCCCGGAGGACACCCACGCGCCCTGCAGGACAGACACGCTCACACAGACACACACACATACACTGGCTCCATCGCGTGGACAGAGGTGGGTACTGCAGCTCAGAGCGTGGAACTATAAAGACATAAATCATTTAATAATGTGTTTTGATAGAACTGAACAGGTAAAATCTGGAGCATGTAATTTCAGAGCACACAATACAACTCTGGTTCTAAAACAGTTTTGTCTGGTCCTGGTCCTAGTCCCTGCAGACTGCTCAGTGGTTTCAGATCCTTCAGTCAGGTCCCCTGACAGTTAAGTGAACTTTAAATGTTCTACTACAGCACAAAGAGAAGAACCTGAGGAGAAGAACCTGAGGAGAAGAGCTCTTCACTTGATAAGTCTGACGTGGAACAAATTCCTCTTGAGATTAAAGGTAAAGAGGAGCGAGGTCCAGGACACACTCATGCTGTCGAAGAAATATGTGTTATTTAAAACACTAAAGTTACAGAGCCCGGCCCTGAACATGTTATTTATGAGACTAAAGTTACATACACCAGCTTTAAATATGTGTTATTTAGGAGACTAAAGTTATTTACCCCAGCTTTAAACATGTGTTACTTATGAGACTAAAGTTATATACCCGAGCTTTAATATGAGGGAGATAAACAAGTAAAAGGCCAAAGGTAATCTCTCTGATCCTTCACTCTGATTGGTTAATCCTGCTCTTCTGTGATTGGACAGATCTGATACTGGATCTTCAGTTCTGAAATGAACCAAGACAGCTGAGACCAGAGACCTGGACTGAACCGGGTTTGAACCAGGACTGGCCCTAGACTGAACCAGGTCTGATCCAGGACCTAACCTGGACTGAACCTGGACTGAACCAGTTCTGAATCGAGTTTGAACTGGGACTGAACCAGGACCATGGGCTCTCGTCTGTGTAAGACAAAGTCCGAGTCTGAGGCCACAGATCCGGCTCCGAAGTGCAGCCTGGTCCTGAACCTGACTCGCAGAGGACTCAAGGTCAGAGCACGCTTAAAGCTGGGATATGTAAATTTAGTTTTATAAATAACACATTTTTAAAGGTGGGATACGTAACTCTAGTCTTATTAATATCACATGTAGCTTGTCCAATAGAGACACACACTCACACACACACAAAAACACACACACACATATGGGGTTGCAGAAATTCAAAAACAAAATATTTGGATTTGGGTTTGTAAACCTGTTGGAACCTGTTCTCCCAACAGAACTAGGCATGGAACTAGGCCTGGGACTAGGCCTGAGACTAGGCCTGGGACTAGGCCTGGGGTTAGACCAGATCTCGGATCTTAGATCTGGGTCTGGGTCACCTGCTGTCCCCCTCTCTGCAGGACATCCCGTCTGAGACCTGGTCTCAGTCCGATTTGCTGAAGCTGAACTTGTCCCTGAATCTTCTTCGCTCTGTGTCTCCACAAGTATGTGTCCTGAAGAACCTCAGAGTCCTGAACCTGTGGGGGAACCAGGTATTGACCAGGACTAAGACCAGGACCAGGAGCTGGAGACTCATACATGAATTGCATTCACAGTTGACCTCGTTGCCTGCGGAGATCGGAACGCTGCAGAAACTCCGAGTTTTGTTTTTATCCAGAAACAAACTCACAGAGATTCCAGAAGAACTGGGCCAGTGTACGGAGCTGGAGGTACTGCTGCTGCTGCTGCTGCTGCTTCTGCTGCTGCTGCTGCTGCTGCTGCTCTTCCTCCTCTTATCCTCCTCCTCTTGTCCTCAGGTTCTCAGTGCGTCTCAGAACCTGCTGAAGTCTTTGCCCTGGTCTTTGTCAAATCTGCAGAATCTGAGAAAACTGAACTTGAGCAACAATGAGCTGATCTACCTGCCGACTTGTGTATACAGCCTGAAGAGCCTGGTACTACAGCTCCCACAATGCACCTAGGACCTACTTGCTTTAAACCTGCTTTGGTCCTGCTTTAGACCTGCTCTAGTTCTGCTCTAGACCTGTTTTAGACCTGCTATGCTTTAGACCTGCTTAAGACCTTATAGAACATGTTACTTACGCGCCCTGTGAGTCACTATTTGACTCTGAGGTCTTCTCTGTTTCACTTTTCTGTCTGACAAAGCTGATCTAAAGATGTGACCGTGGTCAAATACATAATGTGAAAACTAGCTTTAAAGTCACATACCCCAACTTGAGCCTAAGTCTGGGACTGCATTTCCCATCATGCCCTGTTTCCTCAGGTGTTCCTTCACTTGGGCTGGAATCTGCTCGAGAGTCTGGCGGAGAACATCGAGAGTCTGAAGAATCTGAGGACTTTAATCCTGGAAGGGAACCACCTTAGCTGTGTTCCCAAAGCCTTGTGCGCCCTCAGCAGGTCTGCAGTGACCAGGGCCAGAACCAGAACTAGGACAGGGACTGAACCAAGACCAGAACCAAGACCATGACCAGGAACAGAGCCTGGAACAGAACCATGACTAGGTCTGCAGTGTTCCCTACACGGAGCAGCCCAACCCACACCTCCTGCCCCTCCTCCTCTCCCACCTTTTACCCAGTGGGTAAAAAGGGGGAGAGGAGGTGGTAAAAAAACTTGTACCCACTATATAATCTATTTTTATTATAGATTTTACTTATTTGATCCCCACCTTTTTTGCACAAATATCAGATGTGCAGTAGCAGCAAAAACACATCCATTGACACAAACAAAAAAATAACTAGAGCATTCTAAAAGTAGTAACTAGTACTAAAATGCAACAGCACTTTAAGTCACAGCTGCAGAGTAGCCGCTTGGTTCGGAGCAATTTCTCTGCTCTGGTCCAAACTGAGAAGATGAATGCTTTGTAAGCATTTTACAAAAAGTTTGCATTCCTCAGGTGGATTTTTGCCTGATCAGCTTGTTTCAGACCATGAATCCTCTCCACTCTGGTCTGGACTGTCAGGCTAGTACAAAAGTGGCTCAAACACAGACCCAAAGTCAAGAGGCAGCTTAGAAGTTTTGAGGCACATCAGGGGTGGGGCAGTAATCCACAACAGGAAGAAAATCTAGGGACAAGAACAAGTAAGGGTGATTTCAAAATAAAACAGAACAGAACTGTACTGCAGCAACATTTTAGGTAGAAAAAAGCAAGAAAAATAACAATTATAAAGAACAAAAAAACAACTGTTTCAGAGCTACTTAGGACTTGTAAACACAGACTGATCTGTAGCCTGACCAGGTGTGACTTCACCATAGTGTTCGCCTAAGCTGGAGCCTATTTCCATATTATATGGACGTTTGCTCCAACAGCGTTAGCTTCACGCTGTAACAGGGACAGGCGTGTTGCTTTGGCAGTTGTTAAGGCACGTTGAAGCCCCCCCCCCAGACATCTGATTGGTCAATCCTTAAATGGCCTTTATTGTTGCTTGCAGTTTTAACTCTCTGTGTTTTAGTCTAGAGCTGCTGAATGTGGACTTCAACGACATCAAAGATGTTCCTCAGGTAAATAGTACTGCCCTGAGCAGCTAAAGTCCTGCTTGTCCAGCCCTCATCTTGCTTAAAGATGCACTAAGTGATTTTGTTAGCTTAGTCGTAGCACCAACTCGAAACCACCCCCCTCCCCTCGACTCTCCACCAAACCAAACATCCAGCATTTTCTTTTCTTTGTCACAACTGGCAAAGGTGAAAACGGCATTTTTTGTTCAGCCATTTAAGGTTTTAGAAAATAATCCAATAACTCAGGTGCGCGCACTCGTGAGAAACAGGAAGAGGGTGAAGGGGGTTAACGAATCCCATTGGTTTATTTTTATCGGTCTGCTCCAACATATTTTTTATGAATTTTTGGAGACTATAGGAATCTGGTCAATTATACTACTACTATTTGAAAACACATGATAACGTGACTACTTTTAGGGTTTAGGGACGTTTTCCTACAATTTTTTTTTTTTTAATGCATCTGGAAAAAATCACTGACTGCCTCTTTAAGTATAGCTTTAGTCCTGCTTCTGTCCTGCTTTAGTCCTGCTTTTTTCCTGCTTTAGTCCTGCTTCTGTCCTGCTTCTGTCCTGCTTTAGTCCTGCTTCTGTCCCACTTTAGTCCAGCCCTAGTCTTGCTTAAGTATAGCTTTAGTCCTGTCTTAGTCCTGCTTCTGTCCTGGTTTAGTCCAGCCCTAGTCTTGCTTAAGTATAGCTTTAGTCCTGTCTTAGTCCTGCTTCTGTCCTGGTTTAGTCCAGCCCTATTCTTGCTTAAGTATAGCTTTAGTCCTGCTTCTGTCCTGCTTTAGTCCTGCTTTAGTCCAGCCCTAGTCTTGCTTACGTCTTGCTTTAGTCCCGTTATTGTGTCCTCTGTTTTACACAATCCTGGTCTTTTTCAGGAGTTCCACCAGCTCTCTCGTCTACGCAGACTGGCCTGTCACCCTCTGGACTCTGGCCTCCATATCCTCCACAACCCTCTGCTGAAGCCCACCAAGGAGGTCCTGGAGGGGGGTCTGACTGCACTGTACAGCTACCTACAGACGCCAGGCTAGAACTGATACAAGGTCTCCTGCTGCCCACAATGGAGCCAGGACCAGAGCTCTTTCTCTCTATCAGCTCTTTGGTGTCTCTCCAGTCTCTCTCTTTCTGGTCTCTCTCTCCCTCTGGTCTCTCTCCGGCCTTTTCTCTGTGGTGAAAAGCCAACATGGGTCCAAACAACACAACAACCTTTCCCACTGTTGTTAAATGTATTTCATGTGTTTAACGGTTTTCATCTGATAAAAAAATCTATACATACTATCCATACATACTATTATGTGTTATTTATGAACCAGGACGGACCCAGGATTGAATCAGGACTTGATCCATCTTTTTATGTAAATCAGACTCTAATGGAAACTTGACTTTTCCCTGAACCTAATAGTTAGGAGCTAGGACATAAGGAAATAGGAAACAAAGAGCTAGGAAACAAAGACCTAGTAAACTAGGAGGTGATGAGGAAATATGAGACAAGGAGCTAGGAGACAAGGTGCTAGGAGACAAGGAGCTAGGAGACAAGGAGCTAGGAGATGAGGCGCTAAGCGACAAGGAGATAGGAGACGAGAAGATAGGATTTATTGACTGTTGTTTTTTTGTGCCAGGAGCATGCACGTGTGAGCGTGCACGAAGGCTGATTGATCTGCAACTTCATTACATCACTGCCTCTGCTGTAGTCCTGCTGTAGTCCTGCTTTAGTCCTGCTTTAGTCCTGCTTTAGTCCTGCTTTAGTCCTGCTTTAGTCCTGCTTTAGTCCTGCTTTAGTCCTGCTTTAGTCCTGCTTTAGTCCTGCTTTAGTCCTGCTTTAGTCCGGCTTTTGTCTTGCTTTAGTCCTGCTTTAGATCTGCTTCAGTCCTGCTTTAGACCTGTTTTAGACCCCCCATTTTCTCTCTCTACTGATGAGTTTTATTGATCTGCTTCAGTTAAATGAGGTCAACCTACTGTCACTGTTCACAAGACCAGGCTCTGGTCCAGACCGCTGCCTGTTTACAGCTCTCTAAATTCTACATTCACTCAGAACTAAAAGTGACCTCCTTGTTCTCCTATGATGCTCCTCATAAATGGAATTCTGTGATCTGTGTAAGATGTGTCACATAAATGCTCCCCCTCTGGTCTCTCTCTGGTCTCTCTCTGGTCTCTCTCTGGTCTCTCTCTGGTCTCTCTCTGGTCTCTTTCTGGTCTCTTTCTGGTCTCTCTCTGGTCCCAGCTGGTGACGAGTCAATGGGGAAATGTGAACGTCTGAAGCAGAAGCACGAAAAGCACATCAATAAATAAGATTATAATAAAAGGAGGACCAGGTCTGAACCAGGTTGAAAGCATGACTAAAGCAGGTCTAAAGGAAGACTAAAGGAGATCTAAAGCAGGACTAAAGCATGACTAAAGCAGGTCTAAAGCAGGACTAAAGCAGTGCACTAAAGCGGGACTAAAGCAGGTCTAAAGCAGGTCTAACGCAGGTCTAAAGCAGGACCAAAGCAGGTATTTCTCTAGTAGGCGTCTGAAGTGATGAGGTTGATTTGATTTTTTCTGAAACCTGAGAGTTTTAATCTAGTTTTTGCCTCCTCCTCTGGACACCTCCGCTCCCAACAAGGGGGAGGGAGGGGGTGAGGGTAAAGGAGGGGCCTGAGAGGAGACGAGAGACGGTAGAGGAAAGTGCGAAGGAGATGAGCGAAGAATCTCCGCACCAGACAAAAACACATCTGTGGAACCAAAACATGGACCTGTACTGGACTGAAGACACAGTTTAGAAGAGGAGGCGCAAGGAAGCAACCAAGGAGCCGAGAAGGGGGCATCAGCAAAGGTAAGAACGCTGTGGTTTTGGACTCATCCTTATGTGGAAAACACAAATATACCAAAGTGACTCCCACCTCAGACAGACTGGTCCCAAGAGCGTCTGTCCACATGCTCTGCTTCAAAACTCCGATGACTGCTCTGACTGTGTTGTCGCTGGTGGTGATGCTGCTGACGGTCGCCGTGGGAGACGGGGCCCGAGTCATCAGTGGTGAGTCCCACAAACACCAGAACAAAGTCTACAAACTTCAACCATTGAGAGACTGAATATTTTGCCCATTCCTCTTTGCAAAACAGCTCTCTGATGAGAACATTTGTGTCTGTCTGTTTGTGTCTGTGCAAGTGTGTGTGTATGTGTTTGGTAAGATGGCTGTCTTGGTAGATTTGCAGTGGTCCAGATTCTGTTTGTGAATAACGAGCTGAGCTGGACTTCCCTGACCTCTAACCCACAGTTGTATGTTCCTTTGTTGAGGTCCTGCATCATTCTCCTGATGAGAAACATGAGCCCAGACTAAAATATTTGTATGTGAAACAGATCTGTGCATGAGTCACACATGACTCAGACCTGGTCCAAGCCTGGTCTAAGCCTGGTCCAGACCTGATTCAGTCTTGATTTAGTCTTGGTTCAGTCTTGGTTCAGTCCTGGTTCAGACCTGGTTTTACTGCAGTGATATAGAGTGTGTAGAAAGTGATGATGCAGCAGAAGAGAATGCAGCTAATCACTTAAAGAGGCGCTGTGTCTTTAACACGATTAATGAGAGCTTAGGGGCCCCCCAGGACTAGCCCCCCGGGAGCAGCCCCCCAGGACCAGCCCCCCAGAACTAGCCCCCTAGGACCAGTCCCCCCCACCCCATATGCTATCGTTAGTATAAGCTGAGCATTTGGTTGTGCCAAAGTTATTTATGCAGCTGGACATGAACATCCCCTATTATTTCCGTCTGGTTCCCGAATACAAAGTATTTACAGTAGATCTGTTCTAATCATTTGTTTCTGTATGGTTCTCACAGGGCAGACGGTATGCCCCGCCCACTCCTCCTACTGTTACAAAGTGGCATACTTCCACACAGTGAGCAGCAGGGTGTCCTTCACTGTGGCACTTCAGGCCTGTGCCACAGACCAGGGGGCGCTAGTGAGCATCGAGTCTGAGCATGAGCAGCTCATTGTGGAGACGCTACTGCAGGTGATGACCAGAGGGGGCGCCAGACACAACACGACAGACCAGAGGGGTGCCAGATTCTACCTGACTGATCAGAGGGGGCGCCAGACACAACACGACTGTTCTTTCTCTTTGGTTGCAGGAACTGCGCTCTGGTGTCCCTCCGGATTCAGACATTGTTGATGGAGACTTTTGGATTGGACTGACCCGCTCCGAATCCTCAGACCAGACCCAGACCCAGAGTCAGAACCAATCCCAGACCTGTCCTGGTCTGTACCAGTGGACTGATGGGAGCAGCGCCACCTACAGGTGAATGTTGACAGTAACACAGTGTACTCAGCAGTACTCGTGTACTCAGCAGTATTTTGTGTACTCAGATACTGGTACGATGATGAGCCGTCGTGCGGTGGCGAAGCCTGTGTGGTAATGTACCATCAGCCAACTGCACTTCCTGGAGTGGGAGGAGCTTATCTGCACCAATGGAACGACGACCGCTGTAACATGAAGCACAACTTCATCTGCAAGTACCACAAAGGTACTTTCATTACAACAAGTACAATTTCTACTTCTACTATTACAACAAGTACTACTACTTCTCCTTCTATATCTGTTTTAGAGCAGCGTTCGAACAGTGACTCAGAAGAATCGGCCACAGGTAATATACTTCAATATTGAGGCCCTTAATGCTGGTCCTGATAAGAGCCTCGTGGAGCTCATAGTTCTGTTTGATGTACTCCTAACGAGAACTTTTCGGGACCTGCCTTCGGCTCAGGACAAATAATGATACTGCTCAATACTGCGTACGCAGTGGTGATAAACTACTGCTGTAGCCACAGCTGCCCTGGGGCACACTGACGAAGGGGAATCAACCAGTATGTGCCATCGGCCCCTCCCACCACCACCAACCATTCACACACACACTAATATGGGTGAAGCCTAACATGTTCTAAAAGGTCTCCCTACCCCGGTACTAACCTGGCCCTGTCCTGTTTAGCTTTAGAGGTCTCCCATCACAGTACCAACCAAGCCCTGTCCTGCTTAGATTCAGAGGTCTCCCAACACAGTATTAACCAAGCCCTGTCCTGCTTAGCTTCTGAGGTCTCCCATGACAGTACTAACCAAGCCATGCCCTGCTTAGCTCTGATTCCAACTACAATAACAGAGGTTAATGTGTTTATTCTGTTTCAGAGCAAACTTCAGTAAGGGAAAAGGAGGCTCCGCCCCTCACACAGGACAGCCAATCAGGTAAGGGCTCCACACACAGGGGGAGGGGTCAAGAATTGCAGCAGTAGCAGTAGTAACATTAGCATTAACAGGACTAGTAGCGGTTGTGAAAATAGTAGCAGCAGTGGTAGTAACAGTAGCCCTTCCTCAGGTACCCTCCTCCTCTACATTCTTCTTCCTACTGCTCCTCTCTTGATCCTGATCCTCGTGGCCTCAGGGAGCTGCTGCTGCCAGAAGATCCACAAGACGTGAGTACTGCAAATACTATATTACACTATTGATTATACTAATACTACCAATATACAGTACCACAAACTAGCACTTCCAATAAACCGTACTATGTAGTACTGTAGTACTGTTTAATACTGTCATGGGAGTACTGTAGTACTACAGAAGTTCTAAAGTAGTGCAGTAGTATTTATATCTATGTCTTGGTTTCACAGTAAATCTCGCTCTCAAACGGCAGTGGATCAAACAAATCTGTGGATCTCCACTAAAGCCTGAAGCTCTTATGTCCTACCTCCTACATCCTTTTCCTGTGTCCTAAAGATCTCTTCAGAACCTTCTACTGCTACCTCCTACATTCTGTGTCCTACCTCCTGCCTCGTCTCCTCCCTTTCTGCTGCTCTAAGATGCTGAAGCTACAATCAACAACTTTATTTAAGACTGTTTGAATGGATCTGGATCCCCTGAATCTGACCTGGGTCCTGTCTTGTTGCTCATGTTACACTGTGCTACATAAATAAAGATTTTCAAAGTTCACATTTCATATCTTTATGGAAAATTAAACATTTGAATAAAACTCAAATGAGGAAAAGAGCAGCATGACAGAATCTCCCCATGCTACCATGGCTGTAGTCCAGACACACTCCAATGGCCATGTTTGTAGTCCATACACATTCCAACTGCCATGTTTGTAATCCAGACACACTCGAGTGGCCATGTTTGTCATTTAAAAGGGGAGTTTTCTGCTTTTTCAAGTTTAGTTAAAATTCATACATTAAAATTACATTCTTCAACTTCTGTAGAAACACAATTGTCCAGCTCATGATTTCAAACTGGTAAGAAGACTTTAAAAACATAGTGTACGCGAATAAAATGTCAAGACTACAAATATGGCCACCTGCTCAGTCACTGTCTCTGGTGTGGCGACCATGTTTGTAGTCTTTACGACTCCGCTGGTGATTGGGCATGATTTGGTTGTCGGTTGAATATCTCAGGACGGCGGCCACGTTTGTAGTCCACCTGCAGTCACACCTCCAGGCTCCACTGCTGGGCTTCTGATTGGTTGCAGATCGCTACACTAACGTAGCCTTTGGGTCCAGCCGGCTCTTGGAGTGAGAGGCACTGTCCCACAGAGACCTGGTACAAGCGGTGGGACTTCTGCAGCAGAACCACACATGAGAAACTTTTAGAATTCTAAATCTAACATGGTGGAGTCTAACTGAAGACAAACGGTCTTATTCAGAAGCAGAAATTTGCCCAGAGAGAGACCAGAGAAAGACCAGAGAGAGACCAGAGAGAGACCAGAGAGAGACCAGAGAGAGACCAGAGAGAGACCAGAGAGAGACCAGAGAGAGACCAGAGAGAGACCAGAGAGAGACCAGAGAGAGACCAGAGAGAGACCAGAGAGAGACCAGAGAGAGACCAGAGAGAGACCAGAAAGAGACCAGAGAGATCAGAGAAAAACCAAAACCAAATCCATAATTATTTTTGCCCTACAGAGTCTAGTGAAAGTGGAATGTTTAGAAGACATATTGTATTTTGTGCAATAAAGAAGACTGTCACTATTTGCCTCTTTGGGCTCAGAGCTGATTGGTTGACGTGGTTTGGAACTCACCAGACTCCACTGCTGAGAACCTCCGGAGCCGTGACACTTCATCAGTCTGGGAGGATCCGAGGTCCGGACTTCAGACACGTCTAAACACAAGAGACCAGCCAGGACCAGCTGCCCATCTTCATCTAAGGCCCAGACCTGAGACAGAAGGACGGGGTTTAGACCGAGATGAGACCAGAGACACAGAAAGGCTCTTCCATCTGTTTTTATGCCTTTCATTCAACCGTGTACTGTTAAACACATAAACTGCACACACTGAAAACACACACACACACTAATGGTTAGTGTTAGCCCGTGTACCTGGTCTTGGTCCCGTGGGTCACATGACCTCAGCACCACAGCGCCCCCTTTCTGTGACGTTCGACCTTGAGCCACGAGACACAAACCAGAGCCAACATTCTTCAGCTGCGACAGAGAAACACAAAAGTTAAACAGGAATACCAGAGAGAGACCATAGAGAGAGAGACCATAGAGAGAGAGACCATAGAGAGAGACCATAGAGAGAGACCATAGAGAGGGACCAGAGAGAGAAAGATCAGAGAGACCAGAGAGCGGAGACTAGAGATAGAGACCAGTGAGAGACCAGTGAGAGACCAGAGAGAGACCAGAGAGAGACCAGTGAGAGACCAGAGAGAGACCAGAGAGAGACCAGATTGAGACCAGAGAGAGACCAGAGAGAGACCAGAGAGGGACCAGAGAGGGACCAGAGAGAGAAAGATCAGAGAGACCAGAGAGCGGAGACTAGAGATAGAGACCAGTGAGAGACCAGGTCTGGTCCAGGTCAGGTCTGGTCACACACCTGTCCTCGCTGCAGTATCCTGGGTCTCCTCAGGGGGCGCTGTTGCACCATGGGGCCGTTCTTTTTCTGGCCCGCAGAGCTGAACATCTCGGGGTAAATGTTCTGCAAAAACCACTTAAAGGAGCGACACTGGAGCCGGCGCCGCAGCTGCACACGCTCACTGACGTCCCCGAAGGACCGACCAATCAGGTCAGGCCGCAGGGACAGGAACTGATCCTGGGAACAGTTACAGCTGAGGTACGTAACATTAAAGCTGAGGTACGTAACATTAAAGATGATCAGCTCAAAACATGCTGTCTTCATGTTTTGTGTGAGAAAGAGCCCCATCTGACTCTTTGGGCTTAGAGCTGATTGGCTGAGTGAGGGGGGTCCTCTCTTTTTCACTTTTCAGTCTGAAAAAGCTGATCTAAAGATGTGACAGATGCAAGAAATACCTGATTATGTGAACACTATTGATAGAAGAAACTGTTTTAGAGCCAGGAACTAGAGACATGGGTCTATTACAAAGCTCTATTGGTCTGAAGGTTACGTACCCCAGCTTTAAATGGGGACCTCAGACAGACCTTGTACTCATCCATCCACACGTGGGCCAGCCTCAGGGAGTTGTGGGCCATGGTGTCGGTGCCTCCAGGAGAACCGTACGGACGCCGCTTCCTGAAGATGTGTCCCACTCTGGAGCAGGGAGCGATGAGCAGCTGTCCACCACACATCCAGATCTGAGAGAGAGAGATCAGGAACAGGGATATAGACCAGTGAGAGAGACCAGAGAGAGAAAGACCAGAGAAAGAGCCCAGAAACCAAAACATAACAGTGAAACACATGCAGAGAGGCTGTGTGCTTCATCACAGAATGATGATCATTTCTGTACATTTCTGTACTCTTAAATGCCTCTGCTGGCCTTGTCTCAATTATATCCACTGGTTTCCATGGTTACAGGAGAGGTCCGGTTGTGTTCTCACCACAGTACAAAGCTCTCACCCTGAATGACAGCTCCAGGTTCTCCCCGCCCCAGATGTCCATCCCTGGGTCGTACTGCCCGAGCTCATGGAAGTACTGTCGGTCCATTGCAAACAAACCGCCAGCCATGGTAGGAGATCTGCAGAGAGAACACACTGACAGAAACCAGCAGAGAGAACACACTGAGAGAGAAACCAGCAGAGAGCACACACTGACAGAAACCAGCAGAGAGAACACACTGAGAGAGAAACCAGCAGAGAGCACACACTGAGAGAGAAACCAGCAGAGAGCACACACTGACAGAAACCAGCAGAGAGAACACACTGAGAGAGAAACCAGCAGAGAGCACACACTGACAGAAACCAGCAGAGAGAACACACTGAGAGAGAAACCAGCAGAGAGCACACACTGAGAGAAACCAGCAGAGAGCACACACTGACAGAAACCAGCAGAGAGAACACACAGAGAGAGAAACCAGCAGAGAGCACACACTGACAGAAACCAGCAGAGAGAACACACTGAGAGAGAAACCAGCAGAGAGCACACACACTGACAGAAACCAGCAGAGAGAACACACTGAGAGAGAAACCAGCAGAGAGCACACACAGACAGAAACCAGCAGAGAGAACACACTGAGAGAGAGAACTGCAGAATCACAAGTTGCTCAGATGTTCCACAAGGGACCCAAGGGTCGAAGCTTGGAACAATTTTTTATTACAACAGTATCTGTTGCCTTTGGGTCGATAATCTAATGTAGGAAGTAGCAGTAGCAGTAGCAGTAGCCATATCAGTCATAGTAGCAGTAGTAGTAGCAGCCGTAGTTGTATAGCCTTACCCTTGTGGTTCGCTGAGTGTCACACAAGGGTCTGGGATTTCTCGATAAGAGATATACTTCAGAAGATAAAACAATTCTTGTATGTGATTGGATAAACCACTTGTCTGTTATTTTGAATGACGTGCTACTTAAACGACTCACATTGAAGCACATGATTCAGCGCACAACTCCCATGGGTTGCCAGTTGCTGGCAAGATTTTCCAGCCCAAAACCTGCGACAATGCCCTCCCCCCCAAAAAAACCCAGAATGATTGTTTTGTGTAATTATTACCTACAAGTCGCTTGGAACAAAAGTATTCGGGAAAGGCAAGGCAAGGCAAGTTTATTTGTATAGCACAATTCATACACAGGGCAACTCAAAGTGCTGACCAAAAATAAGAAACATAAATAATCACAGTACATTAAAAAGATAAGATAAAAATATAAAATAAACAATCCCTCAGTTGTATGCACAGCTAAACAGAACGTTTTTTAACCTGGTTTTAAACACAGTCAGAGAGGAGGAAGATTGTTCCAGATTTTTGCGGCATGAATCTGAAAAGCAGCCTCCCCATGTTTAGTTCTGACTCTGGGCACTAACAGGAGTCCAGTCCCTCTGCTCCTCAGAGTCCGGGCTGGTTCATATGGGACTAACATGTCACTAATATATTTTGGTGCTAGGCCATGGAGAGACTTGTAACAAGCGGAGCTGTTTTAAAATCTATTCTCTGAGCCACAGGAAGCCAGTGCAGAGACCTGAGAACTGGACTAATGTGGTCGTACTTCCTGGTTCTAGTCAGGACTCGAGCTGCTGCATTTTGAATGTACTGCAGCTGTTTTACAGCCTGTTTGGACAGACCTGTGAGCAGGCCATTGCAGTAGTCTAACCTACTGGAGACAAATGCATGGATAAGAATCTCCAGGTCTGCTTTAGACACTATGTTTTTGATCCTGGCAATGTTTTTTAGATGGTAAAAAGCAGCTGATGTTACTGATTTAAGGTGGCTATTAAAATTTAAGTCTGAGTCCAGTATTACCCCTAGATTTCTGACCTTGTTTGAAGGTTTTAGGGAGAGGGACTGGAGGTGACCGATGACGCTCTCGCTTTGTTTCTGGGGACCAAAGACAATCATTTCAGTTTTGTCTGCGTTTAGCTGAAGGAAGTTGTTTTGCATCCACTCACTGATCTGTTGGATTGAGTGAAGGAGTGAGTCCACTGGTCCATGTTCTCCTGCAGTCAGTGAGACATAGATCTGAGTGTCGTCTGCATAGTTATGATAGGACACTTTGTTTCTGTGTATTAACTGACCTAACGGCAGCATGTAGAGATTGAACAGAAGAGGTCCCAGGATCGACCCCTGTGGGACTCCACAGGTCAGGGCCATATGATCTGAGACACAGTTTCCAATCTCCACAAAGTACTTCCTGTCTTCAAGGTAAGACCTAAACCAACTTACGGCGGTTCCAGCGACACCAACCCAGTCCTCTAATCTCTGTAAGAGGATATCATGGTCGACAGTGTCAAAAGCTTTTTCAAGGGCTTTCCCCATAAATGGCAGATTTGAGATGGGACGATAGTTGTTAAGTACGGTAGCATCCAGACTGCTCTTTTTTAGCAGGGGCCTGATGACTGGAGTTTTCAGGGCGTTTGGGAATATTCCAGAATGAAGGGACATGTTTACTATCTGTGTGAGTGAAGGTAACAGACTGCTCAGAACAGACTTCAGAAATCTAGTGGGTAGTACATCCAGGCTGCATGTGGAGGAGCTCAGACTTGTGATTATCTCTTGGACAGTTTGATCATTTACAGGTGCAAAGTGAGTTAGCTCAGAGAGCCTTTCTGGCTGTTGGATGGTTATCTGTGGATTGGAGACAATGGTGTTTTTGATGCATTGAACTTTGTCATTGAAAAAATTTGCAAACTCATTGCATTTATGTTTGGAAGTTAGCTCTAATGGCATCTGAACAGGGGGTTTGTTAATCTATTAACTGTAGAAAACAGAACACGCAGATTGTTACTGCAGCCTTCAATCATTTCAGAAAAATACCTTTCTCTCGCACCCGGTTAAACTCGCACAACTTATCTTTGAAGATCTCGTAATCAACCTGGAGGTTGGACTTCCGCTCGGCCCTCCGGCACTTTCTCTTTTGTGCCCTGACCGAGTCTGCTTTAGCCCACGGCGCCTTCTGCTTATTTTTCACTATTTTAACCTTCACAGGAGCGATGGTGTCCAGAACATTCAAAACACTAGAGGTGACAGAGTTAAACAGTTCATCTACAGTAGAACACGATGCATTCTCAAACTTTATCATTCCCATAAATATTTCACCCGTATTTTCATTTATGCGTCTTCTTCGAACAACTGCAGTGTCTTCTGGTGGTTTGTTAGTGAAACACATGTCAAAAAATACACAAAAATGATCCGAAAGAGCAACGTCAACTATGTTTAAATTTGCAATATTCACCCCCTTAGTAACTAACAGATCTAGAGTGTGCCCTCTGCTGTGGGTGGGGCCACTCACGTGCTGAGTGAGACCAAAGGATTCAAGTAAAGAACTCAGCTCTTTTGCATTTCTGTCATTAACATTATCCACATGAATATTAAAATCACCTGTAATAACCAAACTATCAAAATCTGTGCATACAACTGAAAGCAACTTGGTAAAATTATCAATAAAATTGTGACATGACTGCGGTGGCTTGTATAGGACTATGAAGAGTATTGGAGGAGATTGTTTTTGTTGCATTTTAAAAGACATATATTCAAATGACAGAAACTTCTCAGGAGACATTTTACGTGAGAAAGTGGTCTCTAAAAATTGCAGCTATGCCTCCTCCCTTTTTGTTTTCCCGAATTTCCGATTAAAATTTGAAATTTGGTGGTGATGCTTCTATTAAGACTGCATTTCCTGTATTTTGGTCAAGCCATGTTTCAGCCATGAACATAAGATCAAGATTATGAGAACAAATATAATTATTTATTAAAAAAGACTTACAAAGAGATCTGACATCAAGCATGGCAAGTTTCAAAGTGTCAGCGTCAGCGGTTGCGGTCGGCTGATTCATACACGGAACAAGAATTAGATTTTCATGATTAGACTGATTAACTCCAGATGTTTTTCTGTTATGTTATATATTATGTTATATTATGTTATATATTATACAATAATGTATTGTGTTATGTTGTATATTATGTTATATATTATGCTGTATGTTATGTTGTGTATTATATATGATATATATGGTATGTATGGTATATATGATGTATATGATATATAATATATAATTAGGTTTGCTTGGATCGGTTTGCACACCTGGTGTGCAATCCATGAATCTCTTTATTCAAGGCTAGGTTTAAAACAGTCCTCTTTAGTTTAGCATACGGCTAGGAGGGTAAGACTCTGGGAAGGCTAAACTCCTCAGAGTGTCAGTCAAGCTGCATAGGGAGTCAGTTTGCTGGGAGAAGTATGGTAACTTGAGCACTATCCTCTCCTCCTTCCTACTTTATCTACTTTATCTGTTTAGCACTTTTAGGATTCTGACTGTAGTTTGTTCATTGCTATTCACCCGTTGTCCCATTGTCTGTTTCATGGTACGATGACGGGATCTCTTTTTTTTTTTTTTTTTATTAAGTGATACATAGACATACAAAAGTGATACATAGACATACAAAAGTGATACATAGACATACAAAAGTGATACATAGACATACAAAAGTGATACATAGACATACCAAAGTGAAAATGGTTGGTACAACAGCAAAAAGAACAAAACATGGGGGACATAAAACATGGGGACATACAAAGAGATACACATATTGAGACAACATGAAACATTACACATGTGCGGTGTGTGTGTGTGTCTGTGTGGTGTGTGTAAAAACATTGAAGCAGTGACAGAACATGGGGACAAACAAAGAGATACAAATATTGAGAGAACATGAAACATTACACAATGGGCGGTGTGTGTGTATGTGTGCGTGCAAGCGTGCGTGCTAGAAAGAGAAAAAAAAAAGAAAAAATACATAAAAATAATAAACAACAAGTCAATTAAGAAGATCATCAACACCAACATTATTTAATACGATTTGAATTTATGTTTTATGAGTTAAGAGATACTCCAGCCTCCACCTTCTTTGCCTGTTATCTGCTGTCTTTATGGATTGTGTGTGTGTGTGTCTAAGATGCATTAAAAAGGACATGATTGGAGTGTTGGAGCAGCGGTGCTGCTTCAAGTTCTCCTCATGTGTCCTGAATCCCTTGCCATGTGTGTATATGTTTATTTATTTTTCCCTTATTTATTTTTTTTGCAAACAACTGAAGGCTTTTATTATCCAAATAACTAATTGATGAATCAAATTAATAATTGTCCAACTAATTCATTATGAAGATAATAATAGGTCAATCTTAAGTAATTGTATGTGTCACATGTGTGTGTAGTCAAAACTTCTGGTATATCTTTTTTTTTTTTTTTTTTTTTTTACAATGTCTATAACCCACACACACACACACACGCGTGCACGCGCACACACGCTCACACGCACGCACACATATGTACGTAAATAATAATAATAACCATAATAATAACAACAACAACAATACAATACATTGCTATTAGTGTAAGCAATAATTCTAGGAAGGTGTTTTCTGTGTCTTGAGGTGCGGTGGTCCGAGGTTATTTATGAATAGAGTCCATGATTTAGTGAAGGCCGCCATATGCTTCTGCTTCTCTGCTGTTTGTTTTTCTAATAAAATATGGTCTCTGAGTATGTTGGTCCAGTGGTTGACGACGGTATGACGGGATCTCTGAGCCTGGCCTCCTCCATCTGCACCTGCGGACTGCCCCGCCCGACCCGCCTGGGAGTGCTTCGGTCCTGCACCGGACCTGTCCACGTTCAGCGGCCACTGGTCCACGTCCTGTAGCTAGCTTAGGTCCTAGATCATTAGCCTGTCCGTCCGGAGGAGCGGATCCCTTTCTCATATGGGTCTCCCTCCCTGTGGGTTTCCCTAGTGCTCCCCAAGGTTTCTCACTTTTTCCCACTGAGTTTTTTAAGAGTTTTTCCTTGTCGATGCAGGAGGGTCTTGTTGGACAGTTAGTGTCCAACAGAAAGGATTGGTGATGATCAGGACACTTTAGCATTCTACAACATGTATGGACATTTTCTTCTGTGTGTGCTTTATATTCTTCATGTGTTTTAACTGTTGATTCTCTGACCTGTGTTGGTGATTTCAATGGTTTTGTTAAGTCCTCTGAGATGACTTCTGTTGTGACCTAGGGCTATACAAGAATAAATTGTATTGTATTGTGTATGTATTCTTTGTGTCATCACTAAGGGAATGGCACAGGTGGCTTCATGACAGGGCCCCAGCCGGCCGGGTCTCTCCTCTAACTAGACTGCCAGTGGCTGCGAAGCAGAGACCCTGTGCATCCTAGTGTTTAGAGATAAGAGGGGAATGGGAAAGCGGGGGAGGGGGAGGAAGAGGTGGGTGGTTTTTGGGTGTTGGACGAGGGGGACGGGTAGGTAGAGGGGTTTTTGGTGATGGGTTAGGGGACGGGTCGGCTGGGGTGGAGGTATTGGGTGTTGAGCGAGGGGGAATTGGGGGTGGATTGGTTATGAGGTTAGGGGAGGGACGGGCTGAGGTGGTTTTTGTAGGTGAATCAGTAGAATTGGAAACCCTAGGTGGTTTTGGAGGTACATATGGGGAGTGGTTTTGAATGTTGGACAGGACTCTGGATTTAGCTAATATGGGTGTGAGAGGAATGGTCTTCATAGCTGATTTTATTAGCCCTGCAGAGTGTTCAGGTAGGTCTAACAGTGAAGGCAGGGATGGAAAACAGAGGGAAGTGTCCCCATTCTCTCTTGATGGAGTGGACGTGGCAGGGGGGACCCAAGACAGGTCCACGGGAGGTGAAGAGGGAGCCTTTGGTGGAGGGGCAGGTGGTTGAGAAGACCCCAGCACAGGCCTGTCTGCTGTAACTTGGGGGGAGGATGGGGGCTTCAGAGGAGCTGTAGGTGGAGAAGGCGTGAGTGCTTCGGAGCAGGCTGGGGATGAGGATGATGAGGGTGCTGGTGGTGCTGTTGGTGCTGCTACTGGTGATGATGCAGCTGCTGCTGGTGAAGGTGGAGGTGTTTAAATCCTTCGAGGCGGTGGTGGTGGTGCAGAGACCTTTGGAGCCGGTGGAGATGTTTGTGTTGTTGCCGGAAAAGCACTTTGCTTATTTCTCCCTTTCGATGGCTGCATGCCCTGCGCAGGCTGAGGCCTCAGGGCAAAAGAAAGGTTATCCATCAACACCTTTACTCCGTAAGTGTTCAGATGTGGCCCTTTTCCCTCAAATAGCTCATGCCTATTCCAGAACAGATTAAAATTCTCTATGAAGGCAAGTCCTCTGCGTGAACATTCATTGAGTAGGAAAGTATTTAGCTGGTACAGACGACTGAATTTCATTTGCTTCCGGTCCTCATTTGGTAGTGGTCCATTGATACCAATTTTGAAGTCAATTTTTGCAAGGTTGTCCAATAAAAGAAAAAAATCCTGTTTCAACTTTTCACTGGTCATTTCATAGACATCTACTGCCCCCGCGTGGATCAACAAGCTGTTTACACCACGATGTTCAGCTTTTTACTCAATAGTCTTATCTCGTCGACCTTGGCAGAGTGTACGGAAAATGTCTTCACCCCCCGTATGTTTACATTTTTTAGAGCGCCATCCCCGATAAGGAGGGACACAGCAGCATTTGACCTTGACTGAGACTGAGACGCTACTGCTGATTCAGCTTCCAAAAGTGTTGAAAAGCGGTTTCTTGTATTTAAAGTATTATTAGTAGTATTATACCCAGAATTATAAGTAGTATTAGTAGTAGTAGTACTAGCGACAGTAGTAGCAGCAGCAGTAGTTGTAGTGATCGTACCTGATGGGTTTGGTGGCCCCTCCCAGCTCGCTCGGTGGAACTGGGTCCCATCTGAAGTGCAGTCCCCAGTTGAACCCACCCCTCACAATGGGGGAAGGGCTGTAGGTCAGAGTGTCCGCTGAGATGATGTCGATGACTGGACAAACCACCGTCCTGCGATCAGTGGAGACCAAAGAGAGCAGTGGCTCCATCCAGAGCACATTCACCTCACAGTGAGAGTCCAGGAAGACCAGGACCTCTCCTGTAACAGACCAGAGACCAGTGAGAGTTTCCTTCAGAGCGGCTCACACACACAGCAGAGACAGTAAATGTGGAAGGATGTGGAGCTCAGGTTAGAGCCACTGTGTCACTGACCTGTGGCGTGCTGTGCTCCGACCATGCGCCCACGGATCAGTCCTTCTCTTTTCTCATTTCGCACCAGTTTCACTCTGGGCTCAGAAGAAACGTACTGCTGCAGCTCTCCCTTCAGGTCATCTGCAGAGCAACAGACCATTAACAAACTGTAAGAGAGACCAGAGACCAGAGCTGGTCAGAGACCAGAGAGAGACCGGAGAGAGACAAGAGGTGTTTAAATAGCATCTATAGTTTGCTGGTTGGGACTAGGTAGTAAGTAATCTTTATTTATATACCACCTTTTCACTGCACATCAGAGTCTCAAAGCGGTTTACAATTGTTATTTTTAGGAGGCGCAGGCCAGACCTATTGTATATATTTTTAGTGGTAGGGGAAACCGGAGTACCCGTAGGAAACCTACGCAGACACAGGGAGAACATGCAAACTCCACTCAGAAAGGCCCTGGTCCGACAGGGATTTGAACCCAGGACCTTCTTGCTGAGAAGCGAGAGTGCTATCCACTCAGCCACCGTGCTGAGTGGTGCTTTTAGTGCAGTAAGATGGCAGTTTATGTGTCAGCAGCAGGAGTGTGGTCTGACCGAGCTCGCTGTGGTCATCCACCAAGATGATCTCGTGCAGCAGCTCGGGAGGGGTTCGCTCCAGGACACTGTGGACGGTCCGGAGCAGAGCAGAGAAGGCTTCGTTAAAGAAGCAGATAACAACTGAAGCTGAGGGCAGAGAGGGCGAGAAGGACTGCTGAGCACACCTGCAACACAGGGGAAAGGGCACTTTAGAACTGGGCAACTGGGTAGCTTTTTCAGACAGAATAGTGAAAACGAGAGGACCACCCTCTGCTCTCAGCCCAAAGAGTCAAATAGTGACTCACAGGGCTCTTTCTTACAAACTACATGCATAATTCACAGCAGTAGTAATAGTAGTAGTAGCAGTAGCAGTGTCACCCCTGTACTCACTGTGGCCCCCTGGTGTCTGGGATTGGTCGGTGTGGTCCGAGTCTGTTGGAGATCAGAACATTGAAGGCGTGTCTATGGTAACCGCTGTCTCGCACTTCCTGGTCGCGCTCATTAAAAATCATCCCTGAAATAAAACAGAACATGTGAAAACTCGGTAGTAATGTTGACAAAGCACCGCGACCATCTAGTGGTGAAGGAGTGACTTACAACCATGGATCTATTATGATAACTCGATAGGGTATTAATGGTTTATAGCTGTCCCACATATGGGCATAGAGGGCACCCGAGGTACTGCAGCTTAAATTCACCAGGGCTACCCAGAAAAATGTCCAATAGAACTATTGCTGTGGCAGTTTTTAGACGTAGCACTGACACTATGGTGTAACATCACTTTAGCTTTATTGCGAAAAGAAGCCGGCTTCCACCATAAGAACAGTTTCTTCCCTTCTGCTGTTGGACTCATGAACACTTCATGAACCATCACTGACCTCTGCCCTTATGACACTTTATGCTACTGTCACTTTACTGCACTCTACCGCACTCCTAGCGGTATATGGTGTGCATTCTTGATCTTATTCTCCTTAAACTTATTAGCACCGAGAGCCAAAGCAATTTCCTAGTTTGAGACTTCCTGTTACTCACAAGGCAATAAAAGGATTCTGATTCTGTTAAGTTGTAGCCAATTTCTTTATAAGGGCATTTGTTACAACGATGTTAGCTTTAGCTGACGTGCAGATCCATGGTTGCGGGTGATATTGCAAGCTGGAGTTCCCCCATGGATACTATCTTATAGTTGTCCCACCCATGGGCACAGGGGGCGCCCGTGGTACTGCAGACTGAATTCTCGCGGGCTACCCAGAAATTTTTCCCATAGATCTCGATGTAAACTAAAACAGCTCAACCTCGGCTGACAGAGAACCTACAGCTTTCATAAAGGTCGGATTTTGTGGGGACTTTAGTGTCCCTTTTGTTCTAGTTAAAGCTGGACTAACTCACTTTTTGACTTTGAAGCAGCAGTTTCAAATGTAAGCGCTGCCCTCGCTCTTTCTGCTCCCTCCCCGCACTTACAAAACTTTCGCCCCCACTACCTCCTCCCACTCAAGCGCGTGCCCGTGTGCTGTAGTTTACGGAGCTGAATACGTCTTTTGTTTTAGCCCAAAAACAAATGGAAAGGTTGCAGGTATTTTTTGTTCCTCATTTGATTGCGTGCCTCAGTGTTAAAGTAGTCTCGTCAGCCGCGCTTCCCGCGTGCCTCTCTCTCGGTCCTTCAGACGCTTAGCCTCTCTCCGTTCTTGTAGGGACTTTCTTTTGGATGGTTGTTTCGTTGTATACGGTAACAAAGACATGGGAAGTTCCAAGTTCGCCTCCGCCATGATGCTTGTCTACCTCAGCTGTCTGTGCACGCTGACGAGACCTGTAGATTCTCTCTATAAAGTAGGGGCCAGTGGTCCGCTGTGGTCAAAATCTGGCCCCAAAATCAATTCTCTTCCACATTGCGCAAAAACTTAATCTAAAATAAAATTACACTCCAGTGTATACCAGCGCTACTGAATTTTCCTAATAAATACAAAATGAAGTGAGGTAGTCCAGCTTTAATTCCATCGGTTTTCTATAAACCCACACTTTAGTGCAACAAACTCTGCCCCTTTTTCCTCCCATTCTATCTCCGCTCTGATCAGCAGCGTACTGATCAGCAGCGTACTGATCAGAGCGCGCTGTGCATGTGCACGAGAGCCTCACATGCGTTCTCATTAGTATTTGGCGCAAAGCATCATAGGAGGTTGATCACTGCGCAGAACAGGGGGGACCAGAGCCATGACCAAATATGGGGAAATTCTGCTAATCTTCTAGTGTCCATAGTGGGGACATCTTTAATCACCGGGGCTTGCCTACAACCCCCAACACAAGACCCAGTACTGAGGCTGTAGATCTGAGACTATGCTTCAAAATACATGTATGTAATGTAATATGAAATAACAGCCTCAGTACTTACCCATCTCTGCTGACTGCTCCGCTCCCTGATTGGCTGGTGCAGCCCGTGGCCCCGCCCCTCTCCGGTCTAGGATGCCACTGATTGGTTGAGAGCTGCGATTGTGGGAGGAGCTTAGGTGGAAGTAGAGCAGGAGCAGGAGGGACCAGGTGAGCGAGGTCAGGAGGACTCCGTAACAGAAGAACCTCACAGTCAGAGACATGGTGAATGGCGTCCGGGTTAAACGCCGCGGCAGGAAGACAACATCACAGCCTTGGGCACCACTGCCACCTGGAGGACAGAGCAGGGACTACTGCCACCTGGAGGACAGACCAGGGACTACTGCCACCTGGAAGACAGAGTGAGAACAACAGAATACAAATTAATTAGTCTAAAGTTTTGAAAAAATGTCCCGTAAAAAGCTTTAGTTATCTGCTGTTAAACCTATTCAACTCACGATGGCCCTCACTTATGAAACTTGCCCAGAAAAGGGTGTATATTCCATATACACAAGATCCAATGTAAGATTTATGAACGTGTGAGATCCGTCCAGATCTGAGCGTAAACGAACATATTTTTGAAAGTCACGTCTATAAAAATGCCACCATTGCCTGTTTCACGCCCCGTTTTTACGACATGCTGAATGGAAGACTGTTTGGAAGCCTCAAAAGGCATGTGACACGCAATCCTGAAGAGTTGAGTTTGTTCATGTTTGTTTAAAAGGAAATATTGAACAAATTTGCAAAACTTTTTTGATACATCGCAAAAAGATCTTTTGAACTTTAGAAGTAAATAAATAAATAATTGATTAATTTACATAAATATCTCGGCCTCAGCGGTAATTCTCAAAATGAACTGGATGAAGCATCTGCAGCATCTTCTTGTGAATTCAATGGATCGATCTCTGTTCACGTGAGAGAGGATGAGAAGCTTTTGGGAAGTAGTGGTCCATGATTTGACAGAGAAACTCTGGATCCAAAACTTCTGAATGTCGTGCACTACATTTGAGGAGTTTTGCGGTGGGACCTGTCGTGGCACCCGCTGCACAGACCCATAAGCCCGTTCCTACAGATAAGCGCATTGCCATCCTATCTATAAACTGCTACATGTGGACAGGGCAGTGAAACATTTGGAGTGAGCTATACCACAGTCCATTAGTGCGTGTATGGGATGTGTGAGGCTTTCACAAAACTAATGAAAAAATACATTGCTTTGCCAGATGTAAATGAGGCAAAACAAATAGCCATGCGCTCTATTCAAATGAATGGCTTCGGCTCAGTAGCGCATGGAACATCACGGGCCCTGACATTGGCGGAACTCGCCTATATTCGGGCATTGTCTGGTCCTCCCGTTTCTGCGCAGTGGACGAGCTCCCATGATGCGTTGCGCCAAATACGCGTGTGTGGCTCTCATGCACGTGCACAGAGGCGCTTGGCTGCGTTTTGACCAATCAGAGCTGTTGATCAGAACAGCGGTAGAGTGGAGCCAGAGTGGAAGGAAAAGAAGCAGAGTTTGTTGCAGTAAAGTGTGGATTTAAAGAAAACCGAAGGATTTAAGAAGAAAAAAAGTTCAGGATGACAAGGGACACTAAAGTCCCCACAAAATACGACCTTTATGAAAGCTGTAGGTTCTCTGTCAGCCGAGGTTGAGCTGTTTTAGTTCACATTGAGATCTATGGGGAACATTTCTGGGTAGCCCGCGTGAATTCAGTCTGCAGTACCACGGGCACCCCCTGTGCCCATGGGTGGGACAACTATAAGATAGTGATACCCTATCCAGTTATTATTATAGATCCATGGGGGAACTCCAGCTACAATATCACCCGCAACCATGGATCTGCACGTCAGCTAAAGCTAACATCGTCGTAACAAATGCCCTTATAAAGAAATTGGCTACAACTTAACAGAATCAGAATCCTTTTATTGCCTTGTGAATAACAGGAAGTCTCAAACTAGGAAATTGCTTTGGCTCTCAGTGCAAATAAGTTTAAGGAGAATAAAATCAAGAAGGCATGCTTAAGAAAAATCTAAATACATTTTTTCAGTTTATTATATACAAGTGCACACAATATACCGCTAAGAGTGCGGTAGAGTGCAGTAAAGTGACAGTAGCATAAAGTGTCATAAGGGCAGAGGTCAGTGATGGTTCATGAAGTGTTCATGAACCAGCAGAAGGGAAGAAACTGTGGCGGAAGCCGGCTTCTTTTCGCAATAAAGCTAAAGTGATGTTACACCATAGTGTTAGTGCTACGTCTAAAAACTGCCACAGCAATATACCTTCATTTTAATACTACGCTGTTTTTGCAATTGTGTAAACAACAATGTAACTGCAAGATGGCCGCCACGGTTACCACAGCAACACAAACCGCGCTCCTCTAAGCTACATTATACAGTAATGGGCACCGTTAGCTTCGTAAAAATGTGACTTGTTGAGACAGATTTAAATATTTTCTGAGCCTGAACTAATCTCGTGTTTGTCCTGCATCTGAAAATCAGTGTACATGTTCTGAAAATGTTATAAAGGCGCTGACGATGTGCTCTAAAGGCAGAATGGGAATAGCCGAAGCTAACATGCTAGCAACGCTAACAGGACAAAACTTATTGAATTTTTAAATAAGTTTGAGTTGAAGGTCAAATTGTTTTAAGCCGAATTATTCACAGATTAGTAAACAGTGCATTCATGGAGCAGGCATAATGTGTTACCTCAACAAACAGTGTGGAAATCGGCACACACAGAATTCTGTCAGTGGAATTACAGATGTGGGATGTTGATATGTTGGATTGTAACATGGCATGGGTACATTTCTGCGTAAAAACATCACAAACTGTGCATTTTGCACGATAACAGCTATAAACACGAATGACAGGTCGCTGCTATAAACTCCTCCAGCTGTCGCACTATTGCACAAAATCAAGAAGGATTTGAAACGTGACATTTCCGCCGAATTCTTCACTGCCTAACGCACAATCCTCAGAACTTTCACAGAAGCACGATTTACAAACTCGTCTTGTGTGACCCCGCTGTTTGTGTTAAAGACTGGCTTTTGTGGACGCGGTTCGGATCCGCCCGGGGACATGCACAGACCTCAGTGATAGATGGAGTTTTACTAAATAATAACATAAATAATGCAATGACTGCAGCTGTAAACCTGACATTACAGAAGTCACACACCGCTGCGCAGCTACAGACTGTAATGACACATACATCGCAGAACACACAGGGAGCAGGGGAACAGGGTGCACTCGGGGTGGTGTGGAGGGAGGGGTACGGGGGGAAACTGGGGGTACCTCTGCAGGATCGGTCCACGAGCCACAGGTCCCGCTGATCATGTGACGATGACCGGCCACAGCTGCTGACGTCACCCGCAGACGTCACAGAATATTCATGAAGTCCAATCGTGTTAAATCCTGGATCTATAATAATAACGCATGAACGTTCGTCTTATCTGAATATTTTAATTCAAAAACACCAATAACATTAAGAAACAAATAAACATTTGTGTTTAATGACATTTAAAAACATTTAACAGTTGTGTTGTAAGCATTAAAAAACATAAACAATGTGTTTATTTTAACCTTTAAACATGTTTTCACACTACTGTTGATTGCACAATTTGAGTGATTCTACCCATTCCAAAAGTGACATGTAAATTTCTCCAGTGTGAGATCTATAAAGTCTATCTTATCTTATCTTAAAGGTTGCGCTCTTCATGTTCCAGTCCATCCTATTCCTATGCACATGTGTGATAACAATTTGAGTTCTGTCCTCAATCCACAATCAGACCCTAATTATTTATTTTACAGCATTGGTTTCCAAATCAGTTTTTGAGTAAGTCCAGGACAGTTCCCGTGTCCGTGTAGTTCTGGAACCGTCTCAGTGAAGTGTATCAGACATAGATTGTTTTGTTGCAGATGAACAGATTCATTCAAACAGAGGCAAAACCCTGTGAAAAATATCGAGGCGCTTTCTTCCTCTTCGGGTCAAATAGTGCGTCACATATTTACACCAAAAATCACATTTTGTCCAAGTCGACATGATCCTAACACTTTTAGTCATTAGTCACTCGGGGCTGGATTTGGAGCTGGCTGCGCGCTGTGATTCGCTGTTTTGAAATTGTCAATCTCCACCTGGATTATAGTACCATTATTATTTTCATTATTTTTGACAACAGACAGCATATTTACTGTTTATTGTTTTCCCAGTTTTGACGACATTATTTCACTTTGTGAAATTTTCGAATGTGAACGCTGGCCTCGCTCTTTCGCTTTTGAATTTTCATAATGAATACAAAAATAAAGTGAGGTAATGCAGCTTTAAGAACCATTTAAAATACAAAAGAAAACTAGTTTCTGCGCCTCATATTTGTCATCAATGTGGAAATCGTCACAGATGGGCGTTTCGCTGCCTCTTGAGGGTGAAGGAGAAAGATCGCTCTCAAACTAAAGCTTGAAGGAATCAATGAAAAAACTACTCTGGGCATGTGTATGAAGGCCAAACAGCACTGTGTTTCAAGCAGAGGAAATTCAAAAAGCGTAATATGGGACCTTTAATCTTCAGCTGTAGAGGACACTGGGTTGAGGAGCAGGAGCAGGACTGAGGGCTACGGGAAGACCAGGGACAGCTCAGAGAGGCCAGGGAGAGAGCAGACAAGTTTTCTTCCAACTTTAAAAAAAGGTAACTGTCATGTTATACCTGCAGTTGTATGTTATTGTTGGAGTATACTGTAAAAGAACAGTGTAAAAATACAATTGCACAAATCATCCGCTTAACAATGAAAGGTGAACTGTAGTGAGAATTAGTTCAAAAAGAAACATGCAGTAAGCTATTCCGCAAGTATCGGTATTCCCAAGAGAAAGGAGTAAGAACACAGACACCTGCAGTGACACAAGTTTATTTTAACACACAACACACTTCACAAAAAACATTCTAAAGTCTGAACACGACAATAGAAAGGGGCAAATGCAGAAGGTTCAGGATTTCACAGCAATTGTGTGAAACAGAAGACACTACAACTATTCAAAGTGGTTGTCACAGGTGCGGCCAGCAGGGGGTGTACGGGAGTTCAGGGAAAGCCCATTTTAGTAAGTGCTGTAGTACCAGAACTGAACACTGGAAGGTGTTCCTAATAAGGGCGAGATCAGAGTTGAGTTCTATATAAATATATTAAATTCCTCTGTATCCAGCTGATGTACACACACATACGAGATTCAACCAGTTCAACAAACTTCAAAGTTCTCTCTCTCTAGTCTCCCTATAGTCTCTCAGTCACTATAAGGTGTCGCTCTCTGATCTCTCTTTGGTCTCTCTCTGGTCTCTTGTTGCCTGAGCTTTACCTTGTTTGCATACTGTTGTCATGTTACCAACGATAAAGTTATAATATACAAATACATATGTCACACTTTATATTTCAAGTTTATAAAGTAAAGGATCAGAAGTCAGAGGTTATTACACTTTACCCTCAAACTGAATAAAAGATTCTGAAACTTATTTAAAATCAGCATTTGTGAGACTTGATCAGGTCTTGGATCAGGCCTCGGATCAGGTTTCGGGGGCCGGTCTCTGGTGTCGGGTCAGTTGCTTTGGACGTAGTTGGCGGGCAGCATGCCGGACTGGCCGGTCCTCTGTACGGTCCCATACATCCAGCCCTGGTCGATGAGCTGAGCGTTTAAGATCAAGTCTCCGTCTCTGAACGAAACCTCATCATGATCCTGAGCCGAGTAATCGTACAGAGCTCTGTACACACACTGTAACACACACACACAGACAGTCCTGGTTTAGTCCTGATTCAAAGCTGATTGAGTCCTGGTTTAGTCCTGGTTCAGTCTTGTTTAGTCCTGGTTGAGTCCTGGGTTGTAATCTTGGTTCAGACCTGGTTCAATCCAGGGGGAGAGGTCACAGATCTCACAGAGGAGAGGCTGGTCTGACGCATGTAGCTGTGCTGCTGTTGTGCTGCCACCTGCTGGTAGGCCACAGGAAGGACAGGAGCTGCACAGACACACACCATGAGACATACATCAAATCAACAGCAGGGGGCGCTATTTCACAGCTCTTGTTCACTCCAACTTTGAGCTGGGGCACATAACTTTCAGACCTCAACAAGCCTCACTCTGATCTCTATCTGATCCCACTCGGGTCTATTTCTGGTCTCTTTATGGTCTCTCTCTAGACTCTCTGGTCTCAGTTTGCTTCTATTGCGTATTATTGGCCTCTGTCACATATTTAGATTCAATTTTTCAGACAGAAAAGTGAATCAGAGAGGATAGTCAAACACACAGGGCTCTTCCTTACACAAAAGATACCATACACCAGCTTTGAATGAATTACTACAAAAGGTGAATGAAACACGCGTGAATTTGGGTTTTCGGTGGTGGGTTATTTCACACGCTTTATACCCGAGTCCGCGCTGCTTTGGTCCCACAGCTCAGACGACGCACTCTGAGACCGGCTCTGTCTGCGATCCACTCGTTCTGGAGGACACACGAGGACTCAAGGTTAAAGGGCAGACCAGGACCGGTCTGCTTCAGTCTGGCTTAAGTCCTGCTTCACTCCTGATTCTGTCTTGGTTCAGTCTTGGTTCAATCCTGGTTCCGCCTGGTTCCATCCTGGTTTAGTCCTGCTTCAGATTTGGTTCAGACCTACTTCAGTCCTGGCTGAGTCCTGGCTCAGCCCTGCTTCAGTCCCGGTTTAGTCCTGGTTCTGTCCTGTTTAGTCCTGTACCAGAGACACGCCGCAAACTCCTGGACTGGATGTGGTCTTCCAAAGGGTCCAAGTCAAAGATGGATCCTGGATCTGTTCTCCAAACCTTCAGGTCTTCACACAAAACACTGTATCACAAAACTGTAGCTTTGAGGAGTGACAGAAACGTCACCACGGGAATAGTCAAAGAGTAAGTTTTAAAGTAATATTTGTAGTGTGTGTCTTTTATACTTAAAGTAGGCATATCTCTCTCTGGTCTCTCTGCTAGGTAGTTGCTAATTTCCATCTGAAGTCCCACAGTCGCACTCACAAACACACGCTCATTCAATCCTCACTAGAGTTGCACGACACATTGGTATAAATATTAATATCGGCCGATGTTCATCATTTTTTAATCTTTTAAAGTCCTCCGAGGGACAGGAAGTAAATCTCCCCATTAAGAACAATGTAAAAATTCACTGATTCCAAGAAAAACTGCTCTCTGTGGTGTGTGCAGTTGTGGCAACTACTCGTATCAAGTGGAGCACTTATCGAGTCTCTATTTTGTTATAATGTATTTCTCTCTCACACATTTATTCCAATGAGTTTAACAAATTGGAATAAGTTAAAATGACAAATGGAAAACTGAATCTCTCTGGTCTCTCTCTCTGCAGCCTGCAGGGCCCCTGATGTGAGATGTATGGTGATGAAGTGGCAGAGATCAGAGCCAAACTGACAGTTGTAGAGAACACTGACCCATGATGACGCCTCCAGGCCGTCTGTCCGTGTCGGTGTTCTGGGGGTGTGTCCCTCGACTAAAGCCCGCTCCCCCAATCATCTGATTGGCTCTGTGGTACCGCTCCATCCCTGGCTCATCCAATCCCAGCGCAGACCCTCTACCGCGGGATCGGTCGAAGTCCTCGTGGTACTTGGCCTTAAGGAGGAGACCAGCAGAGGTCAGTAAACACACACATACAAACTCACACACCCACACACACACACACACACACACGGTGCATGAAGCCAGAGCAAAATCACAAAATGTGAGATCAAACCTGGAGTCTTCACTGGAGCGACTACAAAACAAACACAAGGGTTAGTGCTGCTGGTTTTGACCCAGTTTAGTACTGGGTTAGTCCTCGTTTAGACCCGGGTTAGTCCTGGTTTATTTCGGTGCTCAGTAGATCTCCATCCGGTGCTCCCATCCCGCAGTGGTTGTGGTTACCATGGAGACGGCATCCTGGCTGCGCCGCACTCGTCTGTACTCAGGTGTGTCCAGGTGAGATAGGCTCCGCCCCTTCAGCTCCTGCAGCCCACTGCGGTACTTCACCTGAGAGAGACCAAAGACCTGAGACCCAAGACCCAAAACTCGAGACCAGAGAGAGAGACCAGAGAGAGAGACCAGAGGTCCTGACTCACGTTGCTTATGTTCTCCTGGTTCCTTCGGACTCGTTGCATTTCTGGAGTATCCGTCACAGCGGTCCCTTGTCCGACCACGTCTCTGTACTGAACCTGAAACACACAGACCAGAGATCTGAGCTGCTGTTGATTTTATATACAACACACGTCGATGCACTTCTGTTTTCTGTCCTCCATGTATCAACATCTATGAAAATATGAATTTCTATATTTAATGATGAAATGTCTCCATAAAGTGTTTTTATACTAATGTTTTATATCAAAGTGTTTTTATATGATGTGTTATCATATTAGCCTGAGGTCAGAGAGTTTAAAGAGTTCAGTGCAGACAGCCTTGGAGTTTGTATCTCTATTGTTCTTTCGAAGAAGAGGGAGTCTTATCTCTTTCATGAAACTGTTTTGTAGGACATTGTTAGTGCACCTGGGAGTACTCTCAATACATTTTCAGGCCAGGAGGTATAGTTAATTTGGCTCAGCTCATAGGGTTAGTAAGGGATATAAGAGCTCAGAGAGTTTTGTATTAGTATTTGTATTATATTAGTATTTTGTGAAGAGAATTAAATTGAACTCTTAGTAACTTGGTCTTCTTTTCAAATTCTGAATCACGTCCTTGACAAAAGAGCCCAGAGAAAGAGACCAATGAGACCAATGAGAGGCCAGACTCACCTGGCTGTACTTGTGGGTGTTGTCCCGGGCCAGGACGGTCTCTGGAGTCTCAGCGACTGAAGACATGAGCCCACGCATCAACTTGGAGTCCCATGAGTAACGAAGCTGAGAGAGAACATATTAACATAAAGTAGAAGTAGTAATAGTAGTAGTAGAAGTTGCAGTAGCAGTAGCTGCAGTTGCAGCAGTAATAGTTGTGGTAGTAGCAGTAGTAGTAGCAGTAGTCAGTGTTGGGAGTAATATATCACAAAAGTAATGCAATTACTGTAATGTATTACTTTTTGCTGTAACGTAGTGATGTAAGGCAGCACAAATCAACAACAGGGTAATATTTACTCGGTACAAAGGTCGGGTAACGTGCGTAACAACATATTAACTATAATGTTTGCAAAAGAGGCCAATAGATGCGAGTCTGAGCTCTGGTTTGATCTTTAAAGCGTACAAAAAAAGAGGCAATACTACAGTAACAGTGATATGAGCCTCTCCAGAGTCCTGTTGGAAACAGAGGCCGACACTTGTCAATGGGCGTAAAATACGTGGACGATGAGCGGCGAGTTTTAAAACAGCTAAGAATGATGCACTTCTGACTGAGCCAGGACTGAATCTGAACCATAATTAACCAGTTTACCCCAAGTTTAATCAGAATCAGAAATAGTGACAATATAATGGCCCTCATTTATGAAACTTGCGCAGAATAGCGTGTATAATTCAAATACGGAAGAGCCAACGCGGGATATATGAAGGTGCGAGATCCGTCCAGATCTGAGCGTACGCACAGCGGCTGTTGATGAATGGCGCGGCTGAAAACAAACGTGTTTATGAAAGTCACGCCTAGAAATATGCAGCAACTGTTTCACACCCTGATTTTACGACAATTGAGAGGAAACGGCAAAGAAAAAAGACATTCACGGATCAGGAGGTTGAGACCATTATGAACGAAGTGAAAAAAAATAAAGTCTTACTATTTGGAAGCCTCAAAAGTGGCATCATCAAGGGGCTCAAAAAAAGAAAATATGGAAAGAGATGAAACATCTGTAAACATCGGGAGGCCTGTAAGATGCACTCCTGAAGAGGTGAGTTTATTCATGTTTGAAGAAAAATAGGCTAAATTATGTCAAACCGTTGACAGATATATTGGGCCAATTGTTGGAATTTATTAATTTATGCTACAGGTGAAAAAAAATGCTAACTTAAAATGGTAACAAAAAGGCGTTTAGCAGCTCTTAGAAGAAGTGCTCAGCAGCCCAGGGGGAGGACCGCCAGACCAAAGCATCCAAAAGAAAATATAAAGACATAAAATTATCTTAAAATTATGTTTGTGATTATTATTTTAAAATGGTTGAATGAGAGCCTGTCTGAGCTGTACAGGCCGAAGGCGGTGCTGGTCATGGTCTCTCATCCATGGGCTGCTCCAGTGGCACACCGTGGTTCTGTGCCTGTTGTGGAGAACCGAGCCAGGACCATGTGGCACACATGGACCGGGACGTACCAGAGCGCACCCCCTGCATGTCCCAGAGCCATCTTCCTCTGATCAGACCTTTGCTTGGACCCGCATTAACCAATTGCCGTTGCGCACTGATTGTAGGTGCTACACAACAATCCACACATTTGTGGGAGACTTTTGAGTTTAAAATCTTGCACGTTATTTAATAACACAAACTATAACATAACTTCGTAAAATTGCATACTTGTAATGTGAGAGGTGTGCCTATAATCTTGCCAGAGTGGGAATAAGTTTATTGTTTTCCAAATCTTGAATTTAATGTGATTATTTGTGTGTTGAGATGAAGGTTGAGATGGGTGTAAAAGGTTCACCACCTCCACACTCGGTGTATATTCTGTGCCAGACGCTCACTTCCAGATTGATAAATCCCAAAATTTGAAATATTTTGTGTACGCCTCATTTATACCCTGAATTAGCCGTACGCAAGTTTCATAAATAAGGGCCAATAAGAGTAAATAACAACCCCTGAAATGAATATATAATAATAGAACTTGAGCTGTTTAAATACTAATCCATGTTAAAAGAAAATAAATGACTGGGGTTATGTACAACTCCCCATTTTTGACTCATTCATTTGAATTCAACAATATATAATAGCCCTTGTTATGCAGTAAAAGTAAGCACCTTGTAAAAGTAATGCATTACAGTTCAGGGACAGTAATATTAGTGTTATAGTGTAATACATTATTTTGAAATAACAGTAATAAGTATTAATATATGACTTGGATCATACGCGCGCTCTGATTGGCTGATGGGCGGTCTGATATTTTCCCATCTCGGACAGTTACCATGACAATTGACAATTGGTCCGCAGCATTTATCAAATTTGATATGTTTCCTTGGTAAAAAAAGAAACTGAGAGCATTCTCCAGTGATTTCTATTATCTGGACGAGTTCGAGGAGCCAGAGGAAGTAATAACAGCAAGAAACAACGAAAACACAACTCCTAACAGTCAAGAAGAGATTGACAACTTCGTTACAGACCAGAAAGGTAAAAACACGATTAGGAAAACCAAGTCGGACATGAACATACTTCACAAATATCTAAAAAGCATTGGTAAAGACGCAGAAGAGATTAAGAACTTACCAGCGGGCGACCTCAATCATCTGATAAGCAAGTTCTTCATGGCTTTTGGTCTTTTTGCACAGACCTCACCACGGCTCGGTCTGTACAAAAAGACCGTGGTCTGATATTTCTCTGTACAGATCTCGCGCTCGTTTAATAAGCTGTTAATACATACAGTAATGTATTATGTTTTTGAAGTAACTTGCCCAACACTGGTAGTAGTAGTAATAGCAGTAATAGTAGTAGTAGCTATCCTCCTCACAGAGCTGACTTGGCGTTGGTTGCTCCTCACTCGTTCCAGTTCTGGAGAGTCACAGACCAGACTGTAGCTGCTCCTCTGTCGCTGCGCAGCGTCGCTGTACGCTCTCTGCGACATGAGGATGACACCGGAATCAAACGTTAAAACACAGATTTTTAAGCAAAAAATGGTGAGTGTGCCTAAGGTTACACTGTCTATCTATAACCTGGACCTGTGTTGCTGAGGGGCCCAATGGTACCTGGCTGTAGACCAGGACCCGCCCAGACCTGGACCTGGTCCTCTTGTACCTGGCTGTAGACCATGACCAGCGCAGACCTGGACCTGGTTCTCTAGTACCTGGCTGTAGACCAGGACCAGCCCAGACCTGTGCTGTAGTACTTGGCTATAGACAAAGACCAGCCCAGACCTGGTGCTCTAGTACCTGGCTGTAGATGTCCTTGACGTAGGAGGCGTGCAGAAGTTCAGGAGTGTCGGTGACGGAGCCGTAGGAGTTTTCTCCGAGGTTCGTCTGTTTATACGACTTCTACAAACACAAGATCAGAGAAGGACTATCAGAGGAGAAGGGTTTGTCTCTCTATGATCTCTCTCTAGTCTCTCTGGTCTTCTGGTCTCTCTCTGGTCTCTTAGTGGTCGCTGGTCTCTCTATGGTCCGTACCTCGCTGAGTATATTGGTGGCGTTCTTGGCTCTCAGCAGGTCCAGAGTCTCCTCTAACCCAGCTCCAGACAGGCCCTTCCCCCTCACCTCCTCCAGACCCTTCCTGTACTCCTTCTGCAAAGACACACACACACACAAACACACACTTACACACAGACTAGTTTCAAGTGGATTTTTCAGAGAAGTATTTTTGTTCTGATGGGTGTGTGACCAGTGGTAAAGAGCAGTGAGTAAAAGCTCTAGTGAAACTTGATCTCTTTCGTCCAGTTTAATGATATAGAACAGACTCATAATGTGGTTGAGGTGTGAAGAACCTGTTGCATGTAACCAAAGAAACCGGATCCTCCTTAGACAAGGCCAGCAGATGCATTTAAGAGCATAGGGGAAAGTTTTAATCTAGAAATGTATGTATTTGGAGTATTTAGGCCACACCCACATGTTGATCATGTCATGAAGCACAGTCTCTAGTCTCACTCTCTGATCTCTCTATCTCTATCTGACTGGTCACCCTTGTTGTCCCTCTCTGGTCTCGCTCGCTAGTCTCTCCCTCTCTGGTCTCTCTATGGTCCATACCTCACTGAGTATACTTGTGGCGTTCTTGGCTCTCAGCAGGTCTGGGGTCTCCTCTAACCCACCTCCAGAGAGGCCCTTCCCCTTCAGCTCCTCCAGGTCCTTCTTGTACTCCTTCTGCAAAGACACAAACTAGTTACCCCTGCGCTGCCCACCCTTTCTTCATGTAGAAGTCTAAATTATTGACATAATCATTTTCAAAAAGCGACAGTTTCACTTCTATTTACTTTTGAATGATCTGGAAACAGCAGCAAGTCCTAAGTGGCGAAACAGTTGTTTTGTGCTTTACAATTGTTAATTTTTCTTGCTTTTTTATACCTGAGATGTTGCTTCAGTACAGTGTTCATGGTTTTTTCACTGGTCCAAAACAAGCGGTAAAATCCACTGGAGGAAGGCTAACTTTTAGAAAAATGCTGACAAAGCATACTGGATCTCACATTAGACTACAGCAGAGAAAATTGGTCCGAACCGAGAATCTACTCCATCTCTACTGCTGTGACCTGAAGAATTATCCATCCATCCATCCATCCATTTTCTACCCTTTAATCCATTTCTGGGTCAGGGGGGTGCCGCCCAAGTCTCATAGCACCAGCCCCTCACTGACCCTCTGCAGGTGGTGAGTCCACAGGAGGAAGAATTATCTATTTATTTTATTATTTGTGAACTATGCAAACTATGGTAACTGAGGCAAGTGTCAAAAGTCTTAGTGTTTTGTTGATTTCTCTGTAAATCTTTTGGTCTATCTCTAATGTTTCACTGATCTCCCTCTGATCTCTCTCTGGTCTCTCTCTCTGATTTCTGCGGTCTCTCTCTGGGCTTTCACTGGTCTCTCTCTGGTAAATAAAACATACCTCGCTGAGGATGGAAGCTGCCAGACGAGCTACTTTAAAAGCCGGAGTCTGATCCACTTCTATCAGCGGCTTCATTTTCATCTGCTCCAAGAAGTCCTTCTGGTATTCTCTCTGCAGCACAAAAGACAGCAGCTCCGTGTCCAGTAAAACAGCTCTTCTATCAGCTTCGTCCTGTCGTGTCCAGTTAAAACAGCTCTTCTATCGGGTAGTACCTGGCTGGTCATCTTCTGGGCCTCTCTGGAGACTTTGTAGGCCTCAGTGTTGGAAAACTCCATCTGAGAGCGTCCTCTGTTCTTTTCATACTCCTCTTTATATTTCACCTGAAGCAAAACCATATAATTCTGTTTCCACCAGCACTGCTCTACTCTACTCTGTGTGTGGTACCTGTGAGTGCAGTACCGCGTTGTCCCTGTGGTGGCGCTGTTCAGCTGTGTCCAGAGCAGAGTGGAACTGGCCTTTGTTCTGTTCGTACTGTCGTCTGTAGTTAACCTGTAGATATGTGTTTGTTGTTATTTGTTTGTTTGGATGGGACAGTGTGTATTCATGTAGATGTTGCTTTCATGTTAATAATGTTGCTGATTCTTGTGGCAGTAGTTAGCGAGTCTCAGAACCTAAGCTTTTAGCGCTGTTAGGATAAAATAATTCAGCTCATTGGACCATATTGTTCAGCAAATAACTTATATTTCGAAGCAGCGTCGGGGCGTGATGTTGCTTAGGGAATTAACCAAAAACATGAAAACAGAACATTTGAGATAAAATTAGTTTACTATAGTTATAAGAATTAAATTGTGATTTACCCATTAGAAAAATATTGACTGGAGTAGACAAGAACAAAAGATTGGTTGGCCTTGGACTACCCAGGCCTACCTCTGGTGTCGCTAGTGCATTATAGGGGAAACCGGAGCACGTGGAGGAAACCTATGCAAACATGGGGAGAACATGCAACTCCACACAGAAAGGTCCTGGACGTGGCTAGCCACGTGTTGGCTGTGCTAGAGTGGGTGTGTGTGTGTGTGTATGTATGTGTGTGCACTCACAGAGCTCTGGAGTCTGGACACCTGTAGAGTGTGTTGCAGATGCAGGAGGTTGGGGATGTCGCTCACAGACTCATTCTGACACGACTTATATTTGACCTGTGACAGAAACAGTAACTAACAGCTCACTGGGGCAGCAGAGCAGTCGGCTCTAAAGCACATGTACTGTACCTGTGATGCCAGGGCGGCTGCGGCCTGCATATGCTTGAAGGACACACAGTCCAGAGGGTTGTACGCGCTCCTCTGTTTCTGAGCCTGTTCTTTGTACTTCACCTGCAACAGGTCAAAGCAGAACCAAAGAAGGACTAAAGAAGGACTAAAGAAGGACTAAAGAAGAACTAAAGCAGGTCTAAAGCAGGCCTAAAGCAGAACTAAAGCATGTCCAAAGAAGGACTAAAGAAGGACTAAAGCAGGACTAAAGTAGAAATAAAGCAGGTCTAAAGCAGGACTAACGCAGGACTAAAGCATGTCCAAATCAGGACTCGAGCAGGACTAAAGAAGGACTAAAGCAGGTCTAAAGCAGGACTAACGCAGGACTAAAGCAGGTCTAAATCAGGACTAGAGCAGGACTACCTCGCTGAAGAGGGAGGAGGCCTGCTGAGCGTGCTGGATGTCTGTGCGAGAGAGAAGAGAGCTGTCACTGAGGACTGGGGCTTTCGAGCTGCTCTTGTAGGCCGCCTGCACACAGAGAGAGATTAAGTAGACGTTGATGTGAATATAGCGTGAGTCAGCCGTGTTATGTGACTGGAGGGAGAGAAATTTGGGAGGTGGTTGTCATGGAGACCAGGAGAGGGGGTCGGGCTTACATCGCTGGCCAGTTTGGACGCGTTAGAGGCGGTGATGATGTCGGGGCGATCTGACGACGAGCGGAACTGATGCATCTGCTCAAAGTTCTGCTTTGAATAGTTCACCTGGAGAAGAGACAAATAACAGGTCTAAAACAGGATTAAAGCAGGTCTAAAGCAGGACGAACACAAGACTAAAGCAGGACTAAAGCAGGTCTAAAGCAGGATGTCACGGGGCCACACAGCTTGTCCTAGTACTGAGAGCACCGCACTGCGATGCGCGCTCTTTTTCTCTGGAGCGTCCGTGTTATGCGCACACGTAATACAGCAGCGTTTACATATTACCCACGGCTAGTTCTCCATCTGGGGGGAGTGTGAGTGCGTTTGGTGAGATCTCGGGTGCACACTAGGTCTCACCGTCGTGCTACTCACCGTTCGCGTGTGCGCGCACGTGCGTGCGCTCCTCGGGACTAAAGCAGGACTAAAGCAGGACTAAAGCAGAACTAAAGCAGGCCTAAAGCGGAACCAGACCTGACTCTGGTTCTTGGACACCTCCATGGCGTGCTCCACTTGGGGCAGACTCTTCAGTCGGCTGAAGCTGCTGCGTCCTTTCTCTCGGTTATACTGTTCTTTGTAGAACTTCTGAAAAGCAGAGGAGCAGATCAGTCCCTGTGCTCCTCAGAGCCCCAGCAGGAAGCTTGTCCCTATGTGCTGTGTGTGCATGGTGCTAACCTCGCTCTGAACTCTGGAGACCTGTTTGGCGAACACGGTCTCAATGGTCTGAGGCATGAGAGCGTACAGACTGCAGACCGCTTCCTTCCTGCTCCCCTCAGAGTACGACCACTGTGGAGCAAACATATGTAAGAGACCCCAGAGAGAGACCAGAGAGAGACCAGAGAGAGACCAGAGAGAGACCAGAGAGAGAGAGAGAGAGAGACAAGAGAGAGAGAGACCAGAGTGTGTGTGTGTGTGTGTGTGTGTGTGTGTGTGTTCAGACCTGGCTGCACAGTTGTGTTGCCTCTTTTGCGTGTTGTGTGTCTTTTGTTTCTGGTAGAACTGAGAACAGACTTTTCTCCAGATCCTTCTTCCCTGAGGCTTTGTACTTGTTCTGAAACACAGAGACAAGATTTAAACCAGATCAAGACCAGGACCAGGACCAGGACTCAGACCTGGGAGAGAGCCTCCGACACTTCCTTCACGAACTCAGTGGTCAGAGTCTGCGGCAGAACGGAGAAGAGACTATGGGTCTGATCCTCAAGATCACGTTTGTATGAGACCTGCAACACACATACAAAGAGATGAGTGCGTGTGTCTATCTCAGTATGAGTCTGTGTGTGTGCGTGACCTGGCTGTATAGCTCAGACAGGTATCTGCTGAAGGTTGTGTCTCTGGTCTCAGGAAGGAGGTGGAACATGGAGCTGCGGAGGTCGGCTTTCCCCTTCTGTCGGTACACGACCTGTGACATGTAACAGGGGATTATAACCCAGATTTCTCTCTATTTTACAGCTAATCCAGGGGAATCCTCAGGCGTTCCCAGGCCAGCTGAGAAACAGAGTCCCTAGCGTGTCCTGGGGGTTCCCCATGTCTCCTCCCAGTGGGATATGCCCAGGTTCATACGTGTGTCACCTGACTCTGAAGTCGGCTCACAGCGGCTGCAAAGCTGGTCTCCTGTGAGTCTGCGAGCTGACTGTAGAGGGAGCTGTGCTCCTGCCCCTCCCTGTACTTCACCTGTACACACACACACAGACACACACACACACAAACACAGACACACACACACACAAACACAGACACACGCAAACACACACACCAACACACACAATGAACAGCTGGTCTTCTGTTTGGGACAGAGCTGGTCCAGGTTCTGGTTCAGGTTCTGGTACCTGACTCTGCAGTCTCGTTACTTCCTTTGCATGCTGGATCTCTGGTGTGAAGGGCAAATGGTGGAACAGCGGGACAGACGCCTGCTTTCGACTATCCTCTGTGTATTTACTCTGAAACAGTAGGAGAGAGGGTCAGAGAGAGTCCATCAGGGTCAGAGAGGGTCCATCAGGGTCAGAGAGTGTCCATCAGGGTCAGAGAGGGTCCATCTGGGTCAGAGAGGGTCCATCTGGGTCAGAGAGGGTCCATCAGGGTCAGAGAGGGTCCATCAGGGTCAGGTGTCTCTGGTGTCTCTCTCTCTGGTCTCTGGTCTCTCTCTGGTCTTACCTTGCTGGTCAGTTGGGTCACACTCTTGGCCAGGGCGGTGTCTGTGGTCTCCTGCAGCTGTGCATACAGACTGTGGGACAGATGCTTCACTCCCTCATGACGATACTTCACCTGCAGAAACTCAGTTAATTCCAGAGAGACCAGAGAGAGACCAGAGAGAGACCAGAGCGAGACTAGAGAGAGACCAGAGAGAGACCAGAGAGAGACCAGAGAGAGACCAGAGATATAAAAATACATGATTTGAAAACCAGGAACTAGAGACATGGGTCTATTACAGAGTTCCCACAGTGTAGCTCTGTTACCTGGCTGAGGTCGGCCATCTTGGCAGCCCTCTGTGTGTCTGCAGTGTGAGGCAGCTGAGAGTATAAGGGTCGGTCGAGCGCCTTCCTCCCCTCAGAGTACTTCAGCTGGAACATAAACACATGTTAGTCTCTGTCCCTTGAAACCTGCTTAACTACTACACTGGTCCCTCACTGTAACATAGTGTATACTCCAACATCATAGAATTGCTAGATAACCTTTATCTAAAGTCTTTCTGGTCTCTCTGGTCTCTCTCTAGTCTCTTTCTGGTCTTTCTCTGGTTTCTCTCACCTGGCTCTGTAGAGCGGTCACCTCCTTCACTCTCTCCGTCTCTAGAGTTTGTGGCATTGAGTGGAACAGAGGAGCAGCCGAGTCCTGCTTCATGGACGCTGCGTACTTCACCTGAGAAACAAGTAATTTACTGTATTTAACCGTTGAAACAATGTCAGTGAGAAAGACCAGAGAGAGAGACCAGAGAAAGACCAGAGTAAAACCTGAGAGAGACCAGAGAGAGACAAGAAGGAGACCAGAGAGAGTCTCTCTCTCTGTGTTTGCTTGAATGAGTTGTTCAAAATGACCAGTAGGAAACATCTGCAGATAGAGCCCAGAATAGACTTTATCTATTCCAAAGTGAGTGACACAAACCAGGCATCCTCAGAAACATACGGACTCAATATGCCACAGTGAGAACCATACAGACTCAATATACGGTACTCAATATAAGTATAAACAACTGGAGACTGGAGAGGGTATTTGGGATGGGGTATGATATACATTGCAAGTGCACAATTTATTATTTATTACACATTGTACCCATAAGCCTGTTTTCGGCATACCCAAATTAGTTTTGGCTTACATGTTTTTCCACTAACTCAATTCATTTCATATCATACTTTGCGCAGTCGCAAGCCTTAATTCTACACTAAATGAACATTAACTTGCCTTCCTGTCAAAGATGCCTCTCTGCAGGTCTCTCTCTCATCTTCTGTCTTTTCTGTTGCATTGCTTTCATGCTGAACTTTCTTCTGATTAAAACTAAATAGACTACAAACATAGGTATATAGGACACATGCGTGTGTGTGTGTGTGTGTCCTACCTGGTTGTGTGTCAGTTCCATGTCCTTCACAAACTGTGTGGTCAGAGTCTGGGGCAGAATGGAGAACAGACTGTGGGTCTGATCCTCGAGATCACGTTTGTATGAGACCTGCAACACAGATACACACACAGACACACACACACACACACACACACAGACACACAGACACACAGACACACACACACACACACACACACACACACACACAAATACAGAGGAACTTATTTATTTCCCACTTTTATGTTTGTGATACTACTTGTTTATGATTCGACTGCATCTTGTCATGAGACTGCAGCTGTCCCTTGTCCTGGAGGGTTTCTGGGTTCTATGACTTACTTGACTGGGACTAAATTTGGGCCTGGAGGGTCTCTGGGTTCTGGGACACTTACTTGGCTCTGCAGCTGGGACTGGATCTGGGCCTGGAGAGTCTCTGGGGTCTGGGGCATTGTAGAGAACAGGTTCTGAGACAAAGAGCTGCGGACCTCCTGCTGGTACTTCACCTGCAGACACCAGCCGAGGGGCACAACGTGGTCACATTTAAGGAGCAAAGTGCATCAGTCAGTGTCTGATATGGTGTTTGGGCTCTCTTTGGTCTCTTCTGTCGCTCTCATCTCAGGTGTCTCTGGTCTCAGGTCTCTCTGTAGTCTCTCCGGTCTCTTGTCCCTCTGATCTCTAGTATCTATAGTCTCTCAGGTCTCTCTGTGGTCTCTGTAGTATCTATGGTCTCTCTGGTCTCTGGTCTGCTCCTGACCTGACTGTATAAATCCTGCAGAGCTCTGGACAGCTGAGTCTGGGGAGTTTCTCTGAGCTGATGAAAAAGACTTTTGCTGGAGTCCTGTTTGTACTTCACCTGAGAAAGACACAAGTCATTCAAGAAAAGGAGCAGGACCAAAGCCGGACTAATGCAGGACTAAAGCAGGATTAAAGCAGGACAACAGCAGAACTAAAGCAGCAGGACAACAGCAGTACTAAATCAGGTCTAAAGAAAGACTACAGCAGGACTAAATCAGGTCTAAAGCAGGACTACAGCAGGACTACAGCAGGACTAAAGCAGGACTAAATCGGGTCTAAAGGAGGACTAAAGCAGGAATAAAACAGGACTAAAGCAGGATTAAAGCAGGATTAAAGCAGGACTACAGCAGGACTAAAGCAGGACTAAAGCAGGTCTAAATCAGGGCAAAGCAGGTCTAAAGCAGGACTAAAGCAGGACTAAAGCAGGTCTAAAGCAGGACACAGCAGGTTTAAAGCAGGACAAAGCAGGTCTAAAGCAGGTCAAAAGCAGGTCCTCAAGCAGGACAAAGCAGGACTAAAGCAGGACTAAAGCAGGTCTAAAGCAGGACAAAGCATGTCTAAAGCAGGCCTAAAGCAGGACTAAAGTAGGACAAAGCAGGACTAAAGGAGGTCTAAAGCAGGACTAAATCAGGTCTACAGGAGGACTAAAGCAGGACTAAAGCAGGATTAAAGCAGGACTACAGCAGGATTAAAGCAGGACTACAGCAGGTCTAAATCAGGACTACAGCAGGTCTAAAACCAGTCCTCAAGCAGGACAAAGCAGGACTAAAGCAGGTCTAAAGCAGGACACAGCAGGTCTAAAGCCGGTCTTCAAGCTGTACAAAGCAGGACTAAAGCGGGACTAAAGCAGGAATAAAGCAGGTCTAAAGCAGGGCTAAAGTAGGTCTAAAGCAGGACAAAGCAGGACTAAAGCAGTTCTAAAGCAGGAATAGAGCCTCACCTTGCTGTGGATCTCAGATAGATTTCTAGCATGGATCGTCTCTGGAGTCTGGGGAAGCTTTGAAAACAAACTTGACGAGAACTTTGGAGAATTCTGTCTATACTTCACCTGTAAAACAGAGAGAGACCTGAGACCAGGGAGAGACCAGTAGTAGCAATAGCAGTAGCAATAGTAGCAGTAGCAGTAGCAGTAGCAGTAGGACTTATACCTGACTGATGAGATCACCCACAGCTTTTGCTCTCTGTATCTCGTTGGTTTGTGGGAGCTCAGAGTAGAGACACTTCTCAGGCCGCTGTCTGTATTTCACCTGAAAAACTTACTCGTAAGCAGTTTGCACAGTGGAGGATAGGGCAGAAGGGCGGGGGGAAGTGGTTTGGTACCTGGCTCAGGACTTGGTTCAAGTCTCGGTTGAACCTGGTTTCTGGGGTCTGAGGTAGAAGATGAAACAGACTGGAGCGGAGACACTTCAGACCCTGGTGACGGTACTGCCTCTAGAACCACACACACGCACACACACATACAGTTAGACACACACAAAACATGTAAAAATGGGAGGACTAAGGGAGGTGCCTAAAGCGTGTCTAAAGCAAGTCAAAGGCAGGTCTAAAGCAGGACTAAAGCAGGTCTAAAGCAGGACAGAAGCAGGTCTAAAGCAGGACAAAAGCACGACTAAAGAAAGTCTAAAGCAGATCTAAAGCAGGTCTATAGTAGGTCTTACCTCACTGAACAGTCTCGCTCTCTCTTTGGCATGTTCTGTCTCCAGAGTTTGGGGAAGTGTTTTAAACAGAGAATCCTGCAGCTTCTGCTTTGCCTCCAGTCGATATTTCAGCTGGAAACAAAATGAAAAACCAGGACTAAACCAGGACTCAAAATAAGTCTCCCTATCCACTACCTCACTCACTTATCATTTCACAGATAACAGACTGAAGAGGACATCTGCCTGACAGTAAATTAAAGTTGAGGTATGTGACTTTCCGACCACACCAACAGAACGGTCTCTCGTTCCTGGCTCTAAAACTGTTGCTTTTATCACTAGTTTTCCCATCATGTATTTCTGGCCTTTGTCATGCCTTTTTCAGACAGAAAAGTGAAAAAGAGAGGACTGCCCTCATTCAGCCAATCAGCTCTCAGCCCAAAGAGTCAAATAGTGACTCACAGGAGATTGTGATGCAAAAAAATATGTCTCACCAGTTGCAGATTCAGATTCAGATTCAGAATTCAGATTCAGATTCAGTTTATTTGCCATTTGCAGTAAAAAAAACACATTGGAATACAGTACATTAGCAAAAAGTCTCCAGTGTGCACAGACAAATACAGACATAAAACAACATTAAAAGACAGAAATAAAACAAATAAAACAGTAAACAAATGTCACTGTGAAATCGATCGACTAAAACAGTTTCAAAACAAGTGCAAATCATTAAAGTGCTCTGTTCACACTGATAACAGCCTGTGGATAAAAACTGTTAGCGTAACGAGATGTCCTGCATCTCAGAGAGCAATATCTTCTGCCAGAGGGAAGACATGTTGCATGCGTGTGTGTATGTGTGTGTGTGTGTGTGTGTGTCCCACCTGGTTGTGTGTCAGTTCCATGTCCTTCACAAACTGTGTGGTCAAAGTCTGGGGCAGAATGGAGAACAGACTGTGGGTCTGATCCTCGAGATCACGTTTGTATGAGACCTGCAACACAGACACACAAGCGACAGTGAAGATCTTACTGCTCTCTCTCTGGTCTCTTTGTTCTCTCTCTGGTCACTCTCTTTGGTCTGTCTCTGGTATCTCTCTGGTCTCTCTGTTCTCTCTCTGGTCTTAAAAAGTCTGGGCATTCCTGACCTGACTCTGGAGCTCAGACATACACTGTGCGAAGTGTGTGTCCAGAGTGTGAGGGAGCAGGTGGAACAGCGGCTGACTCCCGAGCTCCTGTTTGTATTTCACCTGTAAAAGAAGATGTGTGAGACCCTCATACACTCAAACACCTGCGGGCAGGCACACACACACACCTGGCTGACCAGCTGACTTAGAGCTCTGACCCTCTCTGTGTCCATTGTCTGGGGCAGAGAGCAGAACAACGCCCTTGGAGGCTGCTGGCGGTACTGCACCTGCAACACACTGCGTTACGCACTGGACTGATCTGGCTACCGTCACCCAAGCCCTGAGGAGGACCCAGGCCTGAGGAAGATCCAACCCTGAACCTTGACCATTCTCAGCAGGGACAGAGAAGCTGAGTACACAGTACTTACACAAATGTCTTCTTTCCCACAGAGTTGTATCGGCTCAAGCTGAAATACTGAAACAGAACTCTACAACATGAAAGCATCCTATTCCTTCCCTGATCTATAACTCTGTTCTCTCTGGTCTCTCTTTCTGGTCTCTCTTTCTGGTCTCTCTCTCTCTCTTTCTCTGGTCCATGAAGCTGGTGATTGTCTGCAAATTTGCCCTTGTTGCTGTATTAGCTCAGTTGGTAGAGCATTGGACTAAGAGCCTGAAGGTAGTGGGTTCAAGCCCACCACAAGACTTACTTCACGACTCCCACTGATGACTGCTGTTGTTGTGTCCTTGGGAAAGACACTTAACCCCACTATGTCTGAAGCCCCTGCTGAATAATCAAGGCTCCTGTGGACTCACCACCTGCAGGAGGATCAGTGAGGAGCTGGTGCTATGTGATTTGGGAGGCATCACTAAATGCCACCCCCCCCACCCAGAGATTGATGAAGGGATGGATGAATGGATGGATGCTGTATTGTATGTGTTTCTTTCTGTGTTTTTTTGTGTATCTTGTTTGTATTCTAACTTCCTTCCTCCCTATTCTATATTCTATGTATGTGACAGTGTCTGTGGAAATGAATTTCCCTCAGGGGACAATAAAGGTCTATCTAGTTCTCTCCCTCTGGTCTCTCCCTTTCTTCGCTCTCTGTGGTCTCTCTCTCTTCTCTCTTTCTGGTCCTTCTCTCTTCTCTCTCTCTGGTCCCTCTCTCTTTCCTCTTTCTGGTCTCTCTCTCTTCTATCTCTATGGTCTCTCACTCTTCTCTCTTTCTGGTTCCTCTCTCTTCTCTCTTTCTGGTCTCTCTCTCTTCTTTCTCTGGTCCCTCTCTCTTCTCTCTTTCTGGTCTCTGCTTGTACCTGGCTCTGGATGGTGCCCATGTGTTTGGCCTTCAGTGTGTCCAGAGTCTGAGGCAGAGAGCAAAACAGCGCTGGGCCCTGGTGTCGCGTTCGCTTCCTGTATTCCGCCTGCACAAACACAACATGAGCGGAGGCAGCAGCAGGACTACAGCTCCCATGATGCCCTGCTCTGACCTGGCTCTGCAGCCTGGAGATCCTCTGGTGGAACTCTGTGTCGGAGGTCTGAGGGAGCTGAGAGTAGAAGCTCTGGGTTTGGACCCTCCTCCCATCCTCCCGATACCTCACCTGCCCCAGAGCACAGGCATTGGAGCACTAAAGCTGCCGTATGTAACTTTAAAGCTGTATGTCTCTATGTGTGGTGTGTGTATCTGTGTGTACCTCGCTGCACAGGTGTGTGTTGTCTCTCGCCTGTTGTGTTTCCAGAGTCTCCTGCAGCTTGTGATAAACAGGTCGAACCAGAGCCTCCCTTAGCGCCGCCTGGTACACACGCTGACGAGACAAAACAGCTCAACAACAACACAACCGCACTCCAACACAACACAACACAGCACCTGGAACCCCCAAATCTGGAACATCTAAACAGACATCTGAAGTCTTGCTCTCACTCTGGCTATGGCATGAGGTAATTGACCATGGGCCTCGTTTTCGGCATCTGTGATCAGTGCTGTGCTTATTGGAGTTCTCTGACCGCTCTGGTGAGCTCTCTGACCCCTGAACTCTAACCTCTGAGAGCAGGCTTTACCTTGCTGAGCAGCTGCGAGGCGTGTGCTGCGTGGAGCGTGTCTAGCGTCTGTGGTAAACGGTGGAAGAGCGTCTCATGGAGCTTTGACCCAAAGAGACCCTGAGACACAGGTCAAAGATCAATAACACTTCCAGCATTATCTGTACCAAAAAATTAGCAATCTAACTCCGTGTGTCTGAGGTGTGGTACCTGGCTCTGCCCACAGGAGGTGTTGTTTTGTTGTGTGCGTGGCAGCAGAGAGAATAGATTCAGCCTCATCTCAGAGAGAGCCTCCTTTTTGTATTGCACCTGCACCAGAAGCAAGAATGAACCAGCGATCAGTGACAAAAGAGACCAGAGAGAGATCAGAAAGAGAGACCAGAGACCGGAGAGAGAAAAGAGACCAAAGAGAGATCAGAGACCAGACAACAGGGAGAGACCAGAGAGAGATAGGAGAGAGATCAGAGTCCTGAGAAAGACCAGAGAGAAACCACAGACCTGAGAAAAGACCAGAGAGAGACCCAAAAGAGACCAGAGAGACAACAAAGAGAGACTAGAGAGAGACCAGACCTGGCTGATGAGTTCTGAGGCCAGTTTGGCATGAGCCGTGTCCAGAGTATGCGGCAGAACGGAAAACAGACTTGAGCGTGGAGCAGTGTGTCTATACTGAGTCTGCAAGGACCAAAAGGAGACACAAAAAGGAGTAAAGAAAGAACAATCATTCCCAAAGCTGTGAGATTAATGCAATCACGTTGCAATCCTTCACAAACACCAGGACAGCCAGTCAGACTCTACAAAAACCACTGCGGTCCTCTAGCTGGGTCTTGGACTGACCTGGCTCTGCAGCTGGCCCACGGCCCGGGCGTGCAGGGTCTGCAGGGTCTGTGGGAGCTGGTGGAACAGGGTCTGGGACTGTCTCCTTCTGCTCTGCTCCACGTATTTACTCTGTGGACAAACAGGAAAGGTTCAGCGGTCGTTTGACCCATTGCGCTCTCCTTTAGTGCAATTGAATGTATATAATGTATAGAACTGGATGCAACATTTCTACCGCGTTTTTGATGCATGTAACCACGGAAACCAGATCCTACTGAGACAAAACAAGCAGATGCATTTAGGAGCGCAGGAATAAGCCTCTCTCTGGTCTCTCTCTAATCTGTCTCTGGTCCCTCTGGTCTCTCTCTGTTCTCTATGGTGTGTGACATTTACCTGGCTGTGGATCTGACTCATGTCTCTGGAGAACTGTAGGTCCAGAGTGTCTGGGAGCTGAGAGTACAGAGACGAGGGCGCTCCTCTCACCAGCAGCTTTGGTCGATAGTTTGCCTGCCCCGAGGATAGATGACAACACTCAGATCAACATCAACATTATCCTAATCACATCCACGAGGGCTGGCCGGAAAATCACACATCATCGAAGGGACTACACATAGTATATATTATACAAACTATATCATCCTGGCTCTTGGCAGATGTATGTGTGCCGTTCTCAAGTTTCAGCTGCTTTAAACACATCTCTCATCAAAAGGTTGAAATCAATGGGGTGACTACAGATTCAGTATCTCCCTCTGCAGCTGGGGGTGCAGTACCTGACTCTGCAGCTGGGTGAGCTCTAGAGCGCGCTGGATCTCCGGAGTGTCTGGCAGACGAGAGTACAGAGACACTGACGCTCTCCTCCGACTGTCCTCACTGTAGAGCACCTACAAGAGACCAGAGACCTAAGACTAGACCAGAGACCAGAGAGAGACCAGAGGGATCACAGATGGACCTGAGAGAGAGACCAGAGGGAGTCCATATAGAGACCAGAAAGAGACCAGAGAGAGAGAGCTTTAGTGATCAGCTGTGAGTGTGAAGGCTTACCTGGCTCTGGAAGGGCATCAGGCTCTTTGCGTGTTGGGTCTCTCCGGTCTCTGGCAGCAGACTGAACAGAGACATGCGTCGCTCCTTCCGGCCTTCCTCATAGTACTTATTCTGAAAAAAGTGTGTAGTTTAGATCCATCCACACATCCCTCCCCCCACTCCCTCTGCCTAAATGCATGTTTTGAATTGGTGTGTCGACCCGGGACAACTGTGGGTAAGGCTGGAGTGTGGTTTGGACCCGTATCCGCTTTTCATCTTTGGATAGACCAGATAGAGACCTGATATAGAACAGAGGAAGAGAGCAGAGGGAGACCAGAGGGAGACCAAAGAGAGACGGTAAGAGCTTCACTCACTCAGTCACGGTTTCATGGCTTGTTACACTGTCATTATGAAAAGAATTGTCCCCCGTGTTACTTCTGTGTAGTTGTTGAACCTTCTTCCCCAGAGCCACATGTGAGTCCCTGGTGAGTCCCTGGTGAGTCCCTGGAGTTACCTCGCTGATGAGCTCCTGCAGATCCTTGTGGAATTGAGTCTCTGCGGTTTGAGGCAGAAGACTGAACAGAGAAGAGGAGCTGTCTCGTCTGCTTCTGTAGTTCACCTGGAAGAGAGAGGAACTAACCACTCTGCCATTCACACGACAGAGCGTTTTGTGAGGGGGTGAGGCTGAACACAGGTGAAAGGCCTCAGTAAACAGTATCTTTGTATTATTCGTTCATGTGACATCAACATGTTCCAAAGAGCGATAATATCACATTGTGGTTGAGTGGAAGGTGAAACATCTGGGAACTATGGCAACGGTCTCAGTCTCCTCTCTCTCTCTCTCTGCCTACCTGGCTTTGCAGCTGGGAAGCGTCCCTGGCTCTTAGCATCTCTGGTGTTTCTGGTAGAACAGAGTAGAGCGAAATGGCGGCCTCCTTAAGCCCATCAGCTTTGTACTGACTCTGAAAGAACCACAACATTAGAAAATAGGGATAGACCAAACCAACACCAGAGAGAGACCACCAGAGAGAGACTGACTGTGATGAACTAGAACAGGGGTCTCCAACCTGTAGCTGGGGAGCTCCTTTCAGGTAGCTCCCCAAAGGATTCAGGAATTTAACACATGACAATGAATAATACAGTCTTGCATGATTCTATTTTCATCAAACTGTTTACCTTATGTGCACAAATGCAGGGATATACTGAACATGGACTGCAGTTTCATTATGACAAGAAAAGGGAGTAAACATCATTGATATTTCTGTTTTGTTATATTCTATAGCAGTGTCTCCCAAAGTGGGGTCCGCGGCCCCCTGGTGGGCCGCGAGGGTACTGCAGGGGGGTCGCGGGAGGTCATAAAAAAAATAAAATAATTATTTAATGTTAAATTTATAATGTTTTGTTTGTAATATTAAAATATTTGTGTTCATTATTTGACTTGAATAATCCACTGTAATCATTTTTGTATTACAATGTTTGTAGCAGAGGCTATTTCCCCAAAATAAAAAAACCAGAAGAGCCTATTCTTAATGTTGTCTTCTTGTTTATTATTTTGGGGGGCCACGCAGACCCGTCAGATTTTTAAGGGGGCCTCGGTGTTACTGAGTTTGGGAATGGCTGTTCTATAGGAACAGGTTGCAGAGCCCTGAACTAGAACATTGAGCTGAGAACAGACATTTTGGCTCTGATGAACTATAACACGGACAGACCTGGGAGACAATGGGACGCAGCTGGTGTGAGAGCAGCAGCTCTACCTCGGGCACAAACTGGCTCTGTCCCTTCATCTTCTCAAAGTCCTCCTTATATTTGCTCTAAAACCAGAGAAGGAGTGAGTGATGAGTGTGTGTGTGTCTGATTTGAGTCAGCGTGAGTCACAAAAAACAATCTGGAAGTATCATTATGTAATTAGGCTATTTTTACACCACGACCACAGTGTACAAGATTACAAGATATATATTTAGAGAACAGAGACAGAGAGAGACAAGAGACCAGAGAAATGTAAAGGCTGTGATGTGTCTTTACAGATCCTCACTTGGCTCAGCTGCAGGCTGCATCTGCGACTGAAGTTTGGATCTGGAACCGGAGCTTTCACTTCTGACTCTGACTGTCGACAGAGAAACACACACAGCACCTCATAACGGGATTGTAGACCAGAGAGAACCAAAGAAAGGCCAGAGAGAGAGACCAGAAAGAGATCAGAGAAGGACCAGAGAGAGACAAGAGAAAGACCAGGGAGATACCAGAGAAAGACCAGAGAAAGACCAGAGAAAGACCAGAGAAAGACCAGAGAAAGACCAGGGAGAGACCAGATTAAGACCAGAGAGAGACCAGGGAGAGACCAGGAAGAGGCCAGAGAAAGACCAGAGAGAGACGAGAGAAAGACCAGATAAAGACCAGAGAGACCAGTGAAAGACCAGGGAGAGAGACCATAGAGGGAAACCAGAGAGAGACCAGAGAGTGGATGTTGCTTATAAATGTGTGGAAGATGAACAGAACATCTCACCTCTGTTCTCCACACGCCAAAGAGCTTCAGCCTCTTCCTCCTCTGCTCCTCCGCACACACCTCCTCTCCTCCCTCCTCCTGTGTCTCCTCTACTCCCTCCTCCTGTTCTATTTCCTCTCCAGTTCCTTTCTTTCCAATCTCCATAGCTTCTTCTTCTTTGTCTCCTATCTCCTTCCCTCTTCTGTCCTTCGTAAGTAGCCATTCTCCCACCTCAATATCGGAAACTTCTTCTCTCACATCAACTCTTTCCTTCTGCCCTCTCTCCTCATCTCCTCCCTTGTCTCGACTCTCCTGGTCTCCTCTCTTCTGGTCTTCTCTTTCCTGGTCTCCTCTCTCCTCATCACCTCCTTTATCGCCTCTTCTCTCCTGGTCACCTCCTTTATCGCCTCTTTCCTGGTCTCCTCCCTCATCTCCTCTTTCCTGGTCTCCTCCCTCATCTCGTCTCTGCTGGTCTCCTCTTTCCTCATCTCCTCCTTTATCTCCTCTCTTCTGGTCGCCTCCCTCACCTCCTCCCTTATCTCCTCTCTCCTGGTCTCCTCCCTCATCTCCTCCTTTATCTCCTCTCTCCTGGTCTCCTCCCTCATCTCCTCCCTTATCTCCTCTCTCCTGGTCTCCTCCCTCATCTCCTCCTTTAACTCCTCTCCCCTGGTCTCCTCCCTCATCTCGTCTCTCCTGGTCTCCTCCTTTATCCCCTCTCTCCTGGTCTCCTCCCTCATCTCGTCTCTGCTGGTCTCCTCTTTCCTCATTTCCTCCTTTATCTCCTCTCTCCTGGTCTCCTCCCTCACCTCCTCCCTCATCTCCTCTCTCCTGGTCTCCTCCCTCATCTCCTCCTTTATCTCCTCTCTCCTGGTCTCCTCCCTCACCTCCTCCCTCATCTCCTCTCTCCTGGTCTCCTCCCTCACCTCCTCCCTTATCTCCTCTCTCCTGGTCTCCTCCCTCACCTCCTCCCTCATCTCCTCTCTCCTGGTCTCCTCCCTCATCTCCTCCTTTAACTCCTCTCTCCTGGTCTCCTCCCTCATCTCCTCCTTTAACTCCTCTCTCCTGGTCTCCTCCCTCACCTCCACCCTTATCTCCTCTCTCCTGGTCTCCAGTCTGAGGAGTCTTCTTCACGTCGTCCATCTTGGCTCCTCTGTAGCACAGTGATTTGTCAGAGCTCAGTAGTGTGCACATCCATAGAGACTGGAAGTTTTGCCCATTCCTCTTTACAGAACTTCTAATTTCTTGAAAATGTGTTTACGATGATGTATAGTCGTCCTATATGACAATCTGACAATCAATGGGCCTCATTCACGAACCGTACTTAAGAACACATTTTTGCGTAAATCCTACTTACGAAGATTTTAGGAAGATTGCGGCATTCATTAAATTTTCTCGTAATCAGAATTTCTCTTGGGTAAGAACAAATCCTACGAGTGCTCAAGTGCACTCTTACGCACATTCAGTGCCGACATGTTCGCACGCTGGTGTTGTGAAGTTCAATAAAACACAACATTACAGTGATATGTCCGTCATATTGATGTATGTATTTATTTATTTCATTGTTGATGGTAATTTAGCATATTTTTCAATTCCTTTTTAAATGAAATGTGCCAACGCTTTATCAAATACATTGGCAATCTTGGCGTGTATTAGTGACCCCATCCTATTTATAGGGGGCATTTCTTTATCCACGGGCCACAAAATAATGGCATATATACTGCTGCTGCAGGAGGTTGCGGGGTCCGCGCTGAGTCTCTGCACTGGTCTCTCCCATGGATCTTTACGGGTCTGCACTGGTCTCTCCCATGGATCTTTACGGGTCTGCACTGGTCTCTCCCATGGATCTTTACGGGTCTGCACTGGTCTCTCCCATGGATCTTTACGGGTCTGCACTGGTCTCTCCCATGGAACCATACGGGTCTGCACTGGTCTCTCCCATGAATCCATACGGGTCCGTGCTGGTCTCTCCAGTCTATGGTCTCTCTAGTCTATCCTCTCTTCGGTCCGCGCTGGTGTCTGCGCGCCGGTCTCTCCAGTCCATGGTCTCTCCTCGGGTCTGCATTGGTCTCAGCGCTGGTCCGCGCTGGATCTCCTCCCAGGGCCCAAAATATTTTGAGATTAATCTCAAAACATTTTGAGATTCATTTTTAAATTAATACATAATAAAAAAAATTATGAATCTCATAACATTTTGAGATTAATCTCATCATATTTTTAGATTAATCTCATAATTTTGCTAGTTCGACTTTATTCTCATAATATTTTAACTTCTAAATCAACATTTTATAACTTTATTCTCAGTCTGGCAAAAGAAGAAAAAAGGGTGACTCTTTTGCTCCGTGTAACTCTTTGCTTTAGGCCTGTTGCTGTTTCCTCTGGCGTCTGCACACGGCCCTGCAGTCCCTTATATGGGCATTATTGGGCGGTTACCTATGCTAAGTACCTATGCTAATGAATCACCTCTCTACTTACGAGGGGTTGGCATTCATCAACCTAAGAGAACAGCTGCAAACAATTCAACGGCTTACGAGCGCGTTGATGAATCCCACGTAACGACTTGAGAAGAAATTTAAGAAGTTTCTTAAGAAGATATTTGTGAATGAGGCCCAATGTCTGCACGTTTTGGAAATACCCCCCTGTACGATGCTAACCTGCTCCTTTGAGGAGTTTATTTTTACATGTAAGTTAATAGGCCCCAGAGGGAGGTGTAGGGTTAGCATTGTCCATCTACGTACAGACTGTGGTGTGAACGTGTGAGAGCAGAGGTTAAGTGTTCACTCCACACTCACACTGATACAGACGATAACGGGTTTGGGCTTGTTCATACTAAAGAGTACAAAAGAGTGACAGAAGGCCAAAATTTGAATAATCAGAATATGTATATTATCTTTTTAATATACCCAAATACCTCTTCAGTCCATTAGTAGTTAAGAAGTAGCTAGAAGTTAAACTATTTTATACATTAGTCACATGTTCTATAGTGGCTCTGTTTATTTGTGACACAGACTTGATGCCTTTAATGGAATGAACTTCCTCACATATTTCCAGATTTCCACATTTGATTAATAGATTCTTTTTTTGCACAGAGTAGAAACAAAGTGATACATTCATATTGTAAACCAATTAAATGTGATAACAGACCATCCAATTTTTAGAAAAAGATTGACGAAACCATCACGTCCATTACACATTCTTCAAGGATCAATACAATTTGTGCTGATTTTTTTTAATATATATATTCTTTTTAAATTTACTGTGTTAGAAATGTTAATCTGTGGGAGTTCATCTGCTGCTTTGTCACTGATGATCTTTCATGTTCTGTGTGACTGGAGTCACTGTCGCCTTATCAGAGGCTGATCTGGTTTTTGACATTTCGCAAAAAATGTTTTTGTCAATCTTTTCTTTTGATTTTATCCACAACAACTCTATGTCTGTGCTTGAAATCTTTCATACAGGTCTAGAGCAGGTCTACAGCAGGACTAAAGTAGATGAGAGGAACAGTTGCCTACCTGAAGGAAGCGATGCAGTGTGGTGTCTCTCACGTCTCTTTCTGGTCTTGGGTCTCTCTGGTCTCTCGTTTCTCTTTCTGGTCTATCTGCTCTCTGGTCTCTCTGGTCTCTCTGGTCTCTAGGTCTCAGTTCTAGTCTGTATGTGGGTGCTGTAGACCAGGTCTTATCAGGTCTGGTCCACATTTAGACCCTCTCCAGACCTTATCGTGTCCTTGGGTCTGAGGTCCACGTGCCAAATGCATTTCAGGAGGAAAAATATCCAGAGACCAGTAGCCAGACCCTCAAAATCAGACCAAGGAATCAGACACGAGAGACTCAAGACAAGACCAGAAACCGAGGATCAGACACCGGTGACCAGAAATCAGAGACAAAAGGCCATAGAGACACCAGAGAGACACCAGAGAGACACCAGAGCATGTTGTTGTTGTCAGCAGCAGATGGAGTCTCTCCGTGAGGTCGAGTCAGAGCCAAACCCACTGAGTCTGTTTACATTTGACCATCACGAAGCAGGACTGGAAATAGTCATAGTTTAGATCTGCTTTAGATCGGCTTTAGACCTGGGCTAGTTTATAGTGAGTGTAATTAAAGTCCTACCTTCACGGTTCCACATAAGTAGCCAAACTCAAACATGAAAAGAGATAAACACTGATCAGTTAAAAGAAAGTGAAAAAGAAAATGTAAAAAAAAAAGATTCCACTCACCTGAAGAACTGTGTGAGCTCTGACTAATGCACCTGCACTCTCACCCACTCACACACACAGCAGCAGAAGTAGCAGTAGCAGTAGTAGTAGTACTCATACATTACTGATGACGTCCTGAGTCCTCCGTAGCCGCTGTAGTTCCGGTGTGTCCATCACCAAACTGAAGCCTCGTCCTTTACTCTCCTCAAAGTCTTTCTTATATTTTACCTGCAACAAAACCCATGGGCTTTAGGACCATGCAGCTGTGGAAGTGACAGTCCTCCTGCAGCTGTGTGTGGGTGTCTACAGGTTGGTAATAGTTCATCTTGGTGCTATCCGTGTGGATGGGGTCAGAACAGATCACGGCTCATAGACATTTGTTGCCGCGGTAACACTGACTTTTCGGGACATTAGCTCAATTGGACCTGTGTTCAACTCATTTACTCAAGGAAGCAGTGTGAGATAGCACAAAAGCTGGGGTATGTATCGTTTTTGTTTTAAAGCCAGAAAGGATAATACATATATCTGCAATACTGTGGGCCCTGGTTAATGGCAGGGGTTTTGTGTTCTAAAAATAACACACAATAAGTGAAATCCTTGCAAGACCAGAGATGGATTCCAGAGTGAGCGAGACCAGAGAGAGACCAGAGAGAGAGACCAGAGAGACCAGAGAGAGAGACCAGAGAGAGACCAGAGAGAGAGACCAGAGAGACCAGAGAGAGACCAGAGAGAGAGACCAGAGAGACCAGAGAGAGAGACCAGAGAGAGACCAGAGAGAGACCAGAGAGAGACCAGAGAGAGAGACCAGAGAGACCAGAGAGAGACCAGAGAGAGAGACCAGAGACCTCCATAGGTCTTTCCATAGAGAGAATCTTTAGGAGGGGATGCCAGGTGATGTCACATGTCCCACCTGGCTCTGCAACTCGCTCTGCTGCCTCAGGCGCAGGTTCTCTGGAGTGTCAGCAACAATGGTGAACGACGTCTTAGGGTAATGACTGAATAACAAAATGATGTTCAGAATATAAGCATGCAGCGATAACAGTCTGCTCTTATTGTGTCTGACGCATGGCAATAAGACCTGTATAGCTGCTACCTGTTACCTAAAGCTGCAGAGAAGCGAGATGGGTTCAATAAAAGTGTGTGACGCGCTAAATTAATATAGAAAAACAAACGGAGAGGCTGGATCCAGTTACAATGGAATTTAATTAATAAACGCTGCAGTCACAGGCAAAATCCGTGGTGAATATAAGGGAAAAAAAGAGAAGAAAAATCAAACAAAAGCAGTCAACAAAAAATATGGCTACCCAAATAGACCTCTCTCCTGTCTTGGTGGTCATAATCTCATGTACTGCACCCAAACATACTGTACATGCCTCCCACCACGCACACACACACATGATGCACACACAATACACTACTCCTCCACCAGTCAAACATGCATTCATTTACACTGAGCCCAAACGTGTCTCCTACAACCAGGTCACATGGTTCAGACCTGGTTCAGACCTGGTTCAGACCTGTTTCAGACCAGCGGTGAGAGTTGGAAGAGCAGTGGCCTTTGAGCCTGAAGGTTGATGGTTCAGGCCCATGATGTTGGCTCTCGCTGTGTCCTTGGGCACTTAAGAAGCGTGGAAGCAATGTCTGCTGCATGCCTTGAAGTGTATGTGCATTCATAAAACTGAAATTTCCCCACTGTGGGACAAATAAGGACCTTCTTAGAACCTGGTACAGTTCCTAACCTTGTGTAAGAATTGCGCAATAAAAATAAACTATCCTGGCTGTATGTATTTTCAGTGGAACATGTTTTCCTCCCACACAGAGAGAACTCTTCAGCTGAAGCCATTCTATCATTAAAGCTGGGGTATGTAACTCTAGTCTGATACATAAGAAGCTGGGGTACTTAAGCAAAAGAGATTGACATTGACATTTTTAAGGATCAGACCAGGACGGGGCTCACTCACGCGCTGCAGTACGGCCTCTTGTCGTAGCCTTTGTAGTTGTTCATGTTCAGAGTCATTTTGCAGACGTCACAATGAAAACAGCCTTTGTGCCAATTCTGAAACACAAAAATATGAGTTCAGAGAGAGACCAGAGTGAGCAGAGAGAGAGACCAGAGAGAGACCAGAGAGAGAGACCACAGACTAAAGAATTGGAAATGGGTCAGTGAGCAACATGAATGTGTCTGTTTATAAAGGTCTGCTCCAAATAACACTGACCGACTACTGCTACTACAACTGCTACTACTACTACTACTACTACTACTACTACTACTAATACTACAAATCGGCTCCTGCTTTTGCCAAATGTAATGGTAAGACAAGAGTCCCTTGTCTTAGCCTCTCCCCAGACCTGGGCATGACCCAGGAGAAGAGCATTTGATATTTTATGTTGTTACAACAACAACAACACTATTCCTGAAGATGAATAATGGATCTGAATTATGTAACAGTATTACTCATACGCCTCCTCATGAGAGAGCAGGACTACAGCAGGACTAAAGCAGGACAAAAGCAGGACTAAAGCAGGACAAAAGCAGGTCTAAAGCAGGTACCTTAAGCAGGTCTAAAGCAGGACTAAAGCAGGACTAAAGCAGGTCGAAAGTAGGACAAAAGTTGGTGGGTAACCAGTAAGTCCATATAATATATGTGCTGACAGTAATTTGTCTAATTTAAAATCCTTAGCATCACATAGTGTCTTTACAGTAGAATTAGTGCATGTACAGTACTGATATAGTTTCTGTACAGTAGTGTCATATAGTGCATGTGCAATAGTGTTTCAGTTTCAGTTTATGTGCAATAGTGTTATAGTTTACCTTGTCCAGACAATTGACTTTTTCCGTGGGGTAGACGGTCTTCCCGCAGCGAGCGCAAGGCGGGTTCATGTTCGTGGAGGCGGTGAATTCCCGGTGAAGACGCGATGTGTCTTCTCGGCTCTCAGTTTCGGAGCAGGTCTGGAGCTGCTCAGCTGGAGACGCGGGAGGCTGTGGCCGAGGATGGAGAGAGTAAAGCCTGCAGTGATGAGCGCGGACTCACCGGAAGTGTGGAGGAGGACCGGAAATGGTTTGTTTTGAAAAAACTATTCACTTTCCATTCAAACGGATTCACTAAAGATGATCTGATAACAAACTGAACCAGTGGTGTTTCCCTTTTTTACCAAATAATAAATACACATTTATCTTTTTAAGAATGATTAACTTATCATTTATGCGACAGAAGTGCACAAAACATATAACCCTCAGTGACAGCCACAAGAAAACTGTGACATGTTTAATTTAAAGGTGAGCTACCTACTTTATTATTTCGTTCTAAATAACACATGTAGTTTGATCAGAAATAGTCTTAAAGTAAAATTTTGTGGATTTCATCATATTAGAAAAAAAAAATTGGAAGCCCTTTGAGTCACTGATTGACTCTTTGGATCAAGAACCGACTGGCTGAGTTAAAGAATAGCGAGACCAGAAAATAGAAACAGGCTGTTTTGGAGCCAGCAACTGGTGGCATACTTTTTATGGAGTATGAGGCTTTCTTAAATGTACATTGTCCTACGACTTACAACAGATCCCCCATTATAACTCATCACTGTCTACACAATCACTGCAGCTGTGACCACAGTGTTAGTATTAGATAGCAATATGGCCTACGTGCAGGACTCTACAAGGACTCTACAAGGACTCCATGTTATGACTATGATTTGACTGTCTCTTTGTGACACGTATGTCTTTCGATGTGTGACGTGACAATGACTATATAAACTGTGTACTGCCTTTATTCTGTCTGAGAGAAAGAAACAGGGTAAACCATTGGAACTTGAGAGAAACTTAAATAAACTTCCAGAGTTTGGCACACCACGATCCGTCTCTGTCTGTTAAATCCTAACAGATTTGGTGGAGAATGCGCGGCTCAGTGTGTGCCATTCTCTGGATTGTTTTGAGGGAGTTTGCTTTGTTTCTTTTCCTCTGCGTGAGAGACCGGCATGCTGTGTCTGGGAACGGAGATTCCAGCAGGCTGGAAGAGCTGTTCCTGGATGCTTCTTGTCGCTTCTGTCACTTTTGTTTTTTAAATTGAATTTTTTGACGCGGAAAAGAAGTTGGCAGACCTCTTGAACAGTCCGGACAAAGAATTAAGGTAAGCAGACACCTTTTTATATGTAAAGTCTGCATAATTGGATATTAGCTAAATTTTGGTCTGTTTTTGGGGTCTGTCAAACTCTCTAAATTGTATTTGAAGCAGTCTCAGGGTTTAGGTCCCTTGGAGCAGTCTCAGGGTTTAGGTCCCTTGGAGCAGTCTCAGGGTTTATGTCCCTTGGAGCAGTCTCAGGGTTTAAGTCCCTTGGAGCAGTCTCAGGGTTTATGTCCCTTGGAGCAGTCTCAGGGTTTAGGTCCCTTGGAGCAGTCTCAGGGTTTATGTCCCTTGGAGCAGTCTCAGGGTTTATGTCCCTTGGAGCAGTCTCAGGGTTTAAGTCCCTTGGAGCAGTCTCAGGGTTTAGGTCCCTTGGAGCAGTCTCAGGGTTTAAGTCCCTTGGAGCAGTCTCAGGGTTTATGTCCCTTGGAGCAGTCTCAGGGTTTAGGTCCCTTGGAGCAGTCTCAGGGTTTATGTCCCTTGGAGCAGTCTCAGGGTTTAAGTCCCTTGGAGCAGTCTCAGGGTTTAGGTCCTTTGGAGCAGTCTCAGGGTTTAAGTCCCTTGGAGCAGTCTCAGGGTTTAAGTCCCTTGGAGCAGTCTCAGGGTTTATGTCCCTTGGAGCAGTCTCAGGGTTTATGTCCCTTGGAGCAGTCTCAGGGTTTAAGTCCCTTGGAGCAGTCTCAGGGTTTAAGTCCCTTGGAGCAGTCTCAGGGTTTAGGTCCCTTGGAGCAGTCTCAGGGTTTATGTCCCTTGGAGCAGTCTCAGGGTTTAAGTCCCTTGGAGCAGTCTCAGGGTTTATGTCCCTTGGAGCAGTCTCAGGGTTTTAGTCCCTTGGAGCAGTCTCAGGGTTTATGTCCCTTGGAGACACACAGTCTCAGGGTTTGAGTCCCTTGGAGCAGGATCCTTAGTGAAACCATGGTGTAAAAATTAAAAGTTATAATAAAAAGGGAAACGTTAAACACTAAAGAGTGCCTTTTGTTACTAGTGTGGAAAGTGGCCATTTCTAGACTTGGATGACAAAAGTTTAAAGAACAACATCCGTTATATTCGCTTAACAAAGTAATCTTGAAAGTAATTCTTCTTTCTGTTTTGCTAAAACACTGCTTTCTGCCTGTGTGTGCGTCGCTCTATCTTGCTGCCGTTGTCAGGGAAACGGCCCCCTCCTTTGCTGCTCTGGCTCTGAATCAGAGCTACTGCTTTTAGGATTTTGGCTTTTCATAGTTGTTATTCCGTTAAATTTGCGAAATTTGCCATTGAACTTTGTGTTATGACACAGTTAAACGTTTTTAAACACCATTAGGGAATAGAAGTTTTGAATTAGTATGTTTTTGAAACCCAAATATTAGTGCTAAAGCTGTGCAATTGTTTTTAGACCTAACATATTTCTAGATTCCATTCTTTTAAATCTGCTGCTTATTTCTCAACTGTTTGTGAGTTGTTTGTTTTCATGTTTTGATTTTAGTTACAAAAGCCGTTTTTCAAACATTTAAATTAGAATCTGTGTTAAAAGTGATTATTGATTATAGACTTCGTCTAAAAAGAAAGAGGGAATTAGCATTAGCTGTAAAAGTATTATATTATTAAGTTAAACTACCCAATTCACCCATTGCAAGCGGTGACGTTTTTGTTTTGACTACACGCCTGACCTTGCTCCTCCTGCTGATGCACACAGCAGAGGAGCCTGGTCTGAAATGTGCAAGATAATTAAACACACAGTACAAAAGTACACATATTTTAAAGTTTAAAGGTTTTTTTAGATTTGAGTCTTGTTTTTTTATATTAAGAGTTTCTGGTCTTAAAAATGTCATCATTAGTAAGATAATAAGTAATCTTTATTTACATAGCGCTTGGGAAAACCCAGAGCGCTCCAAAATTGTTTTGACTTTAGGGAGAAAAACAATCTCTGTTGTTTTTAATTTGACTATAAGGTTGTTTTCCAGAACCAAGGGCACACACTGTACAGGGTCACTGGACTGCTGGAGTGGACACAGAGGGATCAGAACAGTGGCCCAGAGTAGACACCATCCAACCAGCCGCAGATCGTAAAGGCGACATAGCTACCTCCGTGTGCCCCTCCCCCACTACAGACCGATGGTCGTAGGTGGCAGTGAGACCGGGGCCACAAAGTGAGGTTTTCTGTAGGCAGTGGTGGGTTAGTTGTTTTGCAATCTGGAAGTGTGCCCACTTTGCTTGTTTACATCACCACAGTGTGACCTTTGAGACCTACAGGTGGTTCGAGGAGTCTGGAGACACAACCCCAAAATTCACACCCTACACACACACACACACACACACACACACACACACACACACACATACATTCATACACTCACACATTCACATTTACATATAGATACATGAAAAAGTAGAACATGAGAAAAAAGCATTTTAAAAGTTTACTCCAACGTAAACAAATATTTTTAATTGTCTATCACTTGAATCAGTATTTTTTGGGACCAGAAATGTTCATTTGAATTCTATATTGTCATGGACTAACTGACCTCTGTCCTGACACTTTTGATTTGTTGATTTTGTACTGTGTGAAGTAATTACATTGATTAGAATTAGATCTGATAAAAACACAAATTAGAGAAGTAAACTGCGCTTGCTTTTGTCTGAGGGACAGAAGCAACAGCATGAATAGAAATTGTGTTAAAGTAGAATCAAAGTGATTTAACCATAGAAAGTAACTACTGCATAACAAGCTGTGTACAGGAACTGAGACACTGCACCATTGACCAGAAGTGCATCGCAAGTGACCTGATGTGCTTCAAGTGAAAAGACTGTATCTGGAGATCCTGATGTGCATCTGGAGAGACCAGAACCATGGCTTGGACCCTACTGATGTCCAAGATGACATCTCTCGAAATATGACCTGACCTGATGACGACTGAGACTCACCCTCAGGGGACCCTGAGGACCTGAGGACCTGAGAGAGAAAAACTGGGGAGTGATGTTTATATTTTTGAAATCATACCATTGATGAGTGCTAAATGAGAGAGATACTCATGATTCTTTCTTTTGTTTTTGTTTGTCCCTAGCTTCTGGACATCTGATGATCTATTGGACACAGACATTTGCAGAACAAGAACCAGCCAATGAAAAATCATCTATTGCCGATGCTATTGCTACAACCAGAAACTGTGAACAAATGCAATATACATGTTAAGTATTCAAACATCTGACAGACAAAAACTGTCAGAAGTATTAGTATTGTAGCGTTTTTAGTAGTAGTAGAAAGAGTAGAATTTGACTTCCTTTGTTGTTCATAAACATATTTCCACGTAAGAGTTAAAATAGTACCATACAATGTTATCCTTCTGATAGAGCAGATATAATATTAGAATCAGAGTTATGTTACAGCCATTAAAAGTGACAGAAGTCACAAATTAGAAATATGCCTTTGCTCAAGCTGCAGCCGAGCTTTGGAGTAACAGTAGAGTAAAAATAGAAAAATAGATAAATGCATCAACCATAGATTCTTTCAAAAATAGAGATTATTTGTAGCCAGTGCTAATATCAAATGGTAAAGGGACCATTTCACAAGCATTTACTTCAAAAGTAGATAAAGTTAATTACAGTTTATGTACAGTTTTATTAGATACTTGCCAAATTCACTTGTGTTCAAACATCTGTGAATGTTGACAATACAAAAAGTTCATGAAAGTAGCTTAGATCAATGAGATAGATTAGCACCAACAGAGATTCAAAAGCATTTAAAAACATTTTGATGTATTTGTGTGTAGCACAAAAACACAATAGTAGATATTTAGATATTGAGAAGTTTCCAGCACAAATACCATTGTAGAATAACTGACCCCAACCCCAAACCTGCTAAAATAGATTAGCTCTTGTAAGGATAATACTAATTTGATTAATGATTTACATTCATCCCAAACTGCCGAGAGGAGGAAGTGACAGCACTTCCTGGTTCAACAAATATTTGGAAAACTGACCGCCATAATAATGTTCATATTAACCATTTGCCTTACTGTGTTCACAGTTTTATTCCTGAGAATGAGAATAGACATAGAGCAAAATCCCACTGATAATAAGCCACTGATAATGAGAGAAAACCACAGAATAGAGAGATTTATTAGATTAAAATGTATGTTTAAGAATATGGCTCAATATAAGCAAATATGCAAACATATTTGTAAATAGGGTTCCAGAATAGATTAGAATAGTTTTAAACTATAGTGAATAGTAAAAGTAAAGTACACAGTCTAAGATTAAAAAGTGAAAATAATACAGTGAAATAAGATTGAGTGTAGTGTAAACAATCAGCATTAGAATAAAAGTATAGAGTAAGAAAAGTGAAATTAGCTTCTCATTTGAGACTCAGCTCGTTTTTGTCTGTGTTTTGACTGAATCTGCTGAGTTCTTGTGTGTCCAATAGTGTTTGTTTGTTTTTATTTTTGATTTGTTTTTTTGTTTGTTTATTTTTTTCCCAGGATAGAGGATAAAATCCACTGATATTGATTTTGATGATTATGAGTTTAATGCATACATTTTTTTTGTTTTTTAATAATTTTTAAAAGTTTTTTTAGATTTTTTTTTTTTTTTTTTTTTTTCTTTTTCCACTTTATTGATTGATCGATTTGAGTGATCACATGTGATTATGTGATCAAAGGGGAGGGTGTTAGTATTAGATAGCAATATGGCCTACGTGCAGGACTCTACAAGGACTCTACAAGGACTCCATGTTATGACTATGATTTGACTGTCTCTTTGTCACAGGATGATAAATTTGCACATTTGACGTTGCTGTGTGTTTGTACTTTTATTTTGAAGTGTTTTACTATTTGTATATTGTTGTGCTTTTTACTTCCTGTTTGAATTGCCTGGACCCTCGCACCTGTGACAGACCTTGTTAACATAGTTTTACCCAATGAGCTGGGGTGCTGGTGGCGTGGGGGGTGGATTTTATTGGACAGTAAGACATTAAGAGCACGAGGAGCGGGGCATGAAGGCAGAACGGTCTGGCTGACGAGGGCACGGGCAGGACTACGGAGAGCAGGAGGAGCGACAGATCGAAGACGGCAGCACCGGTGAAGCCAGAGTACGACGCTGATCACAGCAGGCGGGCAGAGTAACTCTGCCCCTGCGCGTAAGTAACGCTGAATTAGTGCTCTGGTGTAATTTGGACGAGCTGCTGCTGCCGCCGTGTTTGGTGTCTGGGGCCAAGTGACTGCCTTGAGTTTTTGTCTTCCTCAGCGGCTTTGCCAGCCGGAGGACCAGTCCCGGCTCCGCCACCATCCAGGGAAGCCAGAGTACGACGCTGATCACAGCAGGCGGGCAGAGTAACTCTGCCCCTGCGTAGACTCCGCCACAACACAGCTGGAACCAGCCCACGTGCAAGCCGGCCGTCCACACCCCCACCAGTTTTAACGAGCTCCTATTTTATTTTCTTATTGGCATCATTATCCACTGTTTTTAGTTTTGTAATAAATTATTTCTTAAGATCATCCTAGGGGTTTTTTGATTGGTTACACTGCTTGCCTTGTTTTAAGTGTTTTAGAGGATTCCTATAGGTGGCGTTGTCGGTTTTAAACCTGTGCCACCTGACATAATTTGGCGTTGCTGGCAGGACTCAAGCACGAGCAGTGTAACAATCAAAAAACTGTTTTGTTGTAGGTTTTGTAGTCTATTGGTGGTAAAATGATGATGATGCCAATCTATCCCGGTGCACCATGGTTACCAAAGTTTCATGGGCCAAACAGTGACATTAAGTATGGGGACTGGAAGGAACAAATGTGTGGAATTTTAAATGCACAGGATCTGACTGAACCTAGGAAAACTGGACTTCTACTGGGAGCTTTAGCTGGAGAGGCCAAATCGCAGATTAATGTATTAGATGTTGGAGAGCGGGACACAAGTGTGAAAATTTTTACGTACCTTGACTCGCTGTATGGTGATAATACTTCAATTGCTGCACTTAGGTCTAAATTTTTTGGTTGCATACAGAAACCTACTGAGTCTGTTAAATCTTTCACCCTTCGTTTAAGGGAATTGTATTGTAAGCTGCGGCGGCACAGCCCTGATGACGCACCCTCCGAAAGCAATCTGCAGGACCAAATGCTTCTGGGACTAAGAGAAGGGCCGCTGTCTCAAACCCTCCGAACATATGTACGCCAAAATCCTGACCTGGATTTTACTGCCATACACAATGAGGCCTTGCTTCTGGAACAAGAACAGCGTGGACAAGGAGGTATCAATACGACATGCGCCGCTGCTGTGGGTGAGTCTCAACATTTCACACCGCCTACACCTAGTTGGAGGGAAGCCCTAAAACAAGAAATTCTGAGCGATGTTAAGGACCAGATGAAAGGACTTGCTCAAGAAATCATTAATGAAATAAAACCGCTTGTACAACACTCTGGGCTAGACCATTCCCCTAGGCGCTATCAACCCAGACCAAGGCAAGGAGGTCGGAGTAATTCTAATGAATGGACAACCGATGGCAGACCAATATGCAGGCAGTGCAAACAGGCAGGACATATGTCAAGATTTTGCAGAAATTCCTCTAATACACAATCTTTAAACTAGCCCCCCCCTGCTGCTGAGGCCCAAGCAGTAGGGATGGCCCCTGATGCTAACCATCAGGGGGCCACCACTCAATTTGTTGGAAAATGCCCAACCATTGAAGTTTGTGTTGGTGGGGTGAAAATGATGGGGCTATTAGACACAGGCTCACAAGTTACACTAATTCAACAAAAAGTTATGAAACAGCATTTTTCTCAGGTTGAGGAGGGTACAGCCCCCTTGGTCTTAACGCTCCGGGCGGCAAATGGCCTTAGCATACCATATTCTGGTTATGCAATAATGGACTTTGAGGTGGAAGGCGTAAAGATCCCAGAGAAGGGTGTTGTTATTGTCAAGGATGACTGCTCTACTCATCCACTGCTCATTGGAATGAATGTGATTGGTGCATGTTGGGATGCTGTTTTTAAGCAGGGGAAGCCAGCTCTCTCCCCCAAGAGATGGGAGTCCCAGCAGGTGTGGCGAGAAGCGTTTGCTGTGTGCCGGAGGACCATCGCGACACCACCGGGAGATGGGTTTTTGGGCTACGTCCGACCTGCAAGCCGGCGACCGGTTCGGGTACCACCAAAAAGTGAGATTCTTGTGTGGGGCCGGACGACCAGTGGGCCGTGTGGGGCTGATTATGCTGCAGTTCTAGAGGCTATGCCTGAAGCGGAAGCATGGGGAATAGCCAGAACCCTATCTGTGGTGCGAGGCGGGAGGGTCCCTGTCCGTGTCTGTAACCCACAATTGTACCCAGTCTATATAGGACGCTATCAGAAGCTGGGCCGGTTATACCACGTGGAGGAGGCTGATGTTCAGGGAGCCCGTGACCTGAGCCTGACCATGGGTCCGGATGGTGTCGTAGAGGTTGGCCTAGTAGACACTCCGGACTCCAAAGAGGAACACACCGAAGAGGGGGTGAACAAGCTCGTTGACTGCCCTCATTTGACCCATCAACAACAGCTGGAGCTCCAGGCTCTGCTCCAGAAGTGGAGAAAGGTTTTTGCTACAAATGAAGAGGATTTTGGGAGGACTGACTTGGTTCAGCATCGTATTCACACGGCAGACGCCCCTCCCACCAAAGAAAGGTACCGACCTATACCACCTTCCATGTATAAGGAGATCAAGACCTTGCTCGCAGATATGCTGGAGAAAGGGGTGATACGTGAAAGCTCTAGCCCCTGGGCCGCACCCATAGTCCTAGTTAAGAAAAAGGATGGCAGTTGGAGGTTCTGTGTGGATTATAGGAAGCTTAATTCTGTTACCCACAAGGATGCTTTCCCACTTCCTCGAATTGAAGAAACTTTGACTAGTTTAACCAAAGCAGAATGGTTCTCTACATTAGATTTGGCAAGTGGGTACTGGCAGGTTGAGATGGACCCAAGAGACCGAGAGAAAACTGCCTTCACTACACCAATGGGCCTTTTTGAGTTTGAGCGTATGCCTTTTGGCCTCTGCAATGCACCTGCTACTTTCCAACGGTTGATGCAACAGTGTTTAAGTGGGCAGATAACCGAGTCTCTGTTGGTGTACCTTGACGACGTGATCATTTACTCCCCTGATTTTTTTGCTCATTTACAGCATCTGGAGGAGGTCTTCCAACGATTGTGGCAACATGGACTCAAACTCAGAATGGACAAGTGTAAACTGTTCCAACACGAGGTGAAGTTTCTGGGCCATGTGGTTGACAAGGCTGGGGTAAGACCTGATCCAGATAAACTCTCTGCCGTTTTAGACTGGCCTGCACCAGTGACTGTACGGGAGGTCAGAGCCTTTCTTGGCTTAGCCGGTTACTATAGACGTTTTGTACCAAATTTTGCTAAAATCGCCCGGCCATTAACGGCCCTCCTGGCGGGTGTTTCCGTCAAGAATAAGGCAGAGATTCCAATTCAGTGGTCCCCAGAGTGTCAAGCTGCTTTTGCAAAATTAAAATCTGCCTTGACCCAACCACCTGTCTTGGCCTATGCTGACTTCACAAAGCCATTTGTTGTGTACACAGATGCCAGCCACCAAGGCCTTGGTGCTGTCTTGGCACAAGTACAAGATGATCGGGAACGAGTGATCGCTTATGCCAGTCGGAGCTTGCACCCCACCGAAAGGAATGACGCAAATTACAGTTCGTTTAAATTGGAGCTTTTGGCGTTGAAATGGGCCGTAACTGAAAAATGTAAAGACTATTTGACAGGAGCCAAGTTTACGGTTTTCACAGACAATAACCCTGTTGCCCATTTATCAACAGCCCGGTTGGGTGCTGTAGAGCAACGCTGGGTTGCCCAGCTTGCTTCTTTCAATTACCAGGTTAAATACCGTGCTGGCCGGGAAAATGTTAATGCCGATGCCCTTTCCAGGTTCCCCGCCAATCCCTCCACAGAACTAAGCGGTGAGGTGGCTCTGCTCACTGCAGCTCTGGAGATGGCCCCCACAACTCAGGAGCTGGGGTTACACTTGGAGGAGGACTGGAGGATCTTGCAAGGCGCAGACTGTGATATCCACACAGTGGCCGGGTATGTGGATGCAAGATCAATGCCTGATAGACCAACTAGGCGGTCATTACCGGCAAAAGCCCAAAAACTGCTACAACAATGGGAAAAACTGCAAGTGGTAGATGGGGTATTGTGCAGGAGGGTCCAAGACCCCAAAACCTTCAAGGTTTGTGTCCAGGTCGTATGCCCTACTGACAAGCACCATGAGGTCTGGAGAAGGTATCACGAAGCCGCCGCCCATGCAGGAACTGAAAGGACGCTCTCCAGGATAAGACAGTTCTTTTACTGGCCGGGCATGGACATGGAGGTGCGTCAATTTCAACAGGGGTGTGTCACCTGCAGTTTACAAAACAGGGCTCAGCCAAGGGCCCCGCTAAATCCTTTCATTGCCACTTACCCATTAGAGGTCATAGGCATTGACTATCTGACTCTAGGCAGAGACACTGACCGCTTCCAAAATATCCTAGTCATGACCGACCAATTTACTCGCTATGCTTGGGCAGTCCCCACCAAGGACCAAACCGCAGAGACTACTGTACGGGCTATGTGGGCTACTGTAATCCAGGTCTTTGGTTGCCCTGCCAGGTTCCACTCAGACCAGGGTGCTAACTTCGAGTCGGCCCTGGTTCAGCAGCTATGTCACCTTTATGGCATTAGCAAAAGTAGGACCACTCCCTACCATCCTGCAGGTAATGGTAGCGTAGAGAGAATGAACCAAACCTTGCTAAACATGTTGCGCTCGCTCGAGGCTGAGAGGCAGCACAGGTGGCCGGAGTATTTACCTGAACTTTTGGCAGCTTATAATAATACTGCCCATGGCGCCACCGGCTATGCGCCCTCCTTTTTAATGTTTGGCAGGCACTTGCGACAACCTGTGAACCTAAGTCTAGGTGTGAGCAGACAGCCGCCGCGTTATGACCTGCAGGGATGGGTTAGAGACCACCATCAAAAACTCTCTTTCGCTTATAATCTGGCCTGGCAGAACATAGAAAAAGTGGCAGGTAATCACAAGCGAATCTATGACCGAAAAGCGAATGCCCTTCCGTTAGCCCCCGGCGAGCAAGTGTGGGTCAGAGACCGGAACCGTAAGGGTCAGGGCAAGCTTCACCCAGGCTGGGATCCAGAACCCCATGTAGTGTTAGGGCGGATTGGGGACGCTGGGGTTGTCTATAAAGTTAGGCCAGAGAAAGGGGGAAGGGAAAAGTCTCTCCATAGGAACTCTTTGAAACCTTGCATTGGACCCGTTCACGAGGATTCTGAACAGACTCTTGATGGCCCCTCGGAGACTGCCACGCAGGGCCAAGGACCCTACCACTGCTTCTTGTTTAATCCCCTTGTAGACCCACCAGAGCAGCCACCCAGCCCCCGGCGCTCAGCTAGGTCGAACTTTGGGCTGCCACCAGCTCGTTTTAGCCCAGATGGGGACTAAGGTGACAGGGACTGCCACCCATAAAGTAGGGGGGGATGTCACAGGATGATAAATTTGCACATTTGACGTTGCTGTGTGTTTGTACTTTTATTTTGAAGTGTTTTACTATTTGTATATTGTTGTGCTTTTTACTTCCTGTTTGAATTGCCTGGACCCTCGCACCTGTGACAGACCTTGTTAACATAGTTTTACCCAATGAGCTGGGGTGCTGGTGGCGTGGGGGGTGGATTTTATTGGACAGTAAGACATTAAGAGCACGAGGAGCGGGGCATGAAGGCAGAACGGTCTGGCTGACGAGGGCACGGGCAGGACTACGGAGAGCAGGAGGAGCGACAGATCGAAGACGGCAGCACCGGTGAAGCCAGAGTACGACGCTGATCACAGCAGGCGGGCAGAGTAACTCTGCCCCTGCGCGTAAGTAACGCTGAATTAGTGCTCTGGTGTAATTTGGACGAGCTGCTGCTGCCGCCGTGTTTGGTGTCTGGGGCCAAGTGACTGCCTTGAGTTTTTGTCTTCCTCAGCGGCTTTGCCAGCCGGAGGACCAGTCCCGGCTCCGCCACCATCCAGGGAAGCCAGAGTACGACGCTGATCACAGCAGGCGGGCAGAGTAACTCTGCCCCTGCGTAGACTCCGCCACAACACAGCTGGAACCAGCCCACGTGCAAGCCGGTGTTACGTCGAGCCGCGTTTCCCCGTCAGATACTGTTTCCCCTGCGTCTACTCGCCGCTCCGCCCCGCTCCGCGCCGCTCCACCCCGCTCCGCACCTCGCACGCGGCAAATAGTGCGCGTGCTTGTTCAGCACTCGTAACCAGCGAGCCGTGCTTGCGCGGCGAGGCAACTACAGACACAGTGAAAGCACCTGAGTGAAGTTGGCCCCTACCCCACGCAAAACTCAGTGAAAAATAGCCACACTCGTTAGTGCTGGTTTGTGCAGAAAAAATATTGTTTGTGCTGTTTTGGTTTTTCAGGTATGACAACTTTATATTAATATAGCCTATATATAATATGATATGACAAATAAATAAATAAGTATGTATGTATGTATATATATATATAAATATGTATGTATATATATGTATATATATGTATATATATATATACACATACGTATACATACGTATACATACGTATACATACGTATACATACGTATACATACGTAAATACATACGTAAATCATGTGTATATATACATGTATTCCCTCAGTTTTAAACGGGGGAAACGGTATCTGATGGCCAAATTACCCCCGTCAGATACCGTTACCTCAGTGTTTAACAGGGGAAACGCATCCTGATGGCCAAATAACCCCCATCAAATACCGTTCCCTCAGTTTTAAACAGGGGAAACGCATCCTGATGGCCAAATAACCCCCGTCAGATACCGTTCCCTCAGTTTTAAACAGGGGAACCGCATCCTGATGGCCAAATTACCCCCGTCAGATACCGTTCCCCCTGTGTTAAACGGGGGAAACGGTATCTGACGGCCAAATTACCCCCGTCAGATACCGTTACCTCAGTGTTTAACAGGGGAAACGCATCCTGATGGCCAAATAACACCCGTCAGATACCGTTCCCCTTGTGTTAAACAGGTGTATATGAATGGTGCCATCACTTTAAAGTAGTAGCACCATCACTTGGACCTGAATATTTTTTCATAGAAACATTGCAGTTTTTTTTACCTTTAATGTCCCCTAATTTAACATTATGTTTATTCTCCCAGGTCTATTAGAAATGAATGATCACACCTTTTACCAGAACTGTAACATTTTTTAATAAGAAATAACACTGAACAAATGCTCAAGTTGTGGCAAAGTTTCCACATCTCCTCTTCCCTCAACAGGCTTCACAAATGAAAGCTGCTGATGTGTCTGAACATCCAGAGCACTGTAATGACAGTTTTTAGAGTAATTAAATTAGAACCAGTCGCAGCAAATACACGGACGACTGGGCCTTTAATCAATGCAGAGACGGCCGTCTGACGCCATGCTGAGTTTGCAAAGGCCTCTGCTGTCTGCTCCTTTCACACCTAAGACAAAGGCCTTCCTGTGTCTTGCGCTAAAACAAAAGGTGATGTTTGCATGATAATCTCAGCCCATGTGACGTCACGGTTTTGGGGCCCTGCTGTGCGCCTCCTGAGTATATGTATTGGTACAGTAGCTGTGCCCCGGCAGAGCTCACGATGCAAGACTGTATGTCGGCTCTCCGCATATATATGTGTAAAATAAATGTGTTTACATCTTTGATTTAAGACAAATACCTTTCCAGCTTTTTCCTTACTATGGATAGAAACTGCCACGGACAGTTTGGCGTTGCTGGCATGTCTTGGCCTGGGTTTTTTTCGGCGGGGACGAGCGGGTGCGTTCGGCCGACCTGGAACAAAACCAGCCTCCGCTCTATTTGGAGACGAAAGGAGGGCGCGCTCGTCCGGCGCATGAAAAGAATCTTTGGCCACACAAGACCAAAAAGAACCTGATTTGTGGTGAGTTTTGTCTTTTCAAACATGTAAAGCCCAGGGCAGCGCTTAAGTGTACACGGGTATTTGATTTATTTACGTATTTTGGGGTATTTTGTTCATTGCCATTTGTGTAGGGTATGAGATTTAAGCTAGCGGCTGCGTGTTAGTATTGCTCTGTAAGCAACCCTGAACTCTTTGTGCCTTCAGCCGGGCCCGGTCCGTTTCAAGAATGCGCGCCCGTTAGGTGTATTGAACTAACGGGGGGGGGAACGGATCGCTCCAGAGTGAGGAAGAGCAGGGAGAGACTAAGCGGGCTAGATCCATTTGTTCTTTAAGAGAAAATGGAGGGAAGTACACTAGAAAGGGATTCAGACGTCCCGTAACAATGGCAATGGAAAAACGGTTGCAAATTATGTGCTGCTCATTCGGATCTTCCGGAGGGAGGTTTTTTTTTATGTCCTTCAATCGATTACGCGTCTTGCGTGAAAATTAGAAGAAGGAAGGGAAATATTACTTGGTTTTAAGAATATCACGGCAAAAGACGTTAGAGAAAGAAATATGTAAAAACAATAGCTCCTCCGCTTTTCACCGAAGCGGAGAACACACAGGCGAACGCGTAAGGCGATCAGCCCCGAGAAATATTCCCCAAACTCCCCTACTAACAATAAGTGCGCACCCAAACAAGGCGTTGGGTTTTTAAAAAATGAGCAGACTACTGTTGTCCCCTTTTTCCTCTCCCTGTCCAGGTCTGTCGGCGCTTTCCTCCGCGCCCTGCCCTCCGCCTCAAAGCCCCAGCCCCCACGCCCCAACCACGGCGGCGACTCACAGAGTCTCTCGCACCAGCTGATACCCCGCGAGAAGTGGGCCCAAACCCGGGAGCAGAAGAAGAAGCGGCGGAAGCAGATACACGCTCAGGAAACCGAAGCTCACGACTCACTCCGTGGACACATTATGTGAGACACCGACAACTGCTTTGGAGGCCAGAGACAAACTGCTCCAAATCCCGTGACTGTTGCCCCACGGAGGCGGCAGCGTGAAACACCAAACGCACCCGCTGAAACCCCGTTGAAAGTTGCCCCCGCACAGCAAACAGAAGAAGCCATTGGGACCGGCACGTTTGGTTATTAACCAACCCTCATGGACCACAGGCTAACGTTATTTGAACGCTTTGGGCTACCTGGGCCTCCTGCGGACTTTGAGAAACTTAAGTCATAGGTGCCAGAGCCAGGACTACGGTGCTGCGGAGCGCGCAGGAACATGTGTCACGGACTGGCGGCAGCTTTTCCACAGCCCGGCGGAAAGACTGTGTGCTCGACATGTGTCGAAGGACTGTTACCGGAGGAGGCGTTAAAGGCAGAGGACCTCTCAAGCTCACACGGGGCCAGAGGACGGCAGAGGCGGGCGTGGAGGAAACACGAGCGACTGATCAAACCCGGGTTCACATTCGTCACCAAAGCGACCGCTCATGTCACGTAAGTTTGAACAAGAACAAATTGCAATTGGCACTTTTTAGAGATAATTCATGCTGAATTCCCGTAATATACGCTAACAATCTGTGGTGTAAAAGTTAAAATTCTGGATGATTCAGGGACAACAAATCCTGTGTTAAAAACAAAACATAAGGTGACAGATTTTGGTCCTTTCTCAAATGAGTGGTCGCTTCACAAAACTCATGGCTTCAGTGTAGTGAAGATAGGCTAACGGAGTACGTTTATTGGGATAGGCACGACTCCGCGGTATTACCTAACGTGTTTATCGACCCACTGTGCTCCACTTTGCACACAGTTTTGTCCGAACCCACGTCTGCAGCGTGGAGGGAGGTCCCTGCATGTATTAATAAGTGTAGCAGTGCTGGAGGCTGGACACAGGTCCAAGATGGACACTCGTGGTTCTCCAGAAATGCAAACGCATGGAGAAGCCCTTTTTTATTTTTTTTACGGTGTTGTCCCTCCTTTCGTCTCCAAATAGAGCGGAGGCTGGTTTTGTTCCAGGTCGGCCGAACGCACCGCTCGTCCCCGCCAAAAAAACCCAGGCCAGAATTACATACCCCAATAAAGGAAAAAGCTGGAAAGGTATTTGTCTTAAATCAAAGATGTAAACACATTTATTTTACACATATATATGCGGAGAGCCAACATACAGTGTTGCATCGTGAGCTCTGCCCGCGCCAGTCCCAGGTCCCCGTTTACATAGGCAACAGATGAAAGACAGTCACGCCCACAAAAGGTGGGAGGGGTCACAGTTTGAGACGGGCATCCAGATGGCGGGGCGCCTTGCCTGGTGAGAGACAATCTTTGTGCCATGGAGATGCAAACAGAAGGGACAATAGACATGCAGAATGTAAAAGGGGCAAAGGTGAGATAGTAATTTGCGTCATGTCTGTCAATGCAGGGGGGAAACCGGTTCCTTCCTGCAGGTTAATTGAATAGAACAGCGGGGGGTGAGTTGGCGTCCTTGAGGCTAACCAACTTGCCATAACAACGGTTCTCTGGCCGCAGGAAGAAATGTGTGTTCTGGCCCTGACAGCATCACTTCAGCCCCACGGGGGGCGGGGGTCATGCTGCCAGCGCCGTATGCAGCGACCACGCCGGGGCTGCACACGGTCCCACTGAAGGATTTTGAATAGGCCTGACAAAATTGGAGTGGCTTTTTGGATTTTTGCCACTTGTTTGGGTTGAATGAAACCGTACATTAAGGAGTTACATGCTGGTTTGAATCTTGTGTTTTAGTGCCTTTGACTCTCCACCAAGTTTGCATAAAAGCAAAAAACAAAAACAAAGAGATAAACCCTAACAAACGGTGTGAAGGGTTACAATTTTATCCCAACGGAGATCTGTTTCATAATCTGATGGACAGATGCCAAAATGCATACCTAAATTCAACATGATCAGAGGGTTGAAACAATTTTTTATTTTCTAAATTGGCTGGCCAAAGCTGATCTTCTAAACTGAATTAAACAAAGAATGAACAATCAACATGGTGAAATCAAAATGGGACTTATTTTTATCACACTCTTGTGGGGCAAAAAGCCAATCACAATAGTGCATGACGTTGGTCACTCAGGTCCTTATTGTTTTAATGCTTTTGAATTTACTTTTTACGTAGTTTTGGGGTTGTGGTTTTTGACATTTTGATTTATTTATTTTTCCTTTTTGCACTGCGGTGGTGTCTTATTTTTCTCCACTAGTGGAACGGATGGGTGAAAGACGATCACGCTTTCAAAATAAGAGCGCTCAACAAATTCTGGGCTGAAAGATATGAAAAGATATGAAATTTGATGGCCTGAACAAACATTTTTTTTTACAATGACTTTCTGACCTGACCTGACAACTTACTGCGCAAGCGTTTTTGTTTGTGTTGATGTCATTGTGTGTCCCAGTTGATCGTTGTGTGTGTGTGTGTATATTTGATGTGCGTTTCTGGTCATTTATTTACAGGCATATGACCACAAACACGACCCGCAGCGGACACAGGATAACTGTGTCCGCTGGATAAATTCTGGATAGATTCTTGCTTTTCCTTTTTTTTCAACAGGCTGAGCAGTGCATTTAATGACAACTAACCACTAACAAACTGACACATAACACACCATTGTTTCATTTGAATAACTTGAAACTAACGAACCGTTGCTGTTTCTTTTGGAGCAGGATTCCACAGGTACAGACCGGCTGCTGGAAGTGTGAGAACATACGAGTGTCGACAATTTTACAACCGAGTCTGTTATGTTGTGTGTTCTGATTTTTATATTGTTTGCCCAAACACCATTCAGCACAAGCTGGTCCCGGTCGCTGGGGCTCGTGAGCAGGCAGCGGGCGAATGCAGACAAGGCAGACAAGGCATACCTGCCTCTGCCCATATGCAGGCACTGGCTACTCCAGACGAGATGGAGCTGTGGGCGAAAAATGGCCTTGGTGGGTTGCTGGGTAAACCTCAAACCGGGTTTGCCACAGCATTTCTTCAGAGACTTTGTGCCTTTAGCACATGGCCGAGACCATGCCTGAAAAGGAGGGATGTGTAACTTAAATTACACACAATTGAGGTTCTGCCAAACCTTTAGCACAGAACCCGGGTAAGTTCCAAATTATTCCTTAGGCTGCCCATGCCCCGCCCCATCGCACCATGCCAAGGTAAGAAATACTGTCTGTCTGGTTCTGGTGGATCTCTGGTCCAAATGGACTGAAGTATTTGCATGTAAACACGCCACGAGCAATGCGGTGGTGAAAGCTCTGTTCACAGAAATTGTGCCACAATGGGGTGTCCCGGAAAGGAAAAAATAAAAATAAAATAATAATAATAATATATAATTTCTAGTGACAATGGCAGTCACTTTGTAGCAAAATTATTGAGGAAGTAGGTCACTTTCTGGGCATTGATATAAGGAAACATTGCGAGCGAGAGAATGGCACTCTGAGGTCAAAACCTAAACCCATTCGAAACCCTCTTTGCCAGACCGCCCAACTTGGGAGCGGGACCCCGACCTAGAGATCTGCCATGCACCTTTTGTGTGATGACGACATGCTGTCCTATTGTAAAGAAATGAATGCACTACTGTAATCTATTTCTGCCTAGGTCAGGAGCGCCCTGCCACAGGCGGTGCAGGCGGCTCTGCACGAGATCGAGCCATACGACTGGGTCCTGGTGAAGGAGACAAGACGGAAACATGGATCCCATCCTCATCCTCCTGGTGACGGACACGGCCGCTAAAGATCGCAGAGAGGACAGCTTGGATCCACGCCAACCACTATCGTGCAGCGCTGCCACCGAGGGCCATAGACGAGGACACCGAGGGTCGGGACGGAGCAGGCATATTCACGGCCCCCTAAGCATAAGGGGCCGGCCGGCGTGAGAACTCCGTCACTGGAGCAGGCCCACAACAACAACAACACCCAGAGAATCCCAGCGTTCCCGAGGCGCATCCCCAGGAACAACACGACGTCCCATCTCCCTTGCCCTCGGACCCCAAGGTCACACCCCGAAGTGCCGAGGCCAAAGCCCCAACGCGATTAGGGTCTTGCCGCTCCAAGACCGAACATCGCCATGACCACTAACGCTTCACACACGCTCAGAGGGAGCGGTGCCCCTGAACGCTCGTGAGCATTTCCGCGGAAAAGACTACAGAACCCCCGCGTAGCAGGCTAATACCGGCATGGGCCCGTGGCATATTATGTTGGACACACTGTCCGCACTCTTATCGCTGTCCGGATCCATTGTGTTATTATAATGTGCTCTTTCTTTTATTGACAAACATGTTTCTTTTCTTGTCCACTTTGGACAGCAATAATTTAAGTGTTTCAAGCTTGAAGGTGATGTGATTACGATGCCTCTGGTATTTAACTGATTAATGCAAAAATGGTTTTGAATTATCAAAAGAGGGGAGTGTAATGACAGTTTTTAGAGTAATTAAATTAGAACCAGTCGCAGCAAATACACGGACGACTGGGCCTTTAATCAATGCAGAGACGGCCGTCTGACGCCATGCTGAGTTTGCAAAGGCCTCTGCTGTCTGCTCCTTTCACACCTAAGACAAAGGCCTTCCTGTGTCTTGCGCTAAAACAAAAGGTGATGTTTGCATGATAATCTCAGCCCATGTGACGTCACGGTTCTGGGGCCCTGCTGTGCGCCTCCTGAGTATATGTATTGGTACAGTAGCTGTGCCCCGGCAGAGCTCACGATGCAAGACTGTATGTCGGCTCTCCGCATATATATGTGTAAAATAAATGTGTTTACATCTTTGATTTAAGACAAATACCTTTCCAGCTTTTTCCTTACTATGGATAGAAACTGCCACGACAGCACACATGGTGAAACCACCTCCCACAAACATCACAGGATATCTGCAGAACAAAAAGAGTTAGATTTAATGTACTATATCATTTTAATTTCTTTTAATGTTTCATCTAATATTAAAAAATATTATTGCCTAAGAGTGTAAAGCATTGATCTTAGGATCTATATGCAAGATGAACAGTGTTTAACAATGTTTACTGCCAGTGTGTCAATAGTATTAAGGGAGACAGATTCATAATGCACCCAAAATTCTTTTAAAAAGATTATTAAGTATCATTCTTAAATTGTTATTTTGCCCCTACCCTGTAGGATACTTTTTTCTGCACTTTCGTCAGGATTGCTATTATCATTCCTAAATATGAAAATTATGATAATGGTCATGTAATAAAAGGTACTGTAAAGTCAGTTAATCATCAGTTTACTTCCTTTAGTAAGTTGACTGATGCAAGGCCTCATCCAGAAAGATGTGTAGCTTGTAAGAGCTCCTTTGTGGCTCTTTGTGAGAAAGTCCCAGTCACAGCAATTTACTTGTGTGTTTACTGTTTTCTTCAAGCCATATCGGGAGATTATGTACCTACCCTGACAACATCAGGTGGAGGGATGAATGTTGTCTCTTCAACAGGTGGAGGGATGGATGCAGGTTTTCCAGTTTTTAGAATGTTCTGAGGGATAATGTTTTGTTGTTCAATGAAAATCTTAAGCTGATCTGTGTTGACTTTTGGGAAAAAAGCGGTTTCGGATTGCAAATCTGCACTTTTATTTACAAGTTTGACTATGGTGTATGGTCCGGTCCAGTTTCTTTCCAATTTTCCACCCTTCCTCTGTTGGCTTCTGATGTTGAGCCGTAGAACTTTGTCCCCAACCTTGAAAGTTTGGGGTTTTTGATTTGGGGTCTTGTATTTTTTGTGAGTTTTTTCCATATTTTCCTGAACTAATTTATAAATTGCATCCCTTTTTTTATTGACTCCACCACCGACTCCTCCCCCAGAGTGTCCTCAATTTTGCTGTCAATCTGGGGTAAAAGAAAATAAATATGCAGATTTCAGATACCTTAAGAAGGTGTCCACTCTCAAATATTAGTCTTTTCTGAAGTGAAAACATAACTACCACACAAATATTTTCAGAAACTTTATTATAAACAGGTGGATGAACTTGGAACATAAGTGTGAATTATCAGAAATTTGGTTTACCAAAATTTTAATTATAATAGCAGTTTTCTTGTCCATTAGTAATGTAATGTTTTACATTATGATGAAATACCACCAGAGATACTGCAGTGTTAATTTTAAATTTCTAAAAATTTTGATGAAGAGTCAAGAATAAACGTGACCTAAAATAATGTCTTAACATCTACAGGGCTCTTCATGTAGAATGTAATCAAGACAGATGAAATCATGTCTCACCAGGATGTTCTCTGGAACCTCACATGGCAGACGAGCCTCTCTTCCAAAGAGGAGGAAGTATGGTGAGAACTTGGTAGTTGACTGTTTTTTGGTTCTGATCCCAAACATCACAGGATCCAAGTACGTGTCCCAAGTTTCTGGTCGCTCACTCACAAGTTTGCACAGTGCTCTGAAAAGCAAGATTTTATCACGTTCTTGCTAAATTTACTGAAAGAAGCTACCAGCCACTATACCAATGTGGACAAATTTACTAAGCCAGTGCTCGGAGTATTCAACCTAAAGAAATTGATAACAAATTCCGTAATCATCACAAAAAGGGGAGGGGGCACACAAAAGGGATTCCACTACAGCTGGCCATTAACTTCAGGGGTGCACAAGATCACACCATGATAAGATGAAAATTTGCAACAGCACAGCAAATAATGGCATCAACACTTGCTGGAGAGGAACCTATGGGAAGCCAATCTATGTTTCTGTACATGATCGATGACATCTTTAGGTCACTCCCAGCACACAGGCTGATTATTACCACATTGTCAAAGAGGACAAAGTTTGTACTGGCATAATGTTCAGACAGAATGTTGAAATGCCTGCACTGAACTTAAAAAAACGCAAACCTTTGAATAATTACATATAATTCTGAAATTGTAATTACCTTTGAATCGTCCCATTGTGCTTTTCTACCAGCCCATTGGTCTGCGGATGATAGGGAGCACAAAGGCTGCGCTCAATGTTCAGCATTTTGCACAGCTCCTTGTTCAACTGTTGGTCAAAAACGAATCATTGCTTTAACAGATAAACATCAACAAGAAAAAAATGTGATCACTAAATGACAAACCAAACTGTTTTATACAGCATCACACTCCAGTCCATAACACTCAAAAGTATTTAAAAACACACCTCATTCACAAATTCTTTGCCCTGGTCAGTCAGGATTCGCTTTGGGCCCCCAAAGCGATAAAAAAACTTTAAAATACACTGGGCAACATCTGCTGCTGTTTTGGACGGCAGAGGATAGGCTTCGGACCATTTAGTAAAATAGTCAATCATGACTGCAATATACTCATTCCCAGCCTCTGTTTTCACAACCTTGCCTATAAGGTCCATCCCAACCAATTCAAATGGTTGACTCACCTGAAAAAGGAAAAGAAAATAGAGAAAAGCACTTTTGACCAGGAATAATAAAATATCCTTCATGTGGTGTTTTGAAATGTGTGTCACTTACTTCAATTGGGATGGGTTTTGTCTCCTGCTTAATTGTCAGTGCACTTTTCTGGCATTTCACACATTGACTGACCTAAAGAACCACATTTTTTTCAATAAAATGTCACAAAGCTGTTGTAGATGTATGACTGGAAAGCGCTATATAAGTGCAAGCCATTCATCATTTACCCTGTCAAATATTATACTATAATAATGTACAAGATACCATGGTTTCTGTTTGTTAGCTTTGATTTATAAGAAATACCTACCCACTTGTCGATGTCTTTGGACATGCCTGGCCAGTAAAACCGTCTGCTTATAGCATCTCTGGTTTTAACTATGCCACAGTGGGCACCATAAGCACTGGCATGAAACTCTCTGAAGATTTGTTGTGCTTCCTCTTTTGCAGTCACAACCTTTCTCTTTGATTGACTGCTTCCCTTGCAGTAATACAATACTTCATCTGTCAAAATATCACAAGTTGATGATAAAAATGAAAACAAAGCATAGGCTACACATTGCTTCATCAACTTAAAAAAAAAAAAAAAAAGAACTTTAATATTCCAGTATGAATGTATGTGAATGGGACTCGTCCTGAAGTGGTTAGTGTTGTGCCGAGAAGTAGCCAGAGTAATTATTCTAAACATCCTCAAATATGCTAATAATATTTACTTGGATGCAGTTGCTATATACAAAAAGACAGAACTGATATAAATGTCGTGTTGGGTCATAATTTTCTAACCCACATTGGGCCGACAGATTTTTAAAGTCATTAATTTCTTTACTGTTCAGTGCGACAGGTTTAATTACCTTTAAGTAGCCTAATTATTCAATTGGGTATATCATTGGGGCTAAGTAAGGTTGCTGATAATTCCAGTGTAGTCCAAATTAAAAAAAAAAGTAAATACGGCTATGCAATAGGTACGACACAATTCTACATACCCGAAATAACTTATCGCTATATAAATTAGGTAAGGGAAAGACTAGAGGCCTTTGACCAACGGTAAATTTTAAGAACAAAATATACTCACCATCAACTGCAAAGTCCGCTGCCCGCCGCCTTATAGAATATTTTTGACTCTTAGTAGAGCCTTCGGGGTAGCTTCCAATGGATAGATACTGGACAATATTGTTATATGTTGACGGGTCCATCCACGAGTGCTGAACAAGCACGCGCACTATTTGCCGCGTGCGAGGTGCGGAGCGGGGTGGAGCGGCGCGGAGCGGGGCGGAGCGGCGAGTAGACGCTGGTTACGAGTGCTGAACAAGCACGCGCACTATTTGCCGCGTGCGAGGTGCGGAGCGGGGCGGAGCGGCGCGGAGCGGGGCGGAGCGGCGAGTAGACGCTGGTTACGAGTGCTGAACAAGCACGCGCACTATTTGCCGCGTAGCGGCGCGGAGCGGGGCGGAGCGGCGAGTAGACGCAGGGGAAACAGTATCTGACGGGGAAACGCGGCTCGACGTAACACCGGCCGTCCACACCCCCACCAGTTTTAACGAGCTCCTATTTTATTTTCTTATTGGCATCATTATCCACTGTTTTTAGTTTTGTAATAAATTATTTCTTAAGATCATCCTAGGGGTTTTTTTGATTGGTTACACTGCTTGCCTTGTTTTAAGTGTTTGAGGATTCCTATAGGTGGCGTTGTCGGTTTTAAACCTGTGCCACCTGACATCTTTGTGACACGTATGTCTTTCGATGTGTGACGTGACAATGACTATATAAACTGTGTACTGCCTTTATTCTGTCTGAGAGAAAGAAACAGAGTAAACCAGTGGAACTTGAGAAACTTAAATAAACTTCCAGAGTTTGGCGCACCACGATCCGTCTCTGTCTGTTAAATCCTAACAACAGCATAGGACAGCTCCTCCAGAGGACAGCAGCTCCTCCAGAAGACAGCTCCTCTAGAGGTTCATGGTCAGTGACAAGAGACAATTGTCTCTTTAAGTGTTTAAATCATGCACAGTTTGTATAAATAGTATTTTATTGCAATGATAATATTGAAGCATCTGAAAGCAGAAAGCTGCCTTTTTGTTCAGAATATACAATTGACATCCCATAGCGAGGCCATAATATACAGATACACACAAAACACAGATACACACAAAATATAGATATACACACACAACATTTGGCTGTCACAGGTGCAGAAACAATATTAAATCATATACAAAAAAAGACAAAAGTGCAAATGTTTGAGTCATGAGTGAAATACGGATTAATATGTAAACATACAAGTATGAAATTAACTGAATTTATTTCATTCCAGATTGACAGCACTTGGGATAACAAGAGGAGAAACTCCGTTGCCGTTTTGACAACAGCCGCTAGGTAGCGCTTTTGCCATTTTGGACTGAACCAGAGATGGATACTATAGATACATACTATACAACAATAACATTATGTCTAAAAAAATAAATAACAGTGCTCTGTATAAACTGATGCCAAAACGAAAGTACAACTAATTTTCATAGAGCTCCAGAGAGAATTGTTGTCATAATTTTTATTTGTTATTGAACGGAACTTCTAACATTAACGTCAACAGGTGTAACGTAGAATGTATGTTACAATGGATCTTTTTTTTTCAGACGCTATAAGATTAAACTTATAAAATTTGGACTTTAAAGCCAAGCGCAGTAGTAAAAAAATGTTTTAACTAATAAGTTTCCTTTAACCGCTTAGTCTACCTGTATTCTATGACAATGTGTTGCGTGCAGTACAAGATGGCCGGCACTGCGGCCCAGTTACGGCTGCGTTTGTTGCAATGGGACGTTCTATTGAGTTTCACCTCTTGGTACTCAATAGAACTCAATAGAATACTTGGTACTATACTCTTTGTTCTGCCCCTGCAGAGGAGATGACCAGGACCTCTGCTCAGTCCAGCTCCATGGCCTCATTTGTGGAGCTGATCTTCAAAATTCAACTTGATCAACATCTAGACTTAGCAAAAATATAACCAGTAGAATACAGGCAGATAATGGTCTGACCTACAGCGACGCATGGGGGTGGAAACATCATGCTTTGGGGCTGTTTTTCTGCAAAGGGACCAGGATAATTGATCTCATGTATCCTGAGATTTGGAGTGAAGACCTCCTGTGTCTGTGTGTGAGTGCGTGTGTGTGTGCGTGTGTTTGTGTGGCAGTAATCCTCAGATCACGACAACGTCTCAGTCTCAGTGGACGGCTTGGGTGAAGTGTCTCTTTCCGTCCAGATACAACATCGACTCTGAAAAACACACATTTGTGACCACAGAGACCTTAGAGTGACCAGAGAGAAACCAGAGACAGAGACCAGAGACAGAGACCAGAGAGCCAGAACTACCTCCGTAGGTCTCGGGTATGATGCTTGGCACGTCCCGGTCCGAGCTGAAGGTGAAGTGGAAGACGTTGGTGGTGTTGTGCGTCTGCGTCAGGGGATCGTAGACCTCACTGTGAACACGAACTTGGATGTGTTTCCCCTCAGAGTAACACACCTGCAGCAGAAGCAAGCATCACAGAGTAAATGTGTGTCTGTGTCTGTGTGTGTCTGTGTCTGTGTGTGTCTGTGTCTGTGTGTGCCTGTGTCTGTACCTGTGAGGACAGCAGCAGCAGAGAGCCGATCTCCACAGGTTTCTGGAACAGGATGTCATCCACCGCCACAAGACTGGGACGACACGACCTGAAGCACACGAGTCATTGAGTTTATTTGGATAGCACAAGGATTCAGTCAGACACATACATACAAACACACACTCAAAAAAAAAAAACAGCACATTTTGGCTCAGATGAACAGGACAGTTTCCTCTCACCCGAAGGAGCAGGCGTTGGCCCAGCCGAGCTCGTAGGCCTTCCTCATCAGAAACCCCCCGAAAATACGATTAAATATGTTCCTCTCCTGAAAAACACAAACCCACATGAGGACAGACCAGAGAGAGACAATAATTTTGTTTCGACACAAAAAGCCTGTATAATAAGTGTGTTATTGTATCCAAAAAACACATCCCCTGCCCCCCCAGGCCTCTGAAGCGTCTCTGACCTGAGGATGGCAGATCTCCAGTCCCTTCAGTTTGGCGTCCTGCATCCACACAGAGTTTGGAGGAAGGACTCTGCTGCGGAAGCTCACTGTCCTCAAATACAAAAAAATAACACCAGAGTTTAAAAATCTATAAAAGTTGGGGTAAAAAACTTTAAAGCAGGGGTATGAGACTTTTAGACCACACCAATAGAACGTGTTACTTATAAATGTATTTTACACATTAACTTTGGACAAAAATGTTCAAGGCAGTCTCCCTCAGAGATAGAAGGAGGAGCTGAGTCACACAAGAGGAGCTCGAAGTAGTGCCGCTGCTCCTCCACAGAAAGGACTTACTTGTGGTCCAGCGTGTTGAGGAAGAGGCTGTGCACAATCTTTCTCTCTTCAGCAGTCGGAGCCACTTTGAGCAGGGACGCTGTGCTGAGCGTCACACGGCGAGATTTATTCTCTGGAAAAACACAGACGTGTTAAAACAGACACACACACACACACACACACACACACACAATCTGTACCTTCTCCTTCCTGGAATAGCAGCTCCTCCTCTGGTCCCTGTGGCTTCAGTGGATTCACATATGCAGCTCTGAGATTAACAGAAACATTTTGGGGTTAAGACAAAGTTCAGCTCTGGGGCCCTCTCTCTGGGGCCCTCTCTCTGGGGCCCTCTCTCTGGTCTCACCTCTTGTTCTCCGGGTCTCTAGCCACCATGACGAAGGTGGCATCCAACACTGGTGCGTAGGCTCCATCTCTGAACTGCAGCACAAACAAAGAGTCAGACAGACCACCCCCAACGCGAGCCGCTCACAGCTGTCGTGTGAAGCACCTGGCTCATGTGCATCTTGGCTTCAATAGAGGTGCTCCCCACCCACGTCACATGACCCGTAAACTTGATGTCACAGTCTGGGTAGATCACATGGTGCCTCATGTCTGAAACACACAAATAAATTAGACCACAGAGAGACCAGACAGGGAAGACCTTAGAGATATCCAAAAGAGAAAGAGCCCAGAAAAAGACCCGGAAGAGAACATAGAGAGAGACCAGAGAGACACCAGAGACCAGACAGAGAGACCAGGAAGATACTAGAGACCAGAGAGCGCGAGACCAGTGAAGAGAGACCAGAGAGAGAGACCAGACACTGATACCAGCAGTTAGGGAGAAAATAAACAGCAAAACATACCAATATATTGATAACTGGTCAACCCCTCGTTTAGAGTTACGGCAGAGGGGAGACGCTGTACTTTCAGACCACACCAATCAAACAGTTGCTTCTTTCACTAGTTTTCACATATTGTATTTCTGGCATCTGTCAGATCAGCGCTCAACAAAAAACAGTCCCAGAGTTGCTGAGAGTGCTAGATTCTCACCAATCTTGTCAACAAGGGCTGTGACGATAGAGAGCGGAGATCTCTTCAGCGTGGGGTTGTACGTGTGTGAATACGAGATCAAGACTGAGGAGAAAGATCAGTTAAATTAAATAAGGTAAAAGAGACCAGAAAGGGAGATTTCTTTTTCGAAATTTCTATCACAAATGTCTTTTCCTACAGTGCTGTCATAGTATAAAGCAGCCATTCCCAAACTCAGTAACACCGAGGCCCCCTTAAAAATCTGACGGGTCTGCGTGGCCCCCCCAAAATAATAACCAAGAAGACAACATTAAGAATAGGCTCTTCTGGTTATTTTATTTTGGGGAAATAGCCTCTGCTACAAACATTGTAATACAAAAATGATTACAGTGGATTATTCAAGTCAAATAATGAACACAAATATTTTAATATTACAAACAAATATTATTATTATTATTTTTTTTATGACCTCCCGCGGCCCCCCTGCAGTACCCTCGCGGCCCACCAGGGGGCCGCGGACCCCACTTTGGGAGACACTGGTATAAAGGAACGATGTGACCAGTGTTCCCTCTAAGCTACGCGTGTGTGCAATCGTGTAGTGCTTTTAGGGTCCCAGCCTAGTTAAAGCACAGAAAATACAAATCCAGCCGCGTATTTCTACAGTGTATGGCTTCATTCTCTGACTAGAAAAAGTCAGAGCCGAAAGCTCCGTTTGCCAAAATAGACGTTTGAAGCTATGTTTGATCCAGAACAGGGCTCGGGCCAACCTCACTCAGTCTTGCAGGTCGATGACGGTGACACACACACAAACAGACACAGACAAAGGCACAGACACACAATGAACAGGAGAGTCCTGCTTACGCATCTCTTTGCCCAAATTGTTGTTGTTAGCACTTATCTTTTCACTTATTTTACCAGCGCCCCCTTCAGTTCAGCACAAAGTTGAGTAAAGCTGAGTAAAGTTGGTTTTGTGGCAATATGACTATCATTATCTTTAAATAATTTATCGATGTGTTTCGTTTCCTAATGCCATATGACTAAATAAAACAATGTCTACCATTTAATAAAATAGACTCTACTTAGTCTATATTATAAATATGAATAGGCTAAATCCTCTTTGAATATTTGAATCAGGAAGTTTCTTGATCAGGTGAATACTGAACCAAATCATCATTGATGGAACCTGAAGTAATTTAAACAAATGAGATCGCAGCAGTTGTATACAGCAGATATATTGAAATGTGAATCGTTTTCAAGAGTGATCTCTTAGTGCTCCACATGCCGCTCAGGGTGTTTGTGTTTGTGCTCAGAACCATGAAAAATTAAAGGAAACACTGAATGTGACACTGACATTTGCCACAGAATTGTGTTGGCACTGACCTGCCAGACTGTCCAGGTCCTCAAGGATTCTGCCAAACCTGAAACAGCGACAAAAACAGAAAAACTATTGATTCAGTTATTACACAGGCTCCACAACACGAGGAAAGGCTTTCTGATAGATGTCACTCTCAGACCACAGCAACACAACTGTAATAAACCCATGTCTCTTGTTCCAGGCTCTAAGCACTGGTCTAACACTTGTTTTCACATGCGTCAGATCAGAAAGATCACAGCTTTAATTCAGTACCTGACAGTGTTGTGGAAGGTCAGGTACTTTTCTCTCAGCTGAGGCTCGGAGCCCAGGGGCAGGTGTACCTCCAGAAAACTGTCCTTCATGGACTTTGGGGGAAGTGCGCTCTGAGAGGAGGCCAGCATAGAGGACAGAGACACGCGCTCAGCTAGGGCCTGCTGGTGGTCACTGCAAACATACCATCAGAGATACAAGATGACCTTCAAGATAGACTAAACCATCAACAGCTGTGAGTGAAAATCTGTCACATTTCAATCATTACTGAACATTCACTGTAGATCAGATCTAGTGCCTCAGTCCTGGATCTACAGCCTCGGCCCTGGACCTACAGCCTCGGCCGAGGCTGGACCTCAGTCCGAGATCTGGTTCTTTGCTGATGCAGGAGGGTCTAAGGGCAGCGATGATCTGGGGACTTTCTGCACATTTATTCATGTTTCTGTACAGTAGCCATGCCGCACCCTTTGGCCCAATGGCTCCTATGTGTTTGTTAAAGTATTCTGTGATTTAAGATTATACAAAACTAAATGAATATGTTGGAAACGCAGACCCACCTCCAGTTGGTCGACGCCCCCACAATCTCACGCAGTCGGTTACGCACTGAAACGCAATGTCCTCCGTTAGAAACACAAACAGTCAGAGGGACGGAGGCAGATTAAGGAAGCAGACAACCAGTTGGTCAGAGCTCTGTACATAAGGAAACTGCCCATATAAGAAGAAGCCATCAGCCACTACATTACGACCACTTCAGCGAGGTCTGGGTCGGATATAACTTAGTCATGTTATATCAGAGTCAGAGTTATAGGCAAACTGGTTTTTGCCTATAACTCCCTATGCTGCCACCAGAGGGAGCAGCGTCAGAAGTCAGATCTCCCTGTAACACTCTACGGTGCCACCAGAGGGAGCAGCGTCTGCAGTCAGAGCTCCCTGCATGATGGCATAGTAGTAAAATGACATGTTACTAGGACCAAGAATAGAGCTGTTAAGTCGCCTTCCCACAGAACGGGATGTCCACAGGAAGTCCATCTTGGTTCATCTCATGGTTCTGTTGTGGTCATAATGTTTTGGCAGATTAGAGACAGAGAAGACTGAAGAGTGAAGCTGCAAAAGACAAGTGTTTGGAAAAATGTGGGATTAAATTAGAATTACAAAGTGTGTAGGATTAGGATTGTTTACCATTGGACACATGTAACAGAGGGTTCCCTGTGAACACACAACAACACGTCACACAACAGAGACCAGAGAGAGGCCAGAGAGAGACCAGAGAGAGAGACAAGACCAAGACCAGATCGAGAGGTGAGACCACAGTCAATCGCTAACAAGTAAACCTAGTTGTTTACTTGAAGCAATTTATAGAGGAAAAAAACTCCACTAGTGAAACACTGGGATTGCCTTGCAGAATTTTTTTTGTGGTTTTACTGCAAATGGCAAATAAATTCTTGAATCTTGAATCTCTTGAGAGAGACCAGATAAATAATTGCAGTCTATGCCATGAAAATTGGGGTTTATTCCTCTCACTTTAATCATTGAATATGCACACAGACACCATGTTTCTGGGACAACGCTAGGAGTGTGTAATGTTCGTTATAATAGATCCATGGTAATGTTTGACCTTCTTTCATGTCCGGAGCTCGTCCAGGACTGGAGCAGAGAGATCGAGAGGTGAAGGCCACAGCCGATCGCAAACAAGTAAACCTGGAGACGAGACCACAATTTACACTAAGAGAGCAGAGAAAGACATGAGACTAAAGTTACGTCCCCCAACTTTAAGAATACTTCACATCCCAAAATGCATTGTCATTGATAACCACCAGGAGCAGTTTTATGGATCGGTATTGATGCTTCACAATCTCAAGTCTTTTATTCCTCCCTTTTGTTAAAGCGCACAACTAAGGCCCTGTCCACACGAAGTCAAGCTCAGGCCTAAACGCAAAAATACTTTATCAATCCAGTGTATCGTCCATACGAGGCCGGCGTTTTGGGGGGGTGTAAACGAACATTTTTGAAACTAGGTCCCAGAGTGGAAAGATTTCAAAACTCCGTATATGCCGCTCCGTGGTTACTGCCTCTCCGCAATGTATCTGAGACGCTTGCGTCATCGCCCCGCCTCTTGTTAAAGCACGCATGCGCCGCACTCAGAAAATAATGACAACAACAATGTAGCTTGTTGGTTTTGTAATCCAGTGCGACCCGAAGCAACAGTTCAACCTCATCGTCCGTCCATACTAATGTAGTACCAGCTCGCCCACTCGCCATGTTGTCTGTTTACAAAATTCTGCGCATGCCCACGGAAGTTTGGGCTTGATCCCGTCATTGCGTCACAGCGCCACCAACAGGTCTGGCATAGTTTCACAGCGTTTTCAGGCGTATTGACTACATTCATATGGACGCACACATTTACTGAGCAAACTCCGTGTTTACAGAAAAAGTTTCTGAAATTATAAGCGTTTTGTCTTCGTGTGGATATAGCCTTAATTCAGACAGATTGCCCACGCCCAAAGACAGCTGCAGACCCACTTCATACTCACACTATGACACTGGAAAAAACATTATACTCAATTACTCTGTTAACATGTTTACAGCAGGTCTTAGTTTTAAACGTATAAAACATAACGTAATGAGATGAAGCAGTTTATTGGGGGAAAAAAACTCCACTAGTGACGTTTGGATCTGTGGGCTGTTCGCGTCCGATCTCTGGTACAAAGAGGACATTTTCTGTGGATATAAGCTGGGAAATATAAACAAACCTCAGGGGGAACATGGTGGGAGTCAGAACGATGCTTTGGAGACAGGAGGCGGGCGGGCTGAAGCTGTTAAACCCGAAGAGAAGAGCGGAATCTCAGAGTTCGGAGGAATACGACCCAAAGTGATACTTCCGGGTTCCATGAACAAGAGCCCGCCCTTCGAGACACGTCCTGTGCCGTGATTGGTCCGGAGAATAAAATTAACTCACCATATAATAATAAATGGAAGAAAAAAATAAGTCCATCAATTTATTCAATAATGATATCAGGAATGGATTAGGAACGTACAGAATAGGATGACTGAGTGACAGCACTAAATTGTATCATACTGAACCAGATTTATTGAGAATCATCGAGACAGATAAGTCTAGCTCAGTACCAGACGTATCTTATCCTTGCAACCTACCCACAACTAACCAGTATCCAGGGAAATTCCTTGGTAACCATGGCTTCCAGTAGCATTCTGTCCAATCACTGCAAGAACACTTTGGTACCAGCTCAACAGAACTAGAAGGACTGGTTAAACAGGGCAAGTGGAAACACTCCAATAAAAGGAGAGATAAGAGCTGAACAGAGCAGAGATGGTGACAATGATAAAAGTGGATACGAGAATAGTTATATGCGCTTAAACTCCGCAGCGACGTGTGAAAAGGTCACAGAACAGATCCTCTGGTCACGACACACAGACGCCATGACATTTAATACTTTTGTATTAAACTGCTGAGTACGACGTCAGTGATACAATGACGCACTGTTACAGGACTTTGAGACAAAAGGAGCAGAAGTTCCTGATATCGGCATGGATGGAGCTTAACACAACAACAGGTCTGAGTGAAGATGGACAGTATTTGAGAATATTTGTGTTCCAACAAAGACAAAAACAGCTTCATTCAAAACATCTTCGTGCTTTATATTTTTTTACAATGTATTACAGAAAAAAAAAAATCTAGTCAAACTACAGCTTAAAAAACAAAAACAAAAACATTGTAACCCTCACCCTTTGATGAAAATTTGTAAAGTCAAGTCACATGTTAACTCATAAAAACTGCATTTTTACATGTAGTAAAAACCATGCAGCTAAAGCACGGATGGAGCTAAAAGCAACTGCAGGTCTGTGATGAGCAACAATCACAATTGAGCACAATGCAGTCAAACGAAACATAGAAAACTAGTAAAAACTACACATAATTTTCCCTTTTTCCTCCCAGATCCTCCCCGTCTCCTCCTCTGGGACAGACCTCCCCTCGCTTCTCACTCCTCTGCAGCAGCAGGCGAGGCCATCCTCACCAGGCTCTCCTTGTCAAAGCGGTACAGTCTCCAGCCCTCCTCCTGGGACAGGTCTTCAGCTCCGCGGCGTTTGTAGAACTGGATCGAAGCTTCGTTGTTCTCTGCCACCACGAACATCATACCACTGCAGCGGGTCTTCACGGCCAACTGAGGGAGAGACAACACTGACTAGTTGTTGGCTCTGTCCCTCTGCTCTGATTGGCATTTGTGACAGAACAGAATAAGCTTTGTTTCCATGGTTAAAGTCTCAGAAACAAACGTCAGCAGCCAGAAAATACACTACAACTATTATGCTCTTTCAAGTTTAATGAACAAAGGCTGAGAGGAGAGGGAATCTAAATCTAAACTTGTGGAAGTACAGTATAAATGTGTCGCTTACCTCACTCAGATGTCTCATGATGTGAGAACCGATCCCTAAACCTGCAACAGGAAAAACCATCAGAGAAGCCTTAGGTATGCAACTGCTTGCTCAAGTAGCAGTAGCAGCAACAGCAGCACACCTCTGTATTCCTGGGAGATGAAGAAGTCCTCCAGATACAGCTGCTTTCCAACCCAGGGGTCATAGGTGAAGTAGTACATGGCAAAGCCGACCACCTGCATGTCTGAACACACACAAAGTTCAAAACACAACTACAGTGAACGAGTGGCTGTGTCTGGTGCATGGCAAATAAACTGAATCGGAGTGTGTTTCTGTGTGTGCCCCTCGCTCTTCACCTTCAGTGTTGCTGTGCGCCTGCAGCTCAACGATGACACAGTGGTAGAACGGAGTGTCACCGAAGCCGTCTTCCAGCAGATCTAAGAGTGAGAGGGACACATCTGTTAAGGGGACGTACTATATAAAACAATAAGTCACAATGAGGACATTTACAAAGCAGAAGAACACTGACAAATGTAGCAACCGGACTCTTAACCGCTGTGAGGTACAATCCAGAGAAGGACGGAAAGAAACCAGAAAGAGAGCAAGAGACCGAGAGAGAGACCAGAAATTGCCTTGTTGTAATTGAAACATCTGCTGGCCTTGTCTCAGTAGGAACCCATTTCCATAATTACATGCAGCCATTCCCTAACATCTCAACCACAGCTGTCTGTCCTATGTCATTAAACAGAACTAAATAGAGATCTGGCTTCACTGCAGCTATAAACACAGTCCTTGACAGCATTAGATGAAGCAGAAGTGTGTCTTCACCTTGCTCCGTGAGCGTCACCTGATTCTCCATCTCTTCATACTTGGCGAGTTCCTAAAACAGAACAAGGTACAAATGTCACTTTCGTCAAAGAGAAACTGTTGAGGTCTGTTTGAGCGCCAGTTCATCTCTGATTTTGTTGTGTCCTAAAGCAGCTCTAATAAAGCAGCTCTAATGTTGTGTCCTCAGCGGAGTTCACAGATGTTTGCCCTCATTCAGCTTCAGTCACGTGACACAAAGGCTTGCAATCCACAGACCGGGTTCAGACTGGGACCAGGACCAGGACTGAGCCATGTGACCAAAACAACACAATAAAGCCACTCCTACACTCTGCTAGTGTTGAAGCCTACAAGTCTGTCTGTGAGTGTCCTACTGTAATCTCAAGGTCCAATGACGGCAGAATCATTAGTTCTCTGGTACCGGCAGAAGGACAGTAACCCCATAGACCAGGCATGTCCAAACTCAGGCCCCGGGGCCAAATGCGGCCCTCAGTTTCATTTTATGTGGCCCTCTGCCTTGCTAACCCAATGTAGTCTTTAAGATCATAAACACAAGCTCACTGTGTCATTCATCCAACTTCAGCTCAGCCAATATAGACATGTAACTCGTTCTAAAGCCGAGTACGTCTGGAATTCCGGTGTTGACTTCATTCGTACTTACTTTACTGACTGTGGTTTTTGATTGTATCACTTTCGTTAATGATGCTAATGTAGCTGGTGAGATGGTAAACATGTGTCATTCAGCTAACTTCAGCCCTGTTATAGCTCAGAACAGCCCGATGCCAGTCAAGACAGTTTTTCAGTCCGTGACGTCGGCCCCTGAACTAGTCTGGTGAACTAAAGTGGCCCTTTAAAAGTGGCTCACTAAAAAGTTTGGACACCCCTGCCATAGACCCATGAGTAACCCACACATACAGTCATTTCCCGGATGAACAGACCTTATTTGTTCGTTAGCGGAAACCTGACGCGGAAGGGAGAGGTTCGGCAGAAAAAAACTAACAGGAATTTTCCACTGCTCTCAGGCAAAGACGACACTGAGCTTCAATTACAACTCGGAAGAACACACACAGTTAAAGTTACAACAGTGAGACACAAGTCCGAACAGGAAGAACCACTGAAAGGTCACACCATCTACAGACAGGCCTAAAACACCTACAAAGACATCGTTAATATAACAATAGAAAAAGATTGAACAAAATCTAGTAATAAACATTGACATTTCCAATATGAGACAAGTATACGCGCCCTCTTCATAAGTGTTTAGCCCACATGCGCTCGACTCATCTCGGTTCAAGCAGTTTTAAACAAAAGCAGTGGAAAACAATGGCCCTTTTATACGGGAGACCAAATGTAACGGGATGGTTGTTGGGATGATTTTAGGACGTGCTCAAGCTGAAGGATGTGACGTGTCTGCGTGTAGACAGTTATATTTAGTGTTTTTCGGGTTTTAACTATGGTTTTAACCCAAATACGTTAAGGATTATCGCTTTCAACCTAGATACAGCTGACTGTTCACGAGCTAGAAGGAGCTGCTGCGGTGGCACAAGGAGCTGCCATTTTGTGTTTACCCATGATCCAAATTATCATAGAAATTGTTAAAACTCCAATAGATCAAAAGGTGCAAAACGACATATTATATATTTGTGTCCTAATAATCGTACATGTCTCAAAATATGTGTTTCAGAACATCTTTTGAAATGGATAAATATTGCTTGCGGTTCATATAGCATTATTAGGTACTTACAGTAAAATGCTAGGTTGCGGGCTTTAACCGGATTAATCGATGAGACTGGACTAGATTAAACCAGGACTGAACCAGGAGTAAAGCAGATCAATTTAACGTAAAATATCCCTTTCCGAGTGTGTTTTATGGATTATGTATATTGTCGACATGACGCTGCTCTCCCTGGTGTCGCGTAGATGGATGCTACAGGCGCTAGCACCTTTAATAGCTCCTCTAATAGCTCCTTTAATAGCTTACCTTCACCAGTCGTAAAATATCAGGCACGTCCCGGGACTCCGCTTTTCGTAATTTATACTCCATTTTCTCCTCTTTTTCCCTTTAGTGAGCAGACCTCTGTACGTGAAGTGGAAGATAAGCTGTTTCTTCATTCGCGTGTTGGTGGCTTGCTTCCCACGGTCAGCCTCTATTCGCGTCGCCTGGGTACGCTATTGGGTACATTCAGCAGCTGTGATAGCTCGGCTCCTTCGCTGAGACTGTAGCGCTGCGTTAAGTCACCAGCTTATATACCCTTGCACGCGCGCACACACCATTGGTCCGTAAGGGTGTCAGAGCGATACCGGCCCACCCTCTAGCCAATCAGCATTCAACTGTGGCGTCATGATGTTGTTGTTTTTGACGGATTGAAAGCGAGGATCTGGTGAGTGTAAACCAGGTCTAAAACCAGGCCTAAACCAGGATGGGACCAGGTCTAAACCAGGATGGAAACAGGCCTGAACCAGTCCAGGAATGAACCAAGTCTGAACCAGGCCTGAACTAGGACTGAACCAGTAGTAAACCAGGAATTAACCGTTTTCAATTTGAGATCACATTTCATAGATGTTAATAGTGGAGTAAATATTTGAGTGAAAACCACACACTGTACATGACCTCATACAGTTGGGAGACCATACATACCATAAATACATACAAATTAGTTGTTATTAACTTTAATTTAAATAAAAAAGATATTTACAACATGAATTATGTGACTTGTTTCACAGTTAATCAAAGGAATGTTCAGATTAGGACTCTTTCAAAATAAAAGTGCAGAACATATAATAAAGCAACTGTAAATATGAGCAATCAACCAGAACATTACGACTACCGGACAGAACCAGGACAGAACCAGGACAGAACAAGGACTGAACCAGGGTCCACTTTGTTGTGACTTTCAGCGGTCGTAATGATATGGTTGCTTCCATTGGAGACATAGTTGTTGCTTCAGGGACGATGGGTTCAAGGACAGACTTCTTCTCTCAGCTCTCTCCTTTGGATTCTTTATCTCCAGACTGAAAAGACACAACAATATGATGCTTTCTCTCAGTGTCCTGCGTCAGGTCTAAAGCAGGACTAAAGCATGTATTGATCCGTTTTTGTTTGGTGCAGCTGTAACTTGTGTCTAGAAAAATAGACTTTGTACAAAAATACAAAGGACAAACCTTTTTCTTTGGCAAACGGGAAATCTTCCCATAACACGTCATTGCCTGCTCCCGACTCCACTGTGAGGCAAATAAGAATACAGTTATTTGAGCTCATTTTTAAAACTGGGGTATGCAACTTCCAAAACACAGCAATAAAAAATAAAAAAAATACATCCAAGTTGACGGCTCTAATCATCAAGTTTCAAAAATACTTGATCAGAGATATTCTGCGAGTTTACGCTCGCCTGTCAAAGCTACAGACAGGAGCAGGAAGTGAGCAGCGCATTTTGGACCGGAAGTTGGCCTAAAAAATAAAATAGGGTTACACTGCTCTGATTGGTCAGAACCCTCACATGTCCCTCTGGTCCTGCGGAAGTAGAAACACATTACCTGGTTCTCTCTGCACAAGACTGGGAGAACCAGAGCAGGCCAGAACGCCTCACTTCAGCTGATGTTTGGGACATCCATGGGGCAAATATGCGCCAATGAGCACAGACTATAGACCTGAAGACATCTTAGGGACAAGGGGCAGATGCAGACATCTTGGACACCTAGGACAGATGTCTTGGAGACCAGGGGCAGACATCATTCAAATGAACGGCCTGTACTCACTGGCTCATGCTCTTACCATTGAGGCTGTGTTTAGAAGAAGCCAATGGTCGAGTTTGTGACAATAAATTGTGGATTTATAGAAAACTGATGAAAGTTTATGAGACAAGAGACACTACAATCCCCACTGAATCCTCATTTGTAAAAGCAGCAGTTTCCTGTCAGCTGAGGACGAGTCAACACTGATGTGTGTGGACCACTGCTCTGGCCTCTGTTTGCTGTCACTCAGTTACTTGTGCTCTGTAACTGCATTGTGTGTTGGAGGCTGAACCTGCAGCAGAGCGGCCGCTTGCTGTGGGTAGAACAGGGAGGAGCTCAGCGCCACGAGGCCCAGAGGAAACAGGGCCCTCTTCAGCCTGGATCCTGGAATACAGACAGACCCTTTAAAGCTGGGAGATGGAACTTTTGTCTCATCAAAAATACATGAAGAGTTTATTTGCAAAAGCAGATATCTCCATTTTTATGAAATGTCAATAAACCCTCTTTTATATTTTAATCTTATGGGAACACTTAGGTTGGTAAACTTTACTGGCTTCAACAAAGGAATAAACACTTGACAAAAGTAGACATTTCCAAAAATATAACTTTATTTATTATAATTTATTTTTAACTTAAAATAAATATTTGTGCACAAAAGCAGATAAATCCAACAATCGTTTTTTGTCAAAAACAGTTAACTCCGCAATTATTGTGTTTACATTAAATAAAGGACATAAATTAAGCCTGTACATCTTTGAATTAACCGATATAATACATTTTTCTTAAAACAAACTTCAAACATGCTAAACCATTGCTTTTAAAAGTGACAATACATTCAAGTTATTCGGATACTGTAACACAAAATTATATCATCTTTGAAAACACAAGGTCAAGGCAACATTTAAAAAGTGCAAACTTGTAAACAATCTATGGAAAAGAACATTTTCTTTGGAGCAATTCATTTTAGTGCACTACAAAACAAATGATGCAACATGTAAGTGAAATGTATCAAGTGCAACATTAAGGGTTTTTAACTCATTGCAACATATGGCATATTAAAGCTTTGAAACAAAAAAAAAATACCTATGTAACAAAATTCAAGTAACATGCCTCTAGATTTCGATTTTATTTCACCTCCATGTATTTTGGGTTCCTGTCATCTTTAGATCAGGTTCTTCAGAAAGAGAAAGGACCATCCTCACTCAAACCAATCAGCTTATAGTCCAAAGAGGCAAATTTCAATTCGCAAGACTATTGGGACAAAACATGTAAAGTAAATTAAAAAGGTTTCACCAGCTTTAGCTTCATATTAGACTTGGGCTCAGCTTGATTAATTCATTTGCCCTCTCAAAGTTTGTGAGAATCTGTTCACTATCTGCTCACTCACTCCTCATTCCCATCACTACTCTCCACCAAGTCCTGTCTGCCTGCATCGCATCCTGCTCCAACTAACGCATCTGTATAGAATGTAGTGACTGCGTCACCTACCCCAAGCTCTCCAAGCAGTTTTAGGACATCGGCTTTTTTAGCTGCCTTCACACAGTTTACTCTTTGAGCGAGTGCTGGCTTGAAGGTCTCCCATCTTTTCCCACGTTTCAAAAGACTGTGGTAACAGAAATCTCCACCATACTGCGGCTTAAAGCCTACTTTGTCCCCACTGATTTCCAGAACCTTGGCTTCACTTATTTTAAATGAGCGAGATGAGGTACAATGTTTTGCAGCAGCAGCTTTAAAGTCATAGCACTCCCAGTGTTGTCCATAAACGTGTACGTTTCCATGTTTTTCCATAATGTTCACATACTCTGATGGAAGCAGGATAGTGTCATTTTTTTTAACTTCCTGCTCCAGGCGTCCAAAGACACGGTCAGGGGGCATAAAGCTATGCCCACGTACAGGGAATGTATATTCCACTCTTACGTTTTTTAGTGTTGCCTTTTTGAGAGAAAAAAGCATAGCGAGCATGCTTACATTTTTATTTTGCCCATAGCAAGAATCAGAAAATAGTCTGAGTTCTTTATGGTGACTAAGTTCATTACAAGCAACACGACTCAGATAATGTTGCAAAGCAGATGCCACCATGTTACTGTCCTTCTTGTTTTCATTTTCTAGCCATGTGTAAAGATGGACATCTTTTTTCTGACCTGCACCACGACCATGACGCACAACTCCAAACACATACTGATATAACTGCCTTGAATAATATGTCTGTCCAATGGCAGATTTTGGTAGCACTAGATTTTGCATCATGTCAAATGATACAGTGTAAGTGTCACTCACAGCATTTAAACAATCATAAAACTTGCGCGCTTTGCGTCTATGCAACATGAATAGAGCAGCCTCCTTGCGCTTTTCCTCATCTGACATCTCAGGATCTTTCAGTTTCAGTCGGGATTTTATGCAGGTGCTACAAACGTCTTTTGCAGGATGTCCAAATCCTAAGTTGAAGTCATACATGAACACACTATAGTATAATGCATAGGAGATCTGCTGCTCATTCTGACTGTGGAACAGTTCATGCATCTTCCTAACGTTCAGATCAACAGGAAGGTACTTTCTACCAGGTGCTCCTCTGCGCGCATAATGACTGGCTCTGCAGGTGAAAGTCTGGATGTGCTCTCTGATGGCTTCTCTCTTAGCTGCCCTCTCTTCGGACCTCCGTGCTCCTCCACGGCGCTCCGGCATTGGCACCCCATTCTGTTTCCAAAACTTGGCGATGTAACACAGCCGATCTTTCTTCACACCTGTAATCACAGATTATTTTAAGTTAGATCAATTATATTAGCTACATCTTTGCAAAAGTATGTCACTAAAAAGTTTGTTTAATAAATAGATTCATTATTGATCCAGAGGGAAATTGCAGTAAATAGCTTCAACTACTGTTAATAAAAACAAACACTGCAGAGAACAGTCTATGTATGCCCCAGTACTGTATTGTCAAAGACTAGTTAATTATAAATCACTGTCAAATAATATGTTATGACTCCAGATTAAATACACGCAAGAGTTTTCTGAAAGGTTTATAGCAATTCCCCATCATGTTAAATATTAATATTATGTTAATAATACACACAAAAGACAAACTACAACACTATTAGAAAAGGAACTATTACATAATCAAATGTTTTTTTTTGAAATAATAAACTCAAAATACTCACAGAATAGGCTCATGAATGAGGATTTGCAGACTGGGATCCTATCTCGTGCTCTGGTCAAGACGGAATATTTCACCGTCAGGTCTCTGGACTTCTGTTGCGCACTGTCTTCTATCTTTGATCTCCTCCGTTTTACTGCGGTGACATCCATGTATGACAAGAGCGTGGCATCTTGCTTTACCTTGTCTGTGGTGGTATACAAGGTGTGGTGTATGTAATCGATGTCTTCTGGGGATAACTTGGCTGCCTGACAAACATTCACGTTGTTATGTACACAAGCAACAGCTGCGTTCGCGCCACCACTATGCCGGGCATTCTTGGCTAGTTTACGGTCGTGTTCCTCTGGTTTCCTTTTTCTTTTGCGTCCCCGAGGTGACAAAAGAACCGCCTCCTCCGCATCGTCAAAGCCAGCCATGGATTACGATGATAAATCCCCAAATTGTGTCGTGAAAGTCGCTTGTTGTCGCTCTATGAAACTCGCACTGACAGGTAGGTCACGTGCTGAAAATGCGCTTCGCTGATTCGCTGAACGGAGATATCGGCTTCTGCTCTGAAACAGCTGCGGCGCTTACCGGCTTTTGTCACCAAACAGGAAGTTTGATGGAGATTTAAACAGGGATATATCGGGTTTTGAGAAAATAGAATTTGAGCATTTGAAAGAGCGCTATACAGGCAGTGAAAATCAACTGTTAGCTAATGTTTTTCAAAAATGGCGGATATCGGTTTTTGCGGATGAACTCTTCACATGTTTGTCAAGACAGATAAAAGTATAGATGGGAAAATTTTGTGAAGTCAAACCACAACACGGTGTCCTCATTTTATTATAAAACATCATATTGGACCTAGAGTCTGTAATGAAGTTGAATCGAATTGAATAATTTGTGTAGGAAAAGCCCTGTGAGTCACTATTTGACACTTGTCTGGGACTGATTGGTGGAATGAGGGTGTTCCTTTTTTTCCACTCTGTGGTCTCTCACACTCTCTGTGTTCTCTCACACTCTCTGTGTTCTCTCACACTCCCTGTGTTCTCTCACACTCCCTGTGTTCTCTCACACTCCCTGTGTTCTCTCACACTCCCTGTGTTCTCTCACACTCTCTGTGTTCTCTCACACTCCCTGTGTTCTCTCACACTCTCTGTGTTCTCTCACACTCTGTGTTCTCTCACACTCTGTGTTCTCTCACACTCTCTGTGTTCTCTCACACTCTCTGTGTTCTCTCACACTCTCTGTGTTCTCTCACACTCTCTGTGTTCTCTCACACTCTCTGTGTTCTCTCACACTCTCTGTGTTCTCTCACACTCTCTGTGTTCTCTCACACTCTCTGTGTTCTCTCACACTCTCTGTGTTCTCTCACACTCTCTGGTCTCTCACTCTCTGGTCATTTACATTTCTGGACTGACTCATTGATGTCATAATTTGAAAATATAAAATGATATATGGCTTGACACAATTTTCATATTCTCTGAAATATGGACAAAACGTGTGTGTACCGTTAGAGAGGTAGACTCCTAAGACGCCGCTGAAGCCGATGGCGGCTGCACTGGGGAGTAGCTGCGGCGGCGGGTCCTTCAAAAATTGGTACAATTCTGAAACAACAGGTGAGTCACACACTGTGGCCACAGCCGCCCTGGGGCAGTCACATCTACAACAGGCACTACACACAACACAGCTTTACACATGTGTTATTTATGAGGCTAAAATTAGGTCTAACTTTACCTGCAGCAGCAGAGGTGCAGGAGGTGAGGGTGGGCTCCACTCGTCTGTACGCTCTCTGTAAAACATTCTCTTTACTCAGTCGTCTCAAACACAGCTCACTCGTGTGGTCTCACCTCCACTTGCTCCTTCGCTGCTCGACTTGATTCCTGAAAAAGAACAAGATCCGATCAGAGGAAATTCCAAACATCAAAAATGTCTACAGAGACGATGTTTCACACACAGTTGATGTTTGTGTGATGCCGTCTTTATAATGGTTTGTTTTCTCTATTCAAATGACAATGACCCTGATCAGAAATCTCCATCCCTCAGTTCTCATAATTCCAGTCTGTGCTCTGGTGTGGTGTTCTGGTACTGTTCAGTGGGGTATTCTGACCTGGTACTGGTCGGTGTGTGGCTGGAGCCACAGTCTGACAACAGACACTTGTTCTTCCAGTGCATTGGACTGAGGCTCAGGGCTTTGGAGCGGGTCCGGACGAGTGTACAGAGAAGGCAACTGAGAGACCAGAGACACGAGAAAGAGTGAGAGAGAGAGACCAGAGAGAGACCAGAGATCAGAGAGAAACCAGAGGTATCAGAGACCAGAGACCAGAGAAAGCATAATGTATTATTATTGTACAGCATACATTGTGCAGAATCATCCTTTTCTCCAAAACAAGAGAATTCCTTTGCTCTGTATTTAAACAGTTACATTCACGAGCATTAAAAGAACAGATTTACAAGCTTTGTTTTCATAATCGCTGAACCAAAAAAGCTGGATATGTAACTTTCAGAACACACCAATAGAACTCTGTAAAAGACCCATGTCTCTAGTTCCTGACTCGAAAAAAGTTTCTTCTATTACCTAAGATTTTTACAACATTAAACTCATTTGGAGAGAAAATATGAGACTAAAGTTACATACCCCAGCTTTACTAAGTCTATTTTAAAGGAGGTATTTAAACACATGGATGAAGGACACTTGCCTCTTCCAGACTCATCCCCGGTGCTGAAGACTTCTTTGGCCCAGGAGAAGCTGCATGCACTGGGCCCCCAATCATCCCCATGGCCCCTACAAGTCCTGGAGCCAGGGAGCACAGAGACACCTGCAGGAACATAACCACAATTACATGAGAGACCAGAGAAAGACCAGGGCGATCAGAGTGACAACAGGGGTTTGAGAGGGACTAGAGAGACTTCAGAGACAAAAGAGATGTTGTATGCTCATCAGGACCAGTGCTGGAGCCTTTTGCCTTATTTAACACATTTTTAGATGTAGGGGGGACTGGAGCACTCAGAGGAAAGTGTCACAAGACTGGCAACAGCAGTGTGAATGTGATGACTTTACTCGTGCAGGACCACACTCACTCAGTCCCACTCTCTCAGTCCAAAGAGTCAAATAGGGCTCTAATAATTTTCTAATATACAAAGACAGGATGTTGGGGTCTGAATTGTTCACAATATGTTACAAGACTCTTTCTATTGGACAATCAAATGCATTTAGGTACTCAAAATCTAAATGGCACAAGCAGCAAGGTATAAAAAGGACGATTTTTTTTTCTGAAAAAATGTGAGGCTTGGGTCGAATGTGCTAATGTAGCTAATGTGGCCGCTATCATGGAGCTAACTTTAGCTTTCAGGATATTATCCACAATTCATACAATTCTGGTGAAAGAACAGCAACTAAACGATTTCATTAAAGTATCCGGTTTTCGGGCGATGATCCTGATCCGTTTATTGTATGAGAATGAGTATAAAACGCAGAAATCGTTACCAGTTTAGTGTATGACATTCCTCTCACTGTTTGACAGAAGATGTGCGCCCCCGTGTGGACTACAGACGCATTTCATGGTCTTCACGGGATCTGATTAAACGTTTTAATTTTTGACGTGTGCAAAAATACGACATAATTGCACACACAAATAATATTAAAATATGATAACATTTTATTATAAATAATAACACACAGTACACATCGTTTAAAAAAAATGCTCCTGTTACTACTGCAATTATTTCACTTTATGTTAATATGATCCTTTTTGTGATTATCACTAATATAATGTTGTTGTTATTCTTATTTTTACTTTACGTTGCTCTTCCTTCCCTTCCAACGCGGAAGTGACGGCTCCCCACAGAATGGCTTCCGCGGAGCCTGCTCTGCGCTCCGGCTGAGTGTGATCTCCAACAGCGAGTGTCTGCGGCTATAACATGCCTCTGCTGCCCGCTGTGAGGCCCTCCTGACCCGGGCATCTGCACTCAGCTTTCCCTGGATGTCCGGAGCCACCACAGCACCGGGGCGAACAGGGCAGGCCGAGGTGAGACGTGGTTTCAGCGGCTAAAGCTAAAGCAGCTTCCCCGGGCGATCAGGAGGGATTTACGAGGCTCAGGACAACAACAGGACAACAACACGTTAACAACACGTTTACGCATACCGGAGCTCCCCACTTTACGGTCCCTTTGCGTTATTATGTGATAAAAACACCAATACATGTACTAACATAGAGGTATAGTGCCGTATGCCGGACCCCTGCTGCCGTCCAGTGTGTGGTGCTGAAGGACAGAAATTAAATGTGGCCATTATCTGGAATAAAGCTCGCGTACCTGTTTATTTTCCCCAACCTGTTGTCTTGTAAACTGTCTACATCTGATCAGAAAACACGTTGTTTTTTGTGTGCGAAAGAGCCTGTGAGTCTGTCTTCTTCATTCTTAGCTGAGTGGGGGGGTCCTCTTCTTCATTTACGGTCTGAAAAAGATGATCTAAAGATGTGACGAAGACCACGAATACAAACTAGTGATAGAAGCAAGCTGCTTTCGAGTCAGGAAATGGAGACATCGGTTTAATAAAAATAAAAAACACACACACGTTTTTGACTCAAGGTCCCAGTATGATCATGTCATCAAAATAATCATTAATTACAGCCCTATATTACCGTTTTTAAATCTATGTGAGGTTCTATAAACGATAAATTAGTTGCCAACTGCATTGGCTCTTTGGTCTTCCAATGTCCTGCACCTGCCCTGAAGCTTGGTGTCCTCTGCAACTGTATTTTGCTGTGTGATGTCACGTGTTGTGTTTGTATTATCAGAACCAGGGGAAGGGGCACTTTGGACATGCAAGCGATCCCTGAGCTCTCCACTGCTGAAGCCTCTCTCCGCTGACCCTGGCCCAAAAGGTACGCCTCCCTTTCCTCTTGCATTTGGAGGAGTATTAGAATGTGTTTCGAGAGGACACAAGTTGATCTCGGTAATACAACCATTGTCCCCTGGCTCTGAATCAATCACATGGTTCATATCAGATTAAGATTAATTATAAAATGTTAACATGGAGCAGAGTCCAGTCAAAGAGCTTCTTCCTCAGCTGTTTATTTAAATGTTGTTTGAATTGCTGTTGTCCTCCAGGTGATTCACAAACTGACTGCAGTTGCATCCACTGGACATTAGGGGCACTCGGACCGCCCCCTGTGACATGCCCGTGGCCAATCAGAGGTGAGTATTCATTTTGTTGGTTTTAAGGAAGAAAGATTTAGGCCCACAAAAATCCTCAGCCCCCGCTCCTTTTGTATGTCCTTCCCCCACTCGGCCACTCGATGTTACTGTTGTTGCAGGTGTGTGATGTCGGCGGCGGAGGCGGAGGTGTATCTGTCCCAGGTGCATGATGGGAGTGTGTCCTCTGGCTTTAGGGCGCTGTACGAAGAGCGCCTCCTGCTGGACGTCACGCTCATGATCGAGGAGCACCACTTCCAGGTAAAGGATCGTCCACAAGAATCCAAACAGACGTCTCACCCTACACAAATCCCCAGACTGAGTATGAGGGAACTGGCCAATATCAAGTCCTGATTGATGCAGTGATCCCTCACACGTAACACGGTTCTCAATTTGAGGCCTCGCAGCTGTTGTCCATCATGCGTCTCATGTGTATACTCCAACATCAAATGCAACACCATATAACAGCAAGCCAGAAGAAAACATTTGTGTCTCTCTTGCTTTCTTTCTGGTCTCTCTGGACTCTTTCTCTGGTCTCTCTCTGGACTCTTTCTCTGATCTCTCTATCTGGTCTCTTTCTGTGGTCTCTCTCTCTAGTGTCTCTATTTTTGATCCCTCGCTCTCTCTGTGGTCTGTGTAATATTTCTGGTTCAAACGCAGGCTCACAAGGCTCTCCTGGCCACTCAGAGTGACTACTTCCGTGTGATGTTCACGGCCGACATGAGGGAGAGAGACCAGGACAAGATCCACCTAAAGGGACTGACGGCTGCAGGCTTTGGACACATCCTGAGGTTCATGTACTACGGCTCTCTGGAGCTCAGCATGCCCACGGTGCACGAGATTTTGCAGGTGACACATATATGCTATCATCCATACTGTATTGACCTGGGACCTCCTCCTCTGTCCCTGTGTTGACCTGGGCCCTCCTCCTATGTCTCTGTGTTGACCTGGGCCCTCCTCCTCTGTCTCTGTGTTGACCTGGGCCCTCCTCCTATGTCTCTGTGGTGACCTGGGCCCTCCTCCTCTGTCTCTGTGTTGACCTGGGCCCTCCTCCTATGTCTCTGTGTTGACCTGGGCCCTCCTCCTCTGTTTCTGTGTTGACCTGGGCCCTCCTCTGTCCCTGTGAAAGGCTGCCATGTACGTCCAGCTGACTGAGGTGGTGGAGTTCTGCTGCTCGTTCCTCCTGGCGAAGATCTGCCTGGAGAACTGTGCAGAGGTGATGCGTCTGATGGAGGACTTCAGCGTGGGCGTGGAGGGCGTCCAGGAGCAGATCGACAACTTTGTGCTGGAAAACTTTGTTCCTCTGATGAGCAGACAAGACTTCCTGTCCTACCTCAGCCTCGACAGACTGACGGTGAGAGACCACTTCTGGACACAGGGGTTGTTAAGATTCCGAAAGCTGAGTGAATATGGGATTTCAACACATGTAAAGTCAGACAGAGAGAGGGAGAGATGTCAGACAGAGAGTGGGAGAGAGACCAGACAAGAAAGAGAGAGACCAGAGAGAGGGGGGAGATAGAGACCAGAGAGAGACCAGACAGCGAGAGAGAGAGGGACACAGGGGTTGTTGGGCCGGTTCTCACAGGTTTGGGTGTGTCTCTTCAGTCATACCTGAACGCAGACGCTCTGAGCCGCTTCCCTGAGGTGGAGCTGTACGAGTCGCTTCAGTCCTGGCTCCGACACGATCGCCGCCGCTGGAGACACACGGACACCATCATCCAGAGTCTACGCTTCTGTCTGATGAGTCCAGCCAACATATTTGACAAGGTGAGAGACCAGAGAGAGACAGACACAGATAGAGACCAGAGCCGAGACCAGACCTGAGCCCAAAGAGACGCACATTCTTCCTGTGTGTGAGTAAACTTTTGTGCCTTTGTTTTAACCGTGCGCACTTGGCAGGTAAAGACGTCAGAGTTCTACCGGTACTCGCGGCAGCTGCGGCAGGAGGTGGAAGTGGCGCTATCCTACTTCCATGACGTGAACACGCAGCCACTGGTGGAGTCCAGATCAAACCGGATCAGATCTGTGAGAGCGCAGACCGCAGTCTTCAGAGGGATGATCGGACACAGTATGGTGAACAGCAAGATCCTGCTGCTCCAGCGACCCAAGGTTTGATCTTGATATACTTTCGGCTTTAAGAGAGACCAGAGAGGGAGAGACCAGAGAGGGAGAGACCAGAGAGGGAGAGACCAGAGAGGGAGAGACCAGAGAGGGAGAGACCAGAGAGGGCTCTGCTCTGTGCAGATGTTCTGGACCAGAGGCAGAGGTCCTGCTCCTCTGAAGGATTGAGAGTGAGACTGACAGACGGTTGGTGCAGCGTCTACAGTGATGCGGTCACTCTATCAAACTTATATGAGGAGCAGTGTCTGCAGTCAGAGCTCTACATTCTCACCCTAACCTCTGTGTCCTTCCTCAAAGCTCATGACCAAAAGGACCAGAGGACACTGCTGGGTGCATGAGGTAGCATGGGGTAGAACTGCTGATTCTCCACACAGAGCCTCTTCTCTGTGTGAGAAAAAAAAACTCAAAAGGCATTCTTAGAGTGCAGACCTCTGTCGAGAGGCGCATCTCCAGATCAAATCAATTGTGCACAGGTCTCAGAATGGTGTCTTCCATCACTGTGGGTGATGTTGCTCATAGATACACACACACTGGGCTTCTATGTAAATGCTGTTTGTTTCCATGATCCTCAGGTGTGGTGGGAGCTGGAGGGCCCCCAGGTGCCTCTGCGGCCCGACTGTTTGGCCATCGTCAATAACTTTGCCTTTCTGCTGGGAGGAGAGGAGCTGGGAGCCGACGGAGAGTTCCATGCCTCGTCCAAGGTCTACCGGTATGACCCCCGGCAGAACTCGTGGCTGAGGATGGCCGACATGTCTGTGCCAAGGTCTGAGTGCTCGGGGTTTATCTACTATTCTAACTCATTAGAAAACTATGTTTTATGTTGTTTTTGTAACATTTTCTGCATATTCTCATTTGTCTTAACCCTTTAAGCGCCAAAGTCGCAATATTGCAACAGGCAACATCGCTCACTTAAACAGGCTGTATCTAAAAATGTGGTGCAGAATCTTGTTAATACTTTTCACCAGGGGTTAGTGGACATGTGTGCCTGTAATATGAGCAACATTTGTGGGTGTGGTTATATTGAAAGTTTTAGAGTAAATTGAGTTCGTAAAACACCTGCGCGCAGCAGCGCGGAGGCGAAGCAGCAGCGGTAGAGCTGAGAGGAGCGAGAGCAGAGCAGAGGGAAAGAGTGTTTTTTTCTTTTACTCACGAGGTCTTCAGTACCAGAGAAGTACTTGGTCTGGTACTGGCTCACTCAGAATCGGAGGAGGAAGACACGCAGGTGTCCAGTGAAGCAGACGCGGACATTATTGGTAACAAGGAGACCGCGCCATATAGTCCACAATCAGCCCCTGTACAGCGGCTGCAAATTCATTTCATACTAAAGATATTTCACATTTAGTGCTGTTAGTATTCCCTGATCTAAAAAAAAATTCCCAAGCTACAGCTTTTTGAAATCTTTATACAATAATTTACATTTTCCAATATGGCTGCCACCTTGATGACGTCACAATATGCAAATTGCCGAATCAACTTCCATCCCAAAGTTTGGTTCAAACTGAAGCTATTTCTAATTTACAGTATGCCTTTATCTCAAACCATTTTAAAGTTATAGCCTTTTGAAATCTTGAAATCAAAATAGTATATTTTCTTGAAAAAACTCCAGCGCCTAAAGGGTAAATGTCTTGCTAATTAGGCAAAGGACAATAAAATAAGGTTTTACAATATACAAAATTCTAAATCATGCATATTTAATATTTAATCTTGTTACTCAGTGGTGCAGGTCTGAGTTCATGAATTTTTCTCTCTCTGGTCTCCAGGTCTGAGTTTGCAGTGGGTGTGATTGGGAAGTACATTTACGCAGTAGCGGGTCGGACGCGGGACGAGACCTTCTACTCCACAGAGCGCTATGACATCACAGAGGACCGCTGGGAGTTTGTGGATCCGTATCCAGTGAACAAGTATGGCCACGAGGGCACAGTGCTTAACGGCAAGCTGTATATCACCGGAGGCATCACGTCCTCCTCTACCTCCAAACAGGTGTGTGTGGGTGGACTCTGTTTCTGATCTCTCTTTAGTCTAATCAGATTTCTAATAAACCTTGTTTTGACTCTCCTCTTCATGTTCCTCTCTTAGGTGTGTGTTTTTGACCCGGGGCGAGAGTCTGGCTCAGGGGCGGGACCCCCGGACAGGCCCCGCCCCTCCCGCAACGCGCCCTTACTCCCGACCAATCACAGCTGCTGGGAAAACAAGTCAAAAATGAACTACGCACGCTGCTTCCACAAGATGATCTCACACAATGGGAAACTGTACGTGTTCGGTGGCGTGTGCGTGATCCTGCGTGCCTCCTTTGAGTCGCAGGGCTGCCCGAGCACAGAGGTGTACGATCCGCAGACCGACGACTGGACCATCTTGGCCTCCATGCCCATCGGCCGCAGCGGGCACGGCGTGGCAGTGCTGGACCGACACATCATGGTGCTGGGAGGACTCTGCTACAACGGTCACTACAGCGACTCTATCCTGACTTTCGACCCTGAGGACAACAAGTGGAAGGAGGACGAGTTTCCCAGGATGCCTTGCAAACTGGACGGGCTGCAGGTGTGTAGTCTGCACTTCCCTGAGTTTGTGCTGGAGCATGTGCGGCGGTGCAGCTGAGGCCGGCTGCCCAGGTGGGACAGTCACGGGTCTGAAGACAAGAGAGGAGGGGATGGGGCTTCTATATGGTCCAGGACTCAGGCCGCAGACCCGAGAGTGAGGCTGTAGACTTCTGAACTGGAGGTTTCTTTGCTGGTTATCATTAATTTCTTTATTTACTGTTTTTTTTAAATAGTCTGAAGACTTGAAGCCTGAAGGAGCCCTGTAGGAGAGAGTTCAGTCTCAGAATCCTGAAGTCTGGGCTGCACTCATGTTATAGAGTTCCATGTCAGTATTTCAGCTGACAACAACTCTGAGGGAAAAGACATTTGGGAAAGAAATACTGAAGACGTCAAGACGATGTCCTGTTGTTCCCCAGGTCATGATGTGATGTTGTCCCAGGTTCATCAGGTTTTCTTTCTGCTATATACCACAAGTGGATTGTTTTTTTTAAGAAAGGATTTATAATTCCCCTAGGACTGCAGATGGTGCTGTCGTCCTGGTAGGAAGACCAGAGAGAAATGACGAGAGATCAGAAAGGGTTCGGAGAGAAGGAGAGACCAGAGAGAAAAATATCCTGTATTTCCTGGTTTCATCCCCTTTTGTCTGTAGCTGCAGAAGACATAACAGTGCTCTCCATGAGTCCCATCACCTGTTTCCAATATTCTGGATTCTTTGAGGACTGTGAAAGCAGAGAAATCATCCATGATAAAACATGGTCCAGTGACAAGGCCAAACGCTTTGTAAAGTTTTATATTTATCTCATGTGGCAACTGTGAAAAGGGCTCGAGCGACTCCTCCTTCAGCCCGCGTTTATTTATTGAGCTATGCATTATGTGTATAATTATTTATTTACTATTTATCAACCTCAAGGTTTCATTTGCTGCTGTTCTGTCCATTGCAAACATGAGTTGATTTTCTATTGAATTAAGCTGGAAAAATGTTTAAAGTTGTAAAACATATGAAGTGATAAATGGCCACGATTGTTGTTATGGGTAACCCTTGATTTTATTCTGATTAAACTTTTTATTTTCAGAAGTTTTGGCATCTTACTTGCGCATGTGTCACATCTTTGAGTTTGTTGTTGAGTTTTAATCAAGGTGTCGGATCAATTAAAGATACCCACACCATCCTAGAAAAATTCAATATTTACCCATGCCACCCTAGAACAATACATAGGTACCCATGCCACCCTAGCAAGATCATATTAATATTTACAGTATGATAGATACCCGTGCCACCTTAGCATAAGAACTAAGATGCCTGTGCAACTATATACACAAGCATAATAAACATGTAGTTATATAAAAATGCCCAAACCATATTTTGGCATTCTTAAGAACGATAACCATGATGCTATTACTTGCAATAAATCCATGCTTACAACTTGACGATTTTGTGACGTCAGTGCCAAGCGACAGAGCTCTGAGATGCTTCAAAATATTATACATTATTTTATAAACACATAAAAACCCATAAACGAATTCAAATCAGCTTTTATCCAAGTTTAGAATATTTTTTCAATTGTGAAGATAAACGAAAAACAGGTTTAAAAGGTGTTTTTTGAAGCAATGTTATGAATTGCATCAGCCTCAATGGAAAGACCCCCTTGTCCCCAGCACAAACGGCACATGCTAGTCACTAATACGGCTCTTTCTTATATTACACTGCATAACAACACACGCACTCCACATTAGGCGGTGTGGCATCTCAGTTGGTTATGTTTGACTGCAACCAGGCAAATATTTGACGGCAAAAACGCGAAATAAAAGGGTTTGTTTTCATATTTACAAAGGCATTCGCTACGGCCGCCTATCTCATCCTCTTTTCATTCAAGATGGCGGGCGACGAGTCTGGCACCACTCTTGGGCAACCGCATCTGTCCAAACAAGACCTCACCACTTTAGTAAGGCACATCATAACACGTTCTACTCGATCATTAAGCAGTATGAAATGTCTTGAAATTATTTTTGAGGGTGAGATCGTGAGGAAACAGCCGTATTTGGCTGTGTTTCCCCGGCACATGACGCAGGCCATGCCCGTGCAACAGCGCAGAGGGGGGAAAACACTCAAAAACCACCTTTTAGAGAGGAGTAATATAGGTGTTTCAGTCACGATCTCGGACTACTGTTTTTAGACAGTGTTGTTTTGTGTTGTGTTTGAGCTGGTGTGTAAAGCCAAATGATCAATGAAAGAAACGGGCTGATGCAAAGTGAGCACTATTCATTGTACTGGTCTGTGCCACTGTTGTGCTTACTAGCTGTACTTTAAAGCTGAGGTACGTAACTTTAGTCTAATAAATAACGTGTTAATTTTGATCAGAAACAGGCTATAAGTTAAATGTTGTGAACAAACTATCCAACGAATCTTCGTCTTCTGTGTTCGTCTTGTGAGTCACTTTTTGACTCTTTGGGCCGAGAGCTGATTGAGTGAGGGTGGTTCTCTTTTTCACTTTTCTGTCTGATAAAAGATGATCTAAAGATGATAAATACAACTGTTTTAGACCGAGGCACATGGCTTTATTAGTTATGTTGGTGTTTGCTGAAAGTTATGTACCCCAGCTTTAATGTCACGTACCCCAGGTTTAACTAGGACTAATTGAAACGGCAGATGAGCTTTCATGACTGAGAATGTTTTTTCATTTGTATTTATTTATTTAAAAAGGGACAGTGTACAATTAGAACATAAATGCCTCCATTTGATGCATTGTACCGGAGTTAGCCTTAGGCTAATTTGCATCCGTAGTCCCCCGGCAGGGAAGAACACTCCACATACAGGTGGGTATAAAATAACACAAGCACATACCATAAAATACACATTTGTATACAGTCAGCAGATGTTTCTAAAGTCATATCTTTTTCACACATATTTGTGTTGATGTGTGACATCAGCAGGAAAGTTTTAGTGCATAGTAAAATAGGGACACAATCATCATGGTCACTACAACACTATTACGCACTAGAAGATACTTTATGACATGTCTATGAAGGTATATAGGAGGATTTCTTTTTTTCATCAAGACTATTGTTGACATAACGTCGTTCTATGTGCTTGACAAACAAGACCAGAGTGTTTTAGGGAGATTCTTTCACATGTGAGTTGAAAGCCAAGACCGGGCTTCTCACTGATGCTTCTGTCACAAAGTTTCAACAGGTAAAGATTGGCATTCTGTTTGTAGAAATCTATTTCAAATCACTTCCAGTATCAGTTATCCACGTCTATATTGTCTGACATAGTGTAAAAAGTGCAGATCTTCTTGGAAAGTGAGCTTGTGATGTCGACAAGGGGAACTGGGCTCGTGAATGTCTCTCGCACATGCTTTAGTAAGCATTCCCTCTCGGGAACAGGTAGAGGGTTGCGGATGTGCATTTTTTTCAAAAAGTGGAGAGGGTTTTTCTTTTCTTAAATGTAAAATCCTCCTTATAAACCTTTTTCATAGGTTCATAAAAACAACATATATTTTTTTCCCAAAAAATGTGAACAAAACTCTTTGGTCTTGTTTAACATATCACCAGAATGATTGACAATTAGGAGGACCAATAGTCTTGATGATCCACCCGGAAGTAGAAAATCCTCCTAGTTAAAGAAGTCCTGAAAGCTGTGGTATATAACTTTAAAGTTAGGGTATGTCACTTTCAGACCACAGTGATGAAACGCTGTACTGTACTTCTGTATTTGATCTCTGGTTTATCTGCACCAGTTATGTTTAAAAATTATATATAGTGCAGGTTTTAATATTGTGAGGAATGTAAGACAACTCTGACCTTATCCACAAGTACATTTACACTGCCCCAAACCTTTTTTTAATGTGTTTTAAGAGCCACAAATAACACATTTTCTTCTGAGATGAAATGCCAAGATTTAGTAAGACCCAGGCTAGAGGGAGGGAGAGACCAGTGAGAGGAGAGAGACTTGAGTGTTTTCCCTAAACTTATCTTTTTGTGCAGGATGTGACTTCACTGACTCCTCTGTCTCCAGAGATCATCAGCCGACAGGCCACTATCAACATCGGTAAGAAAAGCCTTCTGCTCTGTTCTACAGCAGGCGGGCTAACGGGGTGGAGTGGGGAGTGGAACTGACATGAGTGTAACTACGTTGATCTCCAAAAATAAAGGACTTAACGCCTCGACTGATGTCCAGCAGCATTTAATTTCATACAGGCATTTGGAACACCGTGAAAACTACAAAGATAAAGGAGGAGAGCAAATTTCCATACAGTAACTCACACAATAAGAATCAGGTCTCAAAATAAAAGACAGAATGAAATAAAAAGGTTACCGTGTGCGCCTTAGTAGACCAATCGTAGAATGATACTCTTTCCAAGCTGCAAAAACGTCTCTTTATAACAGCATACTTTAAAATACTTCTCAACTTCTTCTTTGAGATGCAAACTTAAACGACAGCAAAAATGATCTGAGTTGTCATGGTAACCAAAGCGTCAGTTACTATGAGAGGACTGACATGCTGATCCATTCCCAGTCCTGATCTAATCCCAGCAGCTCATGGCTTCAACTTCCAGCCAACTTCTGTTCAGCTAAAACACACATGCCATAAATAATTTTTAAACTGAAAACCTCTAGAATTCAGAATCAAGTGTTTAAGTCAACAATTATTATCCAGGCGACTTCAGCTCCACCAAATGTAAATAAACATGTAAAGTGGACAAAGACCGGTGTCATTTTCTCCTCGTATGCTTCTGTTCCAGGGACCATCGGTCATGTGGCCCACGGTAAATCCACGGTGGTCAAAGCCATTTCCGGTGTCCACACAGTCCGGTTCAAAAACGAGCTGGAGCGAAACATCACCATCAAGTTGGGCTACGCTAACGCTAAGGTTAGCCTCACACGCTTATGCCACGGTTAGCCTCACACGCTTATGCCACGTTTTGCCTCACACGCTTATGCCACGTTTAGCCTCACACGCTTATGCCACGTTTAGCCTCACACGCTAATGCCACGTTTAGCCTCACACGCTTATGCCACGTTTAGCCTCACACGCTTATGCCACGTTTTGCCTCACACGCTTATGCCACGTTTAACCTTAGATGCTAATGCCACGTTTAGCTTCACACTCTAGTGCTACGTTTAGCCTCACACGCTAATGCCACATTTAGCCTCACACGCTTATGCCACGTTTAGCCTCACACGCTTATGCCACGTTTAGCCTCACACGCTAATGCCACGTTTAGCCTCACACGCTTATGCCACGTTTAGCCTCACACGCTTATGCCACGTTTTGCCTCACACGCTTATGCCACGTTTAACCTTAGATGCTAATGCCACGTTTAGCTTCATACTCTAGTGCTACGTTTAGCCTCACACGCTAATGCCACATTTAGCCTCACACGCTAATGCTACGGTTGGCCTCACAGGCTACAATTAGCCTCACACGCTAGTGCTACGTTTGACCGCAAACACTAATGCTACGTTTGGCTTCACGCTAATGCTAAGATTATCCTCTCATGCTTGAGGTAGAGAAGGAGAGAGACCATAGAGAAGCTGTAGTTGTGTTTGTGTCTCAGATCTACAAACTGGACGACCCATCCTGTCCACGGCCCGAATGCTATCGCTCCTGTGGCTCCAGCACGCCAGATGAGTTCCTCACGGACCTGCCAGGGACCAAGGGCAACTTCAAACTCGTCAGGTAAAAACACATCTTCTTTTATTCCAATTTAATGATATAGAACAGACTCATGCAGTGAAGTGACAAGGCTAGCAGATGCATTTAAGAACACAGAGAAAAGCCTTACCATGTGTTTAGAGCTCATAGGCCATGGCCACATGTTGATCATATGATGCACACAGTCACTCTGCATGTGTTTCACTGTTTGGATTTCTGGTCTCTCCCCCGTCTCTTACCTTGTCTCTCTCCACTGTCTGTCTCTTACTGGTTTGATGCCCAATGATTTAGACATGTATCGTTCGTGGACTGTCCGGGTCACGACATCCTCATGGCCACAATGCTGAACGGAGCCGCTGTAATGGACGCCGCGCTGCTACTCATTGGTAAGAATAGCTCCCCCTGCAGGACACGCACATGCGCCACCTGATCAACCCAACAGTAGAACCTTCGTTGTACCTCCCTTCATAACTCCTGTGTGGTGTTTGCAGCTGGTAACGAGTCGTGTCCACAGCCTCAAACCTCGGAGCACTTGGCCGCCATCGAGATCATGAAGCTGAAGCACATCCTCATCCTGCAGAACAAGATTGACCTGGTGAAGGAGAGCCAGGCCAAGGAGCAATACGAGCAGATCCTGGCCTTTGTGCAGGGTAGGACTGGGGCCGGGGCTAGGGAGACGCTCAAAACAAATAGATCTAGAAAAGTTTTCTTCTATCACCAATCATGTATTTTTGGTCTGGATAAGCTTTTTAATTGTTTTTTTTTTTCTTTCTTTTATTTTTTTTAATGAAAGACAAAAAAAATAGACACACATCCACATTCAACAAGAACCCAACCAACAACAAAGACAACGCAATAAAATAAAAGATTAAACAAAAAAATTAAACAGACAAAGGTATACAAGTTGACAAAGGTGAAAACTAGCACCACGCTCACTCAGCCGAAAGAGTCATGTCTCACAGGGCTTTTTTTTACACAAGTGATTACATGTTTTCTGATCATGAGAAAAACATGAGAAAGACTCTGTTCAAACTAGATGTGTTAGACTAGTGTTATTTATGAGACAAAAGTGATGTCCCCTAACTTTAACAGTGGTGTAATTCCAGGCACAGTGGCAGAGGGCGCTCCAATCATCCCAATCTCTGCGCAGCTCAAGTACAACATAGAGGTGGTGTGTGAATACATAGTGAAGAAGATCCCTGTGCCGATTCGAGACTTCACCTCCGAGCCAAGACTCATTGGTACGCATGCATAAATAAAGATTACTTATGCACGCTGACCCTGTACTCTGACCGCTGACCCTGTACTCTGACATTGCAGTGATCCGGTCCTTTGACGTCAACAAACCCGGCTGTGAAGTGGACGATCTCAAAGGAGGCGTGGCCGGTGGCAGCATCCTCAAAGGCGTCCTCAAAGTAAGAGACGGAGACTGTGTCTGCAGTCTATTAGCACTCTGTCCAGTCGGGTTACCTTGAGTTTATACCATATCGGTCCTCTGCTCAGGTGGGGCAGGAGCTGGAGGTCCGGCCTGGGATCGTGTCCAAAGACCAGGAGGGGAAGCTCATGTGCAAACCCATCTTCTCAAAGATTGTGTCTCTGTTCGCTGAGCACAACGACCTGCAGTACGCTGCCCCCGGAGGACTCATCGGTAACTACAGCATTACACACCTTCCCTGATATATGGTGTGTTCTAAAATTAACCCACAAGATGTGAAATCCTTGATGTAGCAGCTCTGTTTTAAGGCTTTAAAAACCCTCACACAGACATTGGGCGGCACAGTGACTGAGTGGTTAGCACTCTCGCTTCTCAGCAAGGAGGTCCTGGGTTCGAATCGCGGTCAGAACAGGGCCTTTCTGAGTGGAGTTTGCATGTTCTCCCCGTGTCTGCGTAGGTTTCCTCCGGATACTCTGGTTTCCCCTACCACTAAAAACATTCAAATACCTCTGGCATACGCCTCCTGTACTGGCGACCCCGCTCCCATTTCTGTGTGGAGTGAGACAAATGCCCACAATTGTAAACCGCTTTGTGACTCTGGTCTGTGAAAGGCGGTATATAAATCAAGATTACTTACTTACTCACACACACACATTATACTCTTTTCTAACCATCTGAATTCACGACTGCTGAAGTGCGATCAAAGATATCCATGTGTATGTCTGAGCACTGCTGCAGCTGTCAAAAGCCTGTGCATACACTGTAAAATACAGCTGCAGAGGACACCGCACTGAATGGTAGGAGCAGAACTGAGGGCCGGAGAGTTCTCTGAAATATCTGTGGTTCACAAAAGTCCATCCTTTCACAGTCCATCCTTATCATATGTGTGACGATACTTTGGATCAAACACCATGCTCAAAACCTACTAAAAGTTTGCTCAGAGGTTGATGTCACCTCAATTCAACGGTGACGTATCCTCACGCTGACTTTGAATACACGGCGTGGGGGTTTGGGTATGTATATTGCAGACCTGAGAATAAACTTTTTCCAACAATGGCGACACGTCACATCCCTCTGTCCTCGACCCAGAATCAAATCCTATTTTAGTTAACAGAAGTATACAGTGAGTTAGTTGGACTTACAGATCAATGCTCCTCATTAGTCTTTCACTGTTTCAAGATATCAAGATCAGATTTGAGTATTTCCAGTTTCATGGTAACCATAGTTCTGGACGACGTCTTTGATGAGGAGTCGCTCATTGATGAACAGATTCTTTGCTGATTTCAGACCCAGATCCCGTGAAAAAAATTCTTGCCACATTCACTGCATTGCTTTGTGTTTAGGTCAGCCAAATTGTGTTGTCACAAAACAGTGATGTTAACACACAGTCGGCGGCAGAAGCAATATCAGAGCTCCGTGTGAGGCCAACACATGGACACACACACGTGGTACACACGGGACTAGAGAGAGGGAGAGCGAGAGACTCGCCGACTCGGGCAGCAGGCTCATTAGTGGGCGTGGCTGTCAATCACTGTTGAGCGCCTCCTGGGTATGATGTGTAGGAAGGCTAAATATCTGTCATGCTATGCCAGCCTTTATATGATGTTGAATTATGCACGCGGCACATGAGAAGCACACTGTAAAAATAATACGATCTCACAGAGGTCACTGAAAACCCTGTTACAGTGAGGCCTGTATTACTGCTTCCAGGTGTGGGCACTAAGATTGACCCAACCCTGTGCCGGGCTGACCGTATGGTGGGACAGGTGCTGGGAGCCGTGGGAGCACTCCCGGAGATCTTCACAGAGTTGGAGATCTCTTACTTCCTCCTGAGACGATTGCTGGGAGTGCGGACGGAGGGGGACAAAAAGGCAGCCAAGGTAAAACCACGAGTGTATCTGTACAACAGGGCGTAAAGCTGAGGTACTTTTTCTGTGGTCTCTTGTCTCTGTCTCTGTCTTTCTCTCTGGTCTCTCTGGTCTCTCTCTAGTGTCTTAGTTGTAGCTGTGACCCGCCTCTCCACAGAGCTGACTCATCCTTGTGGTGTGCAGGTTCAGAAGCTGTCGAAGAACGAGGTCCTCATGGTGAACATTGGCTCCTTGTCCACCGGGGGCAGAGTGAGCGCTGTCAAAGCTGATCTGGCAAAGATCGTCCTCACAAATCCGGTGTGTACTGAGGTGGGAGAAAAGATCGCCCTGAGCCGGAGAGTGGAGAAGCATTGGCGGTGAGTATACTATACAATATTGTAGACACAAGTATACAGATGCACACACACACATTCTCATCAGTGTCTGACATGACAGTTACGTCCCCTGTGTACAGTCTGATCGGCTGGGGGCAGATCCGGCGCGGCGTCACCATCACACCCACCGTGGACGACGACTGAGAGACCGGAGACCACTTTATCTAGTTTTTTATTATTTCAAATTTTCTGCTTCTAAAACGACGAGACGGAGACCGACAAATGTAACAGTGCAACAAAATAGATTCTGATTCTGATTCTGATTCTGATTCTGAAATAAACTTATTTGGAGAAAACAATGACTTGTTTATTCATTAATTCACTAATTTAAGCTGAGATACGTAACTTTAGTCTCTTTAAAGAATTAGTCAATCTTTAGACTGAGTGTTGATTGACCTTTTTTCACTTTTTTTAAATCCAAAGATCTGACAGGCCAGAAATACACAACGAGAAAACTAATTATTGAAGCATCTGTTCTAGAGCCAGGAACTTGAGACATGGGTTTATTAGATTGGTTTGGTCTGATGGGTCAGCTTTAATGACTGGTTGCATGAATGTTCGTCATCCTGCCATTTTATTCAAGAATGTGTAAAATAATGGCAATTGGTCTGTTCGTTTTGTAGTTCTGTGTACATCGGTGTAAATGGCGTGGACTACATTTCCCATAAGGCAAAGCGTTACACAAGGCTTACGCATACATTCTTTCAAAATAAGACTACTTGCTGCGCTCATTGCCTATCCCGCTCGCTCAGTGAATCCAATCACAGCCCAGGGAGGTGGGTGAAGTGCCCTGGACCCTAGACTTGCATGTAAAAGTAAACGCCCGCTCAAGAACTGTGTCTGTCAGTGTGCCCAAGGGCAGCTGTGGCTCCAGTAGCTTGGTCGTTAATCATCGCCGTGTATCGAGTGAATGAAAAATGTTGTTGTCCTTGAGCGTCCAGAAACGAACTATTTAAAACCCATCTATTATTGATATAAAAATGTGCATTTGGGTTTCTCATCTTCTCATCATATCTGAGGCTTTTATTTTGAAAAGACGAGCAGCTGTTTATGCTGGGTCTGACCTCGGTCTGAACCCAGCCTGGACCAGTCCATAGCCGCTGTCCTGGAGCACTCCTCAGCCGGACATGTGGCTGCTTGTTGCCGGGCTGGGGCTCCTTCTCGCCGCGGTGTGGTACGTTTGGTCTCCGTTACCTCCGGGAGTGTGTGAGCCCGGGAAGCTGAGGCTGCTGGATGCGCTCTTTCGATCCTCCATGTCCGCGGTGAGGAGACCATGACGGGGGTAATAACTCGGGAAATCGTTCATAACTGAATCTAATTATTTCCGCCACAGAGATATGACTGCAATGCCGAGAAGAGCAAATACTGCTGCTTATAACATGTTACTATAGGTACTATTTGACTCACGGATCAACAGCCTCAGTCCCCCTGGGTCTACAACCTCAGTCCTCTTCTCTTTTTCACGTTCCTGTCTGAAAAAGCTGATCTAAAGATGTGACAGAGACCAGAAATTAGTGATGTTAAAACTATAAAGGCAACTGCGTTAGAGCCAGGAACAATGGGTTTATTACAAAGTTCTATTGACTGAAAGTTACAAACCCCAGCTATAAAGTCACGTACCACAGATTGAACAAAGATTTTACGACAGTTTGTGCCCAAGTAAATCTCTTGTGGATCAGCGCCAGTGGACGCCACCGAACCTGTCTGTGCCGTTGGGCCACACCTCCGGATTCTTGAAGTTCTGGTCTGGCCTCATTTCTGAGTTTTATCAGCGCAGGTCAAAGGGGAAGCGCTCAAGCAACATCAGCGTCAGGACAATCTGCAGATTGATCAGAGTGAACTTTGAATCAGCCCACAGCAGCTGACCACTGAGAGCACACAACAATAGCCAACTTTATATACAGCCAGTCAGCCAAACATTGCTATTTATAATAGACTAAAGTTAGGTACCCTAGCTTTAATCATGTATTTTTTATGAGACTGGACTTATGTACGTCACTTTTAACAATGAGCTGTTGTGCTCTGCAGGCGGAGCTGCTCCACGTCCTCGGCCTCGTCCACCGGGTGCAGGTGCTGAAGACCCTGGTGTCTCTGGTGGAGGAGGTCCCGGCCCGTTCCTGCCTCTTGCTGGATGTGAGGGACACGTCTCTGGGGGGTGTATCCACGCGGGTCTTCTCCCCAAGCGGAGGAGCAGCACTGAAGAGGGCCGTGCTGTACTTCCACGGAGGAGGCTGGGCCTTGGGAAGCGCCCGTACGTACAGTTTATTTGTTTATTGCCCTAAAATACAACAGCAATAGTTTCAGAGGATTAACAAACACATATGAGTCATTGGTTGAAAGGGAGCGGGATGACCAGAAATGTTCAGAAATGTGCAGACATGTGCCAATTCCTCACTGTCTTACATCGGCAAGGAACCAAATCCAGGACTGAGGCTTTAGATCCTAGACTGAGGTTGTAGATCCTAGACTGAGGCTGTACCCGCGGAACACGGACTGTAGATCCTAGACTTAGGCTGTTGACCTAGGATTTAGACTAGATCCAGGACTAAGGCTGTAGATCCAGGACTGAGGCTGTAGATCCAGGACTGAGGCTGTAGATCCAGGACTGAGGCTGTAGATCCAGGACTGAGGCTGTAGATCATAGACTGAGACTGGAGATCCAGAACTGAGGCTATGGGTTGAGGACTGACGCTGTAAACCCAGGACGCTGTGGATCCTGGACTGTAACTCACTATGCTACTACCAGAGGGAGGAGTCGGGTTAGTTGTTTTCTCTCTCCACAACAGTTTTCTTCTGACTTTAAATAAAGGTTACTGACTTGTACTGTGGTTCCATGATGCCGTTGGTGTAAACACACATGACAAGCAGCTGAATGTTGTGTCACATTGTGAACAATGTTTGTGATGAACCTTGAACTTTAAAGATGTGTTTGTTTCAGGGATGCGCTCCTACGACCTCCTCTGCCGCAGACTCGCTCTGGACCTGGATGCAGTCATCATGTCTGTGGAGTAAGTCTCAGGGTGCGTCCAGTCAGGACAACAATTCTACTACTACTACTACTTTTGCTACCACTGCTAATTATTATTATTTTTCTTGAAAGAAGGAATTTTCTTTGAACGAATTTATTCTGACCCGTTCCTGTGAAAAGCTAACACTGGTCTAAACAACCATGCTCTGCTGTCGCAGGTTGACCTGGGTCTCAACAACCCTCCTTTGCTGTCCTGGGTCGACGCAGGTCAAAAAGTAAGCCTGTTCTTCCTGTGTGCAGTTATGGCCTGGTCCCAAAGTGCGTGTTCCCGGCGCAGTACCAGGACGCGCTGTCGGCTTCGCGTGCCTTCCTCAGCGCACACACGTGGGACACATACTGCCTGGACCCGCATCGACTCGGCATCTGTGGGGACAGCGCTGGCGCCAACCTGGCAACTGCCGTAACACTAACTGTAAGCAAAGTGTAATGGGGGAACTTCAAATTATTTTCAAGTATTGCTGTTAAAGTGATTGTCTGGAGTTTGTCAGAGAAGAGAGATACAGGATTTTAAAAAAACGACCCAAGCTCCCTCCCCCTTCCTTTCTGATTTGTCTACGCCTACGTTTCCGTAACAATCAATCAACACATTTAAATGTTAATCTGAGAACACATTATACATATACATTATTAATACTCATGCACAGAGGTTTTCAGAATTATTTGTTAATTCTGACAAAAATAATGTTTTAATGAACAAAAAAAGCGATCGCTGTAAACCAGGAAGTAGCTATTAACATTATAGGACACATCTGCAGAGGATCTGATTATGGATATAGGTTCAGTATATAAATGGGTAACTCAGCGCTGATGATCAGAATTCTTTCTTCAGTTTTCATATAGTTCCAGAGCCTAATGGAGGCTTGATTTGGAGCAGGCATGTCAAAGTCAAATACATCAGAGGGCCAACAAAACAAATTTGCTGCGAGCCGAGGGCCGGACTGGTTCAATGTTTATTGCCTGCCAGCCTATTGCCTGCCAGCCTATTTCAGAACAGGTCCTCCCATATTGCCAGCCGTTTCCCATATTGCCAGCCGTTTCTGATGATTTTTATAGATTTTTCAGAACCCACAGAATATTGTGTACTATGACTATCTGAAATCCGAAACCAGATTCTGAAAGAATAGACTGTCTACTTTCATCAGCAAAAATAATTTTGTTTCTAGCTTGTAATCCCCAGTTGAGTAGAGGGAAGTTTTACTGAAATCACAAAAAGCTGAGAAAAAAGAGGCACAACAAGTGCATCTAGCTGTTTTCAAACCATTCAGAGAGCGCTGCTGCCACCTGCTGGCTTGATTCAATATGCTCTCAAGCTTATCCCCAAACATATTAGATATAATAGACATCTGGGAACATGAAAATAGCGGAAAACGCAATTGACGTAATAGTGCATCAATGGCAGGCAACGGGTCATGTAAAATTCATTCGCGGGACGGATTTAGCCCGCGGGCCTTGACTTTGACACATGTGATTTGGAGGCTCCGTGAAAACAAACAACTGAGCATGCGCGCAGCTACGAGCATCAGCGCCGATGATTGACAGTCCATTGCATCATTTGATTGGTTAACGTGGACGGCATCGTGGATTTTGAGCTATAGCTAAGAGAAGGGAAGGCGGGACTTACCCGTAATATTAGAATTCATAAAATGACTTATTTTATATCAACATTTAAGGCCAGAAGGTTAATTTAATACAATTCTTAAAATTTGTAATTCATTTAGAGTTCCAGACAATCACTTTAACTTGAAAACATCAATAGTGTTACATGGGCTTCATCATGGTCTCTCGCTCTGCTCTCTCACTGATCACTATTGATCCTCTGGTCCTCAGCTATGCACTGAGGCTTCCTTGTCCGCCCGCTTCCGAGTCCAGGCCCTGGTCTACCCAGTGCTTCAGGCCTTGGACTTCCAGACCTCGTCGTACCAGCAGAACCGGGCCGTGCCAATCCTGCACCGGCCAATCATGGTGCGCTTCTGGCTGCAGTATTTGGGCGTGGACCCCAGCTTGGAGACCGCAGTGCTGAAGAACCTGCACAGCTCAGAGCTGGACAAGACCACGCGGCAGAAGATCGACTGGACTCAGCTGGTGCCCGGCAGTATAAGGAAAAATTATCAGCCGGTTGTCGTGGATACGACCACAAAGGTGTGTGAGCGATGCGGCCAGATAGTAGTCCTGGTAAACATTAAGTGGATGAGAAACTTACCGTCTCTCTGGTCTCTCCCTCTGGTCTCTCTCTTGTGTCTCTGTCTGGTTTCTTTTTGGTCTCTCTCTTGTCCCCTCTCTGATCTAAAGAGTGATGATAGTAAATCATCTTTAGCCTTCCTCTCCCATAGGTGGCGCTGCCCTCAGTCTTCCTGGATCCCCACGCCTCTCCGCTCCTGGCTGATGACCACACCCTCCGCTTGGCACCGCCCACATTCATCCTGACCTGTGAACACGACGTGCTCCGTGACGACGGCTACATGTATGCGCACCGGCTCACCCGTGCTGGTGTTGCGGTCACCAGTGATCACTATGGCGACGGCTTCCATGGATGCATGGTGTTCGCCAACCGCCCCATGATGTCGTCCGTGGGGAGGAGGAGCGAGGCAGGGCTCGTGCGCTGGCTGCACCACAACCTCTGACCACAGCTTTATTTGAAAACTCTTTGGACTTTTGTGTTGGCATTAGAGAAACACATTTTAAATTAAATATTTAATACCAAAGCCTGTATAGAGATGGACAATACTGTGACCTTCACTCACAAACACACACACATAAAATTCCTTAAACCAGTCTAGAATCCCACCAACAAAAAAGAAAGAGATGGACAACACTAACCCGCTAGCTCAATGCTGACAATGAGAATGAGACGTTTAAAAACTCTGAAATTGCAGCCAATGGTTGGAAACAGTTTTTCATCCCGTTCGATCCATCCATTTTCCGAGCTCTATCCTCATCTTTGCATTCCAAAACTTTTGCCATATTGGCAATGTAACTGTGCTAAAAACAAAGATAGTCTTCAGTGTGTCTTGATAAGGGCTACGAGTCTGAAATAAAGCTAAGTGATGTAAACCTGTGTGTAGCTTGTTTCTCCGGTGCTAGTGGCAAAAGTTGCTGGAAATTGGCGTTAGCATGAGGACTGAATAAAGCGATAACAATTTCCGTTATCACAGGTGTGAATAACTTTGCCGAATGTTGCTGAAAGATACTGGCGGCGGCATAGACTGCTTATGCCACCCGCCACCACAAGCCTCGCCTTAGGCCGACCCCACCATTTGTGTCACACTCACTATTTTGGGCTTAAATCCAACTCTCTGTGATTCTACTGTTTATACTGTAATATTGTCTTTGTAAATCCAGACCTAAGGTTTAATAGGTTTGCTAATTGCTTGAAGTTTCTGCTTCTGCAGGTGTGGCGTGGAAATAAAAGTAATTAATTTGATTCTGTTTTTCTCTGGTCTCACTGCCTCTTTATGGTCTCACTCTAGTCTTCCTCTAGTCCCTCTGGTCTCTCTCTGGGTTCCCTCTCTAGTCTCTCTATGGTCTTTAGACTTGTAGACTATTGTCCTGTAAGACTATTCAAACACACAAACGAAGTCAAGATTTGGCTCCAGTTCTTGAATGCCTCTGGACACATCTGGGTCCAATCATGTGAGAGTGGGGGGGTGGTCCTGAGGGGGGGTCTGGTTTCACCGCTACGGGGGGGCCACACGTCACCCCAAATGTGGACTCAATGAAACCTGAAGCAGCCTCCAAGTACACGCTGAGAACCATGAGGCCAGGACACATCCAAGCCAGAAAGAGACACCAGAGAGATGGTCCCTCATGGTCTCTCTGTCCGGTCGCTGTTCTCTCTCTGGTCTCTGGGTCCCAAATTCAAAGAACGATCTGGTCCCAAACGATGATCTCTGCTTTGTCATGGTCTGTGTGATCACTCACTCACTGAAGCTTCAGGCCTGACTTCATCTGCTCCAGCCAACTGTGAAAGCACGAGGATGGGACCATCAAGGGTAGGGGCCATGTGACCTTAGAGCTACCAACTGCGTGTTGTTTGGACCTGTGTTCACTTTTTAACGAGGAAACTTGCCAGAATCAACTTCCATCCATCCTCCATTTTCTTTTGCTTCATCTGTTGCCGGGTCGCGGGGCCAATAGTCTAAGCAGAGACGCCCAGACTTCCCTATCCACACACTTCCTCCAGCTCATCTGGGGAGACCCCAAGGCATTCCCAGGCCAGCTGAGAGTAGTCCCTCCAGCGTGTCCTGGGTCTTCCCCGGGGCCTCCTCCCAGTGGGGCGTGCCCGGAAAATCTCCCCAGGAAGGCATACGGAAGAGATGCCAGAGCCAACTCAACTAGTTCCTCTCAATTTGGAGAAGCAGCATCTCTACTATGAGCTCTGCCCGTGTGACTGAGCTCCTCACCTGATCTCTAAGGGAGCAGCCACTCTGCGGAGGAAGTTCATTTCGACTGCTTGTATCCGTGATCTCGTCCTTTTGGTCAACACCAAAATAATTTACTTCTCACTTTTAAAATATAGAAGTAGTGCTAGTATTTCTACAGACAGAGTTCTGCTATGAACTTGCTTTACATCAATAATAAGAATTATAAAGGCTGTAGACCCAGGACTGAAGCTGAAGATCTTGGACTGAGGTTGCAGACCCAGGACTGAAGCTGTCAATCCAGGACTGAGGTTGTGGACCAGGGACTGAAGCTGTCGATCCAGGACTGAGGTTGCAGACCCAGGACTGAAGCTGTCGATCCAGGACTGAGGTTGCAGACCCAGGACTGAAGCTGTCGATCCAGGACTGAGGTTGTGTACCCAGGACTGAAGCTGTCGATATAGGACTGAGGCTGTAGATCCAGGACTGAGGTTGTGGACCCAGGACTGAGGTTGTGGACCCAGGACTGAGGTTGTGGACCCAGGACTGAGGTTGTGGACCCAGGTCTGAGGCTGCAGACCCAGGATTTTCCGCGTCATTATCATTATTTAAAAATGATAATGCTGTTATCAACGTAACTGTTTACGTTGTCATATTTTAGAAAATGAAATAATGTCTTCAATAGAAATTATATGCGAAACAAGTATAAAGAGTAAAGCATGCTTTCTGCCTGTAACTCACATGGTCCCAGCTCTGGTCTCTCTCTCTGGTCTCTTGAAAAGTGACTGGACCAAGCTGACCTTTCTGTCGGCAAACGCACTAAAGTCCTTCACCTTAAAAACAATAGTGTGAGTGTTTTATCGGCTCATATTGTGCTAAGTCTATTGCTCTCACTCCGTTTTAGATCATAATCTACTTCTGCAGCGTCCTATCAGTGTTTGAACAGCTCCACAGGACAATGTGTTCCCCCCCTTCAGACTACAGGTCTCTGCAGCTGAGGCCCAAACCACAGTAGCAATATAGCCACAATACAGGGCTGAGTGGATAGCACTCTCTCAGCAAGAAGGTCCTAGGTTCGAATCCCGGTCGGACCAGGGTCTGAGTGGAGTTTGCATGTTCTCCCCGTGTCTGCGTAGGTTTCCTCCGGGTACTCTGGTTTCCCCTACCACTAAAAAGATGTACAATAGGTCTGGCATGCGCCTCCTGTTCGGCGACCCTGCTCCCATCTCTGTGTGGAGTGAGAGGACAAGTGCCCAAAAATAACAATTGTAAACCGCTTTGTGACTCTGGTCTGTGAAAGGTGGTATATAAATAAAACTTACTTACAGGAACAGTGTGGCTCTTTGGAAAACAGGTCTGAAACTCTTTAGTCTTGCTGTGGTATCTCTCTCTGACTTCTCTCTTGTTTCTCTCTGGTCTCTTTTGTTTCTCTTTGGTCTTCCTCTGGTCTCTCTCTCTCTGGTCCCTCTCTGGTTTCTCTCTGGTCTCTCTGAACCCTCTCTGGTCTCTCTCTGGTCTCTCTCTTGTTTCTCTTTGGTCTCTCTCTGGTCTCTCTCGCTCTGGTCCCTCTCTGGTTTCTCTCTGGTCTCTCTGAACCCTCTCTGGTCTCTCTCTGGTCTCTCTCTTGTTCCTCTTTGGTCTCTCTCTGGTCTCTGCTTCACACCAGCAAACATCTCCACGGTGAGGAAGCTGGTATCTCTGGCGTGTGTATGCATAAAGTATAAACAATCGGTGGTGTAATAAAACAAATGTTGAAGCCTGTGTCGGGAGCGCGCATGGCCCCGCCCCCCACATTCGGTCGTGGACGCGCACAGGTCCAGGAGCGCGTGTCTTATTTCACAGCAGACTTTTGTCCTGAGCATCAGAGAGACCGGGACCTCTGCACAAACCGGGGACCAGGTCAGAGGTGACCCCCCTCCGGAGCTCAAGACCCGTGCCCCATGGAGCCCTACCCACTCTGGACGCTGCTGCTGTCGGCTGTGCTCCTGCAGACACTCGCGGTCACTGTCACGGTGCTGCACTTCAAGTCGGCTCTTAACGCGGTCAGCTTTCTTTCATAATAATAATGGCTAATTATTACTAATTAATTGTTACTGTTATTATTATTACATTTGTAGAACTAGAAACTGAAGCCACGTGAATGACCAAAACTACATATTGTTACAGTATTGCAAAGTCTGAACAGAGACCATTACAAAAGTGGAAACATTGAAAAGATAATAAAAAAACAAAACTAAGACATAAGTACTTTATACTATAGTATAAATGTACTTTGTATTAAGTATGTTTGTCCTCTGTCTTCTTTAGAGCAGTTCAGAGAGGACCACCATCAGCCAATCGGCTCACAGCCCAAAGAGTCAATTAGTGACTCACAGGGCTCTTGCTTATACAGAAGGTGAAGACAGCATGTTGTGACTTTTTTGGTTGGACAAACTATGTGTTATTTATGAGAGTAATGTTACTTACCCCAGCTTTACCCCGGTCTCAGGCTGTGGTCGTTTCAGTGCTGGTGATTGCGACACGCTCCACAATAACCGCTGCAAAAAGATCTTCCACCGCGGTCCGCGTCCAAAACTGTCAGCGGTGTGCGCCAAGAAAAACACACACATGCACACACACACGCACACGCACACGTATAAAGTACATACACGAACATATGTGGTACAGTTGTTCTTGCTTCTCAACAAGAAAGTCCTGGGTTTGAATCCTGGTCGGAGCAGGGTCTTTCTGAGTGGAGTTTTCATGTTCTTCCTGTGTCTGCATAGGTTTCCTCCAGTTGCTGCAGTTTCCCCCCTCACTAAAAACATGCAAAATAAGTAAAATCTCCTGACAAAGCCGAGCATCAACATCAGGTGCTGTACTACAGCGACTGCAGAGACCACTGCTCCTGGCTGGTCAAATGCAGAAGACAAAGTTCCCCATGGTGAAAAATTAAGTTTTCATTTCATACGGTCTTCATGGGTCTGCTCTGGCCTCAACACTGATTCCGAAATCCAGTTTTTCTCAAGTGAAAATGGCATCATTCCAAAGTGTGTGGTTTGTTTTTCATTTCAAACATATGAATTTTGAAGAGTGTCCAGAGAGGCTAGAGAGAGACCAGAGTGGGAAATAATATTGAAGATATAATTTTTCTATGTGTTTTTTATCATTGCATTTTTCAACTATTTGATTCTCTGATCTGTGTTAGCAAATTCAACGATTTTGTAAAGACCTCCGAGATAATGAATTGTTGTTATAGACTTACAGTTTGAACTATAAATGTATATGAGAGCTGAACTTCTCTCACGGTCACTGCACCATCTTGAAATACATTGATAAGGGACAAAAAGGAAGCGAGAATTGCATTTTTGTTTATATTGTTGCTTTCACCATGCAAGTTTGAAAAAGGGATCTTAGGGGACCACAATTATGTAAAAGAACGACCCCGAAAAGAATATTTTAGAAAAAGAATTATGCAAAAATCTAGAAACCGGCGTCATAACAGCAAACTGTCAACATTGCAAACCACACAGGCCGAAAGGCAGAGACAACAGAAGGCACATTGTGTAGTTTGTATAACAACTACTGTGTTGTATAACAAACTACTCGAAAAAAGTGGAAAATACGTCACTTTTTTCGAACCGACAGTAATGAGAATAAGGCAAACTCTGCCCTCTCCGAGCTCAGTCCAACTACTTTGTCCACAAGTTTCAACTACACTTATTCAGTGAGCAAGCCTCAAATAAAACACACAGAATCCCCACAAAACACATTCATCTTCCAGCGGGAGTTTGAATGTTCTGTTTTCTTACCTGGTGATGCAGATAGGGCACTGTGGCTAACGCTAATAATAACATAAGCTCTTAGCCATGTCCTGCTGCGGCTGTGTATATGTCCTGCTTCTCTGATCATCTTAGTTTTAAGCTCCCGCAGACGTTATTCATCCATGCATCTCTTCTCTTCACACCACGTTTGTAAAACTATATATTATAATATAACAGATCCTTGGTAAGAATCATGTCGCCTCCACGCGACTGTCAAGGGCCCGAGACGTTAGGAGAGATCCGGTTCTTTCCTTGGCAGTCTGGTGAATGACTGAGAGTTGAGGAGCACTGTCAAAGACACATATTGTCTATCAAAGGCTTCCGTAGTACCCTAGACTGAAATATATGATCTCAATGTGTGAGATTTCATAACACTTTTAAGCAACTTTTGTTAAAGTTAAACTCATCATTCTATCAATGTGCAGAAGCCAGTACTTTTCCCTTGTTTTGTCTATCTGAAGGCCAAGCTACAAGCACACCGTGGCAGCTGCTGATTGGAGGTCTCCATGCCTCCGCTCTGTATAATACACTTGCATTCTCTTGTATCTGTGATTGTGTGCTTTGTTTGTGCTGTCTCTACCATTGACAACAAAACATGTCTTCTGTCTGAATTTAAGACGCGATCCCAGACTATGCCATCTTCTTCAAATGCTATATGAGAGTAAAAACTACACTGTGTACCTTAAGAGCAAAATATACTTTCTCTGGGCATCTGTTGATAGACTTTGTGTTTCAGATGAAGCAGACGTTCGCTCGCAGCAGTGTTTCCTGTTTGACAGATACACAGGAATCTGAGCCGTGTTTCCAGGTCAGAGCCCACCTGCAGCAGCTCATAGAGGAGGTACTGCTACTGCTACTGCTATTGCTGCTGGTACTGCTGCTACTGCCACTGCTACTGCTGCTGCTGCTGCCGCTATAACTTGTACTGCTACTGTTACTGCTATCGCTACTACTGCTATTGTATACTACTGCTACTGCTATTGCTTGTGCTACTACTACTGCTAATATTACTGCTGCTGCAGCTGTCTGTGATGTATTTGCAGCCGGCCTGTGAAAACATACTTTTGTTGTAACTCAAGGTCAAAGTCATTAATTTTCATGATTAAACTCTGACGCCCCAGTTCTCCCACACACACACACACACTGACACACATAGACAGACAGACACACACTAACACAGACACAGAGACCCCCACACACACTAACACAGACACACACACCCTCCCACAGTTTCCAACATATTTTTCACAAGGACAACTTTATAAAGGAAAAAGCAGCCCGTGAACTCTGCGATCACAGCTTCACTCACCCAAACACGGCTCCATGCCTTGTTACGGTGATGCAGGCCTGAGTTTGTGTGATTGTGTGAACTTTGTGAATCCTGCACCTGTTGAAATACGGGAGCGCAGGAGGAAGCGATCGGAGACACAAAGGATCTGTTCATGGCCGCGAGCTGTAATCACTGCAGGAATGTGCTCTCTGTCTTACACTACTCCTACACAGAAAAGACCAGAGACAGATCAGAGAGAGACCAGGAAGAGATCCCAGAGAGCCCAGGGAGAGATCAGAGACCAGGGAGAGATCTAAGAGGCCAGGGAGAGACCAGAGAGAGACCAGGGAGAGACCAGAGAGAGCCCAGGGAGAGATCAGAGAGAGACCAGGGAGAGACCAGAGAGAGCCCAGGGAGAGATCAGAGAGAGACCAGGGAGAGACCAGAGTGAGACCAGGGAGAGACCAGAGTGAGATCAGAGAGAGACCAAGGAGAGATCAGAGAGAGACCAGAGTGAGATCAGAGAGAGACCAGGGAGAGATCAGAGAGAGACCAGAGTGAGATCAGAGAGAAATACCATCACACTAGAACTCTGTAATAAACCCCTGTCTACAGTTGCTTCTATCATTCGTTTTAACATCATGTATTTCTGTCACATCTTTAAATCAGCTTTTCAGAGAGTTAAGAGAGGACCCTCCATCAGCTCTCAACCAAAAGAGTCAAATAGTGACTCACAGGCCTTTTTCTTTCACACATGATAACATCTTTTCTAATAAGATGACAGCCTGTTGTGGTCTTGTGTCCGCAGTCCCTGTCCCTGCAGCATCAGAGGCAGCTCTCCTCCGCAGTCAGAGGTGAGGACTAAACACTCATGATGAATCAGCTTGGAACATAAAATAGACCAGAGAGAGACCAGAGAAAGATTAAAAAGAGAGACCAAAGACGAGAGAGATCAGAGAGAGAGACAATTGAGAAACCAGAGAGAGAGACAGGGGAGAGACCAGAAACCACTACCAAACAGTGAGTATTCATAATTAAAGTAATTAACTTAAATGCATCTGCTGGCCTTGTCTAAGTAGGATCTGGGATGAGGGTAAAGGTTTATTCCAAAATTGGGAGGAATAAAAATCTTTTTGTCTGTGTGTGTGTGTGTGTGTGTGTGTGTGCGTTGTGGTGTTGGTGCCCCTGGTGTCTCCTGTTTGTATTCCAATGTAGTTTTTCTGCAAATAGCAATAAATTCATTCTGCTTCTGTTTGTCCTTGTCCTCGCTCTGTCCTTGGGTTTCCTCTTTCCTCTCTCCCCCTCTTCTCTCCCAATTCTTTCTCTTTTTTGTCCTGGGGTCCTCCTCTCTTTTTTCTCCCCCTCCTGTCTCCTCTCTCCACCGCCTCTCTCCTCTCTGTCTGGGGTCCTTCAGATGAGGTGTCCCGTGTGCTGCCTGCTCTAGTGCTGGATGACAGGACCTCCTCACGGCCCAAAGTTGCGGCACATGTCACTGGGAGATTTGTGCCCAAAGTGGGCCGCGAAGCACCAGGTGAGCTCCATCAGCCTGCAACCCTCCTCTCCCCCTCACCCTGATTCTTTGTAATGAGATAAAGACAGCATGTTGTGGTCTGATTAGCTGATGATTACTCTTGTAAACAAGAGCTGTTTTATTATAGAGGTAAAGTTAGGTACCCAGCTTTAATGGGAAAACTGAGCACTGATGATGGGGGTGTTGTCCTCAGCATTCGGCTGGAGCTCGCGGAGAGTCCTGGGGCAGAAAATCTGGTGGTGGGAGGGGCAGCGTGGTCTGGCCTTCCTCCAGGACGTCACCCTCAGTCAGGGAGAGCTGCTGGTGTCGCGGCCTGGACTCTACTACGTCTACGCCCAGGTGTACTTCAGACACCACCAGGGGGAGCCAGAAGAGGGGGCGGAGCCAGAGGAGTGGGTGGAGACAGGGGACAGGGGCAGGCCGCTGCTGCAGTACGTCTACAAGAAGGTCAGTCTACATGCATACCACTCATGGCTCCGTGTACACCGATTTGCAGACACCAGAGATAGAGACCACAGAGACCAGAGAGAAACCAGAGAGAGAGACCGGCATCTCAGTATACATGCCTCATTGGTCCTGTGTTTCTGTTGTTGCTCAGATAAATTCATACCCGGTCCCCATCCTCCTGATGAAGACAAGCCGGACCTCCTGCTGGTCGCGGGACTCTGAGTTTTCTCTGCACTCCGCCCATCAGGGGGGGCTGTTCCCTCTAACTGCTGGGGATCGACTGTTTGTGAGTGTCACCAATGCATCTGCAGTGGACATGGATGAGAGGAGCAGCTTCTTTGGGGCCTTCCTCCTGAGCTGAAGTCACAAAGTGACTCCCAAGCCCCAGAAACTGCATGACACGAGCAAGTGTGTCAGAATGACTCAGGATTCAACCCGCCTTGCAACATGAACACACATTTCAACAGCAGCAAGGGAGTGTTTTCTCTGCCTCTGCTCACATGTGTGTCAAGTTTCTAGAACTACATACACACGTCACATAAGGGGCAATACTTTGCATAATGGCAACATAACGAGCCGTGGAGCTGGGTTTGGCTGAGTGAAGCTTTGACCTCAGAGTTTGACTGTTGCACGCTTTGCCATTTCCTTTATAAAGTTAAAAAATATGTTGGAAACTGCTCTATGAAGATGAGGAACATGTAGTCCATTATATGAATAAGTTGGAGCCAAACGTCACCATGAGCACTTCCCTATCGGGCGTCATTGAGCTAGCAGATTAGCAATGTTCATCAGAATCCACAATAATAATGCCTGGAGGTCAGAGGTCATGTTTGAAGCTGCCTCCATGACTGAGGTGAGGATCTGCAGCCTGAAACTGGGTCATAACACCAAGGTCTGTTACTGGGTCAAAACACCAGGGTCAAGGTTCTAATGGTGGTGAACAAAAGCATTTATCATTTATTTCACTCTGTTGTTGATCTTAATTAAAGCACATGATTGAAATGAATGGTCTGTGGTTATTTTGAAGTGACATACACACTTATTTACAGGATTTATACTTAATAAATACTGCATATTTCAGGCATTATACACACCCTGACAATACACTGCCAAACAAATGAAAAACATTTAGAGTTTCATTTAACTGTTATAATTGATATACACATATTCATTAATTCATACATTCATCTTAAGACAAATCTAAAAGGTAACAGCTGACAGGAGGGTGCAGAAGTGTAAAATGGTTATTTAAAAGCATAGACTGTATACAGATGGAAAATGCTAACCTACTAGCTCAGGTCAAGGGCGAGTTCAGACAGAGAGACCAGGGAGTGAGAGAGAATAGACAACATACAGAGAGATCAAAAAGAAAGAACGGAGGGCCAGAAAAGAACCAGAGAGAGCGAGTTCAGGCAGAGACCCAAGAGAGACCAGAGATTCCATTACAATCTCTGGTCTGGCGGCACGGTGGCTGAGTGGATAGCACTCTCGCCTCTCAGCAAGAAGGTCCTGGGTTCGAATCCCGGCCGGACCAGGGCCTTTCTGAGTGGAGTTTGCATGTTCTCCCCGTGTCTGCGTAGGTTTCCTCCGGGTACTCCGGTTTCCCCTACCACTAAAAATATGTACAATAGGTCTGGCATGCGCCTCCTGTTCGGCGACCCCGCTCCCATCTCTGTGTGGAGTGAGAGGACAAGTGCCCAAAAAATAACAATTGTAAACCGCTTTGTGACTCTGGTCTGTGAAAGGCGGTATATAAATAAAGCTTACTTACTTACTTACTTACAATTGTACTTGTGTCTTGACAACAGTCAGATCGGGTGCTCCTGGTGAGTGTGATGTTTGTGAGCTGATAATTGCGTATTGTGCATGGTGTTGTGTTTCTCCTGTTGCTTGGTCACTAAAGGCATCCAAAGCTGTGGGTCCAGGAGACGATGAGCGGCGCCTTCATTCTGATGCAGAGCGGCTCTCTATCTGGTCTCACTCTGCTCTGTTTTCTTGTGTCTCTGGTCCTGGTTGTGTTTCATTTCACAATTTTGTAGCTGAAAAACAGAAGTATCAAAATGGAGCAGACGGCTCAATCACAGCCCTCCACTCACGGCAACCGGGAAGCAGAAGTACTCAGGCCTCAGAACCAGCAGCAAAAAGGTGACGTTACAAAAGCTATTGTGAAACCAGATCCTTTAGTTTATTTATATAGAATAGATGCATATAAAGCTGTGCTGTGAATATTTGTGAAGAACCAGCTGAATGTAACCACAGAAGAATAACTGACAAGGCCAGCAGATGCATTTAAGAAGGTGGGGGAAAGCCTTATCTTATAAATATATGTATGTTTGGAGCATTTCAATCATTTATGTTTGAAGCATATAGGGCATGCCCACATGTTGATTGTGTGATCAAGCACAAAGTATGTGTTTCACTGTTTTGTTTTGATTTCTGGTCTCTCTCTGGTCTCTCCTTTATCTCTCTCTCTGGTCTCTCCCTGGTCGCACTCTCTGTCCTTTCTCTGGTCTTTCTCTCAATCAGAACAGAAGAACATGTGGCACAAAAGTGTAGATTTATTAAAAACCATGAGACAGAGACACTAATATCCCCTCAGAACCTAACATTTGTTGCTTTAACAAACACTAAGGTCTATGGGGGAAATCTCCCATGGCCCATGTGGATGTAGGCTGTTGTACTGTGGCCCGCCACCAGGTCAGATTGGACCTCACAGAGGTCAGACTGGACCACACAGGCGTCTCACTGGACCTCACAGAGGTCAGACTGGACCACACAGGCGTCTCACTGGACCTAACAGGGGTCAGACTGGATCTCACAGTTTCCTCCTCTCAGCAGCAGCTCAGCGTCGTGTGGGAGGTCAGAACCCCAGAACCAATCAGGTGTCTTCTCCCAGCATGGCTCCGTCCCTCTCCATTGCAGTGAGTTAAACCGTTAAATATATATAAATAAATATATATATATATATATATATATATAATATATATACATACATATACAGACCAAAAGTTTGGACACACTTTCTATGTCGGAAGACCATTTCAGGTCACTACCTCTTGAAGCTCATCAAGAGAATGCCAAGAGTGTGCGAAGCAGAAATCAGAGCAAAAGGTGCTACTTTGAAGACCACATTCTCAGTTGATTCATACTTTTTTTGTTTAAGTATATACATAATTCCACATGAATTGATTCATAGTTTTGATGCCTTTAGTGTGAATCTACAATTTTCATAATCATGAAAATAAACAATTCTTTGAATGAGGTGTGTCCAAACTTTTGGTCTGTACTGTAAATATATTTATTCGTGCTAGAACAGAAATAAAAAATAACCTAACACTTATGTCTAAGTACTAGCTAATTACATTGTTAACCATTGTCTGATAATGACTACATATTTTTCTACAATTTTCACTCTACAATTTTTCTAACATTTCACATAAATACATACCTTGTTCCCTTTATAAACTGTAGCTAAACTCTTTTATTACTTTTGAACTATGTTCACTCTTGGTTTTCTCTTAAAATTGTAGCTCTTTTGTAATAACAAAATAAAATAAATAATTAATATAATAAAAATAACAAAAGCATTCATCGACCTTTACACCTTAATCTTGATAGAAAACATGTTATCTTGTGTGAAAGAATGTGAGTCACATTGTCACACAATGTCAGTCACAGTCTTTGAGCTGAGTGATGGTGGTCTTCTCTTTTTCACTTTTGTGTCATCAAAAAAGGTGACTGAGACCAGAGATACATTATGTCAAAACTAGTGATAAAAGGAACTGTTTTAGGACCAGGAACTAGAGACATTATTACAGAGTTCAATCGGTCTGAAAGTGACAAACCCCATCTTTAACACTCACAGGACTAGAGTAGTCTGTGTGCGTCACTCTGAGCTCCTACAGGTACTCACCTCCTGTACTGCACTCCTCCTCTGTGTTTCAGATGGTTTGGGTCTCCTCTGACCTCCAGGAGCAGCGCAGGGCTGCCCTCGACCCCCGCCACACTCACATCATGTCCTGCCTGAGAGGGGCCACGGGTCTAGGAGAAAAGGAGGTGGAGGAGGCCCTGGTGACTGACCCGAAGGTGAGGAGGCTCTGGAACTAGGACCTGCAAGGAGCTAGTTCCTAAAATAAGGATGATTATGAATGAATCTCTGGTGTCTGGCTGGTCTTTTTCTGATTTCTCTTGTCTCACTCTGCATAAATCACTTCAAGATGTTGGGATGTTTGAGTAACCAAACTGCTACACTGTAATACATTTCTGTAAAATTACAATGAAATTTCAACATTAAACAAATGTTATTTTGAAAAACAATTCAAACGTGCAAATTCAAGTATAAATTGGTAAAAAAACATTCAGTGGCGTTTTATTACCACAATTATAATGTGATTACAAAAAAACGTTACAATACCATAAAATCACAATTGATTTTATGGTATTATTACCGTAATTTTACATAAACTTGTTGTATTTTTGGAATGCTGGGAATTTTTTTCTAGCGAGCAACCATGAGTGTAAAAGGTACCTCTTACACATATAAACTCCTGCTTTTATCAAAATGATGCTTTTGAATTAAGCATGTTATAGAGGTAAAGATATCAACTTCTTTTTTGTATAAACTGAAGATGCTAAAAATTAATTGAAAAGTTGTGTTCATTAAATTAAAACAAATTAAACTGTGTAGTTTTTTGTTCAATGAAACTAATTAGAAACAGAAACAGTCATATGGTGTAATAATACAAAATTAACATTATAATGCTGTTTTTGTTGTATGTCAATTAACAGGAACATACAGTTAAATCCTGAAATCACAAAGGCATAATGTGATTCAGTAAAACAGTCTTTAACCGTTAAAATTAGCAACGGTAATGACCGCGGTAAAGTGGCCCGCATCTTTCAGCTCTATGAACAAGCGGCCCGCATCGGGGAAAAGACGGTGCGCGTTTTGTTGAGAACTTACGGTAACAGCGGAACATCCTTTCGGAGTCACCCATTATTATCGAACAGAAAGCGCGCTGGGGTCTGGAGAAAGGTTTTTGTGATTAAAACCTTATAGAGATGCCACCCGGTACACATAGCACCAGCCCCCTACGATTCCCCCTACAGGTTGTGAGTCCACAGGAGGATAGCCACTCTATTGTGTACTATTGTATTCATTTAGGCAGGCAGCAGGCGCACACTTCTCCGTTTGGACTTTGGAATTAGCATTTAAACAGGGTAAGCAGTACTGCAGGGCTGCTCTGTGCACCTTTTTAGTAAACTTTTAACAACTTTTTAGCGCGTTTTTATTGTTCAGTTTTTTAATATATCTGAGTGTTTTATGTTATTAATTCAGTGGTTTCAGCAAATAGCGCTTAGTCCCGACTGAAACCCACTAGTAGCACAGAGGCTAACACAAGCTAACGAGGACATGGAAAGTGACAATGAAATTGGCTCAAACATGCACAATATTAGTCGCCTCACCTTGGAGCTCCGTGAGAGCGACCGTGCCACCATTGCAGAACTACGAAAAGAAGTCCTTCGTCTCACCGCAGAGTTGAATGAGAAACAATCTCTAGTGTCCAAACTTTTTGAAGTCGCTGGTGGGCAGCATTCACGGCTTATGTCATTGAGTGCTGCATATTGTGACACTGTCGTGTGGGAGAGATCCGTCAGCTCCGGACCCTCCTGTTCTACGCCTAAGCGCCCGGTTCCGAACAACGAGCCCGCGGATTCCGAGGAGCCATCCTGCGCCGTGGCCCATGTCCTGAGTCTGGCAAACCGCTATGCAGCCCTCTCCACTGACATCCCGGCCCCCTCAGCAGAATCCCTGGACACTGCAGCGTACTCTACTGCTCGAGGATCCAAGTCCACTGCGAGGAAAACGCTCCTAAAGGAAGCAGTCCTCAGGCGAAAGAGCGGTCCACCAGCCATGTTGGCCTGTTCCCCTTCTTTGACCCCAGTGCAGCAGCCTCAGACTGGGGTAGCGAGCCATCATTACCATCGCTCACCTCCACCGGGTCAGCAGCAGCGCCCAGAGCCAGCCCCTCTCACCGCTCCAGCGTCCCCGAGCACACAGCGTGGGTCGCCTGTAGCTGAGAGTCAGCACCCCCGCTCCTCCTCTCCATGTGTTCAGCGGCGCTCAGGCTCGGGTCCTGCTTCGGGTGAACCCGAAGCAGGACCGTCCACCGAGCTCCTTCTCCGAGGCCGCGTCCACGTCCACTCTTCGCCCCGACCACTCTGATTATTGGAGATTCCATCGTGAGACACGTCCGCTTCTTCAACGCGGTCACTCGCTGTATTCCCGGAGCTACTGTACCAGACCTGCTCATACGTCTCCCTCCTCTGCTTCAGTCCCTGCCTGATACCGTTTCCAAGGTAGTCGTGCATGTGGGAATTAACGACATGAAACTTCAGCAGTCAGAAGTCACTAAGAAACATTTTATGGATCTGTTCCACCTCCTTCAATCCTCCGGATTATCTGTTTTTATCTCTGGTCCAATCCCGACTGTAAACAGAGGTGACTGCCTCTACAGTCGTGTTGTGGCGCTGCATATGTGGATCCAGGCTACATGCAGCTCTTTTAACTTTGTCTTTGTGAATAACTTTGCCCTTTTCTGGAAACGTTACGAAGCCTATCGTCCAGACGGATTACACCCAAACAGATACGGTAGCAGCCTGTTGATGGGCTACATGCGTTACGTTGTTCAGCGTTCCCCGAGGGGGGCGTGACTGTTTACATCTGAGCCCCCTCGGACCCCACCGCACTCCCCCGCCTCCTGCTCACCAGCACCGGGTGAGTACAACGGTGCAAACACTGCTCCCTGTCCGTCTGGCAGTGCATTACCAGTCCAAACACTGAACTGTGCTGACTCCCTTCTGACTCTGGGAGCTAAAGAACAACAAGGGTTTTCACATTTTAGTCCAATTGAGACTGTGTGTGTTCCTCGCACCAGCTCAAAAATGTTTTTAAATTCTAAAAAACGAAATCAAAACAGGACAGCAGTTAGACGGTCCAACTCTGCAAATCTAATTTCTGTTCCCTGTAGAAATCAATCAACCACATTAATCGACTCTGACGTTATTTTTAAACTTGCTATGCTTAATGTCAGATCTCTATGTAACAAATCATTTTTAATTAATAATTTTATCATTTCTTATGATCTTGATTTTATGCTTATGGCTGAAACATGGCTGGACCAAAATACAGGAAATGCAGTTCTAATAGAAGCAACACCACCCAATTTTAAATTCGAATCCGAAGTACGAGAAAACAAAAGGGGGGGAGGCATAGCTGCAGTTTTTAGAGAGCACTTTGTCTCCCATAGAATGCCCCTTGGAAATTTTTCATCGTTTGAGTATATTTCTTTTAAAATGGAACAAAAGCAATCTTCTACTCTTTTCATTGTCCTGTACAGGCCACCACAGTCATGTTGCGATTTTATTGACCATTTTACTGAACTACTTTCATTCGTGTGCACAGATTTTGATAGTTTAGTTATTACAGGTGATTTTAATGTACATGTTGATAATGTTGATGACAGAAATGCAAAGGAGCTGGCTTCTGTACTTGAGACCTTTGGTTTCATTCAGCACGTGAGTGGCCCCACCCACAGCAGGGGGCACACTCTTGACCTGCTAATTACAAAGGGGGTTAATGTATCAAATGTTAATGTAGTTGATGTTGCTTTGTCAGATCATTTCTGTGTATTTTTTGACATGTGTTTTGCTAGCAAACCACCAGCTGAATTTACAATTGTTAGAAGAAGACACATACATGAAAACACAGGTGAACTGTTCATGGGAATGCTAAATTTTGAGAAAACTCCATGCTCTACTGTTGATGAATTGTATAACTCTGTCACCACCAGTGTTCTGACTGTTCTGGACGCCATTGCTCCTGTGACGGTTAAAATAGTTACCAGTAAGAAAAAGGCCCCATGGACTAAGGCAGACTCGGTCAGGGCACAGAAGCAAGAGTGCCGGAGGGCCGAACGGAAGTGGCGAAAGTCCAATTTCCAGGGCGATTATGAAATCTTTAAAGATGAGTTGGGTGAATTTAACCGGGTTCTACGAAGAACAAGAGAAATGTATTTTTCTGACATTATTGGAGGTTGCAGTAACAATTTTCGTGTTATGTTTTCAACAGTTGGTAGATTAACGAACCCCCCTGTAAAGTTGCCCCTAGAATTTTCCTCTAAATCTAGGTGTAATGAGTTCGCACAGTTTTTCGATGACAAAGTACAAGGAATCAAAAACACTATCACCTCCACAGCACGTATAACAATGCAACAGCCAGAGAAGCTTTTTGAGCTAACTCACTTTGCACCTGTGGATACTGAAACTGTCAAAAAGATAATCATGAGTCTGAGCTCCTCCACATGTAGCCTGGATATATTGCCCTCTAAATTTCTGAAGTCCGTCCTGAGCAGTTTGTTACCTTCACTGACACAAATAGTAAACATGTCTCTGTCGTCAGGAACATTTCCTATGGCCCTAAAAACAGCAGTCATAAGACCTCTCCTAAAAAAGAGCAGTCTGGATCCTGCGGGACTTCAAAATTATCGCCCCATATCGAATCTGCCATTCATTGGAAAAATTCTTGAAAAAGTGGCCTCCCAACAACTTACTGAATTTTTAACAATGAATAATTCTTTTGATATGTTCCAGTCTGGGTTTAGACCCCACCACAGCACTGAGACCGCTCTAGTGAAGGTAACAAACAACATTCGACTTCACACTGATGCAGGTAAAGTCACAGTTTTGGTCATGTTAGATCTTAGTGCCGCGTTCGACACTGTCGACCATGAGATCCTCATGCAGAGACTGGAGGACTGGGTTGGTGTCACTGGCACAGCCCTAGACTGGTTTAGGTCTTACCTGGAGGATAGGAAGTACTTTGTGGAGATTGGAGACTGCGTCTCAGATCATGTGGCCCTGACCTGTGGAGTACCACAGGGGTCGATCCTGGGACCTCTCCTATTTAATCTCTACATGCTGCCGTTAGGTCAGTTAATACAAAGAAACAAAGTGTCCTACCACAATTACGCCGACGACACTCAGATCTATGTCTCACTGACTGCAGGAGAACATGGACCACTGGATTTGCTCCTTCACTGTATCCAACAGATCAGTGAGTGGATGCAAAATAATTTCCTCCAGCTAAATGCAGACAAAACCGAAATCATTGTCTTTGGTCCCCAGAAACAAAGAGAGGGCGTCATCTGTCAACTTCAGTCTCTCTCCCTACTTCCTTCAGACAAGGTCAGAAATTTGGGGGTAATACTGGACTCAGACCTAAATTTCAATAGCCACATAAAATCAATAACATCAACAGCTTTTTACCATCTGAAGAACATTGCCAAAGTCAGAAATATAGTGTCCAGGGCAGACTTGGAGATTCTTGTCCACGCATTTGTCTCCAGCAGGCTAGACTACTGCAATGGCCTGCTTACAGGTCTGTCCAAACAGACCTGTAAGCAGCTGCAGTACATCCAAAATGCAGCAGCTAGAGTCCTGACAGGAACCAGGAAGTATGACCATATTAGTCCGGTCCTCAGGTCTCTGCACTGGCTTCCTGTGGCTCAAAGAATAGATTTTAAAACAGCTCTGCTTGTGTACAAGTCTCTCCATGGCCTTGCACCAGAATACATTAGTGACATGTTGGTGTCATATGAACCAGCCCGGACTCTGAGGAGCACAGGGACTGGCCTCCTGCTGGTGCCCAGAGTGAGAACCAAACATGAGGAGGCTGCGTTTCAGATCTATGCAGCTAAGATCTGGAACAATCTCCCTGAAAATGTGAGGGAGGCGTCTACTCTGTCAATGTTCAAATCAAGGTTAAAGACTGTTCTGTTTGCCTGTGCATACAACTGAAGGATTTTATCTCCATTTGTAATGCACTGCTGTCATTTATTTATTTATTTTTTAAATTTCTTGTGTAACTTTGAAAGTGTTAATGGTTTTATTCTTTTGTGTGATTTTATTGTTTTTATTGTGTTTTAATCTTTTGTGTGATTTTAATGTTTTAATTGTGATTCTGGTGTTTGTTTTATGTGATGATTTGTGATGTGGACTGTGAAGCGCTTTGTGTTGCCCTGTGCATGAAAGGCGCTCTACAAATAAACTTTGATTGATTGATTGATTTATAAAGTTCACAATTTGGTCCGCTAGTGCAATTTTCAACAATTGTAACTTTTTACTGTAAAAAGGTGTGCGACTCATTTCACTGGATTCATGACCTCATGATTGCCCTCTACCATTGTGCCAACTACCAGGAACTTTTACTGTGGAAATCTTTAGAAATATTGAATTTTGGTCCAAAATACCCAAAAAATGGTCAAAACATGCCACTTTGTTAAATTAGTCGCACACCTTTTTACAGTAAAAAGTTACAGTAGATCAAAAGTGGCATGTTTTGGACCAAAATGGCTACTTTAACTTAATATTTCTCCAAATTTCCACAATAAAAGTTCCTGGTCTTTGGTACAGTGGTAGAGGGCAATCATGAGATCATGAATCCATTGAAATTAGTCGCACACCTTTTTACAGTAAAAAGTTACAGTAGATCAAAAGCGGGAATTTTCTTACAGTTTTGTGTATTTTTGGACTAAAAAGTGTACTTTGTCTCAATTTTACTCACAATTTCCAGAGTAAAGGTTTAGTCTATGGGTTGTAGGCACAGCGGTGAGGTCTTTACTGTAAAAATGGACAGCAGCTGAAAATTTCACTTTTTGACCAAATTAAATGTCGAACATTTTAAGTTTTTACATGCTTTTCCAAATAAGGGTTTATTCACAAAACGAGTCTCATCGCGCTTTCTGTTCGAGGAAAAAAGCTAACTCCGAAAGGCTGTCCCGCTATTACCGTAAGTAATCAACAAAACGCGCACTGTTTTTCTCTCGATGCGGGCCGTTTTACTTCGGAGGTGAAAGATGCGGCCCACTTTACCGCTGTCGGTAATGCCATGTTGAGAAAACGGTAAATTCCTGGAACCATATTTGCCAGCTATTTGCCGTTTTTCTACAAGGAAATTCTTTACAGTGTAGGTCATATTGTGTTGGGCCAAATAACCCATCGTAAAATAAATACACCGGAGTGTTGGTTTGGGTATTTGGGGCATCGGCTTTGACCTCTGCCGTATTCTGCCTGGCAGCCATGATACTTCACCTCATGGCTTGCTTCAGGTGAAGGAACTGAGAAAGGTTTGTAGCATATTTAATATTCATAAATCCATTACTGAGGTCTAGTGTTTTGTTATCAAATGTCATGGTATTAATATTTGATATCTAGCTAAATCTAACCTAGCTGTTAGCATAAATGCATTTATGCTAACAGCTAGGTTACTTTTTAACTTGTCGTTTTTATTTATACCTTGAATTTTCAAGTGAAACCCAAAAGAGTAATAAGTAAGATAGAGTTAGTGATGAAAGTTATTGTGCAAAGTATAAAGGGCCCGTGGTTAGTACCATTAACATCAGCTCTATGGCACTTCTCGGCAGCTGGACATATGATGACAGTCTATGATCATGACCAGGACCATGGATCTATTGTATTAACGCAGGACATGTCCAGATAAAACTCCAGGCTCAAAATATGAAGACATGAATGATATTAACACATCTACCGCTGCTCAAGTAAGTGTTTATATTGTTTTGTTGTGGAAATTTGTTAGATACAGAGTTTCACTTAAGCTTTGCATTAACAATAGCACTTTAATTTTTAATCTTGGCACATTCCAGAAAATCCACATTCTTTTAGTGACTACGACTAGGGTTGCCACCGTTATTATAATAGATCCATGGTTGCCACCTATTTCTGAAAAAATCCTGGACATTTCAGCAACCTGATTTTACACATTTAATCCCAAGGCAAAAATCAAAAACTTTTGCCTTCTACAGCAAAATTTGGTCTCAACCTTGTAATAGAGCTTTATTAGTTGTCTCAATAGTAATGTATTTTAACACTATTCTTTTCCATTTTTTTTATTCAGTTGCTTTACATGTCTTGTATATTTATTTTTTTTGGCTCATCTACAATTGTTTTTGGTTGTAGACACCTGGGGGCAGTAGTGGGCTGTGGAATAAATCTATATATATATATATTTCACATTGTTAAGTTTCTTTGACACTGCGCATTTTACATTGTTCTGACATCTCTGGTAGCGAGGAATAGCGAACCTGATTAGATTAGACAGTGGTGTGGGCTTTGCCTGTGCCTGCCTTTTCTACTCCTTGCTTCTCTTGGCTAAACAATTATAGAAGGACGTGGAACTAACATCACTGGGCTCGCACACAATAGACTACTAGGTTTAAAGGTACTCTCTGTCATTTTTACAGGTGTTCCATATGAAAAAACATGTTAACTAATAACAAATGAGACATTTTTAATAATATTCATCTCCACCATGTTTTTTTAAATTCTATTCATAGGCTTAGAATTTTCTAAATGTTCTCGAGAACTGAGATAGGGTACTCTTCCTTTTGTACATATGTTCCTCATTTATTAAACTTGCGTACGGCCAAATCAGGGTGTAAATGAGGCGTACACAAAAAATGTACACCTTTTGGTGCATACGGTATGCACAGAATACACCTAGTCTGGAGGTGGCATAAATGTATACGCTCATCTCAACCTTCATCACAACACGCCAAAACACGCATGAAATTCAAGATTTGGACAACAATAAAGAAATTCCCCGCGTTTCCATTAAGCTTCACATTTTTAAATTTTAATCAGAAAATGTCTAATGGATATCCAAACTTCAAATAAATCACAGTTTATGATGAAGACCCTCTTCTGTTTCTTCGTTTTTAAATCTGACTGTATTATTTTCATCTGTATGTTTTTTAAAATGTGAATCTTTGTGATCTTGGTCTGTGAAAGGCATTATACAAATACACTTTACTTACTTACTAACTTACGCAACAGGGATGTGTGACCCATCTATTGCTCCATAAATCTGTGGCAGGCCCCGTGCTGCGTAATCACGCATTCACATCTGGCAAAGCAATGTATTTTTTCATTAGTTATGTGAAAGCCTCACACATCCGATAAACGCACCAATGGACTGTGGTATTGCTCACTCCAAATGTCTCACTGCCCTGTCCACATGTAGCAGTTTATAGGATGGCAACGCGCTTATCTGTAGGAACAGGCTTATGGGCAGTGGCTCTCTTGGGTATGTCGCAGCGGGTGCCACGACAGGTCTCACCGCAAAACTTTATCATCTGCGGCTTTTACCCAAAGTTAAACCTGTTTTATCTTTTAAGCTTTTTGAAAAAGTTATGTATGCTTTTATTTCTTCACGTCTGGACTACTGTAACGCACTTTACTCCGTTATTTCATACAAGGCACTTAACCGGCTACAATTAGTCCAGAACTTTGCGGCACGGCTTTTAACAGGGACCAAAAAGCGTGACCACATCACTCCCGGCCTTGCCTACTTGCACTGGCTTCCTGTTCATTTTAGAATTGATTTTAAGATTTTATTGTTTGTTTATAAAGCTTTAAATGGACTGGCCCCTCTTTACATATCGGACCTCATCCAAATTCACGACCCTAGCGCCTTCTTTGTTTATTTTTCTGTGATTAACTTCAATTTATCAAGTTTTTTTTTGCTTTATCCACTTTGTAATTAGTTTGATCATCTAGTTAGCTACTGTCAGCCGATATTATAATAGATCCATGGGGTCACAACGGGCTACGCCACTACTGTCTCTGGAGAATATATTATACATATACAGTACATTCTTAACACACGTGCACGGAGGTTTTCAGAATTATCTGTTAAGGTTTTCATGACAAAAATACTGGATTAATGCGACAAAAAGCGTTTTTTGAGTAGGTTTGCTAGCCTCACTGTTACTCGCCTGCCACGGGAAAACCTTTGGGATCTATTTTCTTTGCTGTCATTAAATAAACCTTTCGGCATGAATAAAAGTTACTGAAATTTATTTTGTGTGTTCAGTTGGTACAAAGCCGTATAATAAGCGGACCCTTCGTCTGTACATATTTTACGATAGTCACAAAGTTGAAAAAATCCCTTTCATCTTTCTTCAGGTGTGAGAATTGCATACATTCTGGATTAGGACAAACAATACTCATATGGATTGATAGGGGGAAATGGTATAAAGAGAGAGTTTGTGCTAACTACATTCAGAAGAGCTCAGAAGGACCTGATACAGCAGGTTAGGGATTAAGTCGACTTCTGAGTGGATGTATTCCAGCAGTGAAGTCCTTTATCGACACTATTACTGATTAAAATGCTTGGCCATGTTGTTTCACTAAAGCACCTTGTGCAGCAAGAGCATTTTTTAAAGAACGACTAAACACCAGTGCCCAGCCACATGAACATTTGAAAATTTCTCTACATCTGTGGCAGGGTGTTGCCTGGAGGACCAGGGGACTAGAAGGCTCTAGGCTCTCTCTGGTTTCTATCTGCTCTTTCCCTGGTCTCTCTCTGGTTCGCCTCTGGTCTCTATTTGGTGTCTCTCTCTCCAGTCTCTCTCCGATCATTCTCTAGTTTCTGGTCTCTCTCTGGTTTCTCCCCTAGAACACAGAACACTTGTGCTGTAAGGTGTTCAACGTTTAAGTATATTATAATGTTGATGTCCTGAAGGGTTAGGGATATAATCTGTATTCTCAATGTAAACGGTGACTGCTCATTGTACTATAATAAATTGAAGACAGCTGTTATGATAACTGTTTGTGCGGCTCTTTATTATTTAGGCAACACCATTAACCCAATTCTGGGTTCCATATGGACCGGTTGGGTTATTTTAACCTGTCAAGTTGGATTACCATTTAGATCCACCTATGACTGGGCTTTCTGTATCGTCAGACTTCCACACTATAGTCTGTGTTGGTTTTCCTGATCGTCTCTTATTCCATTGTGTTTGCAGTTTCCTCTGATAGACGAGTTCTTCGCTGCGAACGGCACCAGACGCATCATGTTCTTCTGCCAAAGCTGCGCACCGGTACAAGACATCGGAGTGGACCAGAGAGAGAGACGAGAGAGACCACAGAGACAGACCAGAGAGGGACCAGAAAAAGACCATAGATACATTTTCCATTGACAAATCCTAAACTCAAATCAACAATCAATTTCATAAATTCAACTGTTTTGGTTTAGTTTATTTTGTATTTGTGTTTTAGATCAGACGCTCCTTTACAGATCAGGTCCCTTCAGCTCAGGGTCAGAAGAGGCTTTTCCTAACCACCGGGACTGCCGAGGTGAGACCAAACCTAAAACGGACAAAACACTCGAGTGGACCAGAGTTAGAGAAACCCAGAGAGTGACCAGAAAGAAAAACCAGAGAGGGACAAGAGAGAGAGGCAAGAAAGAGGCCAGAGAGAGACAAGAGGGCTACCAGATAGAAAGACCAGAGAGAGAACAGAGAGAGACCATTAAGAGACCATTGAGAAACTAAAGATATGTAATCTTGTTTTTCTGCAGCCGCTTTCAGGGCAGTGCCTCTTCTTCCTCAGAACATGTGAGAAGGAGATTACAGTAGCCAACGTCCAACAGGTGAACCTCTCCTCTCTTCTCTTCTCACTCATCTTCTGCTCATGCTGCATCCTTGTGTTGCAGGAGGTGAACTTTGGGATGTTGGACAGCTCTGATGGATCTGTGCTGCAAAGTTTATACTCTCTGTTCTCTGACATCATGGTGCCAGCACTCAAGTCCAACCAGGTCCAGATCTAAAGCAGGACTTAATCAAATAGGTCGAAATTAGGTCTAAAGACTTTGTTTGTGTTTTAGTCATGGGGTTGCATTCTGGACTCATCTCCCGCGGTCCAGGACTTCCTCTGGTCCCTGGACCGGTTCCTCCTCAGTCTGAACTCTGTGAGACTGAACTTGGACCAGAAGTTCCATCTGGAGCCAGTGGAGCTCCCTGAGGTTCTGGAGACACTGGTGTCTCCCAAGGACTACACCAGTGCAGGTAAGACCAGTACAGAGACCAGGATTGTGACCAGGACCACGACAGAGACCCGGACCCATACTAGGACTGAGACAAGCCTAGGACTGAGACCAGACCTGTGATATCAGCAGTGTCATGCTGTTTGTTTGCTTTGTGTGTTTCAGCCAATAGCAGCGAGGTGGTGGAGCACCTGGAGGACATAGTTTCGCTCTGGACCAATCAAATTCAGCAGGTTTTGATTGACAGTGAGCAGCTGAGACGAGAGCCAGATGACGCGGGACCTGAGACCGAACTAGAGCACTGGAAGACTCGCACAGTCTTATTCAACAGGTGTTCACATAAAGCCAAAATGTCCCATTTAATAGGAGTTAACATAGAGCCAAAATGTGTGTGTGCAGTCTGCTGGAGGAGCTGAAAATGCCTTGTGTGAAGAAGTCTGTGGGCGTTTTACAGATGGCGAAATCCAGAGTTCTGCAGCAATGGAGGAAACTGGTAACAGCTGAAATGAAGCTTAAGGATGTAACCTTAACCGAGGCACATAACCTGCAGACCACACCAATAGATCTCTGTAATAAACATGTGTCTCTAGTTCTTGGCTCTAAAACAGTTGCTTATATCAGTAGTTTTTCAATCATGTATTTCTGGCCTCAACTTTGGATCAGCTTTTTATTTTTTTAAATGTATTTATTTTCCAGGGACAATGTAGTCATACATAGTTGCAGGATGCAGCTGATGCGACACATACAGAGTGTATAGCAAATGCTAATTTTCAACTCTTGTCCCTGGTTGAGCTTTTCCCTACAGTGCAACACATTATTCAGAATTAATAAAACAGGCCTAGCCCTAAAACACATATTTACAACCGTGTCAAACATAAAAGTGAAAAAGAGAGGACCACCCTCACTCAGCCAATCACCCCTTAACTCAAAGACTCAAAGAGGCCCTTATCAAGCCCGGCGATCCAAGATGGCCCCTCTTTCAAATCAATGGCTTGTGCTCAGTGGCGCATGTGCCACCATGGGCATTGAGAGATTAGCAGAACTCTCCCATATTTGGGCATCATCTGGTCCTCCCGCTAAATATGTGTTTGGCTCTCATGCACGTGCACAGAGGGGCTCGGCCGCGCTTTGACCAATCAGAGGCTGGTGATCAGAGCGCAGCTAGAGCAGAGCTAGAACAGGAGACAAACGAGCAGAGTTGGTAGCACTAAATTGTGGATTTAAAGAACACCAAAGGATTTAAGAAAAAATGGTTCAGGATGACGAGGGACACTAAAATCCCCATAAAATCCGACCTTTAAGAAAGATCTAGGTTCTCTGTCAGCTGAGGTTGAGCTTTTTTATTTTACATTGAGTTCTATGGGGCAAATTTCTGGATAACCCACGTAAATTTAGTCTTGTTTAGTCAAGAATCCCCCGGCTGGAGCACATGGTTCCTTCAGCTCCAAGCTAGTAATACCCTATCTAGATATTATAATACTTCCAGGGCCCTTACATGTTTTATGTATGAGGCTATAGTTACGTACCCCCAGCTTTAAACATGTGTTATTTATGAGGCTAAAAGTATGTACCCCAACTTTAACCTGTCTGGCCAGGACGCTGACATCACGCTGGTGGCAAACGAGGCCAAAGATAACGTGAAGTTCCTCTACACTCTGGAGAAGATCTTTGAGCCTCTGACAAGTCGCCCGCCGGTAACAAAATTCTCCACACTAGTACTGTAGTAGTACTGTACCACTGTAAAGTAACACAGTCAGACCATATACACACACACTATAATCTTACGTGGCCTCACTGTTTTCTCCTCAACAACATCATATAACTTTATTTAACATCAGAAGAAACATTTTGTGGCTTCTGTACACCTCTGTGATTAGTTTATAGGACTACTGCGGTCTTCCCGTAGTCCTCAGTCCTCCTCCTGCCTCTCAGTGTCTTCTGCATCTGTATTTTATGGTGTATGCATTCTTTGACAGGTTTGAAATATCTGCGATAGCACTTCTGTAGTTGTGAGTTCATGTAGTTATAAAAGTGTATAAAGTGTGTGTTTTATACGTTGACTTAAAATATAGAGCTGCTACTCCAAGGATTTCGCTTTTTGTGGGTTATTTTTAGAACACATCACATTTTGATAAATCAGAAACCACTGTACTTCATGCACATATTATTTCCAGCTTGGAGTGGCCCAGCACCTCTCCCTCCTCATGTCCAGTCTGAAGATGATCTACACAGTGTCTCCGTTCTACAACTCTCCTCAGAGGATGACATCATTGCTGCTCAAAGTGACTAATCAGATGATCAACACTTGTCGCCGATACCTGTGTGGAGGCGTAGCCAACGTCTGGGACCACCCACGGTAACCATAGCTTTAAAACAGCTGCATAAGTGAATCCTGAGTGTCTGCGATAGTTTGATCAGAAAGTTCGAACACATTAAATGCAATGATAACAAACACAGAGGAGCCATTGGTGCATAGAGTGGGACGAATAAAAATTCTTATTACTACATACAAGCACAAAAGTGCTCAGTAGAGACTTAAGCGTGACGCCCGCTCTCCTCCACTCACAGAACAAGGAACGGCGATGTTACGAGCAGGCGGCGACCTCTATCCTCTACAGCGCTGCTAAACACAGTAGCATGTTAGCAAAATTGGCTATAACTCCTCTTGCTGTAACTGCAGACACAGCAAAACAGCTTAAATTACACAGCAGTGTCCTCACTGTTGTGTCAGCACCATAGAAGAGGGAACTAAAGAGAAACCGGTTGAACATAGCTAGCTTACATCGTATCCTCTGGAAAGACTTGTCTATGGGAGAGACCTGCGGGAGCGGGACCGCCTCGGACTATCTATGCTCGGACCACATTCGGACGCGGAACTAGCGGTAATCTTTCAGTTATATATTTTGTTAGCAGTGCTTTGCTTTTGTACCATTTCATCGTTGATTGTTGTACAGCTTACAAGAAGTTGCGCTCATGCTAATGTTAGCATATAGATCGCAAATAAAACTAGATGGCTCTGTGGGATGAGAGCGTAGGGGAAATGAGAAACCTGTGAGCGAGTTGGGGGGCGCTGCTAAACATTAAAACCTTGCAGAAACGGGTATAGCTCTTTTAATAAATGTGCAGAAATGTCCCGAATCATCACAGACCCTACTCCGCTTAAAGCTGCACTAACTGACTTTGGGATTTTGAAGCCGCGGACTCGCTGGCCTCGCTCTTTCTGCTCCCCTCCCCGCACCCACGAAGCTATCGCCCCCCACACACACACAGTGTTGAGACGGAGCTAGCCTCTCCCAATATGGATAATACATGGATATGGATTTTCACGTGGATGGCGTGACCATAGAACGATAGAACCGGGAAGCGCGGAGGAACGAGACTTTCTTTTGGATGGCTGTTTCGCTGTGTAAGCAGTAACCGGTGACGAAGACGAGAAAGTTTCAGGTTAGCTCTGCCGCTTGTTGTGCTAACTCAGCCGTCTATGCTAACGGACCTGGAGATTTCTCACGAAAGTGGGGGCCAGTGGTGCGCTGTGATTGGTCACAATCTGCGACCCGAAACACATTCTCTTCCTTGTTTCATCCAAACTCGATCAAAAATATAATGTCACACCAGCACAAATCTGCGCTACTTTTTCTTCAAAAGGACGTATATCCCAATGCACTACATGGACATGAATAGCATTTTCGTAATTAATACGAAAATAAAGTCAGTTAGTGCAGCTTTAATAACCCTCGAAGAGGCCCATATTGAGAGAAAACGCTCCCATGACTGAGACTATAGATCCAGGACTGAGGCTGTAGATGGTGTACAAACTTCCACAGGTGATGTGGTACTTGTACATTCTCATGAAGGTGTCAATTTAACTGAAGGTAATATGCCTGTTTCATGAATGCTTTAAAAAAAATTACCATAATACCATACCATACCCTGCCACTTCTGTCCGCACACTCCGCTCCTCCTCCACTCTCACACTCTCCGTCCCCCCAGCCAGACTCATCACCGTGGGACACAGAGCCTTCAGCCGTTCTGCCCCCCAGCTCTGGAACTCTCTCCCCCCTGACCTCCGTACCATCAACTCTCTCCCACTCCCATCTGTTCAGACTGTCCTGTTTTTAATGTTTTTATTATGCTCTGTACAGTGTCCTTGGGTGTTTAGAAAGGCGCTTTTAAATAAAATGTATTATTATTATTATTATTATTAAAATGATGAATGAGCAAAGTTAAATTACGTTATTTGAACGTTGTTGTTGTGGTTACAGAGCAGTGCTGCTGCAGAGGATCTCTGAGTGCTGTGAGCTCAACAAGGAGTATCAAAAGAGCTTCCACACGGTGCAAGAAGATCTCAGGGGGAAGCCCAACCACAAACCGTTTAACTTTAGGTCAGAGCAGAAACACAACATAGACTATACAGATGAACAATACTAATAAAGGCTGTATACAAATAATCCGGGAGCTAAATGCTAGATCAAGGAAGCCCACGAGGAAAATGCTCATGGTGAAGTTAGGCTCCAACTCTCTCTGGCTCCATTTGATTTAAATGTAAAAGTAAACTCCTCTACCACTCACTCACTATTTTTGCTTGAGCGCTTTCTCTGATCCTGTGTTATATTCTGATATTGTCTTTGGTCAGTTACCTCATCTAGATTTATGATCAGGAGACTTGAGACGCAGTGTTTGACTTCAGCGTGAGCGTGGGACCATTGACCCCAAATGTTAATAAATCCATATATTCACTGTCCTTAGACCCTTCTTTATCGGCAAGGAACCACCACATAACCCAGTGGGAAATGCTCCCACTGTGGCTGTAGATCCAGGACTCAGTGAATGATTTGATATTCTTATTCTGCAGTGAACATTACATCTTTGGAAAGTTCGACGCCTTCTGTTGTCGCCTGCAGAAGATCTCACAGATGGTGTTGACCTTGGAGAAGCTGTCCTCACTGCAACACGTGAAGGTGAGAGACCAGAGAGAGATCAGAGAGTCACCAGAGAGACCAACAAAACCAGAGAGACCAAGGGAGACCAGAAAGACACCAGAGATACCTGTACTAACTTAAACTCATGTTTTGCTTTAGTTTCTTTTGTGTCTGTTAAAATGCAGCTCTCCCTCTTCTGCAGGTGGAGGGAGTGGATAGAATCTACTCCAACTATCAGACCATAGTTTCTTCCACAAAGAACAAGAGCTATGACGTTTTGGACCATCGCAAACGAGAGGTGATTAGAACTAACTTCTACAGGGCCCATGAGGATTAGAGATGAAACACACTGAATCCATGAGGCTAGAGCTAACTCAAACAGGCTCACATAGCTGAAACTGGTGCTAAATTCAGGAATAACAATGACCCAACAACCAAAGAGCCTATCAGGGCCAGCCAGTGGCAGAGCCAGAGGGGTAGCCAGGGTGGCCACTGCCACCTCTAAAAATACCCTTGCCACCCCGAGTGCCCCCTTCGGAAGACGGCAATGTAATAATGTTAATCTTGAAAATCGTCCGCACTTTTTTTGCCGAAAACTAAAAATTCCCGCGGTTTCCACCGTCTGTGAACGCACCCTGACTCGTGGAGCCGGTGCTGTATGCTAATGCTTTTCATTGGTTGTTGGACTCACATGTGTGCCCAAGTCGTGATGAAAACAAAGGGGTAAGTTAGCGACGCAGAGCCAACCGTTTACATTAGACATAAAGTATAGACACACAGTTTGTAGTACTTTTAGTGTGTGTGTGTGTGTGTGTTTGTGCGGGTGTGTGCGTGCGGGTGTGCATGCATGTGTATTCTCCATTATTAATTGCACCAATGGTGTAGGTTTGGTTCCAATCTTGGTGGGGACATTCACTACGACCTGAGTCTACACCCATTGACACGGGGTCCAGAGTTTCTCCCCCAGAATTTGTTGTGTAATCACACACTATATTTGCAATAGTGTGTTGCCTTCTATACTAAACTCAGCTGTAGACTGAATGAGAAGCAGTTAAGGATTTTTTCTAATAGTTAAAACAAAATCAATTGGATCAGAGCTTCTGAGTTTTGTGTTGCGTTCATTCTATACTGACTTAAACCTAATCCAAATCTACATAATAGCCCTCACCTGAGGCTCTAACAGTTCAGGAACTGCTCTCGATACTTGAAATAAATCATGCTCTGATCTTTCAATTTCCTATAGTAAATAAAAACAGAGGAGAAAATATTGAATTAGAATCTACAGTGAGTAGCTCACTACATTGTTTGACATATACGATCAATCTCTAAAAACAATTCATAGTCCCATGCATACCTACAAAATTCCAACCTCACCTGATGCACTGAAGGGCCTGTTGCTTCTACCTCAACATTCCCTATATTGTTCTCTCTTGGTGGTTGAGTTTCCTATGTATGTTAACAGAAGATTAATCATCACAATTCATAATTGGCTATTACTTGTGCTTTCTCTTACTTACTTTCCAACTGTTAAAAAAGCTCTTTATCTTTTTTTGTGGAGGTGGCATTTTTTCTAAATTATATAAGAAGGTATAGACAATCAAAAACAGACATTCATATACATGAACTGCAGAATCATTTATATAACTTGGCCAATGTCAAAAGTTACATAGTATTTCTCAATACAATGAGTTAACAAGAGTTTGGCAATAAGTAACAGTGTCGAATTTTCTATATTTTCTTTTTTTTATTCCACTCTCAACCCAAAAAGGCAAGTAATGACTCACAGGGCTCTCAAGTATGCAAAATAAAAACTTAAATGACCTGTTGTGGTGTGTTTTACGCACAACCAGCATGCATCGTTAACGCAATGGAAAATTTAGGTATCCGAGCTTTAATTTCGGGAGCGCTGGTTGCGCTTTGGGAAGAGTCAGGGGAGAGACATGTCAGAGACACAGGGGAGAAACGGGGGAGATACGAGGGAGACCCGCACTTGCAACATGGTTCTGTCTGCATATGGTCCGAGCTCGGTACCATGTTAGAGCTGTGCTTTCACTGAGCGCCGCGGCTGTCATTACAAAGCGGCAGCAGCTGCACCAGGACGTGCACATTCGAGTTCATCGCTTGAATGTGCTTTGAGTGAATAACAGCAAGTGCCCGCTGTCACACATTTCACAGAAATTACATTATCAGCAGATAAAGGTTGTAAATCGTGGATCCGTGGAATATTTTCATCCCTAGCTTATCCTGATTCACACAACACACCCACTTATACATTTTGGATAGTAAGAGCACAATAAGTATTTTCTCAGCCTTTCAACCAACCTGTTTCTTTATTGGAGCCAGTTCTGTTCTGTCTCTGTGCCGTGTGAGCTCCTCGGAACATTAAACAGTGTGCTGACAGATTAGAAATAACGTAAGTACTTTGAATGGTAATAGATCTACAGTACTTTCCTCTGATTACTCACGTGCTACAACGCTCAGGGAAAGAAAAAAAACACTTGCTTCACGCTGGCTAACTTTTAAAAATTAAACAGTTGCTCAGTGCTTCAGTTTGGCGATGAAGAAGACAGCCAATCACTGCAGAGAACGGAACGGGTCACGTGCTGTTGCTGCTGCTGTTGCTCTGGAGGCGAGGAGGAGGCGCGACGTATGCACAAACGGAAGACATGTGTCCCGGACCGTCCGGGTCACGGGACAGCATGTCATTTTGGTGGGGACTTTTTAGTCCTCACCAAATATTGGTGGGGACATGTCCCCATGGTCCCCACGCAAACCTACGCCCTTGAATTGCACATTGTATCATCGCCCTCTTCCCTTTATTGTGAACATGAAAAGAAAAGGGGGAGAAATTGTGTCTTTTTTGTAAAGAAAAGGCCTATAGATCAGGATGATGAAACCTCACCTGAAGGTCAGACTCGGAGGCAGTATGTTTTGAGAATTTTCATGATGAGGAATTTGTTGTGTTGTATTGAAATATGATATATTATATAATTATTATATTATATAATTCAGTTTCAGAGAATGAGAGGGAGTCGCAGACAGGTGCTGGATTGTCTATTGGCAGAATTAGAGATTAGAGATTTTGGATGGAGTGCAGTCGCTTGACCCCATAACATTTTTGAAAGAAGAGCCCCTGTTTGCATTTGGCAGAACCTTTGAGTCAGATATAGAGGACCTTAAGCATGAGGTACGTCAAACTAGGCGGCTTTTTGTGAGGAAAAAATTGATTAGAGAGACCATCTTCCCTATTGGACTTCCTTGTCTTTTTGGAACCTTTAAAGAAGTGTTTTATGAACTTTTGAGGCTTGCAAAGATCTCTGTTGTAATACCTGCCAATACTGCCTCTTGTGAAAGAAGTTTCTCTGCCCTAAAACTTATTAAAAACCATCTCAGAACTACCATGGCAGGAGGGCAAAGGGGCTCAATATGGATGAGTTTGTCAACATCTTTGCTGCTTTACACCAGAACCGCAGGAATTTGCTAAATTTGTTAAAAGAAAAATGTAATGCAATGTTTGAATGATGTCATTTAACTTTTGTCCAGACTACTGTTTAAATGCACTTTTTTCTTTGTAGTTTCCAGTGTGCACTCAGTTCACTTTATATAAAGAATATAGATAAGATTAAGATTAAAATGTATTGTTTAGCCAGTTTTGTGTGAAATAAAATGTCTGAATAGTATAAATGTGGACCCCTTAAAAAAAAAACTTGCCACCCAATGGCCACCCTCTTTTTAAAAGTCTGGCTCCGCCACTGGGGCCAGCACTGGTTAAAGTAAGCTCGGGTAAACTCACGTCACAATGTATTTATAACAACAATTTTAACACACATATACACTTGCACGTGTCAGAAATCAGCCCTGCGTCCTCTAATGCGCGTCTACAAATACAAGGGACTCTAAAATAGAAGATCATCAATTGTATTGTCTTTAAAATGACGTGTCCTCAAATCCAAGCCTATGTGTTTCAGTTTGACAGTGACTTTTGGGACTTCCAGAACCAGGTCCAAGTCTTGGTCCGTTGTCTGGAAGCTCTGCTAGACTCCTGCTTCCAACAGTCTCTCTCCGTGAGTACAACACTCTGGAAATATTAAAGCTGGGATCCGTAACTTTAGTCTCAAAAATAACACATGCAGAACTTTAGTCTCATTACCTTTTGTAAAGCATCTTTGAGTGTCCAAAAAAGCTCTATGTTGAATGATGTATTATCCATCCATCCATCCATTTTCTACCCTTTAATCCATTTCTGGGTCAGGGGGGTGGCAATCAGAGATGCCACCCAAGTCTCATAGCACCAGCCCCTCACTGACCCTCTGCAGGTGGTGAGTCCACAGGAGGACGGCTGCTCTCTGAGTGTGAGCATAGCCTTGATCTTTCAGTGGGGGCTTTTGGGCAAAGTGGGGTTAAGTGTCTTGCCCAAGGACACAACGACAGCAGTCATCAGTGGGAGTCGGTGGAGAAGGTGTCAAGGTGGGAATGAATATGGGAGATATCCTCATTGAAATGTAATTATTTTTATAATCCGTAATTTAATGAAATTGTATGTTTTTGTCCAGGACTCCCTTAAAAAAGAGGTTCTTAATCTCAATGGGACTTTCCTGGTTAAATAAAAAAATGTTTAAAAAAACCAAAATGTATTTCAGTGATTCTTTGGGACTCCCTCTGGTGGTACCACACTTTGAGAACCACTGCTCTACTGTACAGTAAATGTCCCTCTAGCATTTATGTGTGATAATGATACAATGGCACAGCTATTACTGTAGTGAATTGCATACATACTGTATAATGAGTGTACAGTAAAGGACTGAAACACTTGATCCTTGATTACATGATCCATCAAAGTTTCTCTAATGTCATCGAATATATTGTTCCGTGCATGGCCTCTTCGACCACATCCTCCTCTTGCTCCTTGTTTTCCTCTACCTCTTGCTCTTCCGGCCTATATATGTCTGGCTGATTGGTGCAGCGTTTTTGTAAGTATTTTTTAGTGTTCTCCATCACCCATGTGTTTTATATTTTGAATAGATGTGTTGTCTCAATTATTACAAAAGTGTGGTTTTGTTACTTTGGTCTAAGCATGTGTCTGTAGTGTTCACGCAATGGGAAAACAACTGTAATGACTCTTACAGGTGGAGAAGCTGCTACCGCTACTCTCTCAGTTCCAGACACTTCCTGGATTGGAACTGAAGCCATTTAACCTCCAGCTGCTGCAGATGTTCCACCGAGAGCTGGAGCAGATACGAAAGGTCTATGAGAGGGAGAAAGAGGAGCCAAGACTGGGACGCAACATGCCCCCGGTACATACCCCAAGCTCCCTCTCCCCAAGAGGGAGAGGGAAAAGACTGGGAAAGAGTGTATATTAGGAGTGACATTATTACAATGTAAACATCACAGAGAGCCCTAAACCACTGATTTATTCCCAAAATGAGTGTGTGAGTGAGTGTGAGTGAGTGTGATAGTTTCTGAGCTAGACCTTTACCTGCAGGTCAACAAGAGTCAGAGCGAGTTTGAGCCAAACTTTACCATGAGCACTTCCCTATTGGGCGTCACTTAGCTAGCAAGTCAGCATTGAGCTTGTGGTTTGCCCATCCATACCAAGCCCTAGGGTTCAAATCAAAGGGACAGACATTGGGGATGTGTTCTGGCCAGCTCTGGTTCTCCTGGTCTTGTGCAGTTGGTGTTCAGTGGTTCTACTTCAGGACCAGAGTTTTAGGTGTTCACACTAATGCCTGAATCTCCTCTCTTTCTCAGGTGGCAGGCAGGATTCTTTGGTCTCGGCAACTCTTCAGTAAAATGGAGGTTCCCATGATGTTGCTGAAGCCCAGCCTGGACTCACTTAAGGTCAGTTCTGACACCAGAAGTAGGCTCCTGAACCTGGAGGACCACCACAGGCCTCTCCTCCACACCCTGCCCAAACCTCCATCATCGGCCACCTCCACAGAGAAAGACCAGAAAGAGACCAGAGAGAGACCACAGTGAGACCGAGAGAAACCAGCAAGAAACCAGAGAGAGACCAGAAAAAAAGACTAAATAAAGAAAGACCAGAGAGGGACCAGATAGAGAGACCAAAGAGAGACAATAGAGAGATACCAGAGAGAAAGACCATTGAGTGAAAACTAGAAGAGAGTTTTGAGTGAAAAGCGACATATGAAGCCTCGGACAAACCGCCACACTTTTCAGAAGATATTTGTTTTATCCTTAGGGGCCCGAGCTGAGCCGTCTCGTTCGGTTGTACAACAGAACCGCTGTGGTTTTGCTTCAGTACGAGCTGCTGCACCTGCATCACTGGAGACAAGAGGCAGGGGGCGTTAACCTCACCACAACGCTGCTAGTGAGACGCCAAAACCAGGTCTGCACCATGTCCGAAACAGAACTGACACAGGTCTAAAGCAGGACTGAATCAGGTCTGAACTAGGTATGGACTGGGACTGAACCACAGGCAAAATATTAAGCCCTGTGGCACACTACAACTGAATGAATGCAGAGCTGTTTGAAGTGGAAAGGTCTAATCTGGGTCTCTATCCAGGACTTCTCTGTGAATTTGTCCCCTGGGGTGCTGGAGCTGCTGGAAGAAGCCCGCTGGATGAAGAAGATGGGACTGGAGGTTCCTCAGTCTGTGGAGAAGCTGTCACAGAAAGAATCTCAGATCCGCGCTCTAAACACCAGGTCCAAACATCCCATAATACTCTCATGCTTTGTACCATGTAAGATCTTAAGACCTTCTTCTCCTGCAGGCTGTTGGACCTCCTCCATGACTATAGCTCGGTCCTGGTCCGGATCCCGGCGCTCCTGGTCCCTCTGCTGCAGCCGTTCATCACCGAAGTGGAGTCGGCTCTCTCTCCAGGACTGAGCACCGTGACCTGGACCAGTCTGAACACCCAGGCCTGTACGGGAACAAACCGAGACTGGACAGGGACTGGACCAGGACTAAAGCAGGTCTAAAGTAGGTCTAAAGCAGGACTAAAGCAGGACTAAAGCAGTTAAAAAGCAGGTCTAAAGCAGTTCTGAAGCAGGTCTAAAGCAGCTTTAAAGTAGGTCTTAAGCAGGACTAAAGCAGGTATAAAGCGGTACTAAACCTTTGCTTGTATATGTGTCAGTTGTGGACTCGGTACAGCGCCCCCTGCTGGAGCTGAAGCAGGTGTGTAAATGTGTAAGTGACATCCTGGACTGTCGCATCAATCGCCTTCTGCAGCGCATCGGGACCTGTACTCTGCTCCCTCTGCAAGAGCTCCCAAGGGCCCCAGAGCACCCAGGGGCCCCACAAGCCACAGCCACCACACCGGACCAGCTGCTCACCGCCACTGAAATCCATGTGAAGGAGGCAGCCGCCGCATTAACCTGGTACGTGACCATCTTGGGGCCATTGACCGGTTACAGATTGACAATGCTAACATAGACTATATATAGATGGACAATGCTAACACAGACTGTATACAGATGGATTTATACACCCTAAGGTTTGGGCTCAAAGACAGAGACAAACGCTGAGAATTGTGTGAATAATGCTGCTGTTCCAGGGACAGCCAGCAGGTGGAGCGCTATGTTTACGAAATCATTGAGGAGCTAAAGGAAAAGATGAAACCGGCCAACACCATCAATTTGGAGGTGAGAGCTGTTTTAACTGGACATTACTGAAGGAAAGCCCAAAAAAGAGCTGTTTTTTCTCAGGATCCATTCGTGTGCCTTCAACCGGACCCCAAACACAGGACGCGCTGCACTTCCTGTTTGCCGTGTTTCTGCTACACGCTGATTAGTCAGCTCTGTCTGCGGAACACAGAGTCCCTGATCAAAGGTAAACTGCCCTCTACTGGTATCAGGGTAAACTACAGGAATGGACCAGGACAAGACTAGGTGTAAATAGAGTCTGACGCAGGTCTAAAGAAGGATTAAAGCAGGACTAAAGTAGTCGAAAAGCAGGACAAAAAACAGGACTAATGCAGGTTAGTAGTCAGAGAGTAATAATAAGTGACCAATTTGAATCTGCTCTCAGCCACAAAATTGTCCCTGGACTCTCTGAGGAGGAGACTGACTGTGCCGAAGCTCCACAATGCTCCCTGTGCCCCACTGTTCAGAACAGAGGTCCATCTATCTATGCCCAATCCTGTGCTGAGGCCCAGTCTCAATACCATACAGGTCAGAGCCTAAAATAAAGCTATTTTAACTGGTCATGACCGAAGTAAAGCAGATAGAGGAGCTGTTTTCACTGGACACATGTTTTTTTTTTCTGCAGAGCTCTGTAAACAAGCTGGTGTCTCTGCTCTTGTCTGCGACTAAAGACATCCCAGTGTGGAGATACATGCATCTACAGCTCACACAGACGCAGGTAACAGCAGCTTATCTGGGGGACTGGTTCATCCCAGGCTCAGAGTGTTCTGGGTCTCAACCAGTTCTAAAGCAGGACTAAAGCAGGTCTATCTCACCTCTTCACGTCTCTTTGTTCAGGAGGAGCAGGCGGCTGCAGAGGACATCTCAGTGAAGCCTCCGGTGCTGAGATCCATGGAGAGAGCAGTGTCTGAGCACAAGGACATCAGCAAGTCAGTCTACAATCACACATGTGTCAGAGTGTACTGTTAAAGCTGGGGTACGTAACATTAAAGGTCCCATATTTTGCCCTTCTTAAAGCTGCACTACCTCACTTAATTTTTGTATTCATTACGAAAATTCAATCCATAACAATGCAGTGCATTGGGATATACGTCCTTTTGAAGAAAAAGTAGCGCAGAGTTTTGCTGCCGTGTCATTTTATTTTAGATCGAGTTTTCGTGCAACAAAGAAGAGAATTTGTTTCGGGACCAGATTATGACCAATCACAGTGGACCTCTGGCCCCCACTTTATTGAGAAAAGCTACAAGTCTGTGGTTAGCACAGACAGCTAAGGTAAACAAGCGGCGGAGGCTAACCTGAAACTTCCCGTGTCTTTGTTCCCGGTTACTGCTTACTCAGCGAAACAGCCATCCAAAAGAAAGTCTTGTTCTTCCGGGCTGCCCGGTTCTATCATTCTATGGTCACGCCATCCACGTTCAAATGTGCGATCCATATTGTAAGACGTGAGGGGGTAGTGGTGGGAGGAGATATCTCCGTGCGGGGGAGGGCGAGCAGAAGAGCGAGGCCAGCACTCACATTCGAAAATTTCAGCTTTAATGTTTCACATTGTGACAAACTAGGGATGGGTATCTTCACCTCTGAGGTATCTTCACCTCTGAGGTCGATTCGATACATATCTCAATACTTAATTATCGATTCCATACAGCAGTGTCTCCCAAAGTGGGGTCCGCGGCCCCCTGGTGGGCCGCGAGGGTACTGCAGGGGGGCCGCGGGAGGTCATAAAAAAAATAATATAATTATTTAATGTTAAATTTATAATGTTTTGTTTGTAATATTAAAATATTTGTGTTCATTATTTGACTTGAATAATCCACTGTAATCATTTTTGTATTACAATGTTTGTAGCAGAGGCTATTTCCCCAAAATAAAATAACCAGAAGAGCCTATTCTTAATGTTGTCTTCTTGGTTATTATTTTGGGGGGCCACGCAGACCCGTCAGATTTTTAAGGGGGCCTCGGTGTTACTGAGTTTGGGAATGGCTGCCATACAGTAACAATACACTGAGGCCCCTGTTGATACAATGCGATACACCCTTGTCAGCGATACGATGCAATTAAAAACAATTTCATAACAATAAAATATAGGCCTTACAAAAGGGTTTGGTTTGGTAGTCTTTTGTCTTTTAAATAAATGTACACGCTTGTACCAGCAGCTCTCCTCACTTTGTTTTTTTTTAGGGTTTAGTTTGATTAGTTAGTGAATTTAAGATGAAGAGTGCTACAAATCCCAAAGGATCATAGACTGATGCCACTGTGCACAGGACTCCTCTTCTGTTCAAAGTGTGCTCTTTGACTGTTTATTTTAAAACTGAAACTCATCAGAAGACACACACCACTGCACACCGAGTGCTCTTTCTAGGAGTGGCTCTCCTAGCGCTAGGTCTAGGTCTTTAACACTTTCGGCACACTCTTCTCACATTCTCACTGTTTGATATGAACTTATGAAGTCTGAGTTTGCCTGTGCTACACAGCTCTCTTGCTTCTTTGACTAGTTTTATTACTTCTTCTTCTGACATCATACTAATTAGTCCATCATCAACGTAAAAATTATTTTGATTATTTTGTCAGCCGGCGAGAGCTCCATTCATTTGAATGAGTGCCTTCAAAAATTCACAGCGAGTAAACCAGAGTGGTCCAAAAAAATTCACTCCCCTCAACATTGACACACATGTGGAACAGAGCTTTGGGCCAAGAGCCAACTTTTGGTCCATCCTGTAAAGACGTTTTTGAGAGGTCTGCCAATGCTATATGTTAGCATTGGCTAATTCTTATTCCGGCTCTACTCCTATTGGCCCAGGGTGGTATTGCAAGCATGTCAGCGCACGTCATTTTGGCCACTTTTGAGCCGGGACCCGCCCCCACTGGTCTGGCCACGTAAGCAAATGTTCGTTCACTGCGGTGTCTTTATATTGTACAGAGGCGTCAAACACTACACATATCTTAGATGGCTTTTGTGGGTGGTATACACCATGGTGAGGTATATACCAGGCAGGGCTATAACAAAGTTCTTTCTCTGGCACCTTCTCCGCATCTCCACGTGAGTACTTTGCAGTACTTCTGATCCTTTTTCAATCTACGTTCCAGACTATTTAAACGTTGCATTGGTTTAAGTTACGTACCCCAGCTTTTACCCCTGTAACATGCGTGTGCTGCCCTCCTGTGGTGCAGGGTGGTGCTGCAGTTGGGAGCTTCGGTCTCCTCGATCAGATCCTCCACTGTGGAAACCTTAAATGGCCTCTCTCTCTTCTCCGAACTCTGGCTCCAGGTCTGTGGGACACTCTCAAAAACATGACAAGGATGAGAGGAAGATTTCTGTGTTTTGATTCTGCTTTAGAGCTGATTTAGTCCTACTTTTGACCAGCTTTAGACTTGAATATGACATGTTTTAGACCTGATTTAGACCTTCTTTAGATATGCTTTAGACTAGGGATGTAAAAAACTATGAATTTTCATGACCGACCACCGAGCCTCATTAACCGGTTGAAACCGGTTAACCGCGTAGTTTAAAATAGTCCACGTTCTTTGAAATAACAGCCATTTCGAGCCACGTACTTTTCGTAAGTGCAGCTCTGCGTTCTACTGGATCAGAGTTGAGACAGCGGCGCCCAAACCCCCAACAGCTCCGGCACCTTTGCGCACAGAGAACTGCTTTTTTAATCTTCCCATTCTGCTGTGCTGCGGGTTAATACCAAAACTTTCTATCAGCAAACGACGGCTCGTTCACATGGTCAGAGCAGCGAGTGACGAGCCGCGTCTCATAGGTCTTCACAAAAGTTTAAATACAAGTGATGTGTGTGGAGCTGATCCCGAGGACCATAAACACAAACATGTTTCCCCTACAGCAAAACATGTAGGGGAAATACGCGGCTCCCAAAGGAGCCGCGTATTTGCGCGAATCCTTTGGGCTTCGTGACACAGAGGAGCGCGACAGACCGGTATGTGTGTGTGTGTATGTGTGTATGTGTGTGTGTATGTATATGTGTGTGTGTGTAAATGTAAGCTCCAATGTAGTTCTGACCCGCGCCAGTGTGCAACTTTGACGGTAACAGAGGGGAGAGATGATGCGTGTGGATGTTACGTATGGAGAGGGGGAAAGTGTGTGTGTGTGTGTACGCGCGCGCGTGTGTGCGCGTGTGTGCGCGTGTGCGTGTGTGTGGCTCGTGCGGCGTGAGAGTCGTCCCGGAGTTTATAATACATGGGCGCACACAGCTAGATACGAACCCGCTCGGCACACCGTGCAAATAGGGCTTAAAATAGCTTTATTAAGAGACCTCCCCTCTCCCCTTTTTCTCTTTTTTAACCGACAGCTTTGACCGGTTAACGTTGTGACGGTCAACCACCGGTTAAACGGTCGCCGATTTACATCCCTACTTTAGACATCCTTTCGACATGTTTTAAGTCTTTCCTAATAAACCAGGGACCACTGTATTTAAATAATACCAGTCATGGTGGACCTCATAAAGCTCAATGTTAACTGTTTTTGTGAAATTTGACTTCTGTGTCCAGGAGCCTAATGAGCAGGTGCAGATCTTCCTCCAGTCAGATCCGTTGCTGTCGGACTTCACTGCTCAGATCCAGCACTATTCTGTGAGTGTGGAACTCATGAAACTGACGTCAGTGTACACATCTTCAACAAATAAACCACTGACTTTTTCTAGATGGGTTATGCTAACCGGCTAGCTCAATACATTTTTTAGATTATTGTAATATTTGCCTTATTTCAAGGTCTGACAAGGCAAAACAAAAAAGATGCCAGACAGACCACGACAGATAGACAAGAGAGACAGACAGAGACGGACAGACAAGAGACAGACAGCTCCACTCCTCCTCCAACAGGTCTAACAATGACATTTCTGAAATTTCCCCACTGCGGGATTGAAGGATCTCCTAATCTTAATCTTGAATTACTTTTACTTTTAATTTTAGATATATTGTGTTTTTTTTCTGCTGACAGGGTTCTTTCGAGGCTTAAATAATATTTTGATTAGGACTTTCATTTATTTAATCCTGGAAAGTCTCTGATTTTCTAACCCATTGGATATCTAACTTTGTCCTGTGTTCTGAAGATGGCAGATTTAATTAAATAAATACATTTCTGCTTGTATACATTTGAAAGCCATGTTTCAATGGCTGTCCAGGATCTGTGTATTATCCCACATTACCAGAAAGCATGAATGAGCGAGTCCCTCTGATCGCATCTTAAACGTTAATGTAGGAACAGAGGAGGAATAAAAGCTATGTATTCTATCCCTATAGTACATTCTTGTCATTAATTTATATTGGATTAATCGAAGATTGTCATTGGTGGTGGCTGCGTATGTGAGTCGTAAACCTTCTTTCCATTTTATCTCAGAATCAGAACTGTTCATGTCCTTTTTAGTCTGAATTTCCCCTATTCATTATTCCTTTATTCATCAAAGGGAATAACGTGATTGGAGGTTGTTATATCAGATAATGTTTTAATACCACTTTGCACCCAAGCTTCCAATCTTAAGGTGGTACCTTGACTCTTTATAGAAGGGTTATTCCAGATCCCCATGTGAGTGGGATACATTTATCAATCGTTTGTTCTTTTCCACATATTCAGGGTACTATTGGTAACAAAATTATTAGTTTTTCATTTTTTACTCAGAGAATAGGGCTGATAGTAAATTTCCCGGTTGTATTGAAATGTAATGTAATGTAAATGTAATGAAATGAAAAGTAGGAGAACCTGCAACCCTGAAATGTTGCAGGTTCTCCTACTTAGAAATTAGTTAATGTGGAAATAGATGTATTTCCACTGTTACAAACATAATCTTAAAAGAAAAATCCGGAAATTCCATTCTATAATTTTTTTATGATAGAAGTTCCTGGGGTTCATAAGTATTTGCACACATGAGAATCAGCCAGAATTATGACTCTCAAAGAGCTGACAGTCCACCCATCCACCACACGTTAGAGCTCATTAAAGTCACCTATACAGCCCACAGTCAGTCGACCATGGGGCAAGATCAAAAACCTGTTAAAAGAGCCCAGAGACAAAATTATAGAGCATCACAAATCTGAAAAAAGCAATGGAACAATTGGGGAGCAGCTTGGAGAGAATGGATCAACTGTTGCAGCAGTTGTTAGAAAAAGGAAGAGGCTAAACATGACTGCTAATCTACACCAGACTGGGGCTCCATGTAATATCTCTCCTTGTGGGGCATCTCTCAAAAGAAAAGTGAGGAATCAGCCCAGGACTACACGGAAGGAGCTTGTGAATGACCTGAAGAGAGCTGAGACCACTGTTTCCAAGGTTACTATCAGTAGAACCCTAGTGGTAGTTAAACTAAAATCTGAACCTTTTGATATAAACTCCACTCGTAAGGTTTGATGAAAAACAGTATCATCCCAAGAACACCATCACTACAGTGAAGCATGGGGGTGGAAATGTCATGCTTTGGGGGTGCTTTTCAGGAAAGGGGACTGAGGGAACCTCCTTCCCTCAGTCAGAGCATTGAAAATGGGTTGTGGCTGAGCGTTCCAACATAACAATGACCCGAAGCACATAGCCAGGAAAACCAAGAAGTGACTCCATAAGAAGCATGTCAAGGTCCTGGAGTGGCCTAGTCAGTCTCCAGACCTAAATCCAATAGAAAATCTTTGGAGGGAGCTGAAACGTCATGTTGTTACTTACAGCCCCAGATCTAGAGAAGATTTGTGTGACTGATTGGGCCAAAATCCCTTTTGCCGTATGTGCAGACCTGGTAAAGAACTATAGGAAAAGTTTGATCTCTGTAACTGTGAACAAAGGCTTCTGCACTAAATATTGACTCTAACATTATAATCTGTGCAAATACTTACGAACCCCAGTAGCATACAAATAAATCATTAAAATATGTGATTTCTGGATTTTTCTTTCTAGATCGTTCGAGCCGTATTTTTTATCTAAGGATAACATTTTAGATCCTCCATTTGCGGCTTTGTCACAACACATGCCTTTACCATTGGTACCAGGCTGAGAGCGCAAGACCAGTCCACACTACCCAACACACCATCAACAGTGCTGATAGTGTCCTCAGCTATTGTGGTATCCAACACAGGCACCAACGCTAAAGTCAAAATTTCAGTAACACCACGAATAAACATGCGACATCAGTCTCTTATCAACGGCAACAGAAAAAACCACACGACCTCAACAGGATGTTGGGAAAAGCGTGTTGTTTCTCAGGACACAGTCTGCAGCCTGTATGAGAGTTTGGACAAACTCTACCCCATGACTCTCCCTCACTGTGCGTCTGCGATGCTTATGCTATGTTGTTAGTACTCAGATTGACTCAGGCAGCATCACTAACCTCTCGCTCTCGGCACAGACTGCTGTTTCTTCAGGGCCAGACACATTTATCTTCTGTCTTCTCAATTCTCCGCTCAAATTGCTGTATTTTTCGCCGAGTCTCGTAGATTAAAGCTGATATTCTTTCAGCACAGCCACTTGTTACATGATACCAAGTATGCCGGTGTTTCATTCACCTCCACGTACAAATAAAAATGAGTTCACTTTTCTTGAAAAACCCGACACTCGATGTCCACTTTTCGCCTTTTTGACACAAACATTTTGCTGAGGGTGTCAGTCACTACAGAGGCACTCCACTTTCTGCTGAGCGTAGCGCGTAGTGTTGCGTCGCGGAACGGATGAAAAAATATATATAAATATATATATATTATTATCATTTTACATAAATGAGCCAGGGGTTGTATCCAATCTCTTGGCGGGCCGGTGTTCTGTCAAGAAGTGCACCCTTGTCGAGATTTCCCCCTTTGTTGAAATGTGCATCCCCACCCGCCGAAAGCAACTGTCCATAGCTTAGTCATTATGAATGTTTACTTATATTGTCAACATATTTATGATTTATTAGATTTAATAAAAGGTAGCATTAGGCGTGCACTCCTTGTGGAAATTTGCCTCCCCAACAGCCGAAAGAGAACACGTTATCACCACTTTTAGAGCCAGTATTTTGATCTTTTAAAAAGGAAAAGCGAGTAGCTTAGAATGTTATATTATATGCGTGCATACTACATCTTTATTTTCTTACTGCACAATTGTGCAATAGTTGCTAATGCAGAAGTCCAGACGCCAACTTAAGACGTATATTTATTTACATTATTGTTCACATCTTCACGTGAATTTGAACTAGTGCTACATCACTGTAATGTCTAGTGCCATAGTGTTCAGCCCAAAATACACGAGTGTAATCTTGTTTATCGTAAATAAAACTACTCACGTGAAGCTGGAGATGCAAAATCCGATGGCTCGATGAACCTACTTCGACGCATGCGCAGATGCACTAGATAATATGTTTCGACGGGGGGACGTAGTCGGAACAGACGCCCATATAAGGAAATTTGCACTAGCTTGCTTATGTTTAAATTGTCTTCTTCTGGATTAAGGCTCCTCCCTGATCTTGGTCCTCCTTCCTCACCGGTCGTGTTCTGGTCCTCCTTCCTCAGCGGTCCTGTTTTTCTTCCTGACCCTGGCCTTACTCTATTACCCGGTCGTTCCCTCTGTCCTTAGGCCCTGGAGACCCGGATCCAGGACTTGCCAGCCCTCTGGACCGTGGGCTGGTTGGTCCTGGACCTGGAGCAGGTTCAACGCTCCCTGAGATTGGAGTGTTGTCGGTGGAAGCAAGCGTTTGGAGCTGCGCTGAGTCTGCGGGCGTCTACGCAGATGGAGCAGGTGTCAGCGTTTGTGGGCGCCGCGAGCAAACGGCTGCAGCGGCCAATCACAGACCTGGAGGATGTCCGCAATGCCATGGCAACACTCAGAGAGGTGCGCACTTATAATAATTAAAGTAACAATGTATTTGTGGTCGTCACAAAAGCCCTGAGCAGCCCAAGCCACAGGATTCCTGCTGCTGCAGGGATCTCTGCCTGGTTTCTCTCCCTGATCTCTCTCTCTGGCCTCTCTCTGGTCCCTCTGGTCTTTCTGTTCTCTCTTGTCTCTCTCTGAACTCTCTCTGGTCTCTCTCTCTGGTGTATCTCTTTTTGGTCTCTCTCTGGTCCCTCTGGTCTCTGGTCTCTCTCTCTTGTCTCTCTCTGTATGGGACTTGCGCCATTAAAACATGGCAGTGTAATAGAAGTGTTCTATCTGAACCGACATTTTGTGAGCATATAAGAAAGGAGCTGTCAAAGTTCCTAGAAATAAACAACAACGATGCAGTCAATCCTACAGTACTCTGGGATACCACAAAAGCATACTTGAGAGGACTGATTATATCCTACTGTAGTGCCAGAAAAAAGAAGACTATAGTAGAACAAACAAACCTTGAGAAAGAGCTTAAAGTGTGTGAACTACAACATACACAGCATCCATCACAAGAAAATTATAAACAAGTCATAATTGCAAAAACTGCTCTTGACACCCTATTTTCCCAGCAAGCTGAAAAAAGCTTGTTAACACAGAAACAAAAAATATATGAATATGGGAATAACCCTGGGTCTCTCCTTTCTAAGCTTCTTAAAAACCACAAAGGGCATAAAACTATTTCCTTAGAGACTCCAGTGGTAAGAGGCAATTTACATCAAAGGAGACCAATGATTTTTTTCTATAATTGCTATCAATTATTATACAAGTCAGACGTTCAGGTAGAAAACACTGAGATTGACTCATACTTGAATAGTTTAAATCTATCAGTTGTAAATAACCAGGAACAAGGAATTTTGAATGCACCTGTCCCAGACCTGTCGGAGATCACAGAGGCCATAGAAAATCTGGCTTCTGGTAAAGCAGCCGCCCTAGAGAGATATCCGGCTGAGTTTTATAAATCATTTAAGGATCTCTTAGCTCCACTTCTATACAATTTGTTTTTGCACTCTCTGTCTATACAAAAATTACCGAAGTCTATACAAAGGGCTGCAATAAAACTCATTCAAAAAGGGTTAGGACCCAGAAGATCCAGCTTCTTATAGACCAATAAGCTTGGTCTATAAGTATAGAAAACAAAATATTAGCTAAAGTATTAGGCAACAGATTAAAGCCATTCTTAAACACAATCATTAAAACAGACCAAACATGATTTGTACAAGGCCGCTACTCACATACAAATGTAAAACACCTCTTAGGAGTCTTACAGTACGCTAAGAATAAACAGTCGAACGCTATGATCCTCTCATTGGATGCGGAGAAGGGATTCAACCGCCTCGAGTGGAAATTCATGTTCAAAGTAATGGAACGCTTTGGACTTGGTGATTCTTTCATTCAGTGGGTAAAGCTACTCTACACTTGTCCGGAAGCAGTCGTCATGTCAAATGGCATAATATCTAATCCCTTCACATTAGAAAGGGGGACTCGCCAGGGCTGCCCTCTGTCTCCACTGTTATTTGTAATGGCTATTGAACCTCTAGCAGAGGCAATATGTACTCATCCCCATATATCTGGTATCAATAGTGGGACATTTAAACATGTTATTTCTTTATATGCAGATGATGTTTTAATTTTGTTGAAAATCTTAAGATATCCTTACCAAATGTTACCATTTATACATTTGGGGAACAATCAGGGTATAAAGTCAATATGAGCAAGTCATCAGTCTTACCGCTCGGTGACAGCCGAAGCTCGCAGGACTCAATTTTCAATCAGTTCAAACTTACTGCAAACGGTTTTAAATATCTTGGCATCAAGGTCCCTTATAACTTGGAAGAGCTCAGCAAAATTAACCTGTTATCAGTCATTAAGCAAGTTAAGTTAGACCTTATGAGATGGACAGCATTACCTTTCTCTTCAAAAGCATCTCTTTTGGGGCGTATAGCTGTCATCAAAATGAATATACTGCTACGGATTCTTTATCCGATGCAAATGATTCCTCATGCCATACCAAAAACTGTATTTAAAGATCTACATAAACAAGTTTCTAAATTCATTTGGATTGGCCGTCGTCCTAAAATGAAACTCGAAAAACTACAGTTGCCTTTGAAAGAGGGAGGCCTTGCTGTGCCCAATTTTCTGTACTATCACTATTCAATGTAACTTAAGAACCTATCTGAGTGGGTAGTACAGGAAGCTGGAAACTGCCATTTAGAATTAGAATCTTTAGGATGCAAACTGCAACTTCTATCAAAAGCACCCTTTCTTCCAAGTAAACAACTGGAGAAAAATAACTATATAGCCTCCAATATTTTAATGACCTGGAATACTATCAAAAAGGAGTTTTCAATTGACCCAAACTATTCATTTCTAGCTGCAATAGCAGATAATCCTCATTTTATTCCTTCTTATTTAGATAAAGGCTACAGAGAATGGGAAAAACTTGGAATTAAAGTAATATATGATCTATACGATGGTAGTGTCATAAAATCATTCAGTCAGTTACAGGAATCATTTAACCTACCAAACAAAGGTACTTGCAAATTAGCCATTTTCTAAACTCAATTCCACAATATAAACAAGGACTTGGTCCTCACTGCTTGGAAAAAATGCTATTTAAAATCAGTTTACAAAAAAGTAATAAAGTTTCATACATTTATAGCCATCTGGTTACTTTAATGAGTGTGACCACAGTGCGTAAAAGGTCTTGGGAGCATGATCTTGATATGAGTATAACAACCCAACAATGGAGCACTATCATGCTCAACTCCAAAAAAATATGTTGTAGTTACAAGTCACAAGAAATTCAATTTAAAATAATAAACAAATTACAAACTACTCCATATCAACGGAATAAATATGATAAGAACTGTTCATCACTATTTAAACAATGCAAACAGCATGTGGGTACCTATGTACATTTAATATGGTCGTCCCCAATGACAAAACAATACTAGTTAGAAGTATGTGAAAATATTTCATCCATTGTCCAAAACCGTGTAAAGCCCTGCCCTCTCCAACGTATTCTGGGATTGTCGAACTCTGACCCAAAACTGAGACAACATACAAAATTAATATCATTGCTTTTGTACAGTGCAAGATTAACAATTATGCAGCACTGGTTAGAGGATGCTGGACCACGAATCTCTGATTGGTTTAAGAATATCTTAAACCTTTTCCCATTGGAAAGACTAACTTATCTTCTAAAAGAAAATACCGACACCTTCTTCGAAATCTAGAATCCTGTACTGAATCACATTGGAGAAGATGCAGCTAGAATATTAAAGAAAGCTATCTCTGTCATATACAGTGACTTGATGTACTGAAGTGGCTAGTGACCTGTGTGCTCGTGTGTGTGTGAGAGGCTGTGAATGTGTAGGTTCGAATGAATGGACAGTGCACAAAAGGTTTGTGGCTGGATGTTGAGAGTGAATGTGGGGGGTGGGGGTGGTGGTAAGGGGGATGTTAAATTTTGTTTGTTTTGTTTTGTATTACAGTTTGTCATAACTTAAGATTGATATATTTGTACAGTATTAATGTGATGCACATGAACTTTAAAGGAGCAATATGTAATATTTGCATGTCAAGTCATCATTAAATGACCCGAATATTTCAAAAGGCATTAATAAATCATGTTCTTTTCACACACATCTTTAACTGATAACAGTAGTTCATCCGAGATATTTGAATATCAAAATTAGTTTTACGACCCGTAAAAGTTGTTGTTTTGATTTTGATGTCCTACCCTCCGCCGTTTCGCCAATCAGGAAGTGTCATGTAAGTTCGTGATCGGGTTGCCAGAACTCCGTGCGGCTCATTAATCTCAGTGGTAAAATAACATGTGGCGCAGAACTAAAAAAGGTCTTGTTATGACTCTCAAATCATTAATGACAAAACAAAGACTAAAACGAGGATTTATATCGGGACGCCTTTGAACAATTGAGACAGCTGATAAAAGTTTACGTGTGATGCAGAATTTGCTAGTTTGAGTCCATTCTTCACAGTGACTTTAACTGTGTGAATCGGTGGTCTAGTGGTCAAAACTGTGCGCTTACGATGCAGGAACCCGGGTTCGATTCCAGGCTATGTCTTTTTGTATTTATTGCATGTTATCACATTCTATGACAGATTGCTCTAAAAACGGTAAAAGACGAAGGTCAAGACGTTTTTTTGCAGATTATAGCTTAATTGTAAAAATAATCATTTAAGACCACATGTATCCCAATTAAAATAATGTTAGTCTCTTTTTGATGTGGGACTTTTACATGTTTGTCTAAAAAATAGGGAATAAATAAAATTGAAAGGTGATATCCTCTTGAGCAAACCCTGATGTTGATACGCTGAAGAAATACGTTCCAACATCCATTCTTCCCACTCCTATTTTGGACATCAATTGCTTATGTATTTTGCATAAACTATGTATAATTACATTGCTTTTATTTTGTTTTTGTTTTTTATCTCAAATGTCCAAATAATAATAATAAAAAAACATGAATCAAAACATTCATTCAGCATTAGCACGGCTGTCATGGCAATGTGAATGGAGACGGACAAACAACTGATAAAATAATTCCCTGTGTTTGCTGCTGGATTTGGTGTGAATCTGGCAACCTGAGTCAGGGAGAGTGGTAGAGGACTACAAAATATTGACTGTGACTGCAGTACCACTTTTGGCCAGATTTGTACATATTGTTCCTTTAAATCTCTTAAAAACTGGTAAGTAAATTGAAAGACAAAAAAAACATGGCCGTATCTAAAGCAACTTTGGAGACAGGCAGCTCAAGTGTTTGGTAACATAACAATTTTCTATGTATTTGTGTTTTGCCCTAAATCACAACATCAGTTAACTCGGAGAACAAAGTTGTGGATTTTCCAATCAGAGAATCAAAGACAGGAAATGCAATAATAACAAGCACATTGGAGCCATTGTCCTTAGGGAGCAGGATGACCACTGTCCAGAAGAGTAAAGAAATTTGCAGAAATGTCACTGATCATCACTGTCCTGAGACCCTCCTAAATCCGAAAGGAATGAGTTAAACACCCAGTGGGGAAAAAGGGAGAAACCTCAGGGAGACCCATATTTTGAGAGGGAACCGCTTCCACAGACTGACAGGCTGTAGATCCAAGACTAAGGCTGTAGATCACAAGTGTCAGACAGGAGCGCGGACAGAAAGTTATGGGGTATGAAGACATTAGTCTCTGTGGCATCTTTAATTGTACATAATGATACTGATGAATGTGGTGCACATGTGTGGCTCTTCCAGATCAGAGAGGAGGAGATCCGGATTGAAGCCTCCATCGCTCCCATCGAAGAGTCCTTCTCTCTGCTCCTCAAACATCAGCTGCTCCTCAACAATTCTGAGAAAACTGATGTTCTGATGTACAACTGGAGACAGCTGCAGGATCTGGTGAGGAGCAGGGACAGGACTGGACATTTAGCTGAAGATCAGATTTAAAGTGATAGTCTGTAACTCTAAATTAATTACAAATTTTAGGAAATGTGTTAAATTGACCTCCTGGCCTTAAATGTTGATATAAAATAAGTAATTTTATTAATTATAATATTACGGGCAAGTCCCGCCTTCCCTGCTCTTAGCTATAGTTCAGAATCCACGGTGCCGTCGAGGTTAACCAATCGAGTCATGCCAAGGGCTGTCAATCATCGGCGCTGATGCTCGCAGCTGCGCGCATGCGCAGTTGTTTGTTTTCGCGGAGCCTCCGAATCAAGCCTCTATTAGGCTCTGGAACTACATGAAAACTGAACAAAGAATTCTGAACATCCGCGCTGAGGTACTTATGTATATACTGAAGCTATATCCATAAACATTTATATACTGAACCTATATCCATAATCAGATCCTCTGCAGATGTGTCCTATAATGTGCAATTCATAATAATAGCACTTCCTGGTTTGCCGCGATCGCTTTTTTTGTGCATAAAAACATTATTTTTTTCATTAAAACGTTTACAAATTATTCTGAAAACCTCCGTGCATGTGTATTAATAATGTATATGTATAATGTGTTCTCTGATTAACATTTCAAAGTGTTACGGAAACGTAGGTGTAGACCAATCAGAAAGGAAGGGGGATTTTTTTTCAAATCAAGTACCTCTCTGTCTCTCTTTCTGACAAACTCCAGACAATCACTTTAAGGATTGTAGGTTTGATCTGACTGAAGTAAGTTCAAAGAGACATGACAACTATGGTGTAGATAGAGCAAAGAAACGTTTGTTGTCGCTTGCAGCCCCACTCATCTGTGCTTCTGTCTCTGGTCTCAGGCGGTCCAAACCCAGGACTCTCTGATCCAGCTGGAACCCAGGATGAAGACTGAGCTACTGATGTCTGTGAAGGACTTTAGGACGAGTGTGGAGATGTTCTACAGAGAGTACCAGGAGAGGTAAGGAGGGTGTTGGTAAAGACTAAAGTTTGGACTGGAATAAGGATCAAGACAAAGATGTGGACCAGGACTGGGGTGGAGATGTTTGACAGTAAGTACCAGGAGAGGTGAAGATTCCACGTAAGTTTTCCCTTACGTGGAATCTTCACCTCTCCTGGTGAAGTCAAATAGGAAAACTTCAAAGACTCCAAAGTGTGGACTACTGTAGAACTAGAGTTAGGACTAGGGAACAACTGATCTGGGCAGACTTAGGGTTTACCGCTGGTCTCCTGGTCCACAGAGGTCCTGGCGTGGAGGGCGTGTCTCCGATTGAAGCCTCGGAGCGACTGCAGATCTTCCAGAGGAACATGGAGGATCTGTGGAGCAGGTTCTCCTCTTGCTCTGGAGGAGAAGAGCTGTTTGGACTACCTGTCACTGGTATGACCTAAGACCAGCTTTAGCCCTGGTTTAGTCCTGCTTTAGAACTGGTTTAGTCCTGAATTAGACCTGCATTAGACCTGCTTTAGTCCTGGTCTGATCTCTGCAGAGTATCAGGAGCTCCAGAGGATTCGTAGGGAGATGTCTCTTCTCTCCAAACTGTACTCTCTGTACGACTGTGTGAGCGCCACCGTCAGGAGCTTCCATGAACTGCAGTGGACTCAAGTGGATCCTGAACAGATTCAGACCGAGCTGCAAGACTTCCACCACAGGTCTAACTGGACCAAGACCAGGACAGATCTCAGTTCCAACGGGAACAGGACAGATCTCTGTTAAATGACAATCTGACTTTTTCCCCCCATTTATCTTACAACAAGGTCTGACATCCTGATCTCTGACCTCCTGAGATCTGTGGTTTTCAGTATTAAATTCTTATTAGTGCTGTCAAACAATTAAAATATTTAATCGCAGTTAATCACACATATTTACCTGTTCTAAATGTCCATTGATTTGGTTTTAAAAGGCATTGGATGAGGCAAAAAGCTTTTATTAATCCAATCCCCTTAAAAAGAAAGTATTTTCATTTGATCAATCTCCGCTTTTGTTATTGGCACGTATTTACGCGTTAAAATGACAGCACTAATTATTATCAATAATTTGATCCTAACTTCTTCTGCTCCTGTGAGCTCAGGATGAGGACACTTCCCGCAGCGCTGAAGGACTGGCCGGCCTTCAGAGACCTGAAGAAGACCATTGAAGACTTCACCGAGACCTGCCCCTTGCTGTGCATGATGGCCAGCAAGGTGAGATCTAGTGCAGACTTGATCCAGACCTGGTCCAGACCTAGTCCTGACCTGGTTTTCGGTTTGTTCCAGGCCTTGTTGCCGCGTCACTGGGAGCGTCTCTCTGAAGTCACCGCTCACACGTTCCAGTTTCAGTCAAATTTGTTTTGTCTCGGTGACGTCATGAAAGCTCCTCTGCTGAAGTACAAGGACGAGATTGAGGTAGATCCAGGACTGTGGCGATAGATCCAGGACTGAAGCTGTCTTCTTCTCACTGTCTTCTTCTTGTGCAGGACGTGTGTGTGAGTGCGGTCAAACAAAAGGACATAGAGTCAAAACTCATGGAGGTCCAGGAGGAGTGGAGTGCTCATGTCCTCAGCTTTGCCTCCTTCAGGAGCAGAGGGGAACTGCTGCTGAAAGGGAGTGAGGTCACAGAGAAGCTGTCCATCATGGAGGACAGTCTGATGGTGCTGTCGTCTCTGCTCAGCAATAGGTCCGACTCTTGTGTGTTGGTCGTCACAAAAAAACAGCCCTGGTTCTCGTTTAGTCTCTCTTGGGTCTCTCCCTAGTCTTTCCCTGGTCTCTCTCTGGTCTCTCTCTGATCTCCCGGGTCCTGTCGCAGTCTACCCTTGGTCTGTGTGGTCTCTTGCTGGTCTCTCCCCAGTCCTGACCCAGTTTCTCCGTGGTCTCTCTGGTCCCTCTCCATTCTCTGGTCTCTCTCTGATCTCTCCCTGGTTCTGACCCGGTCTCTCTGTGCTCCTCTTAGGTACAACGCTCCGTTCAAAGCCCAGATTCAGCAGTGGGTCCAAAAGCTGTCTGGTTCTGCTGAAGTCCTGGAAAAATGGCTCTCAGTGCAGAACCTGTGGGTTTATCTCGAGGCTGTGTTTGTGGGAGGAGACATCGCCAAGCAGCTGCCACAGGAGGCTCAGAGGTTTCAGGTGATCGATAAATCATGGCAGAGAATCATGCAGCGTGCTCACGACCTCCCGAACATGATACAGTGCTGCGTGAGTGATGAGACCCTCGCTCAGGTAAAACAGCTCTTCTATCTGCTTTCCTTCAGTCGTGTCCAGTTAAAACAGCTCCTCTATCTGCTTCAGCTGCTGACTCACCTCCTGGAGCAGTTAGAACTCTCTCAGAAGTCCCTCTCTGGATACCTGGAGAAGAAGCGTCTGATCTTCCCCAGGTTCTTCTTTGTGTCCGACCCGGCTTTGCTGGAGATCCTGGGCCAGGCCTCGGACTCGCACACCATCCAGGTCTCTGAGGAACTCTCACTTCATGTGTGGCCACTGTAAACACTGCCAGAACAGGGTTAAAAGCCAACTATTTAAAGATGATTGTGAACATGAGGTTACACCTTAACAAGGCTGTGTTGTTGTATACAGGCTAGTGAGCATGCAATAGGACCAAAAGAACACGTCTGGGTTGAGAGCAAGAGAGGATGAACGTAGCATTTATTATTTTTTATAATTGTGCTCTTTGACCCAGCTCACGTGGGTGCCTACTGAGCCCCATGTGTGTTGTCCCCACAGTTTCCTGGTCTCTCTCTGGTCTCTTTCTGGTTTCTATTCCTGGTCTCACTCTCTGGTCTCTCTCTGGTCTCTCTCTCTAATGGCAAAAGCATCATCCCAGAATGACTCAATGATGCCTATTCTTTGGTCTCTTTCTGATCTCTCTGGATTCTTTCTCTGGTCTTTCACCTGCTGAGCCTATGTGTTGTCCACAGCGCCACCTGCTGAGCCTGTTTGATAATGTTAATCGCGTCGTCTTCAGTGAGAAGATCTACGATCAGATGTTGCGCTTTGAGTCTCAGGAAGGAGAGAGTGTAGAGCTGTGTGCACCGGTCATGGCCCAGGTGAGAACCAGGCATTTTTTCGCTCATGTAACCCATTGTGATTGAGGGGTTGGGGGTTTCTGCAGCCGGTTCCAGCATCAAGGCAATAAAATCTCTAATCAAACCACTAATCGTATATTTCCACGCACTACTTTGCATAATGATAAGATAAGAGATCCTTTATTTGTCCCACAGTGGGGAAATTTCAATGTTGCAGCGCACATGCAGGACAGTAGTAAGAGCACACAGGGAGCATACAAGATAAGATAAGACTTTATTTATCTCACACAGGAGAAATTTACATGTCACATTGACAAGGATAGGTACACTCAAGAATTGTGCAAAAGTAAGAAATGTGCAGCATGTTAATGCAGGATATATTATGTACAAAAAGTGGCAAATTAGAAAGAAGTGTCAATAGTAGTAGTGTCAAAATATACAAAATACAAAATAAGTAGTCACTATGTTTCTTAACTAGCTGTGGATGCTGTAAATGCTTCAATACCAGTAATACTACTCCTACTGCTGCTACTATTACCACAGTACATTTCTTTGTTTTGACCCTTTTATTTTGACACGTTTCCCCGATGGTGAAAAGTCAACATGGGTCCAAACAACAGGCCTCCCTTCGACCCGCTCCCGTGTCTCTTTCAGGGAAGTGTGGAGGTGTGGTTGGGTCAGCTGCTCTCCGCAATCAGGCTCACGCTCCGCAGCATCATACGACGCGCGCACTTCACTATCTCTGAACCAGAACTGAACATGGAGGACTTCCAGAGAGCCTTCCCCGCTCAGGTCGGCCTGCTTGGCCTCCAGATGGTGTGGACCAGGGACGCGGAGGAGGCCCTGGATAAAAGCAGAGGAGACAAGAAGGTGAGGCACACACTCTCCCTGGTCTCCCTCCTGGGTCTCGGATCTCTCTGGGCTCTGGTCTCTCTCTGGTCTCTCACCTGCGGAGACCTATGCGTGTTGTCCACAGCGCCACCCCGGGTCTCTCTGGTCTCTCTCTCTGGTCTCTCACCTCTCTCGCTCTCTCTGCTCTCTCCCTGGTCTTTCTCTCCACAGCTTTACCATCAGAGAGGATAGAGAACCTCAAGTTGTTCTAAAACATGAGAACTATGGGATAGAAACTTTTGAGAACTGGGGGATAGAGAGTTGTGAGAACTGGGGGGATGGAGACTTATGATCAAGATCAGAAGGAGAGTTTCCATCAATGTTATTTGAAATGATGGTGTTTAAATTATTTCTCTGAAATATACAGGTGTGTGTAAACATTGCAGTATGTTATGTGACTACAGGTGATGTCAGCGACCAATCAGAAGTTTTTGCAGCTTCTGAACGAGCTCATTGACATGACGACCAGAGACCTGAGTCGCAATGAGAGGACCAAATACGAGACACTGATCACCATCCACGTGCACCAGAGGGACATCTTCAACGAGCTAGTGTGTGCTTTTCAAACTCTTGTCTCTCTCTGATCACTCTCACTGGTCTCTTTCTGGTCTCCCACTGGTATCTCTCTGGTTTCTCACTGGTCTCTCTCTTGTCTCTCTCTTTAGTCTCTCTCTGGTCTCAGTCTGACCGGTCTTCCCTCAGGTCTTGCTGGGCGTTCGCTCCGTCTCAGATTTCCAGTGGAAGAAACAGTCACGGTTTTACTTCTTGGAGGAGACTGACCACTGCCTCGTCCAGATAACTGACGTCCAGTTCTGTTACTGTAACGAATATCTGGGCTGCACAGAGAGACTGGTCATCACGCCACTGACTGACAGGTGAGGGAGGGGCAGGATGACTGCTGTTCTGCAGGGACAGGTGAGGCTGCGAGCTACAATAACTTGGTCTTAATGTGTTATAAATCGTGCTGTCCAACAATAAAAAAAACATTGTTGCGTTAATCGCAATTTTTTTTATCTATGATCTGTGTCCCTTGAATAATAATGATAATAATAATACTCTCAACGTGGAAAAGTTATTTTTTTATTGAAAACGTGTTCTGTAATATTTCACACTCACACTAATGCAAAATGTCATACAATTTAATGCTGTCAATAAACAGATTTATAACATGTATAATTAATGACAAAACCTTTTGTATGCGCTGGAAAACAGCTGCAAGTCCTATGTAGCTCTGAAACAGTTATTGATTTGTGCTTTACAATTTTTATTTTTTTTGCTTTTTTCTACCTGAGATTGTTGGGAATCAGACAAAGTCTGGGATTGTGTCTTTAATTCAGACAGAAGACATGTTTTATTGTTGATGGTAGACGCACAAACAAGAACACGACAGAATGCAAGTGTATTATACAGCATGGAGGAATGCAGTCTTCCAATCAGCAGCTGCCACAGTGTGCTTGTAGCTTCAACCTTGAGGAGATAACCAAAACAAGTAGTGGAAAAGTACAGGCTTCTGCACATTGGTAGAATGATGAGTTTAACTTTAACAAAAGTTGCTTCAAAGTGTTATGAAATCTCACAAGATTTTGCTCCACTACAGTGTTCATGGTTTTGCACCGGAGGGACGAGGGTTCATCTTCCGAACCAAGCGGATCAGGTGAAAATCCACTGGAGGAATGCTAACTTGAAATGCTAATAGCATTTTACTTTGGACTAGAGCAGAGAAAATGGTCAGAACCAAGGGGCTACTCCACCTTGTGGCCCTTCCTGCTCCACCCAGAGGCTACTCTACCTCTGCTGCTTCAACTACCCTTTCTAGGGGATCAAAACAGAGTGAAACAAAATAAAGTAGCAAAGTGCCTAACAATTTGTTCGTAGTTGCGCAATCCATATGTCAAGAACGCGGCAGGTTCATTCATACCTATTGTGCATTATTTTTTTGTGGTAGGCAAAACCGGACCATCTGGAGGAAACCTAGGCTGATGCGGGCAGAACATGCAAACCACTCAGAAAGGCCCTGTTCCGACTGGGGTTTGAACCCAGGACCTTCTTGCTGAGAAGCGAAAGTGCTAACCACCCAGCCACCATGTCGCCCGGTCTCCTCCACAGGGAGCTAGCAGCAAGACCAGAACAAAACAAAACAAACCAAACACTTGTGTGATTAAAAAAATAACTGTTAATATCGATTTGCATTAGAGTGTTAAATTATTTTGAATAGCACTAATTGAAATGTCTGTAATTGCGCCCCCCGGTGTGTGCAGGTGCTACATCACACTGGCTCAAGCTCTGGGCATGAGTCTTGGAGGAGCTCCAGCCGGACCGGCCGGTACCGGTGAGTCAATGATCTTTAATGACCGAAAGGTCGAGATTGCAGAATACCAAGAAAGACCGAGGATACGCTGGAGGGACTGTGTCTTTCAGCTGCTCTGGGAACCTCTAGGGATTCCCCTGAATGAGCTGGATAGTGTGTAGAGAAGGAAGTTTTGGCGTCTCTGTTCAGACTGCTGCCCCCCCACCCGACAACAGAGTGTGAAAGTCTGATCTGTGTCCAGGGAAGACTGAGACGACCAAAGACATGGGCCGCTGTTTGGGGAAGTACGTGGTAGTCTTCAACTGCTCCGACCAGATGGACTACAGAGGCTTGGGACGGATCTACAAAGGTCTGTAAGACTGATCTTTAAAGTTCTTTGACACAGGTCAGCGTCCATCTCTGGTTCAGACCTGTTTCTGTCTTGATTCAGTCCTGCTTTTTTCAGCAGTTTTCCAGCATTCGGGTTTCCTGGTTCTAGGTCTGGCCCAGTCCTAGTTTTAGTCGTATGTTTCAGATGTGGCTGAGTCTGAGTTTTAGACCTGCTTTAGTCCTGGTTTTCCTATTTGCGGTTCTAGCCCAGTCCTAGTCTTAGTCCTGGTTCTCCTGGTTTCAGGTCTGGCCCAGTCTGGGGCATGGGGATGCTTCGATGAGTTTAACCGCATTGAGCTCCCCGTTCTGTCGGTGGCAGCACAGCAGATCTACATTGTGCTGCAATGTAAGAAACACAAGAAGAAGAGCTTTGTGTTCTCGGACGGAGACGAAGTTGCCATGGACCCTGAGTTCGGAATCTTCCTTACCATGGTAATAACACAGTGCCCATGGAAACAGCACTGTCACCACGGTGACTACACTCTCACCACGGTGACTACACTCTCACCGCGGTGACTACATCGTCACCATGGTGACCACACTGTCACCACGGTGACCACACTGTCAAACGGTTACTGTGCTCGAGGAGTTTCCTTTACTTTTCAAGTTGGAGCCAAATTTCACCATGAATACTTCGCCTTTGGGCTTCATTGAGCTAGTGGGTTATTAGCATTGAGCTAGTGAACTACAAATATGGCTACCACTCATTGGCTCTCAAAGTGGTGTACCTGAACTGTGTTGTGTTGTGTTTAGAACCCGGGGTACGCTGGGCGCCAGGAGCTCCCAGAGAACCTGAAGGTCCAGTTCAGAACCGTGGCCATGATGGTCCCAGACAGAGCCATTATCATGAGGGTCAAACTGGCCAGTGCCGGCTTTAAGGACAACCAGGCTCTGAGTAGGAAGTTCTACACGCTCTACAAGCTGTGTGAGGAGCAGCTGTCCAAGCAGGTGAGCCAACAGAGTGGGCTCTTTTGGATCCTTCCCCAGAGTAAAGTTGGTGAGGGTTGGAACATAAACTGAGTAAATTTTGAACTCTGAATGCAGACACTGACAGTTCCACCTTCCCTTTGAGAGTAAGACAGAGGAATGACCTTTGCTCTTAGAAGGACCATGACCTCTTTCTGGTCCAGACCCAGGTCTCCCTTTGGTCTAGATCCAGGCCTCTCTCTGGTCCGGTTCCAGTGCTCAGTGCTGTTCTGACTGTGTGCCTCAGGTTCATTATGATTTCGGTCTGAGAAACATCTTGTCGGTGCTGAGGACTTTGGGTTCTGTGAAGAGAGCAAGTCCAGAAGAACCTGAGAAGACTGTGGTGATGAGGGTTCTAAGAGACATGAACCTGTCCAAGCTGGTGAGCATCACACAGTTAAAGCCGGGGGACGTGACTTAAAGCTGGACTAACTCACTTTGTGATTTTGAAGCAGCCCTTTCAACGTGAGCGCTGGCCTCGCTCTTTCTGCTCCCCTCCTCACACTCACAAAGCTATCGCCCCCCACTACTCCCCTCCCACTCAGCACATGTGCTGTTGATTACGGAGCTCGCGTCTCACAACCTAAATTGCACATTTGAACGTGGATGGCGTGACCATAGAATGATGGAACCGGGATGTGCGCAGGACAAGACTTTCTTTTGGCTGTGTAACCAGTAACCTGCAACGAAGACACGGGAAGTTTGAGGTTTGCCTCTGCCATGATGCTTGTTTACCTCAGCGCTCTGTGTGCGCTAACGAGAGACCTGTAGCTTTTCTCAAGAAAGTGGGGGCCAGTGGTCCGCTGTGATTGGTCACAATCTGGTCCCGAAACAAATTCTCTTCCTCGTTGCACGAAAACTCGATCTAAAATAAAATTACACTCCAGAACAAACCTGCGCTACTTATTCTTCAAAAGGACATATATATCTCAATGCACTGCATGGATATGGATTGAATTTCCCTAATGAATACAAAAATAAAGTGAGGTAGTCCAGCTTTAAGAAATAATATATGTATCAACAGAAAGAGTCTTGTTCTGTTGTGAGAAAATCAGACCACAACATGCTGTTTTTTTCTCATTAGAAAACATGCCATTGTTTGTGTAAGAAAGAGCCCTGTGATTCACTATTTGACTCTTTGGGCTGAGAGCTGATATTTTTTTTCTTCTATTTTTTAACTTTACTGTTTTAATAATACATTATGTTATGCTTTAGAGCCAGTAACTAGGGACATGAGTTTATTACAGAGTTTTATTAGTGTGGTCTTGAAAGTCACGTACCCCAGCTTAAACTGGTTTTCTGATGACTTTGTGATCTGTGGTTTCAGGTGGACGAAGACGAACCGCTCTTCATGAGTCTCATCAATGACCTGTTTCCTGGAATTGGTGCGTTTATTTAATCATTTAAAAATGATTTGTAAAAATATATAGGAAGCTGTTTTTAATGGCACTGGTTGCTTTGCTTCTGTCAGTGTGTCACAGGGCAGCTGTGGCTGCAGTAGTAGTTTATCACCACCGAGTGAAAGAATAATGCCATGTGAAGTGTCTTTGAGTGTCCTGAAAAGCGCATATAAAATCAATCCATTACTATTATTATTGTTCTCTCACTCTGGTCTCTCTCTGGTCTGTCTCTGCTCTCAGTGGTGGATAAGGCCGAGTACCCAGAGCTGCTGAAGTCCATCCACAGTCAGTGTGAGCGCAGCGGACTGGTGCCCCACAGTTCCTGGGTCCTAAAACTGGTGCAGCTGTACGAGACGCAGAGAGTCCGACATGGTACAGAGAAAGCTGATAGAAGAGCTGATTTAACTGGACACAACTGAAGGAAAGCAGATAGAAGATCTGTTTTTCCACAGGCATGATGGCCCTGGGCCCCAGTGGGTCAGGGAAGTCCTCGTGTATCCGGACATTGATGGCGGCTTTCGGAGATGCTGGAGCTCCTCACAGAGAGATGAGAATGAACCCAAAGTCCATCACCGCTGCTCAGATGTTTGGAACCTTGGACCCAGCCACCAACGACTGGACCGATGGCATCTTCTCCACGCTCTGGAGGAGGACGTTGAGGACCAAGAAGGTCTGAACCACAACTGAACCAGGATTTGGCTAGGACTGAATCCAGACTGGACAAGGACCAAATCAGGACTGTAGCAGGTCTGAAACAGCTCTAGACCAGGTTTGTACCAAGACTGGTATAGGACTGGAACAAGTCCAAATCATTTAACCCTTTTGAGCAGAACCCCTTACGGCCAAATCTTTTGTTTTAAAAGATTGTTTTAAACGTACGTGCAGGTATGTAGTATGATTCCTGTGTTTGAGGTATTTATATCCTCACATATTTGCACTGCCATTTCTCTCCCCTAAGTCCTCGGATCACCACACTCTTTGCCCCTCCCTTTGCTGAGGCATGGCCTCTCCCACAGGTTTTACTCTGGTTTGGTACATTTGTAGTGGAGAACTTGAGACTTCAGCAAGTTTGCCGTTGTACAGCAGCCAGGGCCCATTTCAAGATGTCGATGCTCGGCTTGGTCAGATTAAGATACATCAGATTTATCTTATTTGCCATTTGCAGTTAAACTACATTGGAAGACATTTGCTAGTCCCCAGTGTGCACAAGACAAGTACATAAGGACTATCAAAGCTGGAGGTTTTTAGCCATTGTGTGTGTTTTTTGGGTCCTTGCCCTGGTTCTGGTCCTAGTCTGGTCTCTTTCAGGGGGATCATGTGTGGATAGTCCTGGACGGTCCGGTTGACGCCATTTGGATCGAGAACTTGAACTCTGTTTTGGACGACAACAAAACTCTGACTTTGGCAAACGGAGACCGCATCCCCATGGCAACCAACTGCAAGGTCTGGACAAGGACCAGGACCAGGACTAAAGAGAGACTAAACCAGGACTTAACCGGGACTAAATAGGACTGAGCCAAGCCTGGACCAGGACTGAAGACAATAGAAAATTTGCTGTTATCCAATAGAAATACTTGTAACATCAATGCTGAGGTCTGTAACTTTGGTCTCATAAAAGTAGTTTGAACAGAAAGAGTCTTATGCAAAATGAACAAATCAGACACAACATGCTGTTTTTATCTTTTGTGTAATAAAGACCCCTGTGAGTCACTATTTGACTCTTTGGGTTGAAAGCTATTTGGCTTAGTGAGGATGGTCCTGTCTTTTTCACTTTTCTGTGTGAAGAAGCTCATCAAAAGAAGTGACGGAGACCACAAATACATGATGTAGAGATGACTAGAGACTACATGTAGTCTAGAGATAGTCTAAAGATATAGATTTGATAGTGTGGTCTGAAAGTTACATAACAATTTGCAGATCGTATTCGAGCCTCACAACATTGACAACGCGTCCCCGGCCACAGTGTCTCGTAATGGAATGGTCTTCATGAGCGAGTCCGTCCTGGGATGGAGACCTCTGCTACAGACCTGGACCAGGACTCTTCCAGAGGGGCTAAGAGCGGAGCTGGAGGACCGCTTCAACCACTGCTACCAGGTCACAACCAGAACTGAACCAGGACTGTACAAGGACTGAACCAGGACAGCAGCAGTAAAACCTTTCCTTGTTCTTAGGACCTGCTGGAATTTGTGTACACAGCTCTGAGTCCAAAGATGAATGTTCTGGAGAACATGTACATCATGCAGACCATTGACCTATTGCAGGTGACAATATTCAGGTCCTCTCTCTGGTCTCTCTCCTCTTTCTCCTCTCCTCTCTCCTCCCTCCCTCTTACCTTTCCTCCACACCCTCTCTCCCCCACACTCTTATGCCTCCTCTTTCCTCAGGGCCTCCTCTCTTCGGTGGAGGACAAACACTTGAGTAAAGTCCACATCAGTTGCCTGTTCACCTTTGCCCTCTTGTGGTCACTGGGAGCACTGTTGGAGCTAGAGGACCGAGACAAGATGGAGGTCTTCTTGAAGGTCTGGACCTGAACCTCTCACCTTACCCATATGCTCATATTTCTTGTGACAAAGATGTGACAGTACCAGAACAGGACTAAAGCAGGACCGGAGCAGGACTAAAACGGGACTAAAGTAGGAGCGAAAGCAGATCTAAAGCAAAATGATAGCAGGACCAGAGCAGGACTAGAGTAGAACTACATGGCTCAGGTCAGGACATCTCTTCTCTCATATATCATCATGAGTTCATGTGTGTATCTCTGACTTAATGTTTGTGGTTCCAGTCCCACAGTTCAGGTCTGGACCTGCCCCAGATCAATCCGGGCCAGACCATCTTCGAGTTCACTGTGAACCAGCAGGGGGCGTGGGAGCACTGGGCCAACAAGGTGAACACACAAAGAGATCTGGGTCGTTATCCGACTCTTTAGGCTGAGAGCTGAGCTGAGTGAGGGCGGTTGTGTCACTTTTCTGTCTGAAAAAGCTTTTCTTGTCACATCTTATAAAGCTTATCTATAAGATGTGACATCTGTAAAAATAGACCATTGTTATGGTTTGAAAGTTTTTTAATTGTTTGGTGTCGTTCAGGTCCCAGACTACGTCTTCCCCACAGACCAGGTCCTGGACTATAGCTCTGTCCTTGTCCCAAATGTGGACAACGTGAGGACTGACTTCCTCCTGAAGACCATCTCCAAACAGAAGAAACACGTTCTGCTGATTGGAGAGCAAGGCACGGCCAAAACCGCCATGATACAAGTGAGGTTGGGGCCTGGGTTAGACCGGGTTTAGACTGGGTTGAGACCTTTAGACCAGATTTTGTACTGCTTTTGTCCGCCTTTAGACTGGCTTTAGTCCTATTTTAGGCCTCTTTCTCTGGTTCTCAGGGGTACCTGGGGAATCTGGACCCGGAATCACACGGATCTAAGTCCCTGAGCTTCTCGTCGGCCACACTCCCCATTATGTTCCAGCACTCGGTGGAGAGTTACATCGAGAAACGGGTGGGCACCACCTACGGGCCACCAGGAGGACGCAGCCTCAGTTTGTTCATAGACGACATCAACATGCCACTTATCAATGAGTGGGGAGACCAGGTAAGACCTGAGACCAAACAAAGAGATCAAAGAGAGAAAGACCAGAGGGAGACCAGAGTGAGAGACCAGAGATTGAGCAATGTGTTTAAATGTACTGTGTTCACATGTGACCTCGCCTCTCCTTTATGACTCCTCCTCAGATCACCAATGAGCTGGTGCGTCAACTGATAGAGCAGGAAGGCTTCTATAGTCTCGAGCGACCTGGAGACTTCCTCCATGTGGTAGACATCCAGGTTTGTGACATCACAACAGATTCTTCCGATGAGAACTATCTGAGAAATCTCGGGGAGGTCCCCGAGATTTCTCACTTTTATTTATCAACATGTGTTCTATATTCTTTTTTGTGTCTTAACTGTTGATTCTCTGATCTGTGTTGTGATTTCAATGGTTTTGTTAAGTCCTCTGAGATGACTGCTGTTGTGATTTAGGGCTATACAAGAATAAAAAGCATTGTATTGTTCCGTTTACAACACTGCTACATAGTATTTTATCTCTCTGGTTGTAAACTAGAGCTGCACGAGTCCAAATCTCTAACAGTGATATTTCTGACCAACATTGTCCCTTTGTTTCTCTTTCTGGTCTCTCTCTGGTCTCCCTCTTTGGTCTCATTTCTCTCTGTCTCTGGCCCATCTCTGATCTCTCTCTGGTTACTCTCTGGTGTCTTTCTTTTCTCTCTGGTTTCTGGTCATTGGTCTCTGGTCTCTCTTGAGAATCTCTCTGGTCTCCCTTGAGTCTCTGTTCTCCGGTCCGTCTTCTTTTTGGTCTCTGGTCCCTCTCTGTTCTTTCTGGTCTCAAGTCTCTTTCTGGTCTTCACTCAGGTCTGAGTGTAAACCTCCTGTTAACTCTTAGGTGTTCCCTTAGGTCGTGGCTGCCATGATCCACCCTGGTGGCGGCAGGAACGACATCCCTCAGCGTCTGAAAAGACACTTCTCGATCTTCAACTGTACGTTACCTTCAAACCCCTCCATCGACCGCATCTTCAGCACCCTCGCCCAAGCACACTTCTGCCCACAGAGGGGCTTTAGTGCGGATGTGTGTGCCCTGGCATGCGCCCTGGTCCCCACCACCAGGCGGGTGTGGCAGGAGGTCAAAGCCAAGGTCTGTGAGGGACCCAGACCAAGACCAGGACTGAAGCTGTATATCCAGGACTGAAGCCTTAGATCCAAGACTGAGGCTGTAGATCCAGGACTGAAGCTTTAGATCCAAGACTGCGGCTGTAGACCAGGTCGCACCACAACGATCCACAAATCAGGGCTTGTGTCTGTTCTTTCAGATGTTACCTTCTCCAGCCAAGTTCCACTACATCTTCAACCTCAGAGACCTGAGCCGGATATGGCAGGTACCCAGACCAGGACTGGATCAGGACTGGACCAGATTGAGACCCTGTCTAACCAAGACTGCAGCGGCCTAAACACAGTCTAACCTGGTCTGACCTGGTTTAAACTCTGTCTTAGGGTCTGCTGTGTGTCCAGTCAGAGGTATGTGTGAGTGAGAGACTCCTGTCGTCTCTGTTTCATCATGAAGTCTCCAGAGTCATCGCCGACCGCTTCATCGACCAATCAGAGCACGACGCCTTTGAACACATGATCACCACGGTGAGTCTTCAACCAATCAGAGCACAGCCCAGTGTGATCTGAGCGTGTGGACCCGTAAACTTCAAAACTCAGACAGTGCTGTCCTCGTCAGATCACGGCCGAGCATCATGGGAAGACCCTCACGGAGCACGCTCAGTGGAGATGCAGCTTTGTGGACTTCCTCCGAGATACTACAGGAGATGAGGAGGAGGAGGAGCAGGAGCCCCCCAGGGTGAGAGGAGGAGGAGCACGAGGCCCCCAGAGTGAAAGGAGCAAGAGGGTGAGAGGAGTAGGATGCAGCAAGCCCAGAGAATGAGAGGAGGAGGAGGTGCAGGAGGCCCCCAAGATGAGAGGAGCAGGAGGTCCCAAGGATGAGGAGGAGCATGCTGCCCCCAGAATGAGAGGAAGAGCAGGAGGCCCCAGAGAGGAGGAGATCTAGATGAGATCACTTATCTTTCCTGGTCTACCTCATGTTAATTTTTTCTCAAACTGTTGTTCCCGTGTGTTGTGTGATTGACAGCTGTACGAGCCCGTCCCGTCACTGGACGTCCTGGCCGAGCGGCTCTCCTCCTTCCAGTTGCAATATAACGAGACAGTGAGGGGCGGAGCCATGGACCTGGTTTTCTTTGAGGTGAGAAGAGGATTAGATCTGACTGAAACAGGCTACATCAGGATCAGAGCTAACTCACACAGGCTCCGAGGGGGATTCTGGAGTCAAATCTGTGGGTAGCAACAACATAGCAACCATGGACATATTTCTTAATACAATGGTCCCTCGCTGTATCACGGTTCACCGGTTTGAAGTCAACAGTCTATGGTCTCTTTCTCTCTGGTCTCACTCTGGTGTCTCTGGTCTCTCTTTGGTGTCTCTCTGGTCCCTCTCACTTGTACTGTCGGGCGTTCAGGTGGTTAGAAAACTGCATGAGATGGGTTTTACAGTGATTAATTTTCAGCTACCCTTGATAAACCGGGGACCAGTGTATAGCGTTCTCAAATCAAGGGCCATTTTTTATTGAAGGAAATGTTCGCAACCCACCAGTTGACAATTACAGTGTTACCTACTCCTGAGCAGCCCTCTGGAATCTCCAGTGTTCGTGAATTACGTTATATAAATTAAGTGGATTCAGGATTGCGTTGGACCAGGAGCCGTGTGTGTGTGTGTGTGTGTGTGTCTATGTAACACCCTCTTCTCTGCGGTCTCCTGAGGATGCCATGGTGCACCTGATGCGCATTTCACGGGTCCTGCGCACGCCGCGAGGAAACGCACTGTTGGTAGGAGTGGGTGGGTCAGGGAAGCAGAGCCTAACCCGTCTGGCCTCCTTCATCGCTGGGTACGAGAGCTTCCAGATCACCCTCACCAGGTACCAGCCAATAGAATAGCTGTTTGAACGGGACACAACTGATGGAAAGCAGATAGAAGAACTAAACTGGACTTTCTCTTCTTCAGGTCGTATGGATGTTCTAACCTGCTAGAAGACCTAAGGACTCTCTACAGACTGAGTGGACACCAGGGTCGAGGAGTCACCTTCATCTTCACCGACAACCACATCAAAGACGAGGCCTTTCTGGGTCGGAACTTCAGCCAAACTCTCTCTTCTCCTCTTTCTCTGCTCCACTCTCATCGCTCTCTACTCTCATGTCTCTACTCATCTCTTCTCTCTCTCCTCTCCACTCTTATCTTTCCTCTTCTCTCTCTCCTCTCCCCTCATCCCCTATCCTCCACTCTCCTATCTCTTCTCTCCTCTATCCCTCTCTTGACTTCCTTCTCCTCACTCTTTCTCCACAGAGTACCTCAACAATGTCCTGGCCAGTGGAGACCTGTCGAACCTATTTCCTCGCGATGAACTCGATGACATCCTTCAGGACCTCATCCCCGCTCTGAAGAGACACGCCCCCAAACGAGCTCCGACAAATGAGAACCTGTACGAGCACTTCCTAACCCGCGTGCGAGCCAATCTCCATGTGGTGTTGTGCTTCTCCCCTGTGGGGGACAAGTTCAGGTCCAGGGCGCTCAAGGTGAACAGGGCCAGACCAGGACAGAAACAGGACCAGGACTGAAGCATGACTCAACATGGACTGAACTGGGACTCTTTCTCTGGTCTCTCTCTGTTGTCTCTCTGGTCTCTCTTTCTGATCTCTCTTGTCTAACCCAGTCTCTATGCTCTCTCTGGTCCAGTTCCCTGGTCTGGTCTCAGGTTGTACTGTGGACTGGTTCCAGCGTTGGCCCAAAGATGCTCTGGTCTCAGTGTCTCGTCACTTCATGTCTGCGTACTCAGAGCTGCGCTGCCCACTGCAAGTCAAAGAGAGCGTAGTGCAGTCTATGGGAGACTTCCAGGTCTGTCTTACACTACTACATCACAAGGGGCGAGGGATCTCTTCTACACTTTAGTCTAATCAGTGTCGATGAGAAACGATGAGAAATGTTTTGTTTTGGTTTCTGGTCTAAATCATGGTTTCTTTGGTCTCTCTCTGCTCTTTCTGGTGTCCCTCTCTTTCTCCCTTTCTGGTCTCTCTCTGGTCCCTCTCTAGTCTCTCTTTCTCTCTCTGGTCCCTCTCTGGTCAGTGTGTTCTGCAGTCTTTATGAGAGACATTATAAATTCAATCACTGTTGCAAAGAGCTTAGGTGAAGTTACAGATGGACCTCACAGTGGTCCAGTGGCAGTCCGTGCATTTCAGACCTTGCGCCTCTCCAACATTTTTAGTGCCACAGACAACCTCAAACCCCCCCACACAGTGTGCCTCCTGTGTTAAAATTTCTTCTCTGACAGTATTTGAGAACATGACTGAGTGCAACACAAGCGTTCAGGACACAGTTTTGAGCATTAATGTGGGAAAGTTCAACTATAATGTAAGTACTGGATGGAGTTTTTAATGTTGTCTTACCGGTGGTGAGGCAGGAAAAAATAAACATAGAAAAAAATATATAATAAGAAAATTTATTTACTGTATTATACATATTATAAATATATATATATGTAATCATGTTTAGGCCAGCAGTGAAGGCCTTGTAGGCCTTGAGGATCTGCCACTGCAGTGGTCAGATGGGTTTGGAGCAGAAGAGTCTGATATAACCTACTCTTTCTTACTTTTTGGAAACTTGGACATTTCCCGTGTTTGACAGTGTGTCATATGGATCTGCTTCAGGACGTAGTGGCTGAGAAGTGCACAGAGTATTTCCAGAGGTTTCGGCGTCAGACGTATGTGACGCCGCGCTCATTCCTCTCCTTCGTCAACAGCTACAAACTAATCTACAGTGAGAAGGTGGAGCATGTGGGGACCATGGCCCAGCGCATGGACACAGGTCTGACACAGATCTCTCTGATATCTCTCTTCTCTCTTCCTGGTCTCTCTGGTCTCTCTCTGGTCTGTCTTTCTGGTCTTTCTTTAGCCTGTCTTTGGAATCTCTCTGGTCTTTCTCTGGTCTCTCTCTGTTCTTTCTTTTGTCTTTCTCTGGTCCCTATGGTCCCAAAGACCCCACAGACCTGTTTGCTCTGTAGGTTTGAAAAAACTGATGGAGGCCGAAGTGTCGGTGTCTGAACTTTCTGAGCAGCTGGTGGTGAAGGAGCAGGAGCTAGCCAGCGCCTCTCTCAGGGCTGACGCAGTACTGCTGGAGGTCACTGAGAAGGCTCGCGCTGCAGAGGAGGTGATGTTAAATTATACACACGCTTCTCAAATAGTAACGTCCAATATTCTCCACAGGACCAGTCTTTTCAGTGCAAAAATCAGAATAGACCCTTTAATAGACCTCTTTGTTCTAACTCTCTTAAAAAACACACTTTTGTAAAAACACTGTTCTTATTCTAACTCCAGGTGAAGCGGCAGGTGCAGAAGGTGAAGGACCGAGCTCAGATCATCGTGGACGAGATCGAAGCTGATAAATCTGTGGCCGAGTCCAAACTGGAAGCAGCGAAACCGGCCCTGGAGGCGGCAGAGGCAGCTCTGCAGGTCTGAGATCAGGACCAGGACTGAGACCAACCTCCCTCTCGAGCTGGGATTTCAAACACTGTTTATCTTGGGGCCAGTTGAGGCTGGTTGAGTGGGTCATATTAAGGGTTATGTGTATCACATATTTGTCTGTGTGAAAAGTCAAACTTTTCCCACAAAGTTTAGCTCCTGGGTGAGTATAAGTAAGTAAGTCAGTAAGTTATGTTTATTTATATACCACCTTTCACAGACCATATATTATCCCTCTATGTTTCAAACTGTTCTGTCTGGCCTCTCTCTTGTCACCCTGGATCTCTTGGTCTTGTGAGATCCTTTTTTGTTTCTGCTTTAGACCATCAAACCGGGTGACATCTCCACAGTGAGGAAACTACAGAAACCGCCTCATCTCATCATGAGGATTATGGACGCAGTGCTGCTGCTGTTTCAGAGGAAGGTACGAATCCTGTCCCACGAGCAGGAACAAAACAGCTCCTGATTGGCTCTCTCTGGTCTCTCTATAGTCTCTATGGATCTTTCACTGGGATCTCTCTTGTTCCTCTGATCTCTGTAGTCTCTCGGGGTATCTCTCTGGTCTCTCTTTCTCTCTTGTTTCGGTCTGATATTTGTCTCTCTCTCTGGTCTCTCACTCTAGTCTCTCACGGATCTCTGTAATCTCTCTGGTCTCTTTTTCCCTTTCTCGTCTCTCTGTGGTCTCTCTCTCCTCTCTCTGATCACTGTAGTCTCTTGGCACACTCTGCGTCTGCTCAGAGCTCATTTGTGTGTGTTCCCCCAGATTGACTCGGTGACCCCAGACCCCGAGCGGCCCTGTCCCCGCCCCTCCTGGTCTGAGGCCATGAAGCTGATGCAGAACTCGTCTTTTCTCAGCACACTGCTCCACTTCAGCAAGGTCTGGACTCTGACCCCTGAGACCTGGTTTACTCAGACCTAATCTGGACTGAAACCTGTTCTGGACTTCACATGAGTCCTGCTCTGACCCAGACAAAATCTCCTGAAATAGAGTTTTAAATTGAGCTGAAGGGAAAACCCCGTTTAGACTCAGCTGTTCACACTGACAGAGCCGATAATCCCCCAAGACCCAGACCAGGCCAAGATCAGGGTCCAAGACCCAGACCAGGCCAAGACCAGTGTCCAAGACCGAGTCAAAGACACAGATCTGGTTAGTCCTGTAGTAAGACCATACTGGCTCATAGTTGCATCTCTTCCTTTTATTTTATTTATGTATTTATTTATTTATTGTGGATGGCCCCTTGAGATGAATCATCTCTTTTTCGAGGGGGTCCGAACACTTACAGATCCTGCTCTTTGTCAAATCTAAAATGCAATTTTCTCTTGTCTCTGTTTCCACCTATGACCATCGCTCTGACCATCCCTGTCTGCTCTTCTTCTTTGAAGTATTTACACATAACAATAACAATAAATAAAGCATGACCTTCAGAAGAGAAACCCAGATGTTTCCAGAGAATGTAAAATCTGCACATTAAGGGTTGACAGACCGATAGACAGACAAACTCTGGTGGAAATATTCATTGGGTTAGTGTAATCTTGACCCCTGACCCTGTTCCAGGACTCCATCACAGAGGAGACGGTGGAGCTCGTCGCTCCCTATCTTCAGATGGATGATTACAACATGGATTCGGCCAAAAGAACTTGTGGGAACGTGGCAGGACTCTGCTCCTGGACACAAGCCATGGTGGACTTCTTCTCCATAAACAAGGAGGTCCTCCCACTGAAGGTACAGACACACTCACACACGCATGCGCACAGACAATAAAATTGTAGTAATAAAATACACCATTGTCCTTTCTCTCCTCTCTCCTCCTCAGTCAAGCCTGGCTCTGCAGGAGTCGCGGCTCGTCGTGGCTCAGGCTGAACTCTGCAAAGCTCAGGACCAACTAGACCAGAAGCAGAGGGACCTGGACCAGGTTCAGGTGCGTGAGGAACATGTAAATCTGAGGATTTTCTAGGAGAGAACGAAGCTATAAACAGGACTTTATGACAGAAAGCAGCTTTTAGATTCTAAAGGAAGAGGCCAACATCTATCTCATGTTCAGAAGTGTTTTAAAATCAAATGAACAACAGACCTCTTCCTGCCAATCCTCTTCTGTTCTTGTGTCGCAGGCTCTCTACGACGCAGCGATGAAGGAAAAGCAAGACCTAGAGGACGACGCTCAGAATTGTAGGAGGAAGATGTCTAACGCCACAGAGCTGATCCAGGGCTTAGGAGGAGAGAAGGTCCAGCTTTAGACCTGCTTTAGTCCTGCTTTAGACTTTCTTTAGGCCCGCTTTAGTTCTGCTTCAGACCTGGTTTCTCTACAGGTGCGGTGGACCAGCTCCTCCTCCAGGCTCCAGGCTCAGATGGACAGTCTTGTGGGGGACGTGCTGCTTTCTGCTGGGTTCCTATCGTACGCTGGGCCCTTTAACCAAGAGTTTCGAGGTTCTCTGCTCCGACTATGGAAAGATCTGATGAAGACACAGAAGATCCCCTTCAGCCAAGTAAGAGGAAACATTACGTACCCCACATTTGAACATGTGTTATTAATTAGACTGAAGTTACGTACTCCAGCATTAATGCTCTCCTCGTGTTCCAGGACGTGGACGTAGCCGCTCTGCTGGTGGACTCTGCCACCAAAGGAGAATGGGCTCTGCAGGGTTTGCCCACAGACGAGCTCTCAGTTCAGAATGCCACAATTGTGACCAAAGCGCCACGGTACCCCCTACTCATCGACCCGCAGGGACAGGGCCAGAGCTGGATCGAGAGCCGTGAGAGAGAGTGCCACCTGCAGGTCACCTCCCTCAACCACAAGTACTTTCGCACCCACTTGGAGGACTGCCTGTCGCTGGGTCGCCCCCTGCTGGTCGAGGACGTCCAGCACGAGCTCGACCCAGTGCTGGATAACGTGCTGGACAAGAACTTCATCAAGTCAGGATCCTCCTTCAAAGTGAGGCCAAAGAGCTCTTCTCTCTGCTTTCTTACAGTCATGTCCAGTTACAGCTCTTCTATCTGCTTCAGGTGAAGGTGGGGGACAAAGAGGTGGACCTTCTCACTGGTTTCTGTCTCTACATCACGACCAAACTGTCAAACCCGGTCTTCAGCCCAGAGGTCAGTGCTAGGGTGGCGGTGGTTGACTTCACTGTGACGCACCGCGGGTTGGAGGAGCAGCTTCTGGGACGTGTCATCCTGATCGAGAAGCAGGTAAGGTCCAGTTCGACTGTGAGGTCCAGTCCGACCCCTGTGAGGTCCTGTCTCCATGAGCACTGAGCAGATAAAGAAGGCACTGACCAGAGAGAGATCAATACATTGAAACATGCAATCAATGATCAACATTAGGGAGTGGCCTATATTCTAATACATGCGTTTCTAATTATACAATGGCTCTTCCCTGTGCTTTTAAATGCTTCTACTGGCCTTGTCTCAGTAGGATCCGTTTCCATGGTTATATGTGGGGTCCTTTGCTTCAGGAGCTGGAGACACGGCGGGTCACACTGGTGGAGGAGGTGACCATGAACAGACGCACAATGCAGGAGCTGGAGGACTCGCTGCTCCTCAGACTCAGCTCCACAAAAGGATCCCTAGTGGAGGACGAGTCACTGATAGAAGTGCTACACGTGACAAAGAAGACGGCTAATGAGGTGAGAGAGCTAATGAGCTAAGGGAGCTAATGAGGTGAGAAAGGTAGATAAAGAGAGGGTAGTGAGGCTAATAGGTAGCAGGAGCTCACAAGGAGAGGGAGCTAATGTGGTACGGTCTCAGTCTCTAAGCCTTTTGTCTCTCTCTGGTTCTGATCTTTCAGGATTTTGGTCTCTCTCTGGTCTCTCTCTGGTCTCTCTCTCCGCTCTCTCTCTCTGGTCTCACACTGTGGTCTCTGATGTCTTTCTGGTCTCTAAGGTCTTTGGTCTCCTCAGGTCAGTGAGAAGCTCTCCATTGCTGCAGACACAGAGGTGAAGATAAACCAGGCGCGCGAGGAGTTCCGCCCGGTGGCCACCAGGGGCAGCATCTTGTACTTCCTGATCGTGGAGATGTCAGCTGTGAATACCATGTACCAGACGTCTCTTGTACAGTTCCTGAAGCTGTTCCATGCGTCCATGAGGAAGTCTGCAGTGTCTGCGGTGACGAGCAGGCGCATCAGCAACATCGTGGAGTACCTCACACTCCACGTCAGTCACACATACACACAGATACACATAGAGACACACTCACAAATTATGATTCTTGTTCTTCATCACATATATTTTCTATCGTACGTGTGTGTGTGTGTGTGCATCTGTGTATGCGTCTGTGTGTGTATTGTCAGGTCTTCCAGTTCTGCTGCAGAGGTCTGTATGAGGAACACAAGCTGCTCTTCACGCTGCTCCTTGCGCTGAAGATTGACCTGCAGAGAAGCTACATCAGCCAGCAGGAGGTGTTGACGTTTATCAAAGGTCAGTGAGCAGCGACGCTACTCCAAGCTCCTCCCCGCTACTTTTTGGAGATTTATTTGGGACCCTTAAGTATGCCTTTGTCTTTCAAAATTACAGTCGAGGTTCATTTGTCCATGATAAGTTTTTAGTATGTTGTATTTATTAAAGTTGAGATACCTAACATTAAAGCTGTTATATGCAACTTTAAAGGTGGGTCCTGTTCCTGGCTTTGCTTCTATCACTAAGTTTCATGTCATTTCAGGCCTCTGTCACATAAAAAAAAGAAACAAAATGACGTACCCCAACATGTTATTTACGAGGCTAAACTTACGTACCGCAGCTTTAAAGCAGTGTGTGCTCTCAGGCGGAGCATCCCTGGAACTGAACTCAGTGGAGCCCAAACCCAAACGCTGGATTCTGGATCAGACCTGGTTGAACTTGGTGCAGCTGTCGACTCTGACTCCGTTCTCCCACATCCTTCGCCAGGTAAGAAAAGACTCTGGTCTCTCTCTCTGGTCTTTCTTTCTTTGGTCTCTCTCTGGTCTCTGGTATCTCTCTGTTCTCCCTCTGGTCCCTTGTCCCCCCCTGGTTCCAGGTGGCCCAGGGCGATCGCTGGTGGAAGGCCTGGTTTGATGAGTCGGCCCCTGAAGAGGCCCCTCTCCCAGATGGATACGATTGCCTGGACCCCTTCAGACGCCTGCTGCTGGTGCGGAGCTGGTGCCCGGATCGGACCATCGCTCAGGTCTGTGGTCCAGAGTGCGCCTATGGGTTCAGTACTGAGCCTGCTCACATCCTCTATCTCCAGGCACGGCGGTACATCTCCTCCTCTCTTGGGCCGGTCTTCACTGAGGGTCTGGTCTTGGACCTGGAGAGCCTGTGGTTAGAGGGCGACTGCAGGACCCCTCTGCTGTGTCTGCTGTCCATGGGCTCTGACCCCACAGAGAGCATCGAAAGGCTGGCCAAGAGCAAGGTGATAAGCTTTAATGCTCTCCTCTCTCACTCTTCTCTTCTCCTCTCAAACTCCTCTCTCCTCAGGGAGCTGTATGTCACTCCCTCTCCATGGGACAGGCGCAGGAGGTGCATGCTCGTAGACTCCTCTCTCAGAGTCAGAGTGATGGAGGCTGGCTCCTCCTGCAGAACTGTCACCTTGGTCTCCACTTCTTAGAGGAGCTGCTCCAGAGCGTCTCCTGTGGAGGAGAGGAAGAGGTGCAGGAGGGGTTCAGAGTGTGGGTCACCACAGATGTCCACGACAAGTACAAATACACACACACATTCACATAGATACACACTTTTGTTGTAGAATGTGGAATAATGTTTGTGTTTCAGGTTTCCCATCACTTTCCTCCAGTCGTCCATCAAGTTCACAAATGAACCTCCTCAGGGTGAGTCCAGGTTTGAACCAGATCTGATCAGGATGTTGAACAGTGTTGTGTGCTTTCAGGGATGAAGGCCGGTCTGAAAAGGACCTTTGGAGGACTGACCCAGGATCAATTGGATGTCAGTGACCTTCCTCAGTGGAGACCTCTGCTATATGCACTGGCCTTCCTCCACACCACAGTACAGGTCTGAGTCAGGCCTGCTTTAGTCCTGCTTTAGTTTTGCTTTGGACATGCTTTAGACATGCTTTAGACCTGCTTTTTGAACCTTCTCTGACCTCCTCACTGTTTCAGGAGCGCCGTAAGTTTGGGCCACTCGGTTGGAACATCCCATATGAGTTTAATCAGGCCGACTTCACCTCCAGCCTCCAGTTTGTGCAGAACCTTCTGGAGAACATGGACCTGAAGAGAGGCCTGGACTGGGCCTGTCTGCGCTACATGCTTGGTTTGTAATCATAAAACATACTTTCAATTGTAATGAAGTCCAGTTTCTGCGATGTGTGATTAGACCTGTTACTCCTTCTTCAGGGGAGGTGCAGTATGGCGGCAGAGTGACCGATGACCTGGACAAGTGTCTGCTCACCACTTTCACTCACGTCTGGTTCACTGAAAACCTCTTCAGCCAAAACTTCTGCTTCTACAAAGACTACGTCCTCCCAGGGAAGACCAAGAACATGACCCAAGCCCAGATCCTGGAGCACGTGGAGAACCTGCCGCCAACGGATTCTCCAGAGGTGCCCCCAGCCCTTCTGTCTAAGAGACCAGAGAGAGAGACAACAGAGAGACCAGAGACAAACCAGAGAGAGAGACCAAAAGGGAGACCAAAGAGAGCTGGTCCAGCTGAACCAGCTGTATTAACTTTGAATGTTTCAGGTTTTCGGGCTTCACCCAAACGCTGACATCACCTACCAGACAAACCTGGCCAATCAGACGCTGAGCATGATCGTGAACATCCAACCAAAGGACAGTGGGGGCGGGACAGGCGAGACAAGGGAGGAAAACGTGCGCCGATCGGCCCATGAGATGCTTCAGAAGATCCCACCTGACTACGCCTCCCACCAGGCAATAGACCTACTTTAGACCTGCTTTACTCTTGATTTAGTCCTGCTTTAGACCTGCTTTACTCTTGATTTAGTCCTGCTTTAGACCTGCTTTAGTCCTGCTTTTGACCTGCTTTAGACCTGCTTTAGTCCTGCCCATACGGCGGACCAAAGCAGGTGGAACCCTGAATAGAGCTGTAAGGCCAGGTTTCTGTATAGATAATGTCTTTGTGCTGAAGCTCAGTGTTGTCTCTGCAGGTCCGCCTGCAGCTCCAGAGGATGGGCCCTCTTCAGCCAATGAACATCTTCCTCAAACAGGAAGTAGACCGAATGCAACGAATCATTATCCGAGTTCGGAGCACGCTGACTGACCTGCAGCTCGCCATTGACGGTGAGAAACTACTGAAGGAAAGCAGATATAAGAGCTATTTTGACTGGACACGACGAGAGGAAAGCTGATAGAGTAGCTGTTTTGACTCCCTCAGGCTGCATCGTGATGTCGGAGCCTCTTCGTGAAGCTCTTGACGCTCTCTTTGATGCCCGTGTCCCTCAGTCCTGGCTCAGACTCAGCTGGGACTCTGCTTCTATTGGGTTCTGGTTCAGTGACCTTTTGGAGAGGAACCTGCAGCTGTGCTCCTGGATCAGCTCCGGGCGACCCAACCAGTTCTGGCTCACTGGCTTCTTCAACCCACAGGTCTGTGCTTCACATGCCATCAGGAGAAAATACTTAATAATGAGCTGAAAGTATGCTCCATGGGAAAATATCAAGCTTTTGTTACTACTTTTGTTTTGTTACTTATACTCATAGACTGTAGTAGTAGCTGCCCATATTATAAATTTAGCTCAAAAACGTTCATCATGTCTTTTTTTTACTGTGAGTAATAAGAGGAAGTGTGACAAGTGCATCTCTGACTGTTCTTAATCTTCCACTTTTAAGATATTATAAATGGGGACTTTTAAACGTTATTAAATCTGCGTGGTAACAAGCAATTACACATTACAAATGCTTTTTTGTCTAGTACAGGGATTGCCAACCAGTCAGAGACTGAGCCATTATTTTACTGTGTTACTGCAAAGAGGCACACATAAACAACACCTCATCCCGTACCCCCACCCCACACACACACACACACACACACACCCACACACACACACACACACACCTCTGCTCAGCCCGATTTATTGTAAATGTCACACGCCAACATGATAATGACAGAAATGGACTCCTACAAGGTTAAAGGGCTCGACTCGACTCTCCCCCGTTTGTGGGCGTTTCCACCAGCTCACTCTAGCCGCTACCCGGTACTTTTTAATAACGGATTGGCCCTGGTTCTAGCCGGGCCGAGTAGATACCAAAACAATCTGACGTTGGCAAACGTCAATTCTGATTCCGAAATGAGTTCTTTCAATCTACAACCAAGACACATAACTGTCTTCATTGAAGCATGGATCCATGATTCTCTCTCTAACTACGTTTTGTAAAAGATATAGATAGGACACATAACATCAACACCACTTTAGCTGTTCTAGACTTTAGAGCCACAGACACACGTTCAGTATAAGACCAGATACTTTTTCATTTGATTGAAGACAGACACTATTTCTCTGACACTCAACATCTGGGATAAGGCAGAGTTGAGGCTTCTCTCCTGGTGTAGCTGGGGTTAGTGTGTACGCTGGTGTTAGCGTGTTAGCTGGTATTAGTGTGTTAGCTGGTCTTAGCTGATGTCCGTAAATTGTATCTGGTCAAACCACCTCCAGACTTTTCGTTTCGGCCCACTTTTGCTGTTGTAATCTTTCATTTCACGGTAGTCACTTTTAAGCGTTTTAACTTTTCTCTGCACTGTGATGTCCGTGGGTATCATTCTGCGGCGTCCTTAGCGCTACCTCCACAAACACCTTGTAGTTTCTGGTGGCACCATCAAGCTCACGCTGCTTTCCTTTTGTCAAACTGAGGAAGGTGTTGACCGCATCCAGCGACTGAGGAATAGTTTTGCCACATGGAACCAGCCAAAGAGCTGCATGAGGCTGCGGGTTGGCCACCCCTGGTCTAGTATATCTTATAGTATTTTCCATTTTGACGAGTGGGAGTACAAATGACTGATTGACAAATCTTACAATTGAATTGGCCCTCTGGACCTCATCCTTTCTGTTGGTCTACTGTTACTTAGCAAAAGTTTCTTGGCATCACAGAAAACAAAAGTACTGGGTTCTTCTATACCAGACAATATAATTTTTGTGGTGTTATTACCTTGACATGTTTCGACGGATAACTTCCGTCTTCCTCAGAAGCGTCTCGCGACGTCACACATGACGGGCCTTTTATCAGCTGCTGTTCCCAGGCGCAGTCAGCCCGGTAAATCACATAGGTTGGCTAGCTCCTAAACTATCACAGAAAAAAAAATAGAAATTAAGCAACCCTACTATAAGCTGCGGCCTTCAAAAGGCTGGATAAAAGCTGTGGCTTATAGTCCGGAATTTATGGTATAAGGACAATGCTAACCCGCTACCTCAATGCTAGCTAGACGCCAGACATGAACCATATAAGTATTGTGCCTTGCTTTGTGGGGGAAAATCCAGTTAGCCTTACTGGAACAAAGCTAATGCAGTTGGAACCATAGACTGTATATATTAACGGACGTAGTCACGCCTATCCCCGCCGTTCAAACTAGTGGGCCAAAAATTCTGCTCTACTGGAGCTATCCAAAATGGCCGCGAGTGGTCCCGCCCACAAGAAAATTGTGAAAAAACGCATCTGCGCATGCATCAGCCGGCGAGAGCTCCATTCATTTGAACGAGTGCCTTCAAAAATTCACAGCAAGTAAACCAGAGTGGTCCAAAAAAAATCACTCCCCTCAGCATTGACCAGTGTTGGGCACGTTACTTTGAAAAAGTAATTAGTTATAGTTACTAGTTACTTCTCCCAAAAAGTTACTGAGTTACTAACGCAGTTACTCCACTATAAAAGTAACTAGTTACCAGTAAAAGTAACTATTGCGTTACTTTTTTGTTTTGTTCTGGAACATAATGTGCACTCGACATGCACATTTTTACCTTTAACCTCAGTGAGTCTGAAATAGTGCTGATATTTCCATCTAGAAAAGGCTGTTTTGCTGCTGAAGTCCTGTTCACTCTTCATCTCTCTGTGCTGTAAGCACTAAACACCAACACCCGCCACTGTGAATGTGGAAACACCGGTGAAGTACTGACTTCAGCCCAATCAGATGTCATAACCCGGCTCAATAGAAATGACAGAAACACGCCAAACAACAGTTGCCAATTGAAATAATATTTATTAATAAGCAAAGTTAATATTTTAATGAGGTGTGGAAGTCTGTAATGAGTGCGTGTTAGTGTATGTGCCGTGAGCGTATGTCTGCAGTGTTGAATGGTGTGTAGAAAATAAACCAAGACAAACGAACCAAAACGAACCAAGCAACCAAAACCAAACCAAACCAAACCAAAACCATACAAAAGGAGGCGGGACACGCAGGTGTCAAGATGGGAGCAGGATGAGCCAACCGCAATCTCTGGCATGTGCACGGGCTTTAAAGGCGCGTGTGTCACGCACGCGCACCAATGAGCACAGCTTCCACCTGAGAAAGGAGGATATACGGCCCGTCAGTGGCCGTAACACAGATGAACATATATATCATATAAATCAAGTGGACCAAGAGAGTGGCATATTCACAGTTTGTTTGGCTACAGCAAAATATGTTTCATGCCCGCATTGTTTGTTCATACAAAACGCAAAACTATGAGTTATGGGTCTTACCTTATAAATGACCTGCACGGTCCACTTCGGTTCAGACCAGTTCCATGTTTAAGTCCAGATAATAGTTTGAGCGTAGATATGTAATCCTCCATTTGGAAACAAGTGCAATGAGTTTTAAAAAGTAAAACAAAACGCGTGTCTCCTCCATAAACTCCTCTGTTTTGCTAGCTGCAGCCGGCTGCATCCAATTTCTAAAATCAACCGTCTTACATTTCACCTCTCTTTCTTATCATTCCTTTAGTCATTGAAAAATTACCCTAAGTGCATTTTAAATTATCTATCTATTATATAAAATGTGTTATATGTATGTTAGCCAAACCTGTTGCTGTCCTTAGCAGATAAACCAGGAAGAGAAAGGAGCTTTTCGATGGAATTGTATGCAGCCGACTTCTGCGCTCACATGCGCTCCTCTGAGGCTGGCCTCACGGTGATACAAGCCGTTTTTGAGCGCGATTAAGACCCATATTTGTTTCAAAAACACAATTTATGAGCCATCCTCTCAACTGTAGACATGTAGATTGTAAAGGAAATATGTTTTACATCAGCCAATAATTGCTGAGAGGTTTTCTCATCCTCCCTACTCTGACAACACGCGCACAAGTCCTATCACAAAGTAAAAAAAGAATTTCATTTTGCGACTTGAGTAACGCGCAGTAACGGGGTGTCGGCAATGATAATGGCGTTATAGTTACAGTCAAAGTAATTAGTTAGATTACGCGTTTCTGAAAAAAGTAACGGCGTTATTCCCATCACTGGCATTGACACACATGTGGAACGGAGCTTTGGGCCAAGAGCCAACTTTTGGTCCATCCTGTAAAGAAGTTTTCGAGAGGTCAACTAATGCTATATGTTAGCATTGGCTAATTCTACTTCTGGGTCCACCCCCATCGGCCCGGGGTGGTATTGCAAGCATGTCAGCGCACATCATTTTGGCCACTTTTGAGCCGGGACCCGCCCCCCACTGGTTGGAACAAATTTACATAAAGAAATCTCCATATAAGATCATTGGTTGCAGCGAGGATATGTTCAAATCGGCTTCCTCAGCGTCAAGGCTAACAGTATAGTGATGTCACACTCACTCAGTCCACACGTAATATCCGGACTATGGTACTTGAAGTTAAAAAGTAGAATGCATTTATGTTGAAACAATATAGAAAGATTATATTTATTTGAGACATAAAGCAGGTGAAATGTGAGGTCTGTAACACAGGTGTAATGTGAGGTCTGTAACACAGGTGTAATGTGAGGTCTGTAACACAGGTGTAATGTGAGGTCTGTAACACAGGTGTAATGTGAGGTCTGTAACACAGGTGTAATGTGAGGTCTGTAACACAGGTGTAATGTGAGGTCTGTAACACAGATGTAATGTGAGGTCTGTAACACAGATGTAATGTGAGGTCTGTATCACAGGTGTAATGTGAGGTCTGTATCACAGGTGTAATGTGAGGTCTGTATCACAGGTGTAATGTGAGGTCTGTATCACAGGTGTAATGTGAGGTCTGTAACACAGGTGTAATGTGAGGGCTTTAACACAAATGTAATGCAAGGTTTGAACCCCGGGGTGACGTGTTTCAGGGGTTTCTGACGGCCATGCGGCAGGAGACTGCGCGGTTACCTCAGAACAATGGCTGGGCGCTGGACTCGGTGCTGCTCAGTAATGATGTTACTAAAATGATGAAGGAGGACGTGTTAGCCCCGCCCCCTGAGCATTTGGGCGGAGTCTACATCTACGGCCTGTTTGTCGACGGAGCGGGATGGGACCGCCGCAACGCCAGGCTGACTGAGGCTCCGGTCAAGGTGAGGGTCATGGGTCAAGGCTGATTGATCGGGGTGATTGAGGCAGCGAGTATAAAAAAAATACTGGAGGCTGCTGAAGTATGTAACTTAAATGCTGGGGACAGGGCTTTTTAATGATGAGGTATATAACTTTAAAGCAGGGGTCTGTAACTTTCAGGCCACCACAATAAAACTCTGTAAAAAACCCATTTCTCTGGGTCCTGGCGCTAAAACCTTTTGCTTTTATCACTATTTTTCACATGTATTTTTGGCCTTTGTCACTTCTTAAGATCAGCTTTTTCATAGAGAAAAGTGAAAGAGCTCTTCGGATTGTTAATGACTCTGTCAGGAATGAAGCAGACAGAGACGGATCGTGGTGCGCCAAACTCTGGAAGTTTATTTAAGTTTCTCTCAAGTTCCAGTGGTTTCCATTGTTTCTTTCTCTCAGACAGAATAAAGGCAGTACACAGTTTATATAGTCATTGTCACATCACACATCGAAAGACGTACGTGTCACACAGAGACAGTGCACATCATCGTCAAAACATGGAGTCATCATCAGAGTCCTTGTACAGTCTTGCACGTAGGCCATATTGCTATCTAATACTAACACTCACCCCTTTGATCACATAATTACTCAATCAATCAAGTGGGGAAAAAAAACAAAAAAACTTAAAAAAACAAAGAAAATGTATGCATTAAACTCATAATCATCAAAATCAATATCAGTGGATTTTATCCTCTATACTGAGAAAAAACGAACAAAAACAAACGTAAATAAATACACAAAAAACAAAACAAAAACAAACAAAAATAAAAACAAACCCCATTGGACACAGTAGAACTCAGCAGATTCAGTCAAGACACAGACAAAAACGAGCTGAGTCTCAATTTAGAAGCTTATTTCACTTTTCTTACTCTACTTTTATTCTAATGCTAATTGTTTACACTTTACTTATTTCACTGTATTGTTTTCACTTTTCAATCTTATACTGTGTACTTTACTTTCATGATTCACTATAGTTTAAAACTATTCTAATCTATTTACAAATATGTTTGCATATTCTTATTGAGCCATATTCTTAAACATATATTTTAATCTAATAAATCTCTCTGTGGTTTACTTTCATTATCAGTGGCTTATTGTCAGTGGGATTTTGCTCTATGTCTATTCTACATTCTCAGGAATAAAACTGTGAACACAGTAAGGCAAATGGTTAATATGAACATTATTATGGCGGTCAGTTTTCCAAATACATTTGTTGAAACAGGAAGTGCTGTCACTTCCTCCTCTCAGGCAGTTTAGGATGGATGTACATCATTAATCAAATTAGTATTATCCTTACAAGAGCTAATCTGTTTGAGCAGGTTTGGGGTTGGGGTCAGTTATTTTACAATGGTGTTTGATTCTCTAATCTGTGCTGGCGAATCAACAACTTTTTCAACTTTTCAATATTTAAGGCCCTGTCCACACGAAGTCAAGCTCAGGCCTAAACGCAAAAATACTTTATCAATCCAGTGTATCGTCCATACGAGGCCGGCGTTTTGGGGGGGTGTAAACGAACATTTTTGAAACTAGGTCCCAGAGTGGAAAGATTTCAAAACTCCGTATATGCCGCTCCGTGGTTACTGCCTCTCCGCAATGTATCTGAGACGCTTGCGTCATCGCCCCGCCTCTTGTTAAAGCACGCATGCGCTGCACTCAGAAAATAATGACAACAACAATGTAGCTTTTTGGTTTTGTAATCCAGTGTGACCCGAAGCAACAGTTCAACCTCATCGTCCGTCCATACTAATGTAGTACCAGCTCGCCCACTCGCCATGTTGTCTGTTTACAAAATTCCGCGCATGCCCACGGAAGTTTGGGCTTGATCCCGTCATTGCGTCACAGCGCCACCAACAGGTCTGGCATAGTTTCACAGCGTTTTCAGGCGTATTGACTACATTCATATGGACGCACACATTTACTGAGCTAACTCCGTGTTTACAGAAAAAGTTTCTGAAATTATAAGCGTTTTGTCTTCGTGTGGATATAGCCTAAATATCTACTTTTTGTTTTTGGGCTATACCAAAATACATCAAAATGCTTTTAAATGCTTTTGGTTGTAATCTATCTCATTAATCTAGGCTACACTCATGAACTTTTGTATTGTCAACATTCACCAATGTTTGAACACAAGTGAATTTGGCAAGTATCTAATAAAACTGTAATTAACTTTATTTACTTTGGAAGTAAAGGTTTGTGAAATGGTCCCTTTACCGTTTGATATTAGCACTGACTGGAAACATTCTCTATTTTTGAAAGCATCTATGGTTGATGCATTTATCTATTTCTGTTTCTCTATTTTTACTCTAACAACTTTTGCGTTTGCAGCTTGAGCAAACACATATTTCTAATTTGTGACTTATGTCACTTTTAATATCTCTAAAATAACTCTGATTCTAATATTTTAGCTGCTCTATCAAAAGGATAATATTGTATAGTTATGATTTTAACTCTTATGTGGAAATGTGTTTATGAACAACAAAGGAAGGCTTGAAAAAAAAAACACATTTTGTGTAAAAAAAAGTTGTCTTCTGTTCTGTAGATGTTACAGACAAGGCCCGCATCCTTCCACCACCTGAAGAAGATGGGCCAAGTCTGGCATCGCGTCTTACATTCAGACAGAAGACATGTTTTATTGTCGATGGTAGAGACAGCACGAACAACACGAACACAGATACAACAGAATGCAAGTGTATTATACAGAACGGAGGCATGGAGACCCCCAATCAGCAGCTTCCACGGTGCCATGTAGCTTGGCCTTCAGATAGACAAAACAAGGGAAAAGTACTGGCTTCTGCACATTGATAGAATGATGAGTTTAACTTTAACAAAAGTTGCTTCAAAGTGTTATGAAATCTCACACTAGGGACAAACAAAAACAAAAGAAAGAATCATGAGTATCTGTCTCATTTAGCACTCATCAATGGCATGATTTTAAAAATATAAACATCACTCCCCAGTTTTCTCTCTCAGATCCTCAGGTCCTCAGGGTCCCCTGAGGGTGATTCTCAGTCGTCATCAGGTCAGGTCATATTTCGAGAGATGTCATCTTGGACATCAGTAGGGTCCAAGCCATGGTTTTGGTCTCTCCAGATGCACATCAGGATCTCCAGATACAATCTTTTCACTTGAATCGCACATCAGGTCATTTGCGATGCACTTCTGGTCAATGGTGCAGTGTCACAGTTCCTCTGCACAGCTTGTTATGCAAGGCAAGGCAAGGCAAGGCAAGTTTATTTATATAGCACAATTCATACACAAGGCAATTCAAAGTGCTGAACAAAACAAGAAAGCATTAAAATCATAAATTATCACAGAACATTAAAAAGAAAGATAAAAATATAAAATCCCTCAGTTGTATGCACAGTTAAACAGAACTGTCTTTAACCTGGTTTTTTTTTATTTTTTTTTATTTCAACTTAAAACCATACATGAAAGGACAGGACAACAGACATCAACAAGGCACAAAAAACAAAAACAAATACACCTTCAAACAACACACACACACACACACACATACACACACACACACACACACACACACACACACACACACACACACGTTCCTCAGAACTCAAATCAGGGGAATGCAGTAAGCAAATATTGAAAAATGACTAAACAATACAAACTAGAAAATATGAATGAATACATTTTACAGAAAAGGAAAAAAGGACAATCATAATTAAAAAAAGAGCAAAAAAAACATTCAGACTACATTTTGAAATATGTTAGACAAGGGGGGGCTAAATAGCTATATCAATAATAATAACAGAAAAATTAATTTTTTAAATTGTCATACACTTTTTTCTTCAGATGTAATACATTTCATATAAGAAAAAAGATACATAAAAAAATAAAAGCAGTATTACTATCCAGTAGATATCCACTCTATCAATCTGGACCACCGTTTTTCATGAATATTTTTTTCTTTTTCAGATTTTAACATACACCCCTCAACTTTGTAATAATATTCAATATACCGCAAAAAAAACATGTTTAGTGAAGCCGTATTTTTGGTTTTAAAAATAAATTTCTTACCTAAAAGAATAATTAGGTTAATTAATTGCTTCCATTTTGATTCTCCAAGAAACCCCAACACCACCGAAGGCAGGCCTAACTGACATTTTATATTCATGTCTTTGAATATTTGCTGTACTGCTTCCCAAAAGGCCGCCACCACATGGCAGTACCAAAATAAATGGTCAATAGATTCTATTTCACTTAAACAAAAACGGCATTTGTCGGATTCAGCAAGACCCCAGATTTTAAGCATTTTATTTGTAGGTAAAAAATTATATATAATTTTAATTTGAAAAAATCTGCTGTGCGCGTCCACCACAGTTTGATATATTGTACTGAAAACCATCTTCCAGTAAATCGGTTGATCTAACAGATCAACCATTTTTTAAAAGTTCTATATGGCCAGGCTATCGCTAATTTTTGATGGAGATAAAACATATGTATACTTCTATTTATCTTATTTCCTTTCGACCACCTATAGTTCCGTAACACAGGCCGACAAACTAATAACTTGCTACATTCACTATTAATTTTAATTTTCCAATTTCTCTTCAGGGCAGAGAGCAGCTGATTATATGAAAGAGGGGAGCAGATATCTCCATAGGTACTAATAAGTTGATCATATTGCATTAACTTCCCATTTTCCCCTATGATATCGTTTATAAAAACAACTCCCCTTTTGATTGCATTTTCCCAAAGTATGGGTTTCCCTTCAATCAGTATATTTGAGTTTGTTCTGCCCTCACTGTTGTATGGGATACAGCTATGCAGATAGATAAACTCCACGACAATTGACAGGTGAAATGTCTTCTTTAATGACGTAGCCTTCAATTACCGACAGAGTGAAACTACAAACAAAAAGAAATAAACAAATTTAGACTCTTAACAGATGTAATACTACACATGGGATGGCCTAAACTAGCTTACACTGGCAAATACTTCATCTGACAAAGTATCCCTTTATACTGTAAATATGATC